CCAGAGGCAAACATAAAGCCAACTTAATTTACGAGCCTTTCAATGCTAATCTTTAGCACGCGACATTATTTTTTTGCCTTGCCAACCAGCCAGATAAGTATCGCTGTCGAAACACGATTATCGTCGGTGCACGAGAAATCTATAAACGTCATTGCTTTCCAATATACAGAGCTGAAAAAAAAATTGTTGTACAATGCAAAAGAAAAATGCAGTGGCAACGATATCGAATCCCTTCCTGGCTAGAGTATGATTGACATTCGCACGCGACACCTTGACACTCGGCGTGGCGTTATAAATATCAAGAGTCGCGCGGTGGTACAGGAGAAAAGCAGAAAAGGATGGGCTTGCTACCGGCAGCACGACGGGAATAAGGCCCGCGACATGACAGACGATGCATTGTTTATCTGCTTATCGGCCAATTTGAGCGTGAATCAGCGCGTCATAAAAGATCAGTACGTCGGTCTATCTATTACAGCTCTATGCCACGGCCTGTCGCAACCTATTCTCTCCGGCGTAATGCCAATGGAATTCAAACTGCGACTCGCGCTCTACCTTTTCATCTCACCTTCGAGACGTATAATCAATTCACTATGCGAGGCAACAATGGCAACGGAAGGAACGAAGAAACTAGAGCGCGAAACGAACGGAACTTTCTGAATAGATGAACAAGAAGAAAGCAAGAGACGGGATGCTGAAAGTATAAGCCTACAAGCCGATTGAAATTGATCCTCGTTGCGCGCGCTCAGCCAAAAATATTGTAAAACCGGACCGGCAATTTCAGTCGGTCGAGAGTTTTCACTTTCTCGAACGATAAGCTGGAGAACGACGACGCGCGAGATAACACACTGCCTGCTGCCACTAAATCATCAAGCTTTCAGATGTACATTCGCGTCTTGGACTCTTACCCGAGGCCGAGTGCAATAATTATGATAGCGAGTCACGCTGCGCCTAAGACTTGGCTTGGCTTTCTATTGTGCTTGGCACTCTCGGATCTTTCTCTTCTTTGCATACGCGGCTTGTGTGCAGACACTTACCTATCACCTCTATTGTGCACGCGCTTAAGCGCTTGTACGCACACGCATACCCAAGCTCGAGTGACTCGCAAGGCTAATTTCTTACTACCGCTGTGAATTTTCACTCCGAGCAGCGGGGCAGACGCAGCACCGATGTCACGCCAGACTTTGCGAAAAAAAGAACACCAAACGTCTCGACATTTCAGTAGATAAGGTCAGCGTGCGGTGAGACGCGAGATTAATTTTTATTGCGTCTGAATGCCACCACAGCCATAAGAATTGACGCTAATGTTCCAATAAAGCCGCGAAGCATTATAACAATGGTAAATAGTAAATGGTAAATATCGGAGACGCGGAATCGAAGAGACCAATGATATCGTAAACACAAACACGCTGCGTAGCATCGTCGTCTCGATTTTCAATCAATGTCAGTCGCTGGAGGTATAGCTTTACCATGAGAGTTTGGCCCTCGTCTCGTTGTCAAGCGTAACGAGCGATCGCAAGTAATGCGCATACATTTCTATCCGCCGGCGTAATGCTGAAGATGGATTAACTCGAATCGCCGCTAAATAGACTGTGCACTACTGGTAAAACTCTTTCCCGTCGCGCATACCTCGCATCGTGGGCGTGCGTTGTAGCGGTATATTGATAGATCGCTCTCGCTTTCCTTCTGCATACGTACGCGTTCGCTTTAATATATGCGTCAGACTGGTTTTTAATAATCAACTCACGCGAACAGTCACATTACGGATTGTGCGTGTTCTTTTTTCATGATCATTTTGCGAGAGGGCAAGAACAAAAGGCAACAATCAACGTTGCAGATTGTCACGAAATATGGACTGCATTTTTGGGGCTTCAGCAGCCACGTTGTTCGTAAATTTCGATGACGGAACTTCAATTGAGACTTCGTCTTATTTAAAGTCAGTAATTAAGAATTGATCTCAAGTTAATTGATGTTTGAGTATTACGTAATAAATTGTTGGTGCAGCATTTTTTTTCCGATGCCAACAAGTCATAAACTCGTTTTGTTCAACTCGATATGGAAAGGTGTGTTGAATCAAGAAACTCCTCACAAAAGTTCACACACGACGAAAATCCGGTTGCCAACGTTAAAAGTATAGAGCCAACTGTTCAGCAATTCCAAGGCTATGGAGATTCAAGGAATAAATGATTCCGACAACTGAATGACGAATTATATTACTTTCAGTGTTTGTACGAAAAAAATAAGCCGCAGAAATGCTGAATGATTCTGATATTCTAGATATTTTACGCTCGTAGAAAAAAAACTATCTAGGATGACACGAAAAGATTTCTTATCTAGTCCAAAAAAAGCCAAAAGAGATTTGCTTGTCGCTGGAGCGAATGATTATCGAGCGCAAAAAAGGATGCGCATTTTCAGAAGTATAATCGTCGACTCCTTACGAGACATTTACGTTGCTTGCGCACTGAATAAGAAAAATTTCACCGTGACACGTTATCTTTCGGCGTTGCAAGAGCACAACGAAATTTTCGAGGACGTGGCCTCAATGAGATGTTTCGGCATAGAGCGTACGGGCGTGAGTGACGAGAGAGATAGAATGAGAGAGAGAGAGCGCGCCAGGGGCGGACTTGTAATAAGACGACGAACCGCACGAGGAAGCGTGACTCAAACTGAATAATGCACCGTAATGTGCTAACCCCACGTGACGTCTACTATATGCATGAGCGCTGCAACTCATTTCGCACTTCGCCAGCATGAATAATATTGTTCCTTGAAAAATATAGACACACGTGTATTATTGGTGTGATTAGCAGTCGCCGACATTTCAAAATTCTCGGCATTGAAATAAGCGAAGTACGTGCGGTAAAATATCGACAAGGTCGAGCGAGCAGCATCGTTGTTATAGCGTGAAACCCTGCCCGCGCAAAGGATTTCACCTTATAAAAAGAAAGAAGAGTGAGAGAGAGAGAGAAAAGTTGGGAGATGATCGCGATTCGTCGTTGTGCCGGATAGAAGTATTATAAATTTCCATTTTTTAAAGTTCAACGAACGCGATACTACAGCACTTTCTCCCCTTATAATCGACCGCAAAACAATTCGTTTGTCCATCTCTCTCTCTCTCTCTATCACGCGCGCGCGTCTTATTAACTTTTACAAACGGAACCGGATGAAAATATTCATCTCGCGTGACCCGAAACGTTTGTACGAGGAAAATGCAGGCTACGAGGATTAGTCGAAAAGAGAGCAAAGCCACTTGTGCACGTATTATTTATTTTTTGTTTTTTTCTTCTTCGCAATTCAAGGCGATCCGGTAGATTTTTTTTACGAACGAAGGACAAAAAATTGGCCGGGCCCTTTCATTGTTCGCAGCCTCCTCATTCTCAGTACATAAGCACGCACCTTTTCGGATGCGCGTGCGCGTTATTATACGCGCCCAGCGGCGCGTTCTGTTTCATATTCATGCTGCGCGCGCCTCGCGTACGCGTGCTGCACTCTCGAGCGAGGATTCGAGAGTAAATATGTTTGTGCTTCCTTCCTTCGATTTTCTCTCTCTCTCACTCTCCTTTCTTTATCGTTCGTCCATGCTTTATTAAAGTAATGAGCACACGCAACGTCCGCGTGTACGGTTTTGTTGTTCGATGTACATTATGCACAAAAAAATGTATAGGTTTGGGCCTTCTTAATGGCGAAATACTTTGTTTTGCATGGAAATGATGGATTGCCGTTTTACTTTGCATATCAAAAAAGAAACCGCGTTAAAATTCGTGCCTGAATGGATTGCTCTCTTGAAATTCAGCGCGCGGTAAATCACGTTTGGCTAAATTGAATATTAAGCCGAACCCGGTAGTGGTACAATCTGAGACGGATGTAGAACTACACGTAAAAGATTGAACTGTATTTTTGTTAAAAAGCAGAGGCGGTATCCTTGAACAACCGGTCGAATACTTTTCTTAAAACAAATTTTTTCGATAGAGTGATAAATATTCGCCTGCTTTCGTCGCTTAGTTTTCACGTTGTCACGATCGTAAAAATATCGTATGTTACACTTACGTCACTGCAAAGACCTTTCCCATTGATAGCGAGAACAACACAAAATGTAATTTAGAATACATAATGTCTATAAAAAAAAAATTGTGCAGTACGCTAAATAAAAATTAACCAAAACAACCATGTCATATCCATTCATTATAATATAGCCATGTACATTTTATGTGCGTACAACCTCAGAGTAAGACAATAGAGCTGATTTCGAGAAAAGTATAAACAATAGAGAAGAGCGTTAGAAGTTGCAACGCGATAATAAATCCCGCGAAAGATTAACCCCAAAAGAGGTGGTGAAGTGATTTATTGTATACGCTGTCGCGGCGACAGCGGGAAAACTGTCATCGCGCGAACTTTCTTTTTCCGTTGAGCCAGAAATGAAAAGAAGTGCCACGGTACCGTTTAGAAATCGCCACTATACAGCGATCTAATTGAGAGCGCGAATGAAAGGCGCGAAAAAGAAGACATTCAACCGTTTTGTAATACATGGGAGGGTTATGTGAGCAAACATGCTAATTTAATCGATTGGGATAGAGTTCTTTTTCATTATTACACGCCGACTTGATGTTTACTTTTCCTTTTCTTAATTTTTAATTATTTATGTACGTCTACTAACTTCGCATTGAGCAATGTGAGGCGTGAAACCTGAAACAGAAAACGTCTTATTAAAGCTGCTTCAGTTGAATGATTACGTCTCTCCGTTGCGTATATTTGCACAGAAGCGTTGAGAAAGTTTCTCAAATAATACTTAGCGAAACAAACAGTTGAACATTGTGCCAAAGTATCACGAGGAAAACTGATTGCATCTTCGTAACTTTGCCCGTTGAACTTCGAAGCGTTAATGTACGTGCAGCGCGAGAAACTTCCTGATAGTACATCATGAGAAAAAAAATAATAAAAGCACAACGGGAAATAAAAATTCAATTGGACTCTCTTTCGCTGACGTTGCCGTTGTTTTGTTGCAGGCGAGGAGGCCGATATTGCTGTTGCTCTGCGCGTTGCTGCTGCTGCTGCTGGTACTAACTGAACGCACGGAAGGTAAGCGACGCTTCCGCGAGTAATAATTCAAACGCGAGTGACGGACGATGCCGACGGTGCTATACTCCAATTTCGAAGCGTCGCCGTTGAGTAATCACTCCCGTGGATATTCCCCGCGATTCGGGACATCGTTGAGTGTTGTAATTGGCACTTGGGTACATGCACTTGTTACGTATAGATAAGCAAGAATATTACGTATTTGACGAAGTTGATGGGTTAATGTCTTGTTTTACAGTTTCCGTGATAATTATATTCGATCGCCGAACCCAGAGAAATATGACTATTTTCTTTTAATTAAGATGCGAGCTTTATTTTATTATTTTTATTGACGAATTATTTAAGATTGCCTATGACGAACAGGATGTAAAATCATTATTTATCGCCTACTTATAAACCCGACAATGCAATAATTTTTAACTGTTAATACGTCTTTCTTTGCGCGAGCCTTCAATTACCCATCGTGAAAGCTATGCACTACCCAAAGAACTTTAAATTTACGTCAGAGACTGTTACGATGATTTGAATACGAAATAATTCGTTTTTTTTTTTTTCGTTCACTGCGGATGAAATATTACGTGAATGATTAGCAACTACTTTTACTGCTAAATGGGATTTTATAAAGGAAAGTAAAATTAGTTATTTTTTTTTATTACGACGAGCTTTCCAGTTGAAAGATTCCGATAATTTACATTGTGCTTATAACAAGTAGAGAATTGAAAAGTGTTGCATTAGCTCTAAGAACAGAGATTTTATTGAATAAATTATCAAGTATGGAATACGTCCGTTTGTAAACGGCTTACTAAGTATATTTATGGGAAGACAGTTTTGGTTAATTTATGTATGAAAGTGGCATGATTATCGCTTATATGTCGGATTTAATTATGCTAAATAAATATTTTTTTTGCTGCAAGCATCCATATCGAAGAAAATAACAGATGTACTTTACAAGAAGTGATTTTGTTATGGAATTTTACGCAAAGTCAACCAAGCGAACTACTCTTATGTACACATTAAAAACCACTTTAAATTTCATATAATGTAGCAAGTCTTTCGTGAAATTTTTTTTGAGCAAATGAATAAATTTAGTAGACAACGAATAAAGTAGGCAAACAAAAATGTAATTAATTGATAATCCATGTTTTTTCGATGATACTTTTGCCAATTAGTCAAGCATAATCAAACTTTCGTGGAACTATTACGTACGAAAATTCTACTGAGTTCTTGAAAAAATATGAATTTTGCCGAAACGCTTGGTCGAATCAGCGTGAAATACGGCTACATAACGAACTCTCCTGTCGATCAACTTTCTCGTGCTTAAGAACTTATTTTAATGTTTCGGTCTCGACTGAAAAAAGCTCATTACAGTAGAATTTAATTTATTCTTTATTTTATCATTTGCATTCGTCAATACTGATTTTACTTTTGCGAAAAAAGCGAAAAAAAGACAACAACAAAAAACAAAAAAAAAAGTCGCATTGCAAAAGAATACAGTTTATAACGTAATTGCCTTCGTTCTGATTGAAGCGGCACGAAAGAGATTCCGCAGGCCAACGACAGCGAGGCCATCGGTATCAAGTAGCAGCGATCAGGAGGTATCGGCAAGCGTTAATAGATTTAAAGTGACGCGCAATCGAATCAGCAACAAGAACAGCAAGAACGAGTTGCAGCCTGGCAAATCAACCGATGACTACAAGGTGAGTTTTGATAAAAAAAAAATAAATAACCATCGCGATGCTTCTCTTTGCCTCTTCGTTTTTACGCTCCTTCGTTTCTTTTCGTCGCGCAAAAATCAGCGCGGTTTTAGCTTTCTCGCCGAGGTGAAAGCTTCTCGCAAACAGGAACGCGAGCCGAGAGCCTGCCATGCGGATTATGATATTTTTAGACGTATTATACACTCGAGATTATTGGATTCTGAATTTGAGATTTTGCGTTCGCACGCGCTACTTTTCGTCCATTTACTCCCACGGTGACATCTCGATGAATTTTTTTTTTTTGGAATCCTAAATAATGCATATGAATATATATGTATAATGCTTTCACCGATTTCGAAATTATTAAGGTTGAGTAATTCGATTCAAAATTTTTGATTAACGACGCGTTCGTATTTACATGGCAATACGTTCGCTTCTTATAGAGTAGTAAATAACGTTATTTACATACGTAATGTCATAGCAGATCTACAAATTTTACACAAAATTCCAAATAAAGTATAACGCGATAATATATCAGCTACTTGATCAATTGCATCGTATCGAAAGCTATGAATAAAATAGAAATCAAAACATCAACCTTTAGCATAGTAACGTGTACGGCAGCAAAAGAAAAGCGAAAAAAAAATACATTGCCGTACATAGCCGCGTCTATACTTTATTTATGACGTATTCGCGCTAAAAGTGCAGTCCAGCAAACCCGGCTGTGCTTTCACTTCGCGCAGACCGCAGCAGCAGTCCGCGCGTAGTTCTCGTATATTATTCAATTTATAGTATACGCCACGCGATGCCTAAATATGGGTCTTTTTTGCCGTGCGCTCGCTGCCCGTCTATTTTGCAGTAGCACGCGAAATTGCGCTCGCCTTCCAGGCATCTCGTTGTCCACTCGTGCGGTGAGCAGGATCGAACTCGGAAAGCGACGGTGGTATACGGCAAGGAAAGATCGCTCGGTCGCAATTAATTTCTCGGCGCGAGCGGCGTCGCTTGCCACAAATCGTCACGGAACAGCTTGTCCAATTGTACGTGTGCGCTGACTAACGAGTTCTTCCGCTTCCTCTCTCCGTCTGCCTCTCGCGGCGTACGGTGTTGTGCCACAGGTCGTGTGCTACTACACCAACTGGTCACAGTATCGCACGAAGATAGGCAAGTTCCAGCCGGAAGACATACAGCCGGATTTGTGCACCCACATTATCTTCGCCTTCGGTTGGCTCAAAAAGAACAAACTGACGAGCTTCGAATCCAATGACGAGACCAAGGACGGGAAGATCGGCCTTTACGAGAGGATCGTTGGACTGAAAAAGGCCAATCCTTCGCTCAAAGTTCTTCTTGCTATCGGTAACAAGACGAGTTTTTCTTTGTTGCAAATGCCGATTGCTTTCTTCTTCTTACCATCAAGCTTGCAATGCTTTTATTGCCGTTCTTAATTGACGGCCACTGTAGATTTTTTTTCTTTATTTGTATACAATATATACTTTCGTTTTCGCGTAAAATGGACGTGTACGGTTTTGGATTTATTGCCGCTGATTTGCAGCGTTTAGCGCAGCCAAGAAAAAAAAAATCTCACGAAAAAAGTGCGTCGCGAGAGAGACAGCGCGCTGCTGCTCTTTTATGAATTGTCGTTGCAATAAAAGTAAATGGCCCATGAAATTAAACGTTACATAATCTAATTCTTCCGTAAAAAAATATACTCACCTAAGTGCGAGTAGCGTGAAACAGAGAGAGAGAGAAAGAGAGAGAGAGATTGCCAAATCGTAATTAAATTCCATTCAAATTTCCCCTTGTACATTTCAAAATTGAAGATAAAATCCGCGTAACTGCTGTAAATTTTGCATAAGAAGTAAGCAATAACAATCTGATGGCTTATTAAGAAGAAAGCTATTATAGCTTTGCGGAATTTTCGCAGCCAGTGAAACGAATCTCACTTTTCCGAAACGTCGATTACAGGTGGCTGGTCGTTCGGCACGCAAAAGTTTAAGGAAGTGTCGGCGACTAGATATGCCCGACAGACCTTCATCTATAGTGCCATACCGTACTTGCGCGAGCGCGGTTTCGATGGCTTGGACATGGATTGGGAATACCCCAAGGGCGGCGACGACAAGAAGAACTTTGTCCTGCTGCTGAAAGGTACGGCGAAGGCGAAAGGAAGATAACAGCGAGGAGCGCGGCTTTTCCGGGAAAGCTGAGAAATGGCCGGTCGCCAACTACCGCGGAGTGAGTAATCGTTTTGTTGTGTTTTGCAGAACTGCGCGAAGCATTCGAGGCCGAGGCTCAGGAGCGCAAAAAGCCGAGACTGTTGCTGACCGCCGCCGTGCCGGTGGGACCGGACAACGTCAAGAGTGGATACGACGTGCCGGCCGTTGCCAGGTAAAAGTCCCAATGGCTCTAAGCTCGCTAGGGCGTCGTTGTTGAGTAACAACCAATGATATACCTTAATGTCCAGCGGAACTCGATTGACAATTGCCGGCCGTTTGTTCACCGGAGCTTGCTATACGAAGAAACGGGCGCTCGTTAGATAATGCACGTTAGACTACGCGCGTTTCGTGGAATGTTCGCTCGGCGACTTACAAACGCTCGATCGACTTTTCCCGCGAATAACTTTATAACTTTCCATCCGACTTTCCCGTAAATCGATCAAAAGCACAATTGCCTATCGCCACGATGAATCGCCATTACACGATCGCTCGTGAAAATGATGCAGTTACCTGGACTTCATCAACCTGATGGCATACGATTTCCACGGCAAATGGGAGCGCGAAACAGGACACAATGCACCCTTGTACGCGTCGTCGCTCGACAGCGAATGGCAAAAGCAATTGAGCGTCGACTATGCCGCTGCGCTATGGGTACGACTCGGTGCGCCCAAGGAGAAACTCATCATCGGCATGCCAACTTACGGGCGATCCTTCACTCTGTCCAATCCAAATGCCTTCAAGGTTCATTCGCCGGCGTCTGGTGGTGGTAAAGCCGGAGAATATACCAAGGAGTCGGGATTTCTAGCTTATTACGAGGTTAGTCTATCAACTTTCACAGCTCTCCCTGTCCCCTTCGAGTGATCTCACTAAAAAATTCGACCCACACAATTTTATATGGTACGTCGCGATAATGACTGCACTTTCATTCGAGCATAATATCCCGTGTCGGAAACTAACGATGCTCTCCATAGATAACCGTTTGATTAAACATGTCGCTCAGACAGGAAAGAAAACAAATCTATCCGCGGCTCTCGTACGTCGCGGGCTCTCCGTGAAAATCAATTTCCTATTTGTCGCTTTGATGAGTTGGTAAGCGAGGAAAATCCGTAGCAAATGAAGTAGATTGATACGCTAGTCTCTTTTATATGGATTATTTTTTAATTTGAAAACTTTCTCCGCAGCCCAAACGGGTCCTGTGCACGCGCGTTCATTGACTTGCACGAGACGTTGACCGTACAATTCGAATCTCGAGCACAGTGTAGTTTAAACCCAACATTTTTTTCTCTCCGCCGTTCATCGATATTTCAAGGCGAAGTGACATATTCAATGAGCACCGACATTATCTTCAAACATGTTCTCTTGCTACGCAAGCAACGCCGACAAAAAAACTGTATTTTCCCTTTCAATTTTTCGCTAGATCTGCGAGATGCTACTGAACGGTGCCGCCTACATCTGGGACGACGAGATGAAAGTGCCGTACCTCGTGCATCACGACCAGTGGGTCGGCTTTGACGACGAGAGATCCATCAGAAACAAGATGCGATGGCTCAAGGATAAAGGATACGGAGGTACATAATACACGCTTCAGTCTCGCGTACTCCTACACACTCAGCGTTCTTGCGAAATTTTTCGCCACTACTAGACTATTCTCTGATTTTTTTTTCTCCATTTCCATGCACGAAGCGAGACCGTGTGGATAGTGCTCGCAAAGTTCCGTAATAGCTTACCTCGTTTTCGTAATAACTGTGTTTTCTAACTCAGCGCGCTAGCAGCGCGTTTCCGTAGAAGAGTGCATACTTTTGTTCTTTTGCTTCGCACTCTGAAGATATTTGGCTCGTTCGCCGCGTAGCCTCCACTTAGAGACGCGTATGATTTGAGCGTGACGACGAGTCGAAAAACAGTAACGATGTTGCGAAAATTAATTAGAAATCGTATAATAGGTGCCATGGTATGGACCGTCGACATGGACGACTTCAACGGCACGACCTGCGGCAGTGGAGTTAAGTATCCGTTGATCGGTGCGATTCGCGAGGAACTGCGTGGAATTTCGCGTGGCAGTAATGCCAAAGACGTTGATTGGAGTGCCGTAGCCACAACTATCACCGAGGTAGTGGTCAAGAAGCCCGAAGCCTACAAAATTTCCGTTTCCGAGGTTTTGAGCAAAGCTAAGAAGGTCAGCAAGCCAACTCAGCTGGTCATCAGTTCGCCCAATACCAAACGTGAGTTTTATTTGACGATCATATCAGATTTGAATGAAGGCGCCAAGTAAATCGTAGCGTCCGAGAGTTGCAACAACGCGATGTAAAAAGTATTCTCTATCACGAAAACCAACTGCTCGACGCTTTCAGAACGAGACGCTCAAACGATATGCTACCTGACCAACTGGTCGCACAAGCGGCCGAGCACCGGCAAATTCATGCCGGAAGACATCGACACGAGTCTGTGCACCCACGTGATTTACGCGTTCGCCACGCTTAAAAATCATTTGTTATCCGAGAGCAACGACAAGGACGCCGAAATGTACGAGAGATTGATCGCCCTCCGCGAGAAGAACCCTGACATCAAGGTGCGACTTGGGCTGTACAAAAGCGATCGATGATCTCGCGTATGATAAATCGATCGATAGCGAACGCGCGCATAAACGGTGGCTTTGCGATAAACGCTGTTCTTTCTTATCTAGATTCTATTGGCAATTGGTGGCTGGGCATTTGGCTCGACGCCATTCAAGGAACTGACGAGCAATACCTTCCGCATGAACCAATTCGTTTACGAGGCTATCGACTTCCTTCGTGAATACAAATTCGACGGACTCGACGTCGACTGGGAGTATCCACGGTAAGCTTTTGCTCTACGTCTGCTCTCCAAATTAACTGTTCACCGAGCTCGATAACGCGATATACTTTGCCCAATGAATACCCAATGATTTCGCTGTTGTTTTCTTTCTTAATCGTCGCAGAGGCGCCGACGATCGTGCGGCTTACGTGAATCTGTTGAAGGAACTTCGAGTAGCTTTCGAAGGCGAGGCCAAAAGTGCCGGTCAGCCGAAATTGCTTCTCTCGGCTGCTGTACCTGCCAGCTTCGAAGCTATCGCTGCCGGGTAAGTGTGCATATGAACTTGCCAACTAACCACGTATCGTCGTTTCATTTCTGTGATCGACGGGCATTTTCACTTGTCATGTGCATTAATTCCACGCGATTTATTTCTCAGGTACGACGTGCCCGAGATTTCTAAATACTTGGACTTTATAAATGTCATGACTTACGACTTTCACGGACAATGGGAGAGACAGGTTGGACACAATAGTCCTCTGTTTCCCCTAGAAAGTGCTACCAGCTATCAGAAGAAACTCACGGTGGTAAGTGCTTTTCTCCGCTTAAACGCTCAATAAATATGAAAATCAACAAAAACGCGTTTGAGATCTATGTCTCGTCGATAGTGGCTTATTTTTTTCTCCGTCGATCAAATTGTCATTCGTGTGGTTTTTGATTTCGAATGAATTAAAATGTACTACGCTCTCTATAAACCACAGAGAAATGAGAAAAAAACTACTTTGTACGCTGGATCATGATTTTGCCATTCTATCGACATAATATAACTATTTTCGATCAAATTAATAGCAACTGATATCTACATTGAACTGTTTCGAAAGAGAGTGAATATTGAGTCACATCAATAAAACTAATATATGTCCATTCACAGGACTTTAGCGCGCGCGAATGGGTAAAACAAGGAGCACCAAAGGAGAAGCTAATGATCGGAATGCCAACGTACGGCAGATCTTTCAGTCTTGTTGACAAGACGAAATTCGACATTGGAGCTCCGGCTTCTGGAGGCGGCGCTGCTGGTAATTACACAAACGAGCCCGGCTTCCTCTCTTACTACGAGGTAATTAACCGACATCATGAATACTGAGTGCAGTGGATTTCATTTGTGAGCTGTTTGAAAAAGATGTTAATTGTGCTTGCTATAGGTCTGTTCATTCTTGAACGAAGATAACACGACGTTGGTTTGGGACAGCGAGCAACAAGTACCATTTGCTTACAGGGACGACCAGTGGGTCGGTTTCGACGACGAGAGAAGTTTGATCAATAAGGTAATTTAAATATTACGAAACATCTTTTTCGCAATAATTGCTTTCTTTCGTAAACGTATGCAATAAAAATGTGGCTTCTTGGCGTAGATGAACTGGCTGAAGGAAGAAGGTTTTGGTGGAATAATGATATGGTCAGTCGACATGGATGACTTCCGAGGATCATGTGGTAATGGAAAATTCCCTCTGATCAGGGCAATGAAAAAAGAACTTGAAAACTACGCAGTGAAGCTCGAGTACGATGGACCGTACGAGAGTAATGTGAGAGGCGGAAAGTATACCACCAAAGATCGTAAGTTTATTTACAATCTCAATATTCATAATATTTTTTGGCAAAGAATTTTGAGGGGAAGAGAGAGAAAAACTTTCACATTATACAAAATGTTTCTTTTATTCGTGTCCGCTTAATTCGTAAATATCCACAACATACAGTTTATAACTTTATAGTTTACATAGATTCTTAAAAAATTATTAACAATATTCTTCATCGTTTACGTTTAAGAGAACTAATTGATAACCACTACTATACTGAGCAAAGCAAACTTTGCGTCGACAAAAAGTGATCGAATTATTACTATATTTTTCGAATTAATCGCACAACATAATCACTAAAAAAAGGAATAAACAGACATATGTGTGGAAGAATTCATACAAACTACTTGTACATACATGACAAGATTTCTATGCTTGTTAAAGCTTTGTTTGATTAAAATTTTGAAATACTTATTAGATTTAATTTATAGTGCTGTCGCATCGAAAAAGTATTTATTCTAAATTTAAATATGTTTACTAAAGCAATATTGAATCGACTTTCGAAATTCATAGGATTCCAACTTAATTCTACAACAACATAGATATGTATTTTATTACGCGCGAATTCCAAACGTCGTTTAACGAATCTTACTGAAATATTACAGCAAACGAAGTAACCTGCGACGAAGAAGACAATCACATCTCCTACCACCCAGACAAGAACGATTGCACGATGTATTACATGTGCGAGGGTGAACGCAAACATCATATGCCTTGTCCTGTGAATCTCGTTTTCAATCCCAACGAGAATGTCTGCGATTGGCCAGAAAATGTCGAAGGCTGCCTTCAACATACGCAAGCACCGCCCGTCTGATTGTCGTGAATCGAATTACGGACACTCATACACGCACACGCAAACACATTCACCGAGGCTCTTGTTGCCTTTTTTATCTTTGTGCGCCTGAATTCTGTGAGCAAGAAAAAACCACTGACAATCTTTCGCACGGAGATTGCACGGAGTTTTTTTTAAATGTATTTATTTGAACGGAGGGGGAGACACTTTATAGGATAGGACATATGGAATTGTAAAGGTGTATTCTCGAAAGTGCAATTGAACACGGCGCTTTTTTTATTCTTTCTTTATCTTCATTTTCGAGATCGAAAGCTCCGAGACGATCGAACGCTGGATTTATGTGAATATAATGTTGCGCGCGGACAATTGCAAATCATTTATGTTTCGTCATCAAAATCGAAGTTTGGTGCTGATGTATCATGATAGTATGAACTATCCAGTGCCGTACAAAATCGAAACGCTTTTTTACAGACGCCTTTCTAAATAGGAAAATAAAAGAAAAATCAAATGATAATTATGCATCGTTTGGGAGCCTTCGTCTGGACGATCAACAAGCGCACGCGCGATCATTGTTCGTTCAGCGTAAGATCCATCTCCGAAACGAGCTACCGAGCAATAAGAACAAGCGCAACAACAGCCAATACTAGCAATCCCATGCGACTGTGCTCGGTAGCGACGCTCAATGCCGACGCTTGGCAAGCAGTGCTCGGCGCTCCGAGATTCAGCAGTGCCCGATCTGCCGGGTAAAGTTGAGTGGTTTCCGTGCAAACCGCTCGACCTGCATAAGTTCGCAGTTGACGAGCGTCCGATTGCGAGGCTGTGTGAATCTGCCGTGATTCGCGTAACCATCTCCGTAGCCACAACGATAGCCATGCTATTTCGCAGTCGCATTCCAGTGGGTTGCCCGATAACTGTAGACCACCTGAAACATGTATTTGCACGGTCAATGATCGCTTCGTGAACGAATTCTGTTTTCTTCAATTTTTCGACAATGTCGCGTGATTTTATATATCCATTATTTGGCTTTTTTTGCCTAAAATACGCAATTGACTTTAAACAGTACAAGCGAAAAATTTTGAAATTGTTGCGATTACAATATAAAACTTATACTTTACGCTGCTGTATAGATTGTTTTATGTAAGAATTTTTAGAGTGAACAAAAAAATAAGAGGATTACGATTTTATTCTTTACGTGTTTTAATTCGTTAAGTTTCTTGTAAGCGAACCTGCGAAATATAGAACAAGAAGCAGATCAGTTATATCTGATATCATTCGGTCGTAAGATAGAATTTGTAGCAAACTGATGAAATAAGAGTATTCTTTTCATTATACGTAGAACATAAGATTAAACTTATCATTGAAGAGAAGGACTAGAGTGCTTCTTGTTGTACTATTTAAACGAAAACACGCGTTACCTGTATGATAGTTAATTAGCACTGTAAAATATATTAAGGGCGGATTGACGACGTAGACGGAAAAAGTTATACATTAAATACTCGAAAAAATAAACAAAAACAACGATATTTTTATTAATTTTTTGTAGAAAAATCAAGAAAAAAGGCTTTGTATAAGGATGAAATATGAAACGTCTTAGAATAAATGGTGTATAAATTATTTGTTCGTTCACTTTTATTTTGGAAAATAAATTCTGACCTGAAACCATGTTAGTGCCGACAGTTTCCCACGAGAGATTACCATAAATAACCGACGGACTCAGCTCGTTGATATGATTGTTTCTGAGATCCAAAGTCAGTTGCGTCATGTGTTTGGTCAACGACGAGAAAATGTCGGACTGGAATCGTTCAACCTGCGTATCTTTAATCCTAAGAGTGAGCTCGGGACCTTCAATAGTCTTGAATGCATCCGCAGCGATGAAATGTAAATGTTGCCCAGTAATAGTCAACTCGCGCAACTGCTTTGTGAAAGCGTTGTGCAGTTGATCGGTGAGACGCGGTTCGATGACCTCGATCTCGACAACTCGCAGAGGCAGATTACTCAAAAAATTGCGAAGTCGAAAATTGGATGCTTCGGGCCACGTCTGCGTGCTGAGATACTTCAGGTGACTTAAGGACTTGAGACAGTCTCGGTCGACCGTGAGCGTGCGATTGAGATTGCGAATATTGAGCTTTTCCAAGCGCGGGAACCCAGCGAGAGTGTTTCTCGTTAACTCCTACAACAGATAGCAAATTTTCAATCGTTAGTTTTATTGATCGAAACTTTCGCAAATGAAAAGTTCAATTTCACCTTGATAGGATTGCCCGAAATATCCAGTTCTCTCAGCAAATTCAATCGCAAACCATCGAATGTGCTCAGCGTATTGTTGGTCAACAGTAACACTTTCAACGTACCGAAGTTCTGCAATTCGTTTTCACGTATATTGTCGACATTATTGAACGATAGATCCAAATAGTTGAGCGACATTAGCAGAAAGTGTGGAAGATTTTTCAATCCACAACTCGCCATACTCAGCCACCGTAGATCAGGCAAGTAGTGAAAAACTTCTTTGAAATTCGCTCTCAGATGATTTTCAGATATATTCAACGTTAACAGTTTGGCTAAGGAGACGAAGGAATTGTCTGGCAGAATCTGAACGCGATTATGAGCGAGATTCAACGACGTTAATTGTGAGGTAGGGAAGGACGTAGCGTCGAGGTGATCGATGAAGTTTTCCGATAAATCGATGCTCCTAAATGTGTATCATAATTCGATATCAAAATAATAATGACGTTGAAAATATACATACCTGAGTGTGTAGCCAACGTCGAGGAAAGGCGCCGAAGGTACGACGGTGAACTTGTTGCGACTCAAGTCGAGAATCTCAAGACGAGTGCCGGTAAACACATCGCGCGTCAAGGAACGCAGCCTGTTGTGCGACAAATTTAACGCTCGCAAGTTTCGCAAGTTTCGAAACTGCTCGTTTGTCAATTGTGCGAGCATGTTACCCGAGAGATCGAGTTGTTGCAGTGACGTTAATCCATTGAAGCTCTGTTTGCGCAACGACTCGATTTTGTTGTCCCGTAGAATCAAAGTGTTTAGATCGGCCAATGCAAATGTGCCTTTTGATCGATAGAATAGATTTAGTTTTCTTTGACAAAGCTAATTTGTTTAAGAGTTTACCTGGCTCGATAGCGGTCATATGATTACTTTCCAAATTAATTGTCTTTAAGTGTGGAGTATTGACAAACACATCCACGGATAAATAACTGATGTTGTTGAAGCTCAAATCGAGCCGCGTGATATTTATAATCGATATGCTTGAGTTCAAGGAGGATATCGAGTTGTAGGATACGTTCAGTAAAAACTCAGGTCCACCGCTGAAAACCAACGCGAATTTAATAAATTTCATCGTGCTACATTCAAATTGTTATTCAAGTTTTAAGATATCTCACCTGGTAGCGAAAGCCTCGAAATTCAAAGAAGTGAGCTTGTTAAACTCTAAATGCAAGAATCTCAACTCTTCCAAGCCGTTTAATGCATCCTTATCGATCGTCGAAATCCTGTTGTTCACCAACGAGACAGTGACAAGTTTCGGGCAATCCTTAATCGAGTCAGCGGCTAGAGCTCGAATTCTATTGCCCGTCAAATCGAGCGCTCTTAATTCGGTCAAGTTGTGAAAAGTACTTTCCGGCAGAACTTCCAAAAAATTATAACCCAGCTTCAAGTCTCGCAGCTCGGAGTGCACATCACCGAGGAAGAGTCGTTCGGGTAAGTCGTGAAGTCGGTTGGACTCGAGATTCAGATAGCGAAGTTGTTGAAACGAGTAGAACGTTGTCGGCTCGAGAGTATGGAAGTTATTGTTGTCGAGTACCAGCCAATGTAGATTTGATAGTGGACGAAGTGCTCGTTGAGGAAAGTGATCGGTCGAGAAAGCAAAACTCAACTCTAAGATTTCTAGACTATCTTCAAGACCTACAAATGCTTCGTCAGCTATGTCTGATAGATGGTTGAACGAGAGGCTCAATTCTGTTAGCTTCTTTGCGCCTTCAATGAAGAAGAAAAAATGCATAGTACGATTAAAATTAATTGACATGTAGATATTAACATACTCAGTACATCCGGTACCTCGAAAAGTATAAGGCATCAGTTGCGTCAATACGTTGTTTCTCAAAAGCAGTATCTCGAGATTCTCCGCCCAGTCGAAATCTTCCGGCTGGACCCTGTGGATCTTGTTGTAGCCGATATTCAGATGAAGCAAATTGACGTAAGCGGCAAGAGTGTCAGCAGGTACTGTCTCGAGGCCATTCGTGGCTAGTGATAATACTTTGAGTTCTCCTTCGATAGCGGCAAAACTCTCGTTACGAAGTTCACGTATTGCATTGTTCGCCAGATACAAGTAAGACATTCGACGCAGTGAGCTGACAGCTGACGGCAATCTTCTTATTTCGTTGTTCTCGAGCTCGAGATATTCCAAGCTATCCTCGAGTCCGGCAAATGCTGCGTGGTGAATTTGTCGAATGCCATTCGACGAGAGTCGAATACGTCGGATGGACATTCGAGCGAACATGTTCTTGGAAAGCTCGGTTAGGCGATTACCTACGTTGCCCAAACAGCGCTTATCATCATTCGGCAATATTAAAAAATAAATTGGACGACGAGGACCAACCTGAGAGATTGAGGTCTAAAATTCGAAGAGTCTTGTTGTCAGGCCCAGTGTAAACAACGCTCTCGATCACATTCTCACTCAAGTCCAGCATCTCCAGACCGTCGCTCTTGAAGTCTGGCAACTCCAAGTGCCTAATGTTATTACCCTTCAGATAGAGCCACGTCAATCCATGGCAATTAGCCAAACTCTCGGGAAAGCGTTTGAGCAAGTTCCCATTCAAACTGAGCGTGACGATGTTTGGCGGCATTGCGTTCTCGTAAAGCTCCTCGATATTGTTACTGTCGAGATTGAGCCAGTTCAGACTGCCGAAAGTTGAAAAACTCTTGGGGATATCAGTGATGGAATTGTCGCCGAAGAAGCCGTTGGTGAGCGTGTCGCTTACCAGACCCCAGTCGCCTTGCAGCGTCGTCAGATGATTGCTGCGTGCATATACAGATGAGATAAGCGAGCACATGGGCAATTGTCACTTGTCAGCGAATACAACACCAACAAATAGCGATAGCGCGATGATTCTTTTTATTATAGTCGTTTAAGCATTTCGGGTAATAGCCGGGAGAAAGGAATTATTTTATTGTCAAAGCGATAAAGCGACCGGTAATAACTTGAGAGAGCAAGTGATTTTGACAATTTACCCACGTATTAGAACAGAAAAGATCGTCGTGCGTGTTGAAATACGAAAAGAATATGGTAAACTGATTCTGTCGTAATTTTGGCATATCGACGCGTCGAGAGGTGAAAATGAGCGGTGTAAGCAAGCGAGCAGGTGATGCATTCGCATGTGATATACGATATACATGATCGATTATGCGTATCGAATGACGCACGACAGCTTCGTTCGAAGACAACGCTGACTCTTCTACTTGAAATCCACTAAATCATTTCGATCGACGTGTCTTTCGAAAGCGATTTGTAGCTTGAATGATAGACAAACTCGATTCTACCTGTGCATGTTGAGCCAATTAAGCCGATGTAGTCCTTGTAATGCCGCTAGTGGTATCTCTTCCAGCGAATTATAACTCAGATCCAGAGAGCGTAGAGTGTCGCTGACTCCCCTTAATCAAGGAGAAAAGAGAAGCAATTGTTAACTCACCGACAGCAATCAATTATCATTTATACACACGAATACTCTCAAAGAAGATACCACCAAGAGAATAATAACAATGAGTGTCGCTCGTCGGACCTCGATTTCATGAAAATAACTTATTCAACCTCTTTGTTTTTCAATTAAAAGCACAGCTAAGGAGCTAATCATATAGGATAACGCAAGAACGTATAAAAAAACACTACTTTCACTTTAAGTTTGTGAATGACTTACAGAAGCGATTTGTCACCGACGCTCATAAGCTGATTGCTAGCAAGCCCAAGTGCCTCCACTCCAGAAGTACTTGCCAGAGCTTCATTGTCAAATACCTGTAGCCCCGAGCCTATCACATCTAACTGTGCCACATAACTTATGGATACGTCTGCAGTGAACGGGCAAACGTTGAATACCAAATCAACAAGAAAAGCGGTATGTCTTCCATACCTGGAAATCTCGCGAAGGGTACACCGGTGCAGCCGACGTCCATCTTCGTGTAATCCTGATCGTCCTGCAGCCAACAGATGCACATCGCGTTGAAATTGCATGGCACGTCATTGCACCGTGTGCTTGTCGTCAGCTGAAGCAATATCAGCAGCAAACACTCGACCAGCCGCCGCATCTGCAAGCACGTACGTTACTTCATTCATTCACGCGGCCTCGATTCTAAACATCTGTTGACTTCCTCGTTTTAACGAAAGACTTTCGACATTTTTATACAATTATATCCGTTCAAATGATTTGTATTTGTTATTTATCCACAGCTAAATTAAATATTGCATTGATTATTCCATCGAATGAAATAATGAAATAATGATTCCATTTATTTCCGGTGTTTACAGAGGTTATTTCAACTACCTACACCATCGATCCTGCAGTTGCAATTAATTTTCATGATCTTACCAATGTGATAATTTTCATGGATAAGCCGTGATCTGATCCGTGCAGGATTATCTTGAATACGAGTCTAGTACTACATCACTATACAGCAACTCATTCACAAGCTAAAAAAATCGATGCGCGTGCGCTTATCAACGAAGCGCACCTGCAGCATCACTTGCAAGCTCGTGTTCGAAGCTTACTTACAACAACAATAATAGCTCATTTCACGCTATGCTCTAATCCTCCACGAGGTATTCACCAAAAAAAATTGTCCAACACTGCGTAAAAATATTTGTCGTGGGTGTTTCTACAAGCTCGCAAGCCTTCCCGTACAAACCTTGCCTGGCGACGTTCTCCTATACTACTTGTGAATGTTCAAGCGTTATTTACGACGTTCTCGACAAAGGTATGCAACGTCTTCGGCGAGACCATATTGTTAAGATGTCACTGAAGAGGACGATGAACCGCGTACTGCCGGCCGCTGGGTAAAAAGTGAGGGAGTAAGAGGAAAACACGGATCGAAGGGGCGCATGCACCTCGCGCACGCGCTCTGACTGGGATCGAATTTTCTGACGGTGGTCGGGCTTGGCTTTCTTTATTTGGGACTCGATAATTTCGGGGGAGGGAGAAAGAGGTGTTTTACCTTTGGGGAGGCTGCATTGATTTCTTCTCTTCAATCTCACGACTTGCTTTCTTTAGATGAATTTTTCGAGGAACTATAGATTATTAAGTAATGAACGACAATTGAAATTGAAAATGTAATAGCAACTTTCTTATCGTAAAATAATCATATATTATAATGACCGCAAGAAAAAATAATCTGAAAAATATTAGTAGCGCAGTTAAAATATTTTTAAGCTTTTTTTAGCTGAATACGAAAAAGTTGTTTTTTCAGATAAATAATTGAAAAAAACAGAGTTGAACATTAATTAAAATATGTTTTAGATTGCAAACCACATCTTTCTACAACTACATTGTCTTATAAGGTTCATTTATTCCTCTAGATTTTGCATCTTTTCCGCAGAAACAAGTGTTATATTTTAAATAAAACTATTGATCTGGTTTATAGTTTTCCAAATCGATTAATACAGTTTGAATAATATCCAATAAGTTTTGGTAGTAATTTTTTTGATCCTACAAATAAGACTGATACTATTCTAACGGTTTGTAAGGTGAATCCAGTAATTTCTTTCTGAAATTAGATAGTCGAGAAAAAATGTAAGATGTAAACTTATGCTGTAGTGACCAAAAGTTAAACAGACTCATGAAAAAAAAATGTTCAATCGGATAATGTTTTAACTAATTATACTTAATTAAGTAATACTTATACACTATATAAACTAATAATGTAATCATTAAAAATTTGAAAATTTTACCCTCCTCCTAATAAATTAAATTTATAATAATATTTTCTTTTTAGTTTTTAAGCTTCTTATTTACTAATTACGTTTTTACCAACTATTTTTTCATATCTATTAGTATTATGAAAATAAAAACATCAATAGAAAGGAACTATGTAGAAGAACCGAAAATATTTTAACTTTTAATTGTTTTTATAATATATATATGAAAAATATTTAGAAAATTTACGACGTTGAAAATTTATAAATCTTGTGCTGACTTGGGTCAACAAAAAATATATAACGTTCTTTTCAATGTTGAGACGTTTTTGCAAGCCTATAATCTAAAATGTGAATCAGAACATCTAAGAAAAAGTGAATCACTTGATTATCCAAGGACAATTCACCTATTACTCAAATAAATTGTAGCAAGGCGTTCGCTTTCTCGGAAAGCTTCAGCAGCACAAAATGCAAAGTCGATCAGTACCTATTTTTACTCCTCAAAATAACTAAACAATAATATAGTTTATCGTATTCCCGATCCTTCATTTAATTTTATCATTAAAAAAAGATTCAAATAATTATTTTCCTTTTAATTAGCGTCAATCACCAAAATTCAACAATACCGCTGGTACTATCATTATATTTCTATAGATAACTTTATTTTATGATGTCAATATATCGAAATGAGACAAAGTTGAAAGGAAATTTACGACAACAAAAAAAGCAACATTCAGCTACTTATTGCATTAAAATGTTTCAATGGCTTATACGTCCTCCACGCATATGAGAAGTCGCGCCTCCGGCGGCTATGATTCGCGAAGTTACCGGCTCCCCGGGGGATATTATCGGTTCACGGGCGTCCTATGCGATTAATCGTGAGCTACTCTACGCACGCCACTTTCTATCATTGGAATTGTACTCACTACGAAACGAAGCAATTAGATCGCAGAATAAAGTATAAAATTAACCATGGATCAATTATCCTTTATAGGATATTCGTATATACTTTGCCATATGAGATTAAATGCCATGTACATGGAATTGAAACTTTGAAATTCCTAAGTATAATTGCAATATTTATGATTGTGCACATAAGACGAATGCAAGAGCCAGGCTGATACCTCACTAGTGTTGTAGCTACTAAATATTTAGTGTATATCAGTGAGCTAAACACACATGACTCAATGTAAACGATCGATACACAACTAATCAGTATTAGCGATCAGCGATCGGCACAACGCCCGTTGATCATCGAGGCCACGACGACAAGTAACAAGTCCACGTCTACGAGTCAGCTCAAAGTCAATGGACCAGTCACTATGAATGCAGGTTGCTCAACGCTGTGCTCGACCTTGAGTTGACGTAACCCCCAAGCAGTCAAGGCTCATCGTTCTCACGCCTCCAACATTCAGGATCCGGAAGACATTACATCCGCTCTCTACTGATCGATATCAATGTAGACCTGAATGCGAGCAAGGTCCAGTGAAAGAATCCATGCACAATGTCTTCAATGCGTCATGGCGAAATTCGCCAAAATCCTATAATCCCTGTATGGATGTGCTTGCGCGATACTTGCCTCGTTAACGGCTGACCGATGGTATTTTTTAGTGTGAAATTCCGCCACAATAAGATAGCTTGATTGATATATGACCAAAATCGGTTTCATTCTCTATTTAAATCGGATTTTAATAGTCGGCATTTTGGCGATTTTCAGGCTAAGAATCTTTTTCTCTAGGCTTTAAAAATATTTTATAGTTTCTGTATAGCAATTTTCATAACATTCTGTATAAATAAAAATGGTTCTTCTACAAAAGCACCAGTTATTCTTAACAATAAATACACATTGCGACTATAAATTCTCCTTAAACAATTACTTTCTCATTTCATCCAGACATATCAGTCGGCTAAAGATCTGTGATCGATTGTAACCTTTTTTTTTGATACTGAAAAGACTAAACGGAAACTAATTTATCATCCATAAAATCACGTAGCCGCAGAAAAGGAAGAAGGAAAAGAGATCTATCGCTGAGCGCTGCGAGCACGAAAAAGTGAAAGGACACTTATGTATATCCCCACGCGTCGGATCGCCAATGGACTTCCTCGCGCGCAGCGATAACTACTCGAACGTCAAATGCGATCGTGTCCCGTTGGCGAACACGCATTGCTCCAGCGCTAATTATAGAGTTAGGTTCGATCGTCAATCAATCTCCGAGTCTGAAAAGGATTCAATTATTTAATAGCAGTGGCTGAATAGTTCAAGATAATTATTTAATCGTTGGGTGCCGCTGCAACTTCGCCGTGAGGCTTTCAAATGCTCACTAAACTAAAATGACATTAGTCAAAAGTGGTCGGATTTAAATGTGCATCGGAGTGTAATCCACTGCTCGGGTAAAAATGGAAGAGGAAGAGTCACCTCGGACGGCTGAGCAGCCTCGTCGAGGCTCCAGCAACAGCGAGAAGATGAGCGTGATGGAACGCGAGAGTCGCATGGAGAAGCGTCGCATGGCCCAGCTAACGGATTGCAAGGAGATGCTGAGGCGAGATGGAACTCAGCGATATGCTCGCGACAACTTCAAAGCTCTTTTTCACAATGAGGTGCGTTCGTCAACCAAAACATCTTTCCAATTTTATCACTCTAACGCAGACCTTGAACGTCATCATGCAAAATTCATCTCGTTTTTATCGTCACGTAAACAATTTAAAAGGACATTTTTCAATGGATTTTTCATTCTCAATGACGGAAATCTATTTGCGACCGAATTAAATCATTAATAAGAATCCATTAGTCTTCTGCACGCGCCAATTAGAACACTTTTCTCTCGTAAAAGGATACGATCCTGATTATCCTCGTACGGCAATCACATTTATCATTGTTAAGTTTCAATTAAGGGAGAGTGTAAAAAATTAAATTCACATGGAATCATTGGTGCAAATAAAAGACAATGCAAATGAAATTATTGAATCTAAAGTATTAATTTGTTTAAGTCTAGTAACTAGAAGTTCATATTAATACCTAGTTTGAAAAAATATTTATTCAAGTTTATGCAATACTGCAAATTGTAACAAAATAATCCTCATATTCAATTGTGTATGCAAAAACTAAATATTTTGTCGGTGCATTATGATTTCCAAGTAATATCGTAAAAAAAATTACATAAGTATTAAGTATAAAATAAAATAAATAAAGCGTGAGAAATATTAAATTTAATTATATTCTCTTGCGTAATAACCTCGAAATGAATCAATGTTATACCTTCCTATCTTCCAAACATCTATGCATGAACTGATCTTCTGTTATAACGTATTTTAGCACTTACTCGAAAAAGTCAATATTTTAAAAAGTACTGGATTCTAATAAATTGAATAACTTTCTTTCACTTTTTGCTGTATCTTTAAATAAATCGTTCATACTACATTGGTAAAATTAAATTATATTTAATCTTACATTAACAAAAGAATTACAAATTACACGTAATATTTCTTTAATGGTCTTGGAACGTCATTAAACAATCGAAATACTTAAACCTTCGATGTGCTAAGAATACACTCAAGTACCCAAGGCTTCATCGTAGATACAATTGTGTCTGCAAAAATCTTATATTATTGTCAGATTTGATTAATTGGATGGTGAAAGAAGTTTTCCATTCACTCAAACATCTTCGGAATATTTCATATTAAAAATGATCACTTATGAATTAATTAAGTATTCTATACAAAATATTTTTCCGTTACAACTTGCGAATAAATAAGTTAAAGGATTCTGATGAAATTAAATTTTCACTTAAGATTTAATACTTTATCAAGTTTAATCTAACATCTATTTGCTGTAAAATATCAATGATTATTGACGTAAATTGTTTTTAATTTGCAATTTCCATCGACAACTCCCGAAAGATTTTATCTGAAGAACCGGTAGCTCGTCTACTATCAGTATCCTTCGAAGACATACTAAAGTTATTTCGAGACTCTTGATATTCCAATAAATTTTCTCTCAGCAAAACCGTTGCCCAGGCAAATAAAAGCGAAACACGTGGCTAGAGTAGATATATAAAGTAAAAAGCAAGCAAAACACTGACACACACGAAAGAGGCGATCTAAGCCAAAGGCCCGCTTCGATCAAGGCATTCAATCGCCTGGGGCTACAAGACCTTCACCGCGTGCGCGCCAGCCTTCTTTCTTCATTCCTTTTTTATTTTAATTAATTGCGGAAAAAAGTGCAAAAGAGGGATCACAGATGTAGACATTCAAATGGCATGACGCGGCCACAGCCAAAAATTAATTTCACTTTCCGTACCTCCCAGTTTTTCAGTTTCTGAAAAATTCTTATGTTTTATGTATTTCATATATTGTTCATTTAAATTTTACGTTTTTCCAAAATTGTTCGAGTAATAAAAATGTAATAAATGAAGGAAATACGAAGAACAATATTGTACGTTTCGTAAGTCAATATGTAGGATTAAATATTTAGAATAATTTTAGTAATACAGATTCATTAAGCGGAATTACTGATAAAATTATGTAATAGTTGTTTGTTTAAGTTATAAAGTATATTATATACGTAGTTGCATACTGTGGCTTGTTACAAATTTTTAAAAGTCATCGTTTCAGTTTTCTTAAAAATCAATCTCTATTATTTTTTAACGTGAAATTTTCTTTTGAATTATTTTTTATACTGGAAGGTTTGTTGAATAAGAAACTAAAAAACGCTTTTGTAATAAAAATTATACCCTTTAGACACTGATATAAATTAATAAGTGTTATGGGCTCTCTCAAAATTTATGTGGACCAACGCGTCAGCAAAATTTTATTATAGCTTTTCATTATATAATAATTCATACGAACCCTATTCAACAGTATCAAATAAAGATCCACTTATATACGTTAAAACGGTATTCCGTTAATACAAAATTTTATAACGCACAGATTTTATAAGCTTAAAGATATTATTGAAGATAATATTGTTAGAAAGGTTATCAATGTTTCGTAACTTTATGGGTTTGACGTTTCATTAGTTAATTGCAATGACGTGCAGTAAAAATTGCCATCGAAATAAGACCGTGAAATTTAATTTATAGCTTCGCCCAATTTACTTTACACTCTGTTTTGATGAAACTAGATCATTAAATGACGTAAATGGAGCACAAGGATTTTGTGTTTTACTGCAGTATAAAAATCAACCAAAAACGTTAATAGGTGTATTCATTTATCTGAGTCAAATTTTTGTATTTATTATTTCTATACTTAAATATGAATTGTGTGGGTCACATTTAAGTCTTTTTATATCATTCATTTTGCACATTTAAAAAAAAATAATATCAATGTTCATGCGTGTAAATTGATTTTTAGTTCAATTGAAATTAACAAAAGCGAAAAATGTAAAAAAAAACTATATTTTGAAAACAATTTTGAGGAAAGTTGACGGTTCAGAAATTTATTCAAAGTAATTAATTAAAAATGAAAATTAAATGTAGAAAAATGTAGAAAATTATTTATGTAAAACATAATAAATTATTTAATAAATAGCTAATTCAAATTGAATTTTTTATTATTATTCATTACCAAATCGTGGATAAACATGATCAAAAATGAATTAATTGAATAATAAAAAAAATGTTGACGATGGAAAAGTGATATAAGAATAACGTAACAAGTCAATGGCTTGGAAGTTGTCTAAATTTGTATATCCAGTTTTTCGCTTATTTCGATAGTAAACAGCTGCTCTCGAAAGGCATTCGAGTCTGGAAGTGATTTGCGTAAGTGTTTGATAAACGCAAAAGTAATTCAGTGCGGTATTGACCTCTTTAATAGGCTCAACTTGTTTTTTCTTCATATAAATACACAAGTTGGTAGTTTATAGGGTCCACTATCTCGCACTGATTATATATTGTAAGTGAATGACCGTAATTAAAAATTCAACGTGTGTGTAAGTTGTTATTCAAGTATATAGTAATATACAAAAATATATGATTGAAAATTTTTACAATTCTACTTTACTTGGAGTTTCGAAAGATCCTGTTTGTTTCATATTTGCTATATAAATGCAGGCTCAATCAAATCAGTTAATCAGGTATTATGATACGAACATTTCGACGAACGTAAACATTGTCGAATTGGGTACGTACACGCTAAGGAAAAATTTGTTGCTGGTACTCACACAATTCGTACGTCCGCTCTAATAGGAATTAAATACCTTTACAAGGCGTCGTCTACTTTTTACGCACGCAATTGTACTTTTCCATATATCTTATTCCATCAAGCATTTTCATTTAAAATTTAATTCTACAGTTGTTTTATTGTGCCTAAGATTCGAAAAGCATAAAGACAGAGACAATAGACATGACTCGTTTACATTTTATTAAAAATTTCTAAAAATATATTTGATTATTATTTTTGCGTATAAGGTTTTCCTGGAGAAGCTTTTCGCATTGTTCGACCTAGATAGAGACGGATTATTAAAACAAGAGGAGTGGATCGAATTCTTGAAAGGCCGACTGACGTAAGTGTCTAGTTTCCTACATATCAAAAAATTCATTCAGATGATTTTCTTCTCTGTAGACATGAAAAACAGCTTGACTTCATTGACCAAATCGAAAGCGTCGCCTATGTGTTATGCGGCGAGGAACCTATAAATTTCACCACTTTTCGCCAGATATTCCATGCTAAAGGAGTATGTGTTTCATATGTATTTTTTTCATTCACTTTTACCTCATAGATGATTATCTTAAAGTTACCCTAACCAGCTAAATAAAAATTTGTTTTCAAATTCGGATATATAATTATATTTAACCAATTTTATGAATTTTACTAAAACAACTTCAATACGGATGCTGATCAAACAAATTCATGGCTACAGATTATTGAGAAATTATTAAAACTCATCGATGTTGAGTGCACAGGCAGCGTAACACCTGAACAAATCATGGAGTTTATTGCAACGATAAGTAGCCCAAGGTATATTTTTAAACGTTGATTAATGAATAAAATTAAATTTGATTTAAAAAAATTCTAAATTACTATATCATTTAGGTCGCGAATAGGCTTTGACGAACGAAATTTAGAATGGCTTGAAAAAATTTTTAAGCAAACTGTTGGAAACGAAAAAGAAATCAGGAGAGAGGAATTCCAAAAAATTGTCACCTCGAAAAATGTAAATAAAATCAGAGTTAGGATTTTGGTTGATAAGAGCTTTTCAAATTACACATTAGTATATTTGAATATTTCAGCCATTTTTTACGGAAAGAGTATTTCAAATCTTCGACAAAGACAACTCCGGTACTGTATCACTTCAAGAATTCCTCGATGCTATGCACCAGTTTGCAGGCAAAACTCCCAACGATAAAATCAGATTCCTCTTTAAAATCTACGACATTGATGGTAAATCTTTTAATTTTAAAATAACACAGTTATGAAACTATAATTGCTTCTATTAGCAAATTGTAAAGCACATAGTTAGATTTATCTGGCTAATGAATAACTGAGAGCTACGTTTCTATACAACTGATTGAAATAATTTTTAAATCTCTAATGCTGTAGCCGAAAATAACGTTCAGCAAACGATTATTTTACATAATTAAGTCGTGAAACATCTATTAAGATAGTATCGACAGTAATTAATGAAATTTATTCTGGACAAACTTTTAGTGATTGAATCTATTTAAATCACAGTAATTTATATTAAAATGTTATATTTCTAGGAATCAGAGTTTTCTGATTATTGTCATTTCTAATTTAGTCATTAATGCTAATTTACACTCGAAAACAAAAAGTATAATATATTTATCTGTAAAAATTAAAAAAACCATAAACTTTTATCGGGTGAACAGGGGATGGACTAATCCAGTTGCGTGAGCTCGAGCACGTACTGCGCGCTTGCATGGAAGAAAATGGAATGAAATTCAGCGATGAGCAAATTGAGGATTTAACGGTTGCCCTTTTCGAAGATGCTGACAAGGGAAGTCGTGGAGCCATTACCTTTGAGGCGCTCAAGCGGCAACTTGAGAAGCACGAAGGTCTTTTAGAAAACCTCACGATTAGGTAGAATAGCCCTTGTTGTCAATAATATTCGATCAACGTAGTTCTTAAAATTAAACTTAAATTTCAGCATAGACAGATGGCTCGTTCCACCAAAGCCAGAAACGCCTAAAAGACAGTATCCACAACTCTGTCCAAAACTTCCATATCAACTAACAAAGCCATATTTGAAAAATAACTACGTGAAGATGACATTCATAGCTTGTTTTTTTATCATCAATTTTGCTCTCTTCGTTTCAAGGGCTTATCAATACAGACACGCAAATGGATACATCATACTCGCCCGAGCTTGCGGTGGGTTTTTTTTTCTAAATTGTCAAAGTTCGAATGAGCAAAAAAAAATTTCTTTTTTTCAGGCCAATGCTTAAATTTTGATTGTATGTTCGTGCTCGTACTGATGCTACGACAATGCATAACATTCTTAAGGACTCACGGGTTTAGCTGGGTACTCCCGCTTGACAATCACATATACCTGCATAAAATGACGGGTGCACTAATTGGTGTATTTAGTGTCATCCATACAGTCATGCATCTTCTTAATATCGGTGAGTTTCTATTCAAAATTCTCGATTGCGTATTTTTACCACATCTCATTGTTTTGCATTATCAGTTTTCTTCAAAGAAACTCAATTCAATATCATTTAATATTAGTCATTAAAATTCCAATTAATATACATGTAATTGTCCTTATTACTTAATATCTAGTCTATTCAATGACTTCCAAAAGTCAAATCGAAAGCTTCTTTTTTTAGTACAATATTATTAAGTGTCTTTCAAATGTTCCAATCTAAACATAGACGTGATGAATTATAATAGCGTTTATATGCCTTAAAATTATTTGTGAAAAGTTATGATTAGCAATGAAATTCTAAAATAGGTACGGTTGTTATAAACGATCATGAGTACTTGAATCACGCAAACTATACGATGTCGGAGTGGTTACTTACAAGTAGACCGCACATGTTTGGTCTGGTGGCTGGTGGTGCTAATCCCACAGGCGTTGCCTTAATTGTCATTCTTGCCATCATGACCGTATGCTCACTACCGTTCGTTCGTAGAGGAGGCTGCTTTGAGGTATATAACATACTTAACGATTGATTTTTTATAAAATTATTTAAAAAACTTTCTCTCTACCCAAGGTATTTTACTGGTCGCACCTACTGTACATACCATTCTGGATTCTTATGATCTTCCATGGGCCGAATTTCTGGAAGTGGTTCGTGGTACCAGGGTTAATCTACGTGATTGAACGTATCCGCAGGATAGCTTGGGTTCACGCTCAACGTGGTAAAACATATATCAGCTCGGGATTGTTATTACCATCTAAGGTCACGCATTTGGTGATTAAACGACCTCCAAACTTCGATTTTCGTCCTGGTGACTACGTTTTTGTCAATGTACCAGTCATTGCCAAGTACGAATGGCATCCATTCACCATTAGTAGTGCTCCTGAACAAGAAGGTAATAAAAAAAATTAAAAAGCTGATAATATTGCTTGAATGAAATTTTTTATAGCAAAAGTCAACATTAGTCACTTTTGCGGCTATGCTTTTAATAATAAATATTAGACGACCTCTCTTCCACTATTATTATTTACATACAGCTACACAAAAATTTGTCTTGCAGAATATATGTGGCTACACATCAGAGCTGTTGGTGAATGGACTAACAGTCTCTACTCTTACTTTGAGAAGGAGCAACAAAAACTCCATCGGGGTGAAATTCTTCCAGTTGAAAATTGTACAAAAGTATCACCGTGAGTATCTACAATACCTGTCAACTTCAACACTTTGTATGAAAACAATCTCATTGATTTCTTCTCCGAATCTCAGATGTAAGATTGTAAGGAATATTCCAATAATGTTGGAAAAGAAGTTCTCTATCGATTCCCTCAATCATCCTAGTGGAATTGTAAATCCTTCATATTCGTCGGATCACGAAAGACTATCATCAAATCAAACTATAAATTCAACTGATTCGTTTACAACCGCCTCAGAAAGTAACTAGAAAAATCTAATTTGTACAGAACGATTTACAATACTAATCTGTTTATCCACGCCATTTTAGCGAATACGCCAGCAAAAGCTTCGCAAGAAAAGAGGATTCACCAGCTGGTTCTGGGAAATAAAATTCCTTTTGAGAAATCACTATCTATGCCAGATATGCAAACAAAAACTAAAAAAAGAGAGAGGATTATGGCGTAAATATTTTTTGATAAAAAAAATAAAACACTCATATTTGTATTGAAATGATACTTCTCAATTTTTCTCAACACAGGCTTCGAGATTACATGAGATCTGAATCTGAAAGAAGCTTCGACGAAACGTTAATGCGGCGTGCAAGACTGAAGTCTCTAGGCTTGGCTTATTTGAGTCCACAGAATAAGTCATTAGCGCAGAGTTTTCGTTACATGCGCACCAAACCAACTATAATCGCGTTCAAAACTCCCAGCTTGGAGAACTGCGACTACGAACTCCAGTCTTCGACTTCCAAATCAAGTAAGTATTTTGTTTTTCTTTGGAGAATGCGAACCAAGCTTAATATATTGATGTTCTCAATGTAGCAGTTGACGAGAATGAGCAGAAAACAATGACGCCCACAGTACGAGCTGCTATAGCCGAAGAAGGTAGAGTAGGACAAGATTGTGCAATCGATAAGAGGAGACCAAGCTCCTCCAGAGGTGTCAAGTGCGAGATATTTTGTCATACACCCATGAATTATCCCGTAGGAAAGCCGCTTGAAGTACGAACATGCTTTGCTGTATATATACATATTCAATCCAGATCTGCGTAGTTTTTAAACATATACTTTTTAACAGATCTATTTAGACGGGCCTTACGGAGCACCATCAAGCCACATTTTTCAAGCTCAGCACGCAGTGTTGATTGCCACGGGTATCGGAGTCACACCATTCGCTTCGATTCTTCAGTCGATTATGCATCGTTATTGGAAGGCTCGTCACACTTGTCCCAAATGTACATTCTCATGGGCGAGCGAAATTCCTGCGACAATCATGAAACTACGAAAGGTGACCGCAAATTAAACGACTCGTGCATCGAGCAGACATTAATTAAAGAATATTTTGTCTTGAAGGTTGACTTCTTTTGGATCAATCGAGATCAGCGTTCATTCGAGTGGTTCGTCAATTTACTCTCGCAACTCGAGATGGAACAGGCCGAACTTGGTGCTACGATGGAACGTTTTCTAGAGATGCATATGTACATAACAAGCGCTTTGCAAAAGAGCGATATGAAGGCTGTCGGCTTGCAGCTTGCTCTCGAATTACTTCATGAAAAAGTGAGTCGCGGCTTTTGTTTTTAAGTCGCATTTAATTCATAATGAACATTCATTCGTAGGAAAAACGAGACCTCATAACTGGACTAAAGACCCGTACGAACGCAGGCCGACCAAACTGGGACAAAGTTTTCAAACAGTTGCAATTACAGAAGAAAGGCAAGGTGACGGTCTTCTATTGTGGTCCACCGCAGCTTGGTCGTATTTTACGATACAAGTGCGATCAGTTTGGCTTCAACTTCCGCAAGGAATCGTTTTAAATTTTTTTTATTTTCGCTCGAATGAGCTTGATTGTTATTTTTTACAGATTATTTCTCAACGGCTTTTACTCAAAATCATTTACAATACTTTAATGCGAACATTTCATTTTTTAATCTATATTATAGCCTTTATTATTGTACGTTAAATATAGAAATTATTCGTTTGTTTATTTATTATTAAATTATCATTGCTTACTCTTAGCTTGAATTTTTTAGCAAAGTTAACGAGGACGATTCACCTTTTGGTGTGTGTGTGTAACTATTGAATTTTTTAAGAATTTACTGTGTATGATTTACTATTATACTTATTCAGTTTTATTATCAGAACTCTCTATTTTTATAAGATCTTAACGAAAGCATAACTTACAGTGAAAGATGATAGTATTATAAATAGTGAAAATGTTGAAAATTTTCTTTGTGCTTCTTTTTAATATAGAAGTATAAGCACTGATAGCTACTGAGCATCTCAACTCGTTAGAAATAAACATAAGTTCCACGATTAGAAGCCTTATCAGCAAATTTGTTATTGTTACTATAATAGAAAATAAGTTATATAATTATAGATGTATAGTATTGAAAATAAATGTTATTCTACTTATCTTATGAGTATAGTTTATTGTTACAAATAGATAAACCTTCAGCTTTCTATTTAAACAATTTTATGACGTATTCAAAACATTGATGATTAAACAATGCAGGTAATTGATGAACATGAAAAGCTCCGATTTTAAAGCAATGAACAAAAGTAGTCTAATTATGATGAGAGCAAAGAAAACCCACATGCGTCACATTTTATATTAGAAAAATTGAATAATAAAATAACGTATTTTTTACTATCGATCAGTGATCAGAAAATTTACAGGCGAATTTAAAAGCGATTTGAATCATGTAGTAATAAAAAATTTTCTTGATACGTCAATGTGTATTAGATACTATATGTGGCGAATAAAAATGCATTTGCGCATTATAAAATTCTAACTCGTATATTTCTGTTTTTCACACAAAAAAGGGAACTATTTGCACTCTACAAAAAAAAATAATTAGATATATTTCTAACTTACCTTCTACGCTAACAATAAAATCGTTATTAACACACCATCTATGCATGCATTTGATGAATCATAGAATTATTACTAATATCACGCAATTTTTACTCGCAGATTTGTTTTTTAGACGAGACCACGACAAAATTATTCTTTCATTCCATCGTGTAATCACATATTCCTACGAATTTCCGAAAAGCCCACAAACCATTATTTCAATTATACGATACAATATTTGTATTGCAAAGATATGTATGCATGAAATAATAGATAAAAGCTAAGATAGATAGGATAACGAATTTAGCCGAGCACGAGATCGTCACACGTGTTTGTGACGATAAACGTCAAGCCACACGATTTTCTTTTGAAAAACGTCTGTTTGCATATAGCCGTCTCGACATCTTTATCGTACGTGCAGATCACGTCAAGACAACTTTCTAGAGGATAATCATCACGTGCGAGCATCACGTGTCATCCATGGGTCAAAGTCGTGGGCCCGTCTTGGTAATCCTCAATTCTCATTGGTTGGTTCACGGTGGGACGGTACGACTGCGTCATTGTAGCCAAGCTTTTAATGCCATGACTTTCTATTAACGTTATCAACATTAAACGATTTCTTTAAAACAAGTTGTAATATTACAGTTCATTCTTAACTACATCATAGACGTAGTTTTAATTGGGTTTTTTCTTGACTTGAAATTCTTAAAATATTAAAAAAATTACTTTTTTGCCGTCTTTGAAAAACTTTACCATTTATGTTTGAATCGTTTTTTGATCGAGAAAACAGTCAAATAAGTTCGCAAATCATTGAATTTTGAAATAATTATAATAGGCACTATTACGTTTTATTTTCAATCAATGTACATTGGAGACATGTAATAATAATAAAATCTAAATAAAAGTTAGATTCATATTTTATTTATTGTTTCTGTTTTCATGTAATACATCATCTGTTTGGTTTTTTCTGCCGGCATGACAATAACTTATTATTATATAACGTTATGTCAACCTCGTACAATTTTATTTACAATAAAATAAAACAACTTCAAAACAAAATTTCAAATTCCATGTCTCATCGTAACGCGTGAAAAGTTGCAATATCACGTCTTAAATTTATTTTTCGAAGCGTGAATATTTTTTCAGGGCTTTCTGCATGATCATTAACGTCAAATACATTCGAGGAAAACGTTAAGCTCAGGACGCTAAACGTAAACAATAAACATTCCAATGAAGAAAATTCATTTTTTTGTGATATACAATTGATCGTGATCATGGCTAATGACATAGAGAGTTTTTAGTATACTGGAAAATAAATAATTGCAATATCTGTAATGAAAGCTAATAAATAGTTAAATATAAGTTTTAAAAACATCAAGCGAGAAGGAAAACTAAGTAAAAGGTGATTTGTGAAAAAATATTTAATTAAATACTTTTTAAAGATAGGAAAATTGTCTCGTTAAAATTAGACTGTACCTATTGTTGAATACAGAAGAGTACAGAGCAAAGTTTGAAAGCGAAAACTAGTCGATTTTATTTTTACAAATTTATTCAATCATAGAACTGTTTATCTTCATTGCTTCATGACAATTAGATTACAAATGGCTGAAAATTAGAAGGAAAAACTCAGCTGACGGTTCTGCCCATAACAGTCAATCTGTTTACACAATTGATCTGTGGGTTCGTAGCTTACATATTATATTGTAATGATATGTAGTATTTAAAATAAGCTAAATTAAAAAAAATCGTTTTTTAATCGGCTATTACAGCATCTATATATAAAGTAATAACCATAAGAATCGAGGAGCTGTGAGAGAAAAAACGTAGTGACGGTGTAAAAGCTCGTACACGAAACGCAAGCTCGTCGGTGTGCAGCGCGCAATGCGTGCAACAATCACGATGAGATTAGTACAGCGGAATGTGGGGACCTGATCTCTCGCTCTCCACCTCTACTGTATGCATCTCAAGCGCGGGCTATATAAGCGAAAAATTGCTCCTTTATCGGCACTTGTGTTCCAGCCGAGCGCTCGCTGACTACTCGGCAATAATAACAATAACAACAAAAAAAGAGAGTCATGACTAGTTAGATTTCTATTCAACTGGGTCGTCGTTATCTAGTTATACTGTCGGTGTATCAGATAACTAAGGTCAGTAGTCGCCAAGTTTTTACAATCCTCGTCCTGTTCTTGCGCGCTTACTAATTGCTTTTTATTTCGTTTTCTATTTATTCCGATAATCTAATATTGACAGCTTATCTGTATATTTTTATTTCTTTGTTGATCAAATACTAAAAGTACAATATTCTTTTATAAGATCTACTAATCTACAGTCACGAATAATTATTGAATTTAATTATACTTCGTTGATGGAATAAATATTGTTTCATTGTATTGACTGATATCATTGTTACAATTAAACTTTCGGAAAAATACTATTCCACTGTTCTCGTACGTTTGTTTTATTTTCCTTGTATTTTATCAAGTTATTATTTCTTTTTTTAAATTTGCTTACGAAACGGCACACTGACTTGTTTTGAATGTATACATTTTAATACGGAGTTTTCATGTTCTAATATCTCATTACTACAATTGCAATGTATATATTGATATACATTGAAATAACAAGCGTTTCCAAGTAAATTAGAAAATTTTGGAAATGTATAAGTAAGTATCTTGACAAATTATGCAATAACGCAATTTTAACGGATGCAATTGGTTACGCAATAACTATACATCTTCAATAATAAACAAACAAAAAAACTGTTATTGAAGATTTTCGTAAAGCTGATCGAACGTGTTACTGCTACATTACGTCAACTGCTGTTTATTGTAATACCAAATGTTCTTCAACCGCAAAATTATTTTTCACACATAAATTTCATAGAATCATCGCCAAAGGTATTCATGTCTCCAATTACTTGCCTATTATTTCAAGCTCATACTATCGAAATCTGCAACATTCAAACACAATTGACTAGTTTCCATTGAATATCACCTCTACAATTACAGTAGGAGCCAGGTATCGCACCGTCAATTTTTACACAAGGAATCATTAGATTGACCAAAATGCAGACCAAAATGCTTGGACATGTTGGCCTTGCATTGCTTGTGTTGATGAGCTGCAACTTATGTTCTGCATTCAGAGCATCTCTTCAACATGAAGGTTAGTTCTTTTGTAAAGTACTTTTTCTCAAGGTCCGTCAATTCAATCAGACGAAAAAAATATCAACGCTTCATGTATCTTTTCATCCATAAAATTTTAGTTTCATCATTCCTACAAATTCATGTGTTTGTTACGAAAAATCTTACCGATAAAGAAAGTGCAGCTCTCAAAGATATTTGTTCCTTATTCAAATCAATCAATTTAAGCCCAAATGCTGAACAAAAGTTCATGATAAAAGTAATCAATATTTCGGTTAATCGTATCAGCTCGAACAGTAGGAAACGTTCACTAATTCGCATTAATAGAGCTATGATTACGGCAATTAGACGACGCTGCAGAGAATACAAAGAGAGTTTCTTGATATTTTTAGCGATCTGAAATTGATAAGTTAATAATAATTAATCACTCTCTGCGAAATCCCCAGTGATAAGTGAACGAATTTGTTAAATTTTTGAAGACATAACATTTTGGATGGAAAGCGGCCGTGACAATTTGCAGCGAATCTTGTCGTTAAAAAACATTGAAAAGCGTGCGAAAAATGTGATCATCTTCATCGGTGATGGTATGGGAATGTCCACCATCACATCCGGAAGGATATTCACAGGACAGATGAAGGGTAACGCCGGAGAGGAATACAAACTCACGTTCGAGCAATTTCCCAGCACTGGATTTTCCAAGGTAACAACATTTTCCAACTTGAACTAGAAAAACATATAAACTTGGCAATAAAATAAAAATTTTTATGCCGGTTATGTAAAGGACAAATATCTTTCGTAGTTAACTATCCTTTCGATATTTCTAATTTTCACAGTGAAATATGCACTTGAGCAAGCGTAAAACGGCAACAATCATACAAATTAAATTAAGTTAGCACAATACTATTTACTTTTAGTCGTGTTTTCATTAAAAAAAAAAGGCAATAAACTTAGTTGAGTAGCTTCAAAAAGGAATACAAGATTCATTTGTTCATTTGAAAACGCGTAAAATCATTCGTCATTACAGACATACAATGTAGACCGACAGGTACCAGACTCGGCCGGTACTGCCACAGCGATATTCACGGGTGTAAAAGCTCAATACAGGATGTTGGGTCTGGATGGGAAGGTCAAGCACAATACGTGCGACAAATTTCTCGTAGACAATAGCCATCTGACTTCGATCGCCAGCTACATGCAGGAGAGTGACATGGACACCGGTAGGTTAATCCAATCCTACACATTTATTATACGATTGTTTGCTGCATTCTCTCTAAAAGGAAAATCGACGTGACATATCGCCGAGCAAGAAACGAGCCAGTGATTTCAGTATCTTTTTTTCTTACCTTACAAACGGGATATTTATATACGTCAATAACAGTATCGAGTTATCGCCGCGTTCTCAGAGTGTTTCAAATGACTATTAAGTAATAAAAAAAATTATACGCTTTGATAGTTTATTTTATTGCTAAAAAAGAGATTCATGTAACGTATGAATAAGATATACGTTAAATTAAAAAAGTAAGCATTGCCATCCTCGAACTTTAGGTTTCGTAACAACGACACGAGTCACACACGCAACTCCTGGTGGATTATACGCACATTCACCTAATCGCGACTGGGAGTGCGACACTGAAGTACCGCCCAACTATCGCGACTGTATCAAGGACATTGCTAGGCAACTTGTCGAGGAGTCACCCGGCAATAAATTCAAGGTTTGTATCGTTCGAACAAGGAGCTCGGATTCTAGAATTTAAGTTTTATTTTATTTTATTTTTTTTAACTGTCCTAAAACATTCCCTGATCATTCTATTTACCGAGCTACTAAGTATTCGGAAAATTTATCTGATTATCACAGTGTAGCTTGGAAACTTTGCAACTAATGTTGAATAATACTGATAACAGCGTGAAGCGTTATCGCGACATCGATATCTGAAAATACAGACGTTTCTTTTTGTGTTTTAGCAGATCAGCTTAAGAAAAATAATTCAAAATAATTCGAATATTCAATAATAAACAAAAATCTGAAAATAATTGCAGGTAATAATGGGTGGAGGTGCCAGTTCCTTAGGTTTGCACTCAAACTATTCAGACAGTGAAGCTTGCAACCGTTCCGATGGCCGAAAGCTCTACGATGATTGGCTGTCGTTGGAAACTGGTTCAAAACTCGTAACCACTGTCGACGATCTCATGGCTGTTGATATTAACAATACCTCCAAACTGATGGGTCTATTCGCTGATAGCCATTTGCCTTATGCTGCTGTCAAGCCAAAATACATACCTAGTCTCGCGAACATGACGCTACAGGCAATCAAAATGCTAAAAAAAAGCGACAAGGGCTTCTTTCTCATGGTATATATTTTTTATTTGCTACAATTATAAAATTTAGATTTCGGTGCCGATTACCTGACAGACATTGTGTCAACAATCAAGCTGTGTTATATCAACACGTGAAAATTCCGTCGAGAGATACGCGGATGATGTTTTGTTTCCAAAGACTTGGCTTTCATTACTTTCGAGATAACGAGTAGGCTGCTTAACCTGTTGCATTTGTTACGAATATCAAAATATACAAGCTCGAATTAATTTTGACAGCGAGGATATTTCAGGGACGTGAATTGACAACGATATTTATGATTGAACAGGTGGAAGGTGGCAAGATCGACATTGCCCATCACGCCAACTACGCTCAGCTGGCGCTACGCGAATTGGCCGAGCTGGATGACGCGGTGACGACGGCTATGGAGAACGTGAATATCGACGAAACACTGATCATCGTCACGGCCGACCATTCACACGCGTTCACGATGAACGGTTACCCGTTAAGAGGAGCAGACATTCTTGGCTTGACAACTGTCGCGGGTGCAACTCAACAATTCGAAACTCTCAGTTACGCCAATGGACCTGGCTACTATTATCACAGGATCAATAATACTAACGAGCAGGACAAGCTCTGGAGAGATCTGGAGAACGACCCTAACAGAAAGGATCCTTTCTATAGGCACTGGGCTGGAAGGTACACCAAGGACGAAACGCACGGTGGCGAGGATGTTGGAGTGTTCGCTATTGGTAAGCTCGACAAGTAAAAACAGTCCGTGGCAAATCTTTCACTTTGGACATTCGTTTCAGGACCCTACTCTCACCTGTTCCGCAGTACTTTCGAACAAAACTATATAGCCCACGTGATAGCCTACGCATTGTGTCTGAAAGGCTGGCCGTCGCATTGCGACGCGGAACGCTATCACTACGACATCGTCAACAGTAATAACTCTGCAATGGCAACAGCGACTATTTTCCCAGGCCTTGTATTTATGCTCATTGGACTGGCGACTTACCTTGTCTAGTACGGAAATTGTTCTTACAATTTTACGCGGATCTACTTAGAGAGAACAGCTTCTTGAACTGAACGAAAGTGGAATAGTACATTAAGGCTGGTGTAATACCGAAATGACGCATGAAAAGGTGTGTGAGTGTGTTCGTGAAGACTGATCAATCAACTACTTTTCAATAGTCTATTGGATATTTGATCCCATTCCGGTAAATGCTCTTAAAGAAAACAGATACGTGACTTGCAGTATTCACAAGTTATCCGTTACAATTAACGCTGCAACCTTGCTACTTACATTACTCTTGAGATTGTTGATTGTTAGGTAATAATTGACTCAACGAATCCAAGTGCTGTGAGTTACTGATCCATGCGTCGAAACATTCATCTTGTTATCTGTAGTATCGTGTACATATTTAGAATTAGTGTGAATAATACAATTTAATCCACAAATATTAGTTTATTTTAAAATACGTATTTATTTTCCAGCAAAGATTTCAGACCCCCATTGTAACTATTGCAACAGTGAACTCTCTTATTCCCGCAACAAAATATTTTACAATTGTTAAAGAAATACTAGTCTAACTAAAATTATAAAATAGTGTAAAAACTGCAAATGTCTATTAAAATGAATCGTTATTTTTGTACACTTTTCTCCACTTATCTGTCAAAGAACCTCGACACTCGCAAACGTTATATGTCTTGTCACGGTAAGATATTTGTTTCCTTTTGAGTTTTTGATCGAATGATTAACTTTTCAGCATCAACTGTAATCTGGATTTATCGAAAACACGCTCGTGAAATTTGCTTACACTTTTCAAACTTAAAATTCGATAACTTGTTTATTTGTTTGCTAAGCATCCGGCAATAAAAAATGTTTATCAGATTTCACAATCACGACCTGTTGAATATTCGAGAGGAATCTATAATCATATGCATATGGTATCATATGAATAAAAAATATACCTCCAGGACAACTTTAGATCACTATTGCTACATTTAGTGTTCTAGAGCTTAATAGTGTATTTTTGTTCGTTTCCATGAGAGAACAATGTGAATACACGCATTTATGTGCTGCTAATTCAGAGCAGATAGTCTATGCATGCATTCTGGAAATCCTGTGTGAAATAATCAACGATAAAATTCATATTTTTAAATATCGTTTATATCGTGTAGTCGATACACGGTAATCTACATATTTCACAATCGCACAAAAAAACAGCAACATTTTGTACATACATTCATTTCATGGAACTCGTTTGAGCATTTCAGGTAATAGTTCCGGAATTAGGTATAGTTTCGTGATCATTCCAATTAAGATGGGCCTACCAAGCTTCTTTTTACGTGTTATGAGCCACGTACTGAATCTAAATTTTTTGGGTAGCTCGACGTCTCGGAACGCGCCTCGAATGTTCAGCAACTTTTCTTTCGTGTATAATGACTTGCTTATCTTTCGTTTAAACAATCATAGTACATAAGGCATACAACCCAACAATAACGTATTCGTAACGCTTATGGATATGGCTTCAAATTTTCTTAAACATACATCACAATTACTTGTCATCAGTGAAAAAACAATGTTTTTTGTCAAATAATCAACATGTCTAACATTAATTTATCTGATATTCTGAGTCTTTATACGTTTATAATAAAGTTACTGTGCGCACTGGTTGCACTTGACATGACAAATAAAATTGTTTACCTTTCTTCAGGAATGTTTTCGACCGTTTTCTACCTTATATTACGAGTCGCAAATGAAATTCAAAGACTCCTGAAGATAGTAAGATAAGAGGGGACTTAAATATTTGTTTCAAGATATTCAATTCCGGTTTCAAGCACGTGCGACGAAAACCTAATTGCCCATCGCCGACGTGTCGCGCCGTACCATGAACAAAATGGAAATACGACAATGACCAGCTTCAGGTAGCGTCAATTCGCATTGCGCTACGCCCATTAATCTCTGGTTGGACCCACACAAAGGCCGCAAATTTAGAGAGAGTAGTTTTTCTTCTCTCCGTCTTTCTAGCTAAAAATAATGCGCTCAACAGTCATTCTCGTCCGAGGGTCCAATGCCTGCGTTTATCCTCCGCTTGTGCGTCTCGTGTATGTATATTAGGGAATTTTTTTTATCCCGTTATCAGTAAAAATATAAACTTTGTACAATATACATATGATCTTTAATAATTTCATCAATTGATTTTAAAAAAAAGTTTTTATAATTACTGCCAGGTGAATAATTGTATAACATAAGATTTTCATGAAAATCACATAACTGTGATAAAAATTATGTTAAACGTTATGGAATTTTCATATTTTCTGATGAAATGTTGATCTCATTTTTATCGCAAAATTTATTTTCAAAATTGAAATTTTTTCAGACTACTTTTTAACGTATCAATTTAAACTTACATCTTGCTTTGAATACTATTATGAAAAATTAATTCTTTTTTTCTTCGGATAAACGGAACAAATTTTTTCATAAAAATAATTAATCGAAAGAGATTTTATTTTTTAATTTTTAACTTTAAATCAACACTATATTGTTATTCTATAATTAATCAAACGAGAAAAATACCATTAAATATGATGCGGACTACACATCACAGTAATTTTGAATTTGCATATCGATGTTGCAGCTATTATCAATTTGAGCCACATTCTATCTTAACTTTATGAACTTTTCATATTTATATACATAAGAATACAACCTCTTCACGCTACTTTAAATTTTTAAAAGATTTTGCAGTATAATTATTTACTGTTTTTGTAAAAGCACTGTCTTCAATATTTCAAGTTGCGTTAAATAATGTCGTAGCATTTGTATCTGTTAGTCTATTCAAATCTTTATAACCTTTCTTTTTCACGTAACCACAGATTGTATATTTATTTTTGTCAAGAAGTGGATCTCCTTTCGATCGTTTTGAAATACGCGATTCCAAAATCTTTGATTCATTTGTTTCTCCATCGAATTCTTGACGATCATTGGGTGTTATTTCACCTTGATTTTACAAGTGTTTCAATTCGTTTCCACTTTTTATAGTAATTATCTAAATGATTTTGAGATTCATCGGCAAAGTTCAACGAACTTCTAACTTTTATAAATAAATGTATGTTGCATGTAAAAATAAATAACAATTTGATGTATTTAAAATCACGGAAATATTAGATTGCACATCTGTTTTGACAATTACTCATAATTTTTGTATAGTATGCTTAATCTATGAGAAACAGCGTCTTGTTGCAGATTCGCAGCATTTCTAATATTGTTTCGACCATTTTCAGTACTCATGAGAGACAAGCCCTACAAACCTGACAGTGAAGTTTAAAACTAGCGTGAAGGCAATGTCTGCTAACATTTCGAAACGAGTAAAATAACGCAACAAGGACGTCAGAAAAAAGTGAGACAGGATAAAAAAGTAACATTTAAACTTTAGGAAAATCTCATCGATGCGCATTATTAAGCCATCACCGATATCCCAGCAGCCTCAGTTTCGAAAATCGACAACGATCCTCCAAGCCGTAAGGAAGATAAAAAAAAAAGACGAACACAAAGCGCGCAAGCTCGATGGCAGCGACGACGCGCGTGCGACAATCACGATGAGATTAATGTGTTATAGTTGCAGAGTGTGGGGGGGCCCATCTTTCTGCTTCAGTCCAGTCAGTGCGCACCTTACGCGCGGGCTATATAAGCGAAAAATTGTTCATACATCGTTACACTCGTGTCTCATTCATACGGTGGACACTAGCACAAAAAAGGCACATATCAACGGATAAGCCATGACACGCTAGTGTTCCGTTGATTAGTCGATCGTCGTTGGTGTGTGACAGTGACAGGGTGTCGTACGGCTGAGGTTAGTGTGTCGTCAAGGTTGTGCTATTGCTGCAAGTGCATTTTTCTTCTTTACCGCTTAGATTTTGGCAAGTGTCGTTGAACGTGTGCGACAGACAGACGGATGTCATTGTTTCGCGACGATGCTGCCGGCGCTGCACAAAATCGACTGCCTCCCTCTTTTCTGCATCTTTTTTCAGCTTTCCACGAGTTGAACGAGCATCCGCAACAAACTCACTGGTCATCGAAAGTTTTCTAAAGACTGCGAAAAGCTCGAAAAGGAAGCTTATTTAAAGTGCTATTGAAAAATTGTCTAAATGTAAACAGACGTTATACTGGTTTCGCAATGACGTAATTTTCACAGCAACAGTCGTTACACAATAATTACACATCTTCGGCAGTATATATTTCGCATCGACTTTCAGTCACGAAAATTCTTCCAACTCATTGCTAATTATTTTTATCGTAATTGAGCCATTCAAAGCTAATTTCTGCCCGCTGGGGAATGACCTGAACCGTCACTAAATCGACTTGGAATAGTGTCGTTCGTCGTTTCCCGCGAACTTGTACAATCGGCAAAATCCGTACAATAAGCAGGTCAAACGTCACAGTCGAACAAAATTCAAGACGGCGCATTCGAGCATCACGTGTACTTGCAATTGCAGAGACGTGCATCAGCAGCTAACGCAGCTAGTTAAATCCGGCTTTGACTTTCGTGGTAGCGGCGCAAGGACCTGCACATGCATCTGGCGTACGAAATGCGCGCTCAAAGGATCCCGCGCATTTGTGCTGCATTATTAGCTTTGATGAGCTGCGGCTGCTTGTGTTCCGGATTTAGCCTACCCGTCGAGCATGAAGGTTAACGCTTTCACATATCTATCTGCCTTTTTTCCCTCTTCTCCACTGCGCCTGCATCTATATCCTTGTGGCCATCGATTTTTATTTATGAAATCGCGCGATTCATTACACATCTGTGTTCATTTGTGATTTTTTTCGATTATTCAATAGAGCAGGTATTCAATAACTTGTTACTTTTATGTTATAACAAGGTTTCGACTAAAATAGTAAATTCAAGACTCACTGCATGAAAAGATAAAAACCGAAGATAAATAATCCGACATGGTAAAATGTGCGGTGTAGTAAATTAATTAATTCTCTCAACAATTTTTAAAAGCTCGAAAATCTATCACATATTCCTCATCATTTCTAGGTCAAATTAAGAATTGTCATTATTTATGAAACCCTCATAATCCAGAGATTAATTAACAAAAAATTTCGTAACAATCATTAATTTACTTGCAGACACAACATTTTGGATGAAATCCGGTCAAGACACTTTGAGACGTATCTTATCTTTACAAAATAACCGAAATTCCGCTAAAAATATCATTCTTTTCATTGGAGATGGTATGGGATTATCTACTATTACGTCTGGACGGATATATGCAGGACAAATGAAGGGTCATTCTGGAGAGGAGTACAAACTCACTTTTGAGAAATTCCCCAATACTGGACTTGCTAAAGTAAAGTATTTTCCTTCTTGTGAGATGTTCAGAAAAACTATTAAAAAAAAAATTAACTTCACGATATTTATCTAAACAGCAAATATGCATTTCAGATGATGATGCTTTCAAAAATTCTAATTTTAACAATGAAATGTTATTTTTTTAGACCTACAATGTTGACAGGCAGGTACCAGATTCAGCAGGTACTGCCACGGCAATTTTCACAGGTGTCAAAGCTCAATACAAAATGCTAGGTCTCGACGGTAAGGTCAAGTACAACATGTGTGATAAAACCACGGTGGAAAATAGCCACCTAACGTCGATTGCTAGCTGGGCACAAGAAAGCGGCATGGACACAGGTAAATCAATTCAATACTATATTACACGGCGATTCTAGATACGATTTTTCTACCAGAATAAAAAGAATAAACTAGACACGACACGAGGAAAAAAATAAAATACTACGTAATCTACAATTCACGAGCGATTTCAGCAATTTCTTTTTTTGTGTGCGAACGAGTGATTTTTGTAGACAAGATTCGGTATATCGTAAAAACCGTGAACTAGAAAAACACTTAGCCTTCGCACGATACGTAGGAAGAACTTATCAGTGACATTGCCTTCTTTTTTTATTGTCGTTGGCATTGATTCCCTACTGAAAGAAAACGCACAAAGAAAAAGGAAAAATTTGATAGATTCGTCGAATAAATATTGTCTATCGAATGTTTTAATATGTACACCCCGAGACTTGCAATCAGACGTGCTCAATTGATAATTGAGCGAGCCTTGAAAATTTTCGAAGCAGGGAAAACGTTGCTCTATGGCGCACACGCGCGCATATATATAACGAACGACCCTCATCCGTTGTATACTTCTCGTGCTCCCAATGAACAGTTTTACGGAAATCACTGCTGCTGCTGTATAGACATTCACTCGTTTTTTTAATGTATCTCTTAGTTGCGAATAATAGGTGTAATCACGAGGTGTAAAATTAATTGTAACGTGATTTGATTTTATTGCTTCCGAAGCATTGTAAACATACTAATTAAAGAAGATTTTTTCTTTTTGTTCATTCCAATGCCATCTAATAAAAAAAATAACTTCGATGTAAATGTAATGATAAAATTATCGCCGTTACGCGTTAAAAAGACCAACGAAAAAGTTCATCGAGCAAACCAATTACTTGAATCGATTACACACAAGAAAAAACCAAAGAAGAAATCGAAAATCACACGTTCACACCCAATCAAAACAAACAATGGTCTGAAAGTGACGTCTAATACTTTTGATTTCAGGCTTCGTAACAACGACGCGAGTGACGCATGCGACTCCGGGTGCCCTGTACGCGCATTCACCTAACCGCGAGTGGGAATGTGACTCGAAGGTACCGCCTCAATATCGCGACTGTGTCAAGGACATCGCCAGGCAACTCGTCGAAGAGTCTCCCGGTAACAAGTTCAAGGTTCGTATTATTAAGATCAATTTTCAATATATATAGCTGGAATTTTTGCCGACTATTCATCGTATTATTAAACGCTCAGGCATAGTTTTGAACATGAGATTGCTCTCTTTTAGAGATTACTCTGCACTATACGTATCCAAAGCGTGAGAAATCGTTATTGCGGTAGCGACACGAACATTTGATTTGATTTTCTACGCGCGAGTGTAGAACTAAAAAATGTACCCAGTGCACGACGGGTCTCGGAAACTTTGTGACTTAGCTGAAAGTGAAATCAAATCACAAATTAATGTTATTGTCGAGATTATACATTCTGAAAATTATTATGTTAAAATACGTGAGACAATGAGATTTAGAGCACTTAATCATCCACGTGCGATGAGTGTCAATTGGTCAAGTTGATGATAAGGAAGTTCAAGGATAATAGGACCATGACCTTCCGCATCGATAAGTGCGCTTGCATAACTTTATTGGATAATAGTTGTCTCATAAATTAAAATGTATCGATATATGTACATTAAACGTGATACCCGCTTCGGAATCTAATTTACTTGTTGAGTGATGCAAGCTTATTACGATGTGACAATTTCAGGTGATAATGGGCGGTGGAGCTAGCACCTTAGGTTTCAAATCTGAGTACCCGGACAGTCTGGCATTGAAACGCTCGGATGGGCGTCGGCTGTACGAGAGTTGGTTGCTCTCGGCACCTGATTCCAAAATCGTTACCAACACCGCATCTCTCATGTCCATTGACATTCACAACACGAGCAAATTGATGGGTCTATTCGCTGATGACCACCTGCCGTATGCGGCGGTCAAGCCGAATAACATACCCAGTTTGGCAAACATGACCTTTCAAGCTATCAGAATGCTCAAGAAGAACAAGAAGGGCTTTTTCCTTATGGTAAGTTGATTATTAGTTTTCTGAAAACTCTTCATTGTCAGTGAATTGTACGGTCATTTACCTGACAACACAGACGTTCTCCTGTCTACGTTGATTACCACATTGTCGCTCAACCTCTAGTTTATTTTTTATTACCTAATTCAAACAGAATCGCTGATGAATCATCAATTAAGTACCAAAACCCGGTCAAAAAAGTCTAGTTTAAAAATATATCGATCAAGTATTCCATCCATCGATTAATACCGATAAAAGTGTTTTGTCTGGAAAATAATTGTTATTGATTATAGGATTGCTTATCATGTACTAACATTCGCAACTCATTTTATGCAGCAACGCCATTAAAAGAATTAGATCAAAAGTAGCAAGATTTCAAAAAATTACACAGCGCAAAAATGGAAGCATAGATCTATTCAACCAAAGAAGAGAGAGATAAAAAATATTCCTCACGGTATACGCAGACGCGTCAAATTGCACGCGGATGCGCTCGTGTCGCAAGGTCAACCCACTTGATCTATGCAATTTCGTGCGGTGTAATGTGCACAGCTCCGATCTAATCGTCTACATCATGCACAATTCCTAGCTTCCTATAATTTATTAAATAGCCGTTATATGGACCATGCGACTTGATCAATTCAGATGTACGCGCACGTGAGTTGCACGGAAGATACAAACGTCATAGGCGACATCACAATTTTGGAATTTGAACGTTGACTGTTCGAGAATCGCAATCCAGCAGGCAACGAGAGCTACGTTGTTGTGACTTCGACGGGGCTTGTCCCTCTAACGCGGAAAATGTTCCGTCAATGTGACGAAAAAGTACATCGACTAATTATTAACGTTGATAGATTTATTTGCAAGCTTAAGTTTGCCTTTTGTTCAATATACGAATGAAAAAACACTTGAACTTGTAAACATATATAAGATATAAAAACTTTCTATGAATAGGTGGAAGGTGGTAAGATTGATTTGGCTCACCACGAAAATTATGCACGACTGGCGCTACGCGAAGTAGCCGAACTGGATGCTGCCGTAACGACAGCCATACAAAACGTGAACGTCGACGAAACATTGATCATCGTCACGGCTGATCATTCGCACGCGTTCACGATGAACGGCTATCCAGAACGCGGAAACAATATCCTCGGACTGACCAATACCACCGGTGCTACTCAACGATACGAAACTCTCAGTTATGCCAATGGACCTGGCTACGCTTATCACAGAATCAACGATACCAGTGATCCCAAGCAGACCTGGAGAGACTTAGACAACGATAAGAATAGAAACGATACATTCTACAGGCACTGGGCTGGTAGATATGTCAAGGATGAAACGCACGGCGGTGAGGATGTTGGAGTTTATGCAATAGGTAAGTTGAATTTAAGCCAAAAAGTTTTCATATTTTCGATAATGTGATTATTGAGCAAGCTTGCAATTAAACAAAGTAACGAGAATCTGCTGCAAGCGAATTGAAAAGTTCGTGATTCGTAAATTGCACGATAACAACAATCTCGTTAGGCATTGTTTTGCGAGCAATGAAAGAAAGGAAACAAGACGTTGACATGGCGAGAATATCTTCTTAGCACAGGAAGCCGCAATCATCAATCAAATTTAAGTGATCCTATTTTTAGGCTACTGTTCATTCTCTCGGCAAATGTATACTTGCAAACGAAGCTACACTTGCCAAAATGTTAGACGTACTCGACAGATGTATTATTAATTATTTCATTATCTCAATTTACTGACGCGAAAGTGTCAGTAAATTGAGATAATGAAATAATTAATGATTGTTTTTTTTCATTTATCTCTGTAAAAGCTCGATTCGGTCTTTCTTTTACATCATCAACTGTAATTTCAGGCCCTTACTCTCACCTGTTTCGCAGCACCTTCGAGCAAAACTACATAGCCCATGTTATAGCCTACGCGGCTTGCTTCAAAGATTGGCCATCGCATTGCGATCACAACCGCTACTTCTACGAGATTGCCGCTGATAATTCCGCCTTGCAGGCGACCACTTTGTCGAGTGTCACGATCGCTTTCCTTGGACTTGTAAGCTACCTCGTTTAGACGACCAATCCATTACACGCGTACACCTGCGCAGCTTCTCGAACTGTCGCGTACTCGATCAGTGCTGGCGGCAATCAGTGTATCGTTACGCATGTCCAATTGCTTAAACGGATGCGCGTGCGAGTGTGATAGACCGACGCGACAGGCATGTAGTTTTACTTGCGGACCAGACGTTCTAGACAATTTCAAATAAATATACTTAACGAGGAAAAAGTTTCAACTATTTAAATTGATGCGATTGCCGTTGAAGTATTGTTGCTACACTTTGTTGATTTCATCCGAATACTTAGGTATTACCGTTAAAGTAATTTTACAATCGGTTTCTAGGAAATAACGATAAATTTTAAGAATGCTGATAATGTTTACTTTTTAGTATTATGTAAAAACTTCATTTTTTTTAGTTTACTGTATATAATTAGAATGAATGTCAGTTTTAAAAGTACAATCAACGTAAGCTATTTAAATAACTTCAGTTTTGCTACAACCTTGCGAATAATTGCGAAGAATGCGCTATCTCTAAATCGTTACTGGTGATTTTTACCATTCATTTTACAACTTTTGAAAATTACTTTAGAAAGTGGTGAAAGTGGAGATTTTTATTATCAAGGCAGCACGAAATATTTTCTCGATCGTTTATTTCGAATCCGAAACAACGGTATTATATATAACAATAACTTTGTAATGTTCACTATTGACGAAAATATACAGCAATGAAAATTAAAAAATTCATTAATGAAAGCAAAAACAACAAATATAACATACATGAAAAAACAATAACGTTCTGTAATAATTCTTTCATTTCCTGGCTAAATATAAGAAATCGATGGAAGTATGAAAAAAATTACCGTCAGTGAGAGCAGCTGCACTCGACAGCACAAATATCGATAAGTCAACAATGACGAAGTGTCGTAGTCAAAATATCCCGACGACGACGGATTCATCCTCTACCGTAATCTCGACTAGGCCTGGAGGCTTGTGTGGACTTTCTCGTAAATGATCGATTGAAATAATCAAGATATATTTGAATTCGAAAGTGTATCGTACAGATCTCATTACACTTGATATGGATTTATAATAAGCAATCCATTTTACGGATATACAAAATCACACCAGATCGTTATCAAAAAAAAAAGCTTTTCCATTCGCAATGGTGAATTGGTGAAACGTGTCCGTCCACGTGGTGGCAAAAAGAGCGGATGGGAAAATAAGAGCAGTATACCGAGTTGTATGACAAGTACATGGTGCAATTGACGACCCACTTGAGCATCATCGAGCAATGAGTGAGTAGACCCCTCGCAAGTAGATCATGTTGTGTCGCGCTGGCTAAAAATACACTTATCACGCACTGCAGCGGCCGGGGATTCCCCGGGCGACGCTCAGAAAGTAGTTCTTGTAGATGAGGGGCGCCGAGTCGTCGCTCACGAAATTCCGCTCGGGTCTCAACGAGGCGAACGGATTCCGTCTGGGTTCTTGTTCTACCTCGAGCTCACGGTATTCACGAACGCGAGCCAAGTCGCGGGGCAATTCCACCTCCGTATAGGATGTTATCAAAATCGGCACTCCGTGATCGCAAAACTTTTCGATTGTTCGGGGCCAGGTGTCCTGAAAGAAAAGAACGATCAATTAGTTTTGGTATCTGCAATTCATGTTACAGTATATTTAAAACAACAGGAGTGCACGACGCTAAACTTTGACATTACTGTGGGAAAGCGTATGCCGTGTGTTAAGTTAAAAGATTAATCATACTATTTTCATGCAATTATTATACATGTATTATGCAATTATTTACATTTAGATATAGATTATAGAATAAACGGTATAATAAGGTTTATATCATTAGCACGCGATCAGAATCGGTATAATGTTACCGCTGACAACACAAACAACCTTATTTAACGTATGGACAAAAAATCTTAGCGTTTCTATAGATTTGAATCGTACAATTTTTAATTAAAATCGTTAATTAGGAAAGATAAGTACAAATGTGCGTCATTATTGAAACGTTTCGAGGAGCCCTGATTAATCAACTTATTGTACATAGTGCCGAATGCGACCAAGCTTCGCAGCTTTTCATGCCTTCTCCCATGCCTGCCGTGACCGTATCATTTGAAAAGTGGATTTTGTTGATTTATTATTGATGTTGGCAGAAAGCCGGACTTGAGCAGCAGCGTTCGCGTGCTCGTGGCGATACGTACTCGCGCTGAGATGCTCGACAATGAACGATCTCGATTATTTAGTTTTTAGTTTTGCACAAATATAGACAAATCAGGCACTTGCCAGTCACTTCATAAAACACCCCGTTCACTTTGAAGTCCGGAGATCACAACACTTTAGAGAACTTGAGGTACATATTTTTCAATCGAATCCGAGCCTTTTGGATAAAAGCCAAGTGTCCTACCCATTAAACTATATTACATTTGTAAAGATTAGGCGATAATGAAATTGTTAATTGATTAAAACCTAATAATTTTTAGTGAAAATTAGCAAAATTTCCCATACCGGGAATCGAACCCGAGCCTCCTGGGTGAAAGCCAGGTATCCTAGCCACTAGACCATATGGGAGTAATAAGAATTTGACCCATATTGTCTAACGTGACCTTAAGGGAGTACAGTGGATACGTTACTATAGTTAATTTGGAGGATGTTCGGGATTCCTAAAGATCTTTGTAAAGACTCGTGCAGTTGCCATCAAAACTCTACAACTATTTTCATGTTTAAGCTTAACATTTTCAAATATCCACATAAAACATTTTTTATTTTTTATTTTTATAAGCTCTGAATTAAATTTTAGCAAACGAATATAGATCAGAGATAATTGTATACACACCACACAAATTTTTCATAATTTTATCATTTTTGAGCATCTTTATAGTTAATAAATCTTGCACTTAGACTACATCTTATTTTTAATTATTAATTTCTTGAGTTTGAAGCTCTAAAGGGTTACAAATGTTAACCTCACCATTAGAGTACTTTCATGAAACTATCGTTCAAATTTCGAACGAATTTCATTTTTAATAATATTTTCATTTTAAATACTAGACATTAAATTCCCTTAAAAATAATTATTATTTTCTAATATAAGTGAAAAAAAAGTTTCCCATACCGGGAATCGAACCCGAGCCTCCTGGGTGAAAGCCAGGTATCCTAGCCACTAGACCATATGGGAGTGATAAGAAGCTTACCCAAATTATCGAAGTAGTTTTTAAAGTTACGCAATATCAATTTTAAAAGATGATTGAACTTTTATAATTAATAACATTGTTAATCAATTATTTAACCGAACTGATAATTGAGTTCTTTATTAAGAAATTATTTATTAGTGGATTATATTACTATTGCAGCCGGTCGGTATTTTACTTGCTGTCGGTAAGGTAAGTATACACTTGTTATAGTGAATTACCTTAGTGCCTGCGTATTTCAAATTTAATTTTCTCAATCAGAATTATTAGTACTATTCGCCTCGAAATAAACAAAATAAAAGCGTATCTATGCAAAATGATTCATCATTTATATTTACCTGATTAGCGAACCCAGTCGTCCTATAGAGGCCCGGATTGAATAAGCAAACAAGGTCAGGCCTATCACACTCAATTTGGTGATACAATTTGCCACAATGGAACACGACGTGAATTTCACGTCCCTTGGCACGACAACCTGCACAGAGTCTTGGTCTTTTGAGTACTTTAGCTATATCGTCGGGCACTTGAAGTTCCGGACCACTGAACTCGAGCCGTAAACTCTTGATTCCCGGCAACAGGTGTAAAAACAGCTTCTCCCAGACGGCCAGATTTGCACACTCGAATTGTAATTCCGCGCCAATAACGTGTACGCGAAGAGATTTGCGGTTCTAAAAAAAAGTAAATAAAAACATTCAGTTCAACAACCAATATTTTGATATTTTAGTCGCACATTAATTATTATAAAATTACATTGTTGTATGATAAATATTCAGGTAATACTTCGATGTTGTAAATTTTTAATAAAACAGACATTTCCTATAAGAAATCAAATTAATTATAATCCTTAGCGTACATTGCTCCGAAATTATTTTAATATTCAACTAAAAGATCTAAAAGATAAAAAGAAAAGACGAAAGGTGTACGATAAGCTTTCCGTCAGATTTACCGAAACGTCCATCATCGTCATTAATAGATCAACATAACATAACGTTTCTGAAGTGTCTGTCTCTATACGCTTTCTACGTTACCTTTTTAGATAATCGTAAAAGCGCGATTATTTTTAGTTCTTACACTACTAATTGTTAGCGGACTTTGACCTCTGAAGCAACCAATAGCGTACAATCGATTGCGCCATTATTATATAAATGAATCAACAGAAATTCATTCAAGCGCGTCGTAAAAATGAAGAGGTGCAAAAATTTAACACTAGAAAAAGTAATCTCATAAAATCACCAGAAAAATCTTATCTTTCACAGAGAAAAAGCTTTGCACATAATCACCGTAGTAAGTTTGTGGCCCTGCGCGCTTAGTTGGAGAGTGTAACGAGCTGTCAAGGCCGGACTAGCAGCCTGTGAGAGAGCGGCATACGAAGCGCAGTCAATCCTGTCGTAGTCATTTCCAAATGCAAAAATTGTTTTCATTAGTCCATCAAAGTTTTCCGGTAACTCTTCGTCCCCAATAATCGCGAAATCTGGTATCTTTGGCGCTAAGAAACCACTGTCTGCTTGCATCGCTAATACACCTCGGAACACCCTCCACTCGGCGCAATGATCTTCATGGTTACCTCTGTGCTCTTCACAGAAGAACTCCATGAGGCAGTCGGAGCAAGTCTTCAAGCCGTCTGAACTGTGACAGGTACGACAGAGTTTGGGGTAAAGCAGAATTTCGCGTTCACAAAGTTCCATTCTTCGGCCGAGAGCTTGCTCGACGATGCGCAACAGTTCCACGCGGAAGCTGCGATACTCGTCGGGGCCCAAGTTCCTTGCCAAATCGAGGCCGTTGTTCTTTACGCAAATTTCTGCGAGCACAGTGCACAACTGCTTGTGATGTTTGAGATTCTGTTGACGATGTTGACTTGAGCAATAAGTCACCATTCCGCACTGTTCGCAGTCGAAGTGGACGTCGTCGCAAGCTTTCGAGCAAACATAGCACAAACTGCTGACGAAGTAAGGTCGCGGACGAAAATCCAACTGGAGTTCGGATTCTTCGTCTTCTGCCTCGTCGGTTTGATAAGCGGGCAAGCCAAGACGATCGACTATGGGAATTGTTTTTGAAAGCGTTGGAATCTCGTCAGTTTTTAAATCACTTTTGATGCCGTTAAATTTTCCAGTGGAAGTTTTCAGAGTGTGGTTGCATTTAGACTTTCGCTTTGATTTCCGACCCATGTTCTACGCCGTCGATCTGAAAAAATGATTCCTGTGTTAGCTCTATTACGAAGTGCTTCAAAACTTTTATTAATTTATTTATGCGTGCAAGTACTTGTGAAGCCTATTGATATGCTATCAAAAAATTCGTATAACTATTAGCGATTACATCTTTACCGTCATTCAAGTTGCAATTATCAAAACGATATAGCGACAGTTGAACACGTATATACATGTGTTCGACCGCTCTAAACTAATAAGATAAAACACAACCATAGCAAATTCGTACAAATCAATTACCTACGTAATCATACTATGTAGTACACTCATTTTATTGAAAACTAAAATTTCCGAGTGCGAATTATCGATTTTACATTTATTATAACATTTATACATTTTACATCATTTAAAATTAGAAAGCAATCGTGAGCACAAGTAAAAACTTATTTTAGATATACTGCGCAAACCGGGCGGAATTCCATAATTAAATTGCTGTACGAATACTAAGAAAGCTAGTACACGTAACGAGCTTCATTGAACGCCTAACTATTAAATCATTGTCACCCTGTTTTCATGGTGAGCGTTTACTTCACAATTTTTGTTTTCTTTTTCTTGTGCGTTCTATTTGCTGCTACAACTCTTTAATGTTTAAGCAAGCGTGTTTACTCAAAGAATGTCACGCGTGCTGCCAACTTACGCAATTGCTCGAGCCGATATAGCCGCAGCAGCAATTCAATGCCCCTCGATTTGCGAGTGCTGCACGTTGCGTTAAACACAAACCCAGATCGCCGAATTGCCACCAAAACAGCAATCGAGCGCGTCCGTTGAAAACGCGCTTGAGTGAGTCCCAATTTGCGCACAAGAGCTGACGACGATGGCGCAGCCGATGAACACTTGACGAGAAAGGCAGGTGCACAGGAGCCCGCGCGTATCCGAAACGATCGATCGACCGCGCAACAGAGCAGAGAACGAGAGATCGCGTAGGCCGCTCGCGGGCCGCACTCGCACGCTCCCGGCAACGGAGCGACAGACTGCCGAGCTTGCGACCGTGGCTGCGCAAGCACACGACCGCGCTGTCTCTCTATAACTAGCCGCGAGCTGACGAGCGACCGCGTCGACAATGGGCACAATGCCCGCGAGTGCAGCGCGCATTACTTCTAACCGCCCTGTCGCTTACGCGATCGTCGTCACCCGAGTGGCTCGTCGACTGCTTGGTTTCCGTCGACCGATCGCGGTACACGACCGACGTTCATCAGACCGTTCTCAGAGGGCCATTTCCCAACTCGATCGAGTGAGATTTGATTCGTGTCTTTTTCTGTGGCTAACTCTTAGATGGGCAAATGGTTGTTGTGTATTGCATGTTTCCTCGATATACTGCTGATAAGGTCATGTCTATTTATCAGGTCAATCATTAGACTTTTATAACACGCTACTGTCCACCGGTGAAACTGCCAGAATCATGTAATTTTATAATTCTTATCTGTGCGTTACATGAATCATTCGTGAAAAAAAGCTTCCGATAGCTTTTAATAATGTGCTAACAAGATTCGTTTATAATTGTGTACTACTTCTTTGATCAAATTACTTTGCTATAAATGGCAAGTTGCCCGCGCATATCTCGAGGATGTTTATCTTTGAGCGCGAAGGCAATAATCTATTACTTCGCATATATATGTACATTTATCAGATTTCGAAGCAAATCAAACGACGAAGTTAACGTATGAACGAAAAAAACATCTAATACAACATAGCACTTTGTCGAAATACTATACGATTATAGGAATTTATAAAACGACGAGCGATTAACTTACAAATAAATTTTTCTATTTGGAGTATTAGAAAAAAACGCTGATTTGTACAACAAATACTACGATATTGTAATTATAATTAAACCAGAACTTATGGCATGTTTTTTACTATCCGCATTATCAAATTATATTGACTCAGCTGAAAATGAGCTGAGTAAGTGCTTTAATTAGTTGACCGGAACTTAACATTTATCCAATGAATACCTTCCCGAAATCGAGTGCACACGTCTCTCAGTTCACTGCAAGATTACACACACAGTTAAGGTACGCGCGCGCGCTGCCGGTTATTGTGTACATACATGTAATCGTCACGTGTGCCACGTTCACTTCGCGCGCGTACCTCCTCAGTCGCGTTTTTTATCCAAAGAGGCGCGGCGCGCCGCTTCATAACCTCGTATACGACTTCAAGTGTAAATATATCGCTACAAGACGTCTGCTACCGCAAAGTGTTTAAGTCACATCATCTTTTCTTCTCTTTTGGTTTTTGTATGGCTGCCGCTCCATTATACTGTGTCGGTCCGCTGACGGTTCCTCGCTGCCGTCAGACGGACATGCCGGATCGAGGTGAGCTTTATGGAACCTGTCGTCTGGTTGTTGTTATTTGAACTTGTAGGTTCTGTTTGCAGACTTGTTACTAGCTGTATAATCGATTTGATTACTATTAACTACAATTCAGCTTGCTTGCTTTATAACTAATTATATTTTTCTTCTATAACTTCAAGAGGATTCATTTTTTTTAAGCTGATAGACAGTGTTTAAGAGAATCGTATATATAAGACATAACCTCTTGAAGGAAAAGTCAGCTATGCAATTTTATTTATGAAACTTGCGTTTTCATGTATGCTCAGTATACATCATTCGCTTTTGTTATCGATTAATCTATAAATTTATAAGGAACCTATGTATATACGAGAGATAAGCATATTTTGTCATTATTCATTCATGTGACACGTTATCGTGATACATCATTACAACGCTCGATTAATTTCTTTTCTTTGTGTGTGTTACCCACTCAGTATAGTTATCTCGGAATACTCGTCTAAACAAAAATATTATCTGAGAATAGCAGCTTTTTTTATGTGAAACAAAGAAGAAACGCCAGTTTATTTTATTTTTATCATGTCCTAATTGAATTTTCGATAAGAACTTTTGTTATTATCGGTTAGTTAGACTGTCGTTGAAATATAACCAACGTTGAATTTTCAAAGTTGTTTATTTAAATTTTTGATGGAAAAAGTATGCGTAAGCAGTTTGAAAAGCAACTGGTTGTATACAAAAAAGAAAAAATATATGCCAACGCGTTACGCATTTGCCGCAAGGTCATGTTTATTTTGCAATACGTGAATACAACTACAGTTTCCGTTCATGAAACCTATCTTTGTTTAAGTTTTATTATTTTTTTTAATTTTTAGTTTTAGTTACAATGAGTAACAATGCTTCCTTTTATTAATTTGAGTACCTTGTGAAGGAGTTGAAAAACAATTTTTTATCATTTGTACAAAATGAAACAAAAATACAAAATATTATAAAAATTACATACAGAAATGGTAATATTTTTAGATCCAGCTAAACTTGATCAAAAATGAAAAGCGAGCAATTAAGCTTTTAAAGGTAGGAAATTGCTTTTGTTGGCAGATCGCATTTAGAACCAAGTTCTATATATAAATGTAGATCTTGTGTCTGGTGGCTGAATGTTATTCTCTCTCTCAAACTAAACCAAGTTAACTAAAAAATTTATCTAAAATAGAATTGCCATTTAAATCCTTACTATTAGTTTGTCATCAAATGTTTTATTTTTCTGATTAATGTTATCAACAATTATTAATATACAATATCTTTTTACAGATTACAGTGTTGACTATAAGTAATCTGGCCATAGAATGCACAATGCAGAATTTAAAACTAAGGATAAGGAGGATAATACTAGACTACGTCAAAGAAAATTCAAAAGAGAGAAATTTTCTAAATCTGAAAGGAATATGGTGGGCTCTGGTAGTGGAGAACCACTTGGTCAAGACTTGGCAGATGTTAGGATGGAGTTACTGGAACTCAATACAGATGATGATGATGACATGGGTGATGAAAGCGATACAAAATGTTTGATACTATCACCAAAACCTGGTGTATCTATCAAAAGGGGCGATAATTTTTTAAATGATTTGAATGATGAAGCAGATGATGAAAATGTTTGGTCCATTACTATCCAAATGTTTATTCCATTTTTACTGGCAGGATTTGGGATGGTAGCTGCCAGTTTACTTCTTGATGTAGTTCAGGTATTACTGCATGTAAAGATCTTTTTAATTGAATTGAAGAATAAACACTGTATTTTGTTATTTTCAGCATTGGCCAGTATATCAAGAAGTCTCTGAAGTTTATATTCTAGTTCCTGCTTTGTTAGGTTTAAAAGGTAATTTAGAGATGACTTTAGCTTCTCGTTTATCTACTCAAGCCAATCTTGGACATATGGATACCAAGAAGCAACAGTGGTCATTAGTTGTTGGAAATTTAGCTTTAATTCAGTGTCAAGCAATGGTAGTTGGAATGCTTGCTTCTTTAGCAGCTGTTGTACTGGGATGGATACCTGAAGCCCATTTTGATATTCATCATGGATTACTTCTTTGTGCCAGTTCATTAATGACAGCATCTGTTGCCAGTTTCGTTCTTGGCCTTGTTATGGTTGCTGTGATTCTTTTCTCACGACGTTTGAATATTAACCCTGATAACGTTGCGACGCCAATAGCTGCCTCTTTAGGAGATTTAACAACTTTAGCCTTGCTTTCTTGGATAGCATCACTTTTATACAATTCCATAAGTAATTTTTTTATATTTATCTAAAAATAATGTTAGAAAGGGTTATGTAAAATGTATACCGTTTGAAATATTCATAGGTACCGCTTCGTGGATCGCACCAACTGTGATAGTCTTTTGTATACTAGCTACTCCTATTTGGGGATATGTAGCAGCAAAAAATCCTTTTACTAAGGAAGTTTTGGACCATGGCTGGACTCCTGTGATATCTGCCATGCTTATAAGCAGGTAATTTATTTTAATTTTCGCCTAAAACATATGTTTCATCGATCCATTGAATTTTTTCCAGTGCTGGAGGATTGATTTTAGACTACACAATATCAAATTACAAGGGTATTGCCGTTTTTCAACTTGTAATCAATGGAGTTGGTGGCAATCTTGTGGCCGTTCAAGCCAGCCGAATCTCCACGTCACTGCATAAGCAACAAAATAGAAGCAATGTTCCAGAAGTGCCTGTTGTATGCATTAGTCCTATGCATGCATTTTTTGTAACGGGCACGTAACATAAAATAAGTTATTAATATTTTATGAGTACAACCTGAGTAACTTTTTTGTTTAATTGAATTGTAGAAGGCCACGCAAGAACTGCCAGAGTACTTTTAATGATGGTCGTTCCTGGTCATTTAATTTTTAGTTATACTATTAGTTATTTACAAGCTGGACATACTTCTTTTACACCAATTTTCATGACTGTTTATTTGACTGCTGCACTTTTACAAGTAAGTAGAATTTTCACTGAAAAAATGAAGCAAGCATTAATTTTTCATCAGAATTGTTAAATTATATTTTGAATTCTAGGTCATTTTATTACTCTACATTGCTCAACTGATGGTGGTTTGGATGTGGAACAGAGGTATCGATCCCGACAGTTCTGCTATCCCATATCTAACCGCTGCAGGTGATTTAATAGGAACTGCTCTGCTGGGCATAGCGTTCCACCTACTCAATGCTATTGGCGACGGCGATTCAGACGTCGGTGATTAGAAGTATCAAAAGTCCGATGTACTTGTTTTTAACGTTTAAAAAAAAGAATGTATTATTATTTTGTCAATTAAGTCTCGCGGCACAATAAACGTATATATACAATTACAAAAGAGGCATGATTGTCAAGTGGAAATGACACTGTAAGGAACGAGGAAATCATGATATTAATTTTGTGTCAATATTATTATTATTATTATATTTTTTTGTGAAATACATATAACGTAAAGAGCTTCTTTTTTAAGTAAAGTTTAAATAACTAACGTGTACATTTTACACTGTAAATAGTTGTTTATCTATTTCGTATGCATAAGTATTACATTGTTATACCATGAGAAATCGTCTCTCGAATCAGAAAATACATAATTTGTTACAGAATAAAAAAAAATGGACAAAAGATCTATCAGTCTGAGAGAGCTTCATTCCCCCATTGTAACTGCTGCACCTCAACGATTCGCTAAAAATAGTTGTGGTTGAATTCGAATTCACCGTCGTGTATTACGTCTGTGATATGACGCGCAACGGTCTTTTTTTTATCTCGTCAGTTGAGCTCAATTATCGCACGCATACACGCATACGTACACGACAATATTAGTTTAACTGTTTAATGGAGAAGTGATTGCTGCTCGCCTCATGTGTTCTAAAGTAATTTATCTTTTCTTACGACAGTCGCGCTTTGCTATAAGTCTCGTGACCAAAATAATAATAGACTTGGCTGCATGTAACTGAAACGCGAGCGTCAAATTTTTATTTTCTTTCACACCTTTACAAAAAAGTACTTGTTAATTATTCACGATAACGCAGCAAATTCATTCAACTATCTGCTTTGATACGATTATTTGCGGAAGTGGATAATTTTTTGCGTCCCTATTTGACAATCTGATGATTTACGTCCAACTAGAGCGTGTAGCATCGCTTTTGTGTGGCTTTGTTGACGAACGATAATATTGAGATGGCGTAAATAGACGTGAAGAGGGGCAGTCTTATCGGAGCTTTTTCGCATTTGCATCTATCGAGCATTAACGACAAGACAGTGAATTAATTTAGGGCGAACAATACGTTGTCATTTTTGTCAACGCAGTTAGCGGCTGTTAAAAAGTGGCTGAGCCATTGCAAGGGAAACGCTTCGCGCTGATCGCGCCAATCGCTGGGGCAAAAATCAAGGATCTCTGAAAATCCGAGCCGTGTGACGCTTGACTTGGGCTAAGCGATTACCCCCCTTCGCGCGCGTTTGGCATAATGATTGTCGCGATTCTGTCTACGTGCGGTGGCACGCACGTGGAGCGAGCGACAGCTCTGAAAGCCCGTACACCTCTCAGGCACGTACCAGCGTACCGTATGGGCAGAAATTGGCGTGCGTGTGTGTGCGAGAGCGCCGAAGTGGACGATGATGATACGAGGCTTCAGCTTAATCAAATAGTTGGATCTACCAGTGCCAACTATCCCTCCGCTCGCAACGGACAAACTTTTATTGGCTAATCCTTGCTCCACTAACGGCCGCTCGCGGATAGTTTGCAGGGATCTCGCCGGTGGCCAGCTTTTCTTCGGCGATGCCTTGAGCAGCTCGCGACGATGACAGCTCTCCAGTGGCGATTGGTCAACGCTCAGATTCGTCCGCTTTGGCGGCGACAGTGCGATTGCTCTTCGAACTGACGAAAGTGGTTGCACGCGCGCGCGCGCGCCAGTGCAGTCGACTCACAAGATGACGATCAAAAGAACGATTTTCGACAACGAACCGCCTCCACTGCTTTGCCTCGAGCGCTGAAAGCAGATCGCCGTAACGGAGTCGCGCGCACGGTGAGATGCAGTGCTGACGACAGTTCCGAAAACTCCGTGACAAGCTGCTTGGTCCACCGACGAAAAGCGATATCGCGATTACCGTGAGTATATGTACATCGAACTCTTGGATTAGTTCCACCCCTTTACCCCCTGTCTGTGCGACGTTCCTTCTCTCGACGTCCTCACACCACAAGTGATGCAAGTCGTTTGGTGCTCGAAACTTCGCTCAATTTTATTAGATGATTGCTATTTCTCGCGCACACTTGATGTATCATGCGTTTGATTGTTTCGTTGTCGAATTGCCGAATCACAGTTTCGCTTGGCCGCCCGATACTCGTCTTCCCGTCGCTACGAACGCTCGCTAGCCGTCGGTGATTTTCATCAATAAATCAATAGTCGAGCAGTGCATCATCCGTCCTTGATCGAAGAATTAACGCAGGAGTCGCACGACAGAATTGTCCCTTCAACGCTTGCTGGCCGCAGAGCTCGCTCGCAGGTAATAATCCGACAGAAGAAAGCGTGTGCAGTGCTTCGCCAAAGCCAAGGCAGAGGCGATGTGTGCGCTGCGCCGACGGAATAAATAGGGCGGAAACAGCCGCGCGGACCACACTCCAGCGCTTTTCGCACGTGTACGCCTCGGACTTTGCATGTAGGGCTGTGCTCGGGAAGCACGAAAACGGAATCGCGCCATAAATGCGGCACGTCGACGGGCGCGCAGTCGATCGCGGATCGCGGCGCGCAATAAAGCCGTCTCGCGTCGGCGCGATTTACGATCGACTTGTCGGCTTTCCTAGCGGCGCGATTTTCGCGAAACTGGAACGTCAGGGGCGAGCAGGAGGGAGCCCCGCTCCGCGTCAAGTGCAAGCCGCGCGCCGGAAATTGAGTTAGCGCGCTGGCGGCACAAAACACGTGGAAAAGTGGAAATAAAGTGGGGCGCGCACGTACGTATGTCAATTGGCGGCTGCGACCACGCGAGTTCGAGCGGCCTTGCCAAGGCCAGCGCTGCGCGTGTGCGTGATCCGGCGACACGGCGGCAGCCGCGTGCGATTTCATTCTTCTCTCTTTGGCTGCGCGTCGCGCTCGACGCTGCTGCGCTGGTTGAATCGTGAGCTCCCCCTCCCCCCTCCGAACTCCTGGCGAAGCAGCGAGATTCGAGCCTGACTGCGCGATGTACACGCGGTGCGAGCGTTTTCCGGTGCCCTTGTCAATTCTCCTGGCTACTCGGTCTATACGATCGACAAACCACTGAGAAAAGTAGAGAATCTGCCGCGAGCGATCTCGCGCTCGTCGTCTGCGTCCCTGAGCCAATGTCAATTGGATCAGCGAGAACTATCTCGTGGCTTTGTGGGCGATTCTCAAACATGTGTAATTCTGCCTAGAGGCGACGCAGACGCCGAAATACTATACTCTGCCGATGGCAGTCTGCGGTTGGAATTTACGTCGCGAATCCAAAGCGAAGAGGTGGTTTCGGCGCAGGCAAAAACCTCAGCCAATGGATGTGTGTGAGAAACAGTAGCAACTGGATAATGCCTCATTAAACGTGGCACACCGCAACGCGGGAGAGAGAGAGAGAGAGAGAGAGAGAGAGAGAGAGAGAGAGAGAGAGAGAGAGAGAGAGAGAGCAATTTGTATTCTGGTAACTTCTGGACTAGGTCACATCCATGGAGGCCCACTTTTCTGATTACCCGTCGCGCGGCCGTTATAAACGTTTGCATTTCTCACTCGCGCTGGCAGCCAGCTCCGATTGCCATCTAAGTGCGTCCAACGTGATGATATGCCGAGCTTCCTATCCCGCTCCGCGCCTGAGTGTCTGTCATTATTGCGTCCGATGCGTATGGCTTGATCTCGTTGAGCTGCCAATTGCTCCGCGAAAAAGATTCTGCCGTTTCTTTGTCTCGACGTCTGCCCTGCAGACCAGCGTCGTTCTGTGCTGCGAGGCGAGTCTTGACGCCCAGCTATTTTTGCGAACCTTGCCATGGGAAAGAGCGCGACGTAATTTGATTTACGTAACGCAAACCGAGCACACAGTCATAGCGAATTCGATCGGCGGGACAATCGAAGAAGACTGTCGTTTGAATGTCCGAGGGTGCGTTTCGAGCCCCGAATCGAATAAAACAGTGTTCCAGTCGATCGCGACGCGTTTATTTACGTTTTGAATCATCGCCAAGAGCAAGCTCTGCGCCGTCGTGAACGTGTACCGCGATAATCACATTTCATCCATCGACATTCGCACGAGGGCGTCGATCTCCACTCGCGACGTTGGGCCACGCGAAACGAACACTGCGGAATTTCTCGACCACAACAGACGTAGTACCGAACGCACTTCCGCCACGACGGTCGTTCGGCTAACTGTCGAACGACTTAATTGCACGGTTTCCAATTAGCAGTAATTGCGCTTTATTGACCTGGCCGGCGACGTATGCACAACTTTGCCGTGACGACAGCCGATAAGAAGACCGATCGATCGCGTACGCGTGGCTGTGGGCCACTGCACGCGCGAAAGCTCGGGAAGAGTGTCGCTCGTTCGCGGGGTTGGGAGCGCTCTGCCTCTCGAGCTGGCCGATCGTTCGACGCTGGCCGAGAAGCCGCGGGGCGATCGATGGAAGCGCACGCCCGCGACCGGCACGCGCGACTTTTCGAGGGAGATCGATCGTCGGCGCATCTCGAGGGCGGCGCGCAGACCGCGAGCAGCACCGAAGCGCGCGGCTCCGCGAGCTTGCAGCATAGGTCGTGAACCCTGCGGTCGACGGCGCGCGGCAGCACGTGGCTCGGCGAGCTGGCGCGCGGGATCGATAAAAACGCGCACGCAGCCGCCGGCGCGCGTACGGCGAGGAGGCTATAAAAGCGGCGTCGGCGCCGGCGGCCAGCTCAGTCGCCATGTAAGCGCGTCGCTCGGGCGGATCGTCGGGCCAGCTCACGGCCCCGTGCGCCCGCCAGCCCACCTCGACTGGCAGCTTACGATGAGCTGCGCTCCGCCGTCGACCGTCGCCACCGTCCGCTCTCGCAATGCTCTCGACGCGAGTCCAGCTGTGCCAAGGCGGCGACAGGCGGAATTCGGTTGATGTTGTCATTGCCATGCCGGCCGATGCTGCCGCCGCTGCAGCCTGCAGGTACACACGTTGCGTCCTGGCCCACAGATTCGCGACGCGATTGCCGGCGGTATTTTTACAATTGAAGGCTTGGCGCGCCGAGCTGCCGATGTTGTCGTTTGAGATGACATTTTGCATCTTTATTTAGTCGCGTCGCCTCCTCCGGCGCTTGTGCCAGCGCTGTCTTCTCTTTGGCTGTAGTGCGACCGACGCTCGGTCGTTCGTATCGGGAGGTGCGGTTTACTTTTTACTTCCCAAACGAGAGGCTTCTCTCGCGAGATGTCAATTTTTCAAAACTTTCAAAACTTCGACGTTATCTGCAGATACTCCAATTAATTGTGTGCTTTTCGTTGCAATAGCTTTTGTTTAGAACGTATAAAAGAATCTGTGACATCGTTGTTGCGACAAAAAATAATAATAGAACAAGTAAGGCCGATTGAAAACTTTCACAATATCTCCTTTCCCATTTCAAAGTACATTTTGTGCGGTAAGCAAACTGTCTAATTAAGCTGTGAAAATTGAGTTTGAAACTGATTACGACGCCAGTTTCAAAACTGTTAATATTGGTTTTAAAGTGTAACTCAGCTACATCCTCACGACAAATTGTGGTTAAAAAGAGCCGAGACTTCGGCAGTATGCAAAGTAGAATAAATAAGTTCTCGGAAAAAAATAACTTGGACGAAGTGGCCATGCACACGGAAGTTCAACACTGTATGTGGCTCTCTGTATAGATATACGAAGCGCGAGCAATCAATCGACCTTGACTCCGGAGCAACCGAAATCTCTCTATACGTCATGCGACTCCGGAGCAACCGAAATCTCTCTACGTCATGCGACTCGCATCGATTTCTTCTATACGCTATCGAATACGACTTTATAAAGCTCAAGGCAAAGGGAGACGCGAGATGAGCCGCAACGGCGTAACGAGATCGCACGGGCGCGTTAACAGGTTTCATCGGGCGCGTCGACTCGTTGAGCCACGCTTATTCCATCGGGATGTCCCTCGAATCGACCTCTGCGCCCGCGACACCAGTCCTGCGTCCACGTGCGATCGAGCGAGAAGCGAACGTAACTCTACCGGCGCCGCCCGAATTCGATCGCCGCACGCGCACGCTTGCAATTAACTCGTCGAGAGCGAGACGCGCAGTTGATCACCTGCGCGGCTTTACGCAACTAGTCGCGTGTCACGCTGCTACACCCACCAGCCGCGACTTCGTTCGCCCATTGGCGGCCGTCACCGTCGCCCGACGGGGTTCCCGTGTTCGCGCTGACTATGAAATTCTTGAAAATTTTTTTCCGCCAGAGCGCAAGCCGGTAAACATTCGTTCCGCGTGCTCGCGACCAGTCGGCTAGATCACTCTCTCTCGCGTTCGGTCGTTCGTTCGCGCAGCCCGTTGAGAAGGTGGCGACGAGCACTTTCCAAAGCGTCGCTACCTCTCGGCGTCAATCATTGTGCCGCGCAAATCGCGGACTGTCGTATGCGCGACGTCTTTGAATAAAAAATGTGCTCTACGTGACCGCTACAGTTGAAATGATTACGATGACACCTCGTCATCGTAATCACTTCAGCTAGACGGTTAAATTTAGTTGTCAAGAAGAATCGCTCGATACGCCTATTATACACCAAAGCGACTATAATAAATTTGCATGCATCATTCGTTAGTCGCTGTTTTATTTTTAATAATGTCAGATGCAGTCGCGCGCAATAATAACGAGTAATAACAGAACGGTCGCCAAGTTGTTAAATGGCAATTAGCTCGCATTTACATAATCATCAGTCTTGAGAATTACGAGCAGACATGCAATAGACGTATGCAACTTGAGCGATAAAAACTATCAAGAACGTAGTATGACTTTTTTTCCGATTCCCAAGGATTGACGTCAAATAGTTGCCCGCAAATCTGATTTGTTTCATAGATCCGCGATGTTTCAGCGAATCGTGGTAGTGCAATGATGCGCCGCGATAACCACATACCCCGATAACTGATATTGGCGATAATTCGTCATTGTTTCGCAACAACATGATGCTTGTTCAATCAGTGTTTACCTACGCATGGACTAATTCACTCGTAGCACAACGGATATATCGCCATGTGTCCGCAAGTATCTTGCATTTTTAGCGTCATTTTCGTGTCGTCAGCTTCATCCCCGTCATTGTCATTGTCATTGTCATTCCGAAGGATGCGATGGAAGGCCACTCGCGGACTCGTCAATGTTCTTCTCGAAGAACGTTTCGAGTCCTTTCGCGGCCGAGGGCAAGTGCAAGTGTCCATCGCTCGTTCGTCATCCTCGCGCTAAGTGTCGCGCGGCCAAAAAGAGAATGACGACGAGGCAAAAAATAATCGTAGATTCAAGCGGGAAATCGACGAAAGGTCAAGGCTTCTGGGCGAGAGGCTATCACCGCCGCGAGCCTCCGCCATTGGTGGAAGAGAGACGTCGAGCCTTTCCCGCGAGCTCTCGAATAATGGATACGAGAGCTGCAGCCCTCCCAGGTAACGACTCCCTGCGACGCCGCCTGTTGTGCGAAACGCTTCTTATGTATATTCCCGACGCTGCGCGCCCTCCCACCTGGGAGTACGGAATCGCATGGGGACAGTCTGACACGAGAGTAAGTACCTCGCGCACGCGCGACGCGTCTCTCGTAAAAAAAGGCGAAGGTGAAACGGCGCATCGCGTGTACACGAGCCACTTTGCTTGTGGTTGTCGATGCGCGGTTCTGTGTCGTCTGCCGAGGGCGCAACATCGCCCCTTCAACGAGCGAGGAAGTCGAGTACACGCAACACGGGAGTATAAGTAGGCAAACGCTCACTGCACGAAACGGCAACAACACACTATGCATACTCTGCCTACTGTATTACTAGCGAGAGGGAATATCGCTATCTCGTCGAATGCACCCTCCACGGATCCTTCGAGTCGCTCGTTTGCATTTTTACAACGTTTTATCGACCGACGCGTACCGCCTATCTCTGCCGACGTGCCCTCGCGGGATGTACTATATACCATTCTTTGCATTGTACTTTTAACAAGGAAATCATACGTATTGTTCCGTAGTTCGAAACGGCTGCTGGCAGAAACATTCGGTAACCCGCTACAAGGTGATTTCCTTACTATTCGAGGTGGCAATCAATAGCGCGGTATGCAGGCGTAGATAAAGTTACAGATAAACGCATTTTCTCGCTGAAGAATTCTCGGACGATGCAAGCCGTCGATAATTCCAACTCGCCCAATGAGAAAGACGCGACAAGCGGGAATCGAGGCTACCAATTAAACGACAAACAATCCAAGCTTTCTTTCTTTTTTTCCTTTGGATTTTCTTCACTTTTTGTAACGCGAGATTAATTGTTCTTTGTGCGTGCGCGGCAAATTTTTCCGCGGGAGTATATTCGTCGTATCAATATCAATATTTATATGTGGAACCGCGTCGCGATGAAATCAATATTATCGAGGATACACATATCAGATTCGAGGCGAATATTCCAGCCGCGTGCGACTTTATCATTTTCTCTAATCGAGATAAGAAATTTCGCTAAGTTCGTGTCGCTCGCGAGCGGAATCGATGAATATGAGGTCGAAATCTCGATATCGCTCGCGATGGAGCGCCACGCGCTTGTGTGGTTTGCATTTTATCTAAGCAGCATCAAATCCGTTTGCGCAAGTGTACTCGCGGTGGGGCTAGCGACGACAAGCGATACTAAAAATAACAAATAACAGTCGCGTTCCGAGAGACTTGTGCGCAGCATCGTGCAGCAATGAGAACGCGCGTCGAGGCGAGCGCTGCCGATCGGCGCGCCCGTCAACGGGACGAGCCTCGGCTCGAGCGGCGGCGGCGGCAGCAGCAACGCAGCCGCTTGGAAAGCAGTCTAAAGCGGACGACGCAGCGGCTCCGCTTGAGCCGATCCCCGAGTCCGCGTCTCGTCCAGGCCGCGGCGCGATGGACTGCTGGGCGCTTTTCGCGAGGGGTCCGCGGTCGGCGGCAGCTCATTGCGCAACGAAGCCCGCAGGCGCGTTATCTTTCGCGAGCTCGTGCCTGCGCGTGTACACGAGTGCGGCGCGACGGAGAAGAGCCGAGTTGATAACGGGCCGAGCGCCGTGACGGACTCTCAGTCGTAAGATGATAGAGGACCAGCCGCCACCTTGCCAGCCGTCGCCTGCCGCATCGACGCCCGTATCAATCAGCGACAAGTATACGTCACGCCCTTTCTACCCCCGTTCTTTTCCATCTCTCCTCGAGGCTGCCCTTCGCCGACGCGACGTACACTCGACATTGATCGCGCACGTGCGCGACGACGTAGTCGGCTGTGTGTGTGTGTGTGTGTGTGTGTGCTTTGAGTGCTGGCCGTCGTATTGCCGATTCGCCCTCGACGATTTGCGCGTGAACATCTGTCGTACGGCGCGCGACGAAGGTGCCGGAAGAAGACTCGGGCTCACCTCGGTTGGATCGATATGTCGCAAGGACAGATTGGAATAATAATTTTTTAAAAATAAATTGCACGGCTTATCTGCCGAGATATGGGAGCGCCGTCGGACCCGTAGCGCTTTTGTACTTTCAAGCGTCTCACCTCGGAGTACGCGATTGGCCACGACAAGTGCGATTCCAAGCACTCGGTCGGATGTGGCGAACGGGTCAACGGATCGTCTTTGTTTTTTCCCTCGATTCAGTGACGGCGACAAGCAGTGCCGAAATTTGGACGCGTCCGCCAGCGGAACTCCGAACTCGCTCATGAAAAGAGAGCATCCGCGGAAATAGACCAACCGAAGTGCATTGACGAGACGGCATCTGCGCATCCGACTGACGCAAGGAAAACCATTGTTACAGTGAGCAATGTAAGGAGGCCCTGCTGCACGAGCAGCAGCATCAGCAGTCGATCGGCATGGCGATGTCGTCACAGCACCCGCAGATCGCGTGGATGACGCCGACGGGCGGCAGGTCGCGAACCTGCAGCGAGTCGAACGTCGCCGCGCAGATAGCCATGGCGAACGCCGCCCTCCTGGCCGGCTGCCCGAGCTGCTCGGGCAGCGCCGCGGCCCTGCACCACGCGCCCCAGCAGCTCAAGGGCAGCCACGATCTCGCCATCGAGGACTCGGCCAGCCTGCTGGAGGAGGGCGGCGTCGCCCGGCTGCCCGACCTCGTCGCCGAGAGCAAAAAGATCTACGACGAGGCGCAGCAACCGCACGAGTCCTACCTGGCTGTCACGCTGCAGGTCTCCATTCCGTTCCTCATCGCCGGCCTCGGCATGGTCGGCGCCGGCCTCGTCCTCGACTTGGTGCAGGTCTGTACTCGGCGACGTGCCGCCTCGCTTCGCGCCGAGACTTCATCCGCCGCTCTGTTCTCCTCGGCAGTACTGGGTCGTGTTCGAGAAGGTGAACGAACTGATGATACTGGTACCGGCTCTCCTAGGTTTAAAGGGTAATTTAGAAATGACGCTGGCCTCAAGACTGTCCACGCAGGCGAATCTCGGTCACATGGACACGCCCAAGCAGCAGTGGTACATGATAGTCGGAAACTTAGTTTTAATACAAGTGAGTGTAATGCGCATTTGCACGTCCGACGACAATCGTCATGCCGTTTGCACGTTCGCTCGAGCCGTTCGAACGCCGACGAGAAGACGGACGAGGAGGCCTCCCCGCTCGTCGGCGCGACGACGCAAGGAACGTGCCACCTCGCGCGATAGTCGCAGCGCCAAATCGTCGCCGTCCCGTCGCCAGCGCGCGTTTGCTCTCGCGCGGCGCCGCTGCCGCCTCTCGCCCTGCAAGCTTTCCTCGTGGTCGCGCGCCGAGCTCGCCACTCGCTGATGTGTCCACGGCGGCGAGAGACTCTCGTCGGTTTCGCGCGTCGCTCGACTCGCAACGAGCATATCCTGCCGATGTCGCCGAGCACGCGGAAATTTCCCACGGCTACCGCGAAACTATTGGAACGCGTGCGTGCGCGACAACGAGCTCAGCCTTCGCGTATTTGCTATACGTGTATACCGACGTTGTTTGATCGCCGCGGGCTTATTGACGGCGACAGTCGGCTCGGCACTTGTTGATACAACTCGCGACACGTGCGCGAGGGGGACCTCAGGCCCGATAAAACGACAAATACAATTGCGGAAGAGTACGCGCCGTTTTTACGTCGCATTCGAGATGATTTTCTAAACTGGAAAGTTCACCTTTATCTCCGACGCATTATCGCGCGAAACAATTAACAACTCACGTTGCGAGTCGCTGTTTGCCGTTCCAATTTTTCCGCGCTTACCTCTCGCGAGCGAGCGGATTCACAGCCGATTGAATACGCCGTTGAGAAACGAATTGCGCGCGGTTGCCATCTCGAGCAGCCGACGCGCCTCGAACGTGGGTCGACTTGTCACGAGCGTCGGCCAAGTCGGATATGATTGCACTTGATAAGGCTTGAGCGCTGGCACGTCGCTGCACGACACTCGATTTCAGCGGGAACGATGCACGGCGAAAGATAGCTGAGCGCGGAAAGGCTAAGGAAGAACTAAAAAATCCACGGGCTTTCAGTGCCAAGCGATCGTGGTGGGCTTCCTGGGCTCCGTCGTTGCGATGGTGATGGGGGCGATACGCAACGAGGCCGTCTCGCTGGACCACGCGTACCTGCTGTGCGCGAGCAGCCTGGTCACGGCCTCGCTCGCGTCCTTCGTGCTGGGCCTCATCACCGCGGGCGTCATAGTGTTCTCGCGGCACTGTCACATCAACCCGGACAACGTGGCGACCCCCATAGCCGCCAGCCTCGGCGACATCACCTCGCTCGCGTTGCTCGCCTGGATCTCGACGATCCTCTACGAGTCCATCGACAAGCAGGACTGGCTGGCGCCCTTGATCATCGCCTCCTACGTGCTCGTCACTCCGCTCTGGGTCTGGATCGCCAAGAAGAACAAATACACCAACGACGTGCTCTACACCGGCTGGACTCCGGTCATCGTGGCCATGCTCATAAGCAGGTAGGTGGCGCCGTTACTCGTTGCCGCTGCCCCCGGTGCTAGCAGTTGCTTTGATCGAACGAAACGCAGCTGCGGCGGAATGATCCTGGAGTTCATGGTGTCGCGCTTCGAGAACCTGACAGTCTTCCAGCCGGTGATCAACGGCGTGGGCGGCAACCTCGTGGCCGTGCAGGCGAGCAGAATCTCGACGGCGCTGCACAAGCAAGCCGACCTCGGCACACTCCTCATACCGCCGGGTCACACCCACCCCGTCATCTTCATCACTCCCATCGCCAACTTCTTTGGCAAAGGTAGGCTGCCTGGTGGCTGACGACGTCGCGAGCCGAGCCCGCGACTCTGTACGCTGTGTCTGTGCCGCAGGTACGCACGCGCGCACCACGCGGGTGCTGATGGCCATGGTCATCCCCGGCCACGTGATATTCATCTACCTGATCAACTACATGAAGGAGGGCGAGACGTCGATGAGCGCGCTCTTCGTCTTCGTCTACCTGTGCGCGGCGATGCTGCAGGTGGCGGCGTTGCTCTACATCGCCTACATCATGATCCACTGGATGTGGAAGCGCAAGATCGATCCGGACAACTCGGCCATACCCTACCTCACGGCCATGGGCGACCTGCTCGGCATCAGTCTTCTCGCCATCGCGTTCCAGTTCCTCTACCTCGTTGGCGATCAGGAGTTTGACGATCAACCGATCAAGCCTTAGCCTGTGTAGACGCGCTCCCTTCGCTCCTGTACATAATCTCGCGGCGTAGATCAGCGATCCTATATTCATGCCTACTCTTCGCCTCTTCGAGCAATTCGTTCTTTCGCCCGTTGCGCATGCTGTGCAGGGCTGGCCCGCGCCCGACGCGCCCTCGCCTCGCACGCTTCTTTTCCTTTAGCCGCGTCCGATGCCGAACTATTTTTATACGTACGTCGTTTTTCGCGCTGCGCCAGTCCGTAACAATGTATTCGAGGAGAGAAAGTGTTTCCGAATCCTTTTCGTTCGTTGCCATCGTCTAAAGCTCACTGGAATTGAAAGCTCCAATACTTAATTAATGCTAATCGCGTAATAACGTTTTTCTCGATAATTTTTTATAGACCAAGCCCAGGCCTGAGAATAATCACTCTGAAGAAGCGCTTTTTGCCCGCTTTACATCAGTCAATTTTCTCTTTAGGATCACATGCGTATTATATACAGAGCAACAATGTTGTGGCCTGAGAGATTAATAATTTAGCGTGACATCTAATGGTAATCGAATAGAACAAAACAAAATATTATTGTGAAAAAAGTATAGTTAGACGTGATTAATTGTTATTTTAAGACAAGTGAGAAACGGTACAAATACAACTAATCATTCTCGTTATGTTTTGTAATTAACTCGAACCTTATCAAAGATTTGCCCTTGTCAACAGCTTCAGATGATTTGTCTGTATTATAATTACGTTTCTGGCAAGAAAAGAGTAAATTAGTTTAATGTCAATTGATGTTGACCACGTGAAAAATTTCATTGTGAAAGTAGTTATGTAGTCATTCAATTAGTTATATCTAGTACATAGTTTTTAGTTGGATGTACAGTAACATAGATATGAACTTAGTTATTAAAAATAATTAAATTGTGACGCTCGTCTTAGTTATATCTATATTTCAATTTTCATTTCGGTTTTACGAGCTCAACCCTAAAATAATAATTATTACTCATTTTGCTTGCTATGGTTCTCGAAATTCATTTCTTTTTTTGTAGAAATAGGTATGGACCTCTTATATACTTAGTTACGCAACATCTAGCGGCTAAGCGTCTAAGGAATGCTGTTGGATTCTTATTGAGGAGTCCAATCCAACAGCACGGGACGAAACGTCTTTAATTTTTGAAAATATCATTTAGAATCTCACGAACCGCAGCGAGCAAAATAAGTGACAATTATTATTTTTAGGTTGAGTTCGTAAAACCGAATTGAAAATTGAAATATAGAAGTTAGTTATTGTTTTAGATTATGAGATTCGAGCAACTGATCTTGCATGTAAATATACAGATTATCTTAAACAAAGTCGTATTAAATCTTAAAAAAAAAAACAAGAAACAAAGTTGTAGTTCGATCCACGTGTGGAGAAAAAGAAAAAGAAAGAACGTATATTATCTTTATATCTAAGTAAAAAAATGTGTTGAGGATTATTAACTAAAAAATATTTTTTATGTTATTCCCGTGTCAGAAAAGCACAATTTTTTACTTGGGTGGTAAAGAGGTCTTCTCAATGTGATTTTGCAAGACCATTATTTATTTACGAAAAAGCAAATTGTCGATGTACTACTGGGAAAAAGCGCGAAAGTGAATGTGTGGCTGGTTATCAGTCCAACCTGTTGTTAACGAGCATATATATAACAAATCGTATAGAAACCAGAATTCTGCATTGCTACGAGAAGCTTATCAACGTCACATCACGATTCTCGTTTTCTCTCCTATTTGTACGATTAATTGTTAATATTTTGTATGTTTGTATATGAAGTGTTATTCGATATTTAGCATTAGCCACCAAAGTTTGTTATTTTGCTCTTTATTATTACTATTATTCTGGTTCATTTGTTAACCATTCGTGATTGTTGAAGAATGAAATTATAAAGAAACCGGAAAGATCCTTGAGAGTGATCCCGAAAAGCTTCACATTTCGTAACAACGATTCGTTGGTGCGGTTTCCAACCTCCTCAGATCAATGAATCAAACTACATTACTTTTTAACGTTACATGATAGATCACTATTTGTCACATTCAAAAATTATGTCATTATATCATGCATAGCAATCACACGAACATTTATATATTGAAATCAAATAGCTTTGCATTGAAAGTTGTACTTACAACTTAAGAACAACTTTTAATGCAAAGTTGTGAATAGTAAAGCTTTTTTATTTTCATTAATTTTTTTTTAGATCACTCTCAAGAATCTTTGCTGTTTATTTATAATTTTATACTTACGATGGAGAGTATTAAAACCAATTGTTGAAAAATGATATTACGAATTAGCCAAATTGAAGTTACAAGTTTGTTCAAATAACTTTTTGTTACAAAGCGTGTATGTTTGAACTTATCCCAGACAATAACTGACGTATCGTAATCCTTATAAAAAAAATAAAGTTTAATTAATGAATTGTTGAGAGATTTCACATATTTTGTAATGACTGGACTGAAATGGTTATGTGTCGAATCTCGTGTATATTTTTACAGATAATAATAAAAATCACAAAATACGTTTCTTCAGACATCACGTACTATCAACTTGATGTCAATGTCACGTTAACCTTTGCTCAAAATATTTGGATAGATGATGTTTGAATAATTAATTTTTTTTGTCTTGAAAATAACATTTATTTGTCCATGTTATATTTGCCGGAAAGTAATACTTATTTATAAATAAAAAGTTTTTCGTATTACTCGAAGTAAATCGAAAGTCATTAGTATTGTTTGTCGGTTATTTTGTGTGCGAAGATAAAGAGTAACCATTTATTTTTCAATGTTTTATTCAATATCAACTAGTTAATATGCTTTGCTCAACTAAAGCAATTTTTTTTTCAACATTTAAAAAAAGAATTATATTTTATAGTTATAGCCAATCTTCATTTCAAAATAATTTATACGTTAAAAAACACGTACATGTCATTATAATTCTGTTGACTAATCCCATACGAACGATTACATTATAATTAAATAACGACTATTTAGCATAAAAATAGGAAAAATGAAAGAAACTACATCGGACAAAGCAAAACTAATAACGTATGGGCAAATTTTTCTTTTCAATCTGACACTTACTTCATTACACAAAATTCGTTTGTAAAAAAAATGTATTCGAGTATCTTAAACAAACACTACGATAAGAAAAGTCTTCCGCGTATATTACAATATTTTACAAAGTAATATAATACATTTGGCAGTGCAATGGTTTGCAATGCCAGTTTATGAATAACGTTGATCTTAATAATAACTTCATTGAAGTTTTAATTCTTCCTTAATTTTCCAAAAAACTAATTCCATACAAGCAAGAGCATCCTCTTTACTGTCATGTCCGCCAACTGGAAATTATCATAAAATATAATTTAATTATTTCACAAACATTTAAAAAAAGTTAATTCACAAAACTTACGATCATTTTGAATAATTCGTCGAAGGTGTTCAGACACCAAGTTCTTCAAAGCTCTCTTGAAAGGAGGTCCATTTTTATGCGGGAACATAACACTGGTATCAACTACAGTATTATGAAGTAGTTTTAATGCCTTAAAATCACTTTCAAGACTGTGTCCAATAAGTATGGTTTTCGACGAAAACATTGATAGGAAAGTAGCTTGTACATCGAGCAACGTTGTTGTTACATTCTCCATATCCTTTTCGGATATGCCAGAAAATCTAAAATGGATTAATTATTATTAGTAAGTTAATTAAAGATATGTTATATACATTTATACAATCATACCTAGTATTATAATCAATAATTGGATGGGATGGTTTCACCAATGATTCGTAATTGACTTGAAGATTTTCATCAATCACAGTCACACGCGTTAATTCTAAACCCTGCGTTGTATAACACATCTCACAATCAAGAGCATAAACTCCATGTTCGTCCACTGAGATATTATCTGTAAAAGATAACAAGTAGATGAAATATAAATTAATCAATTAATAAGATTGATAAAAAGAATCAACAAAAAAACTTCGATTACCCTTATCGAACGTTTCGACATATCCTCTAAGATTTTCAACATCGACAAAGTCCCAAACATGAGTAGTTGCATCGCAACAACCATCCGAAGAACCATCTTGCTTACAACACATATACTTCGTTTCACCTCTGAATGTGAACTTTCGCGCGTAATGATAGATACAATTTTCCTTGCGCAAAGGAAAGCCATATTTATCTACATAATATGGTTTATGACAGCGACAGCAGAAACGTTCATTAGGCACTTTTGAAAGAGTGGACTGTCCCCTATTGTTTACTACGTATAACTTTGCTCGTCCCTGAAAAAGGAAAATATTTACTCGTTCAAACTTTTTAGTCTTATCTGCGATTTTATAAGAAGTTTAGCGTACTTTTGGTCCATCGGGATGTGGCCTTGGATAGCCATTGTCCTTCAATTCTTGCTCACTTAATATCCACTTTCTTAACATACAATACAATGCAGTCCCCTTGACCTCTACGCTAGAGGCTTTCTTCTGCTTAACGACACTCCATGAACCCTTGACTTTTCCTGCAAGCACAGCCTCATGGGAAATTAATCCACTATATGATGTTGTCGGATCGACAGTCTTCTGATCAACCTCTTTGCGAAGTCTGTGCACAGTAAGCATACACGAGTTTTTATAAACATTGACAGCTTTACACCTTTCGTAACATGCCAACTCTTCCTGCAAGGCTCTCTGAGCCGCATCCTCGTGACTGTCGTAGATCTGAATGCAAATATCTTGCATCGCATTTACGTAAAATTGACGCACGTTTAACGGGAACTTTTGCGTTCCTGAGATATTCAAGGGTTCTGGTCTGATGAGCTGAGGGATCTGAAAATAAATTTAAATTATATTTGATCATTTTGAAGGAGGTAAATGTGAACATGAGGTTTTTCTATTTACCACTTGGGGCACATGTGCGATCCGTGCTCCTTTCTTCGTCTGAGCGACGGTTTTCATTTCTATTTTGGCAGCCTGCTCCATTACTTTTTTCTTTTCTAGTGTTAATGACATGGCATAGGGTACTTGTGCTATTCTAATTCGACCTATTTAAGTGAAATTCAATATTAATAAATTATTTTTGGACTTGATTAAGCAAAATAAAATTATATAAAAATGTGTTACCGTTGCCGTTGACTTGATGGTCGGTTGAGCTACTCTGTGCAATTTTTTTCACGAAGCTACTCTCGGCAGCCTTTACACCAGTAGCTTTTTCAGCTTTTTCCATAGTTTTTTGAGCAGCAATTTCTTTCATTAGCCTCCACCTCTCGTACATACGTTGCTGTGGATTTATAGCTCGCTTTACAGGCTGATTTGGTCCAACTTGTTTGATTAGACTAGCAACAGCTGATGAATGAGCTACTCTCTTCTTGCTGACCTCTTCGAATTCTTCAAATTCCGGCTTTGGAGGCGCTTTGCTTGTGGTATCTTTAGGTACATCATCTTCTTCGTACTCCTGAAAAATCGTTAGATTTATTTGATGCAAAATAAAAACAATGCATTTCAGAATTGAAAAATAATAGAATATATTCACCTGGAATATTTTCCTACATTCCTCTTCAACGTCATAGTCTGAGTCAGTTTCCAAAAGTTGTTCGTCGTAAATCGGTGAAAACTCCTCATACTCCGGACTATCCAGTTTCTTTTCATAATCATATGGTTCTTCACTTTTAATTTGTTCATCACTGGAATGCTGTTCTGAATCTGCGGACGAAGCTCTATTAGATTTACTGGATTTATGACTAGAGTTAGATCCAGGCTCATCAATACTTTTATGTGAATGTTTAGTGCTAGATTTGTTCTTTGAATCCGATAGGCTCGACTTAATTTTATACTTGTCATCAGTTTTATATTTATTTCTATCTTTTGAATCCTTTGAGCTAGATCGTTCCTTTTCTAATTTTATTTCTTTTTTTATATTATGAGTACTTTCTTTGCTCTTCTTACTGTCTTTACTCTTATCCCTGTCTCTATCTTTTTCTCTCTCCTTGTCTCTGTCTTTTTCTCTCTCTTTTTCTTTCTCTTTGTCTCTGTCTTTTTCTCTTTCTCTATCTTTATCTTTGTCCCTGTCTTTCCCCCTACTGTCTTTAGATGACGATGAACGCTCTTTATCACTGCTTTTTGAAATTAGCTTATGTTTATCCCTTTCTTTAATTTTTTCTTTGTCTTTATCTTTTTTATCAGATTCTCTATCCTTGTCCTTACTTTTACTATCTTTGTGTTTAAAATCTTCATCTCTACTTTTACTATGCTTCGAACCTTCCTCTTTAATTTTGACATTTCTCCAATCATTTTCTTTGCTTCTATTCCCTTTTGAGTCATCTTTACCCTTAACATCTCTAGAACCATCCTTTTCTTTGTCCTTGTGTTTATTACGTTTGGAATCTTCTCTGCTGGAAGTTTTTTCTGGGGGCTTACTTTTTGATATATCTTTGCTACACCTTGAGAAATCTTTATGTTTTTCTGATTTTCCTCTATCATCATGGTCTGAATGTAGTTCTTCATCTAAATTATCAAATTGAGGCTCCCTATCTGAATGATTAGAACTTCTGTCATCTTCGTTATCGTCAATTTCATAATCCTCATTTGATTTACTAACCCCTCTATCATCAGATACTGTGTTTTGAAATGTATCTTTTGCCTTATCATCTTTGGTTGCATTTTCAACACTTTCATCATCAGAAAACTTTGGCTCTATTTCCATCAAGTCTTGAGAATCATCATCAATAGTGATACTTGAATTGGGGTTTGTATCACCAAAGATATCATTAAATACATCAATATCATCATCCAGAGGTTGCTTATCCTTTAAAGGGACTTTTGGTCTTCTAGGAACATATTCTTCTCTCCTCTTTTTCTGCTTTGGTCGATAAGAATCTTTCTCTTTTCTTCTTCTCCTTTTTTCTGCTCTTCTCTCTTCATATGTCTGCACAGATGGAGCATAAGTAATGGAAGTAGGTGTGTAACCAACTTTAGATTCTTTCTTGCTAACATTTCGAATGACATCCATCCATGGTAATTCCATATCCGGAGATTTCCTTTTTACAGCCCTGCTCTCTTTCGAGGGTTGATACGACGGAACTGGTATGTGTCTTCTCTGTAATTCCGATATTGGAGTTGGATTGTAGGTACATTTTGATGGTTTAGTCGTAGATGCCACTGGCAAATTCCCATGTTGAGCTACTATTGGATCATTAATAAGAATACTAGGTTTTGAAACAGGTGGAGCTCCAGTTATTACAGCAGGAACAAGTTTTGGTTTTAAGCCTTCTACTACTTTATTAACAATTTTTTCTGTATCTTTTAAAGTTTGTTCCGCCAACACTTTCTTTACTGCTTCTGATACGAGATGCTCGATTGCTGTTGGGGTTGTAGCTGTTACTGAGGTGGAGTTTGTATTTTGAGGTTTCTGTACCTCCTGGCTAACCTGTGCTGCAGTTGTTGTAGATGTGCCCACGGCATCTTTAAAACAATCACTCATTAATATGTGTAATCTTGCATTCAAACAAGATATAAATAAAATGAATAAAAATTACGCAACAAAATTTTCAATTATCAAATTACAGTTATAATTATAAGTTTGTGTTTAACAATTTCATTGGCAAGATGCATTTATTGTATAAAAAATAAAATAAAAGAACGTAGACAAATTAAAAGTGGAATGCAGTGAGAATTTTAGACATGTTAATATTAATGATTGTCTAGGAATGAAAAACTATTCTAAATAAGTAATTTAGGACAAAGCTTTAGACTACCTCGACTAGGTCGTGTGTGCCGGAAATGACAATAAGGCCTCTCGCAATAACCGTTCTCGTAAAACGGGCAATTGATGGCTTTAAAGTAACCGGTGGATGGAAGCATCACTAAATCATCGCATTCGTGGATTCTCGAAGCTCATCCCCGTCGGAGAGACACCCGCAGTTAAGTCCTTGTTTGGCGGATGCATCCGCGGTATTCATTGAATGCTCGTCATCTGATCGATTGTCTTATTTGACACGGAATACAATTAATTTTGCTATATCTACCGTAGTAAATAAGAAATATTAATTAATGAAGACGCACTATTATATACGGACGTATAACAATTCGCGCCTTCTCGATTATTATTTTGAGGTTACAACTAACCTCGGCTTCTTTGAACTTACCGTCATCTCATAAACAGTGCTAGGCAGAATCGAATAGCTCACTTCGAGATCGCTTCCTGGCTGAATTCAGGTTGACCACTTCGTATAGAGACTGTCCACATGTTACCACGTACAACATACCCCTATCTCATACCTCAAGGTTTACCCCGTCCATATTTTTCATGCGTACGCCATCTTTACAATTCTGTGGTCATGGGAGAGTTCAGTAACCAATGCGAAACTATCCCATAGATTCCACATTTAGATGCACTACTGGCATTGGTTACTGAGCTATCCCATGACTACAGAATTGTAAAGATGGCGTATGGATAGAAAATTTGGATGTCAGAGAGCTCGGGGTACGGATTAGAATAGCATGTGGGCAGTCCCTGATCTGAGATCCGTTCACTGCTTCATATTAAATGAATTAATTAAATAGTTCTAGATAATTTGAAATTGAAACATGAAAACTATATTTTGTTTTAGCAAATTAATGTAATTTAAAATAAACGGCTGAGTTTATAATTAAAATATACCATTTGTAGCAAAAAGTAATGGCTATATTTTATTTAGATTAGAGATCTGAAAATGATAAAATTAATAAATTATCAAATCCGCGCGTGTATGGCCGGGTGTTCTTTCATTTCATTTAAACTATATTTTCATTTAAACTATAATAAATACGATTGAAAAAAGAAAAATAAGTAAACTTAAATAAGTTTAAAATTCCTAATTACACATATATAATAGGTATATATTTTATTTATAACCATCAGGCTTATTTTTTTACTATACACTATATAACATGTATGTATAAATGTATAAATTTTTATTTTTATAAATTTGTAATATTTATAATTTTACAGAATTAAATTGATTCACTTTTGAAAAAGAATATATTCAGTACATCAATTTAAGGCATGAAAAAATTTGAAATAAACTTTTTAATACTAACTCATTAACATATAATAATATAATAATTTTAATACTATATAGTTTAGAATCACGATATTTACAAAATGAATAATTAATTTTCATTCTTTGTCTTCTCTTGTTTGACTGCATGAAGTGCATAATTAATTGCTGTTGAAGATGTCCATGACCATTTGTTTGTTGCTGGATTATAAAACATACCATGTACCAATAATGTTTTACAATCATCTAAAATTAATTTACATATTAAAATTATTGTTAATTTCATCAATTGAATAAATGCTTACATCTCTCTAAGAATCGTCGCGTATCTTCAGGGGTTATGAATTTGTTCCAATCATGAGTACCCATAGGCAGAAGTTTAAGAATATATTCTGCTCCAATGATTCCTCCTAGCCATGAAATAACATTTTTATTTAATGTTGTGATAAATATTGAACCATTTGGCTTCAATACTTCTGTACAACTCTGAATAATAATAATAACATTTTGTTAACTATATTATTATATCATTAAATAAATATAAGAAATAATACCATACTTTCAAAAATAATCTATGATCAATAACATGCTCCAAAATTTCAGATGCAACAACTACATCATATACTTCTTTTTTTTCCTGACAAAAATCTTCGATTGATGTGTTCATATAATTTAGATTTGAGGAAAGACTCTCATCTAGTGAGGCATGATTTTTTGCAATTGATATTAATTCCTTGGAAGCATCAAGGCCTGTAACTTGAGCTCCTATTCTTGCTAATGGTTCTGATAGAATACCACCTCCACAACCAACGTCTAATAGTTTTACACCTTCAAGTGGATGACTAGAGTTTGATTCTTTGAATCCAGTATTAGCTAGGCCATCTCGTACAAATTTAACTCTTAATGGATTCATTGTATGCAGAGCTTTCATTTCACCATGAAGATCCCACCAATTATTACTAAATTGCGAATGATGAGATACATCCTGAAAGTCTACTGTTGATTTGTCACTGTTTTGTTGTTGTTTACTATTTGTTGATGTGCTAATTGGTGAAAGACAAAATAAATAATACAAACTAAAATTTGTTTCAATTAAAATTTCACAGGAATAAATTTCGGATACAAAATATGTTGAATTCTACATGTTATACTTAAAAAAACAAGTCATTACTTCCGAAGTATTCATTTGTCATATGAGTAAGTATATATTTTAATAATTTGTCAAAATTATAACCTACCAGAATTTTAATAAAGTTTGCACTCCGAATTTAGAAAGATAATTTTTCGTCAAAACATTCATCTTGCACTAAAAAGTACTATTTCACTTTTCGCAAAAATTAGTCGTTTCAATTATAATAAGCTACCTATTACTACAAAAACTTTCATTCAAATTTGGACATGCTGTACGATTAAGCTATCCGACATCCACACTGCAACCCGCGGCTGATTGCTGAATTAACACTAATCGATAAATGAAAAACAGAGCTATATAAAGCATATATATGCAGTGTATTATTACTAATTAATACTCATTGTTTTCAGTTAGATTTTCTCTTCTATTATATGTAGAATTATCAATATTTTCAATGCTAAATTAATCACAATTTTTAAAAAATATCTAGATTTTGCAAGCTTTTGGGAATGAAACTAATTACAATTTATTGTGAAACTTTAGTCAACTTAGTGAACCGTTTTGAATGCAAGAATTTTATTTTATTGTACGCCATAATAATAAGGTAATATGAATTGAAGATTAGATATTAAAAATAAAATATAAAATTTATAATAAAACGAGACAGAGCTGATCAAGATAAAGATTATAAGAAAAAACACTAAAAGTCAACGAAATTATAAAGTATTAATTAAAATAAATATAGTGTATTAAACAAATAATTAATGAAATCGACCCAAATTTAAATTGTATGATTTTAAATTACCGCATACGCATTTAATTATCTATTTCTCTTAAATATTTTACTACTCATACTTAATACATCACAATACTTATTTATTTAAAATATAACAATTGTAAGTTTTACAGTAAAAGCAAACCGTTTTAATTTTAATTTCGGTCATTAAATTCCATTTGTTCAATATGTATATTGTCTTTATTTCAATTATTACTTTCTAATTTCATTGTATTTTCATATCTCCCTCAGTTTCTATATAAAAAATCTTTAAAGTTGATGATTTTTTTTTTAATTCAAGATGTGTGTACTATATATCTACAAGAGAAAAATGTTAAAAAAGTTACATGACTGTTATTGATGTTTACACTTTACACGTATACTGGTAAGTATACTTGACGTGCTATTGTGGATGCGTAATTGTGAATTGTGAATTGTGAATTTGTGATGTCGTCTTGTCGACAGTCGACTGCACTGCGTGAAATAGCCGCTAGGAGGAGGCTCTTTCGATCGTTGGACTCGTGGTAAGTCGGAACAAATGTTATGTAGAGAGAAAAATAATCCGTTTAATCTTAAATTTATAAGTTTTCAATAAATGTAAGACTTCAAAATAATCGTTACTCAATTATTTATTTACAATCACAATTTGATAGTTTTTTAAATATTTCGAAACTTCTCATGCATTATTATTCCGGACTCTGACATGTTGGTGTCTTGAGCGGCTATATTTTTGTCACTATAAACAATATATTTGTTGACTTTTCTTAATTGATTGTTATGCTTATCTATTAATAATGTTGATAACTTGTTTATGTTAAGGGAAAAACTCTTTACTTTAACAATTTTGAAACTATCAACATAACCTAAACTTTTTATCATATAGTAACAGCAGAATAAACGGTTACAAAATCAGTGATTAATTGTGAATTATTTTGGCATCAGATGACGGATACCAAGGTGAAAATTGCTGCGCCAACGCCAGCTACAACCTCCAAGGGAGTTGCTGGTGATAAGAAAGTTGGCAAACCAAGAAACTATGACTTGGGAAATGGAGTTTACAGGTTTAGCCGCAGCCGTATGTATCACAAGAAGGCGGTCTATAAGTTTGTAGGCAAAAAGACACCTAAAAAGGTATGAAATTAAGAAATCCCACGGTATCAATTTTCATAGTTAAAAAAAATAAACAATTTCCTTCATTTTGTAGGAAGTCCCCAAGAAACTTGTTAGTATTGAAAAAAAAATTGGTGGAGAGAAAAATGGGGGTACTAGGATTGTACTATTGAAGAAAAGGAAAGCAAATTACCCTACTTCAGACTCCATCTTACCTCATCCAGCTAAGAAGGCCTTTAAAGATCATAGTCGGTATCTGAGACAAACTCTTGTACCTGGAACAATCCTTATTCTATTGGCTGGTCCACACAAAGGAAAGCGTGTGGTATTCCTGAAGCAGCTCAAGAGTGGTTTACTTCTTGTTACTGGTATGTTATTTCTATCAATTGTTATTATTCATAGTATTTATCAATTTTATGTTTAAAGTCTTTAAGCTCATCCTTAAAAGATAACCAATGTTATATATTATATATTCAATCAAAGTTTTCAATTAAAACTCATTACATTCTTGACTATAAATAGTTTTGTTCGGGTGTTTATCAATTTGAAAATATAACATTGTACTTTTTTCTGAAATTCAATGAATACAATATTCTATAAATAGGATTTGATTATTTAATGTTCTTATAATTATAGGACCTTTTCTCATCAATGCATGCCCACTGAGAAGAATAAATCAAATATACGTCATTGCCACGAGCACCAGAATTGACATGTCTGGTGTGAAGCTTCCCGAACATATCAATGACCAATACTTCAAGAGGAAACGCGACAAGCGTGCCAAGAAGGAAGAAGGTGACATTTTTGCCAAGAAGCAGGAGAAATACCAGCCAAGTGAACAAAAGAAGTCAGACCAGAAGATCATTGACCAGCTTGTTGTTGAGGCCATCAAGAAAAACACAGACAAGAAAGCACTCTTTGCTTATCTTGCATCCATGTTTGGACTGCGTAGCAGTCAGTATCCACACCGAATGAAGTTCTAGCTCGATCATGCTTTACATTCTTATTCGTAAGATCGTGGTATTAATAAAAAAAATTTATAAAATTCCATTTTTATTGTTTTTTGTCGATTTATTTTTATTCATTTAAAGTAAGTTCATCAAATACTTATTTTGACGATTTGATTCTTGTCAAAGTTCTAGTTGGTACACTATTCTTACATTTATTATTTTGTGATACTTGGTTTAAAAATTCAGCTTCTAACCTTACGTATGTTCCACCTAAAAAATATTAAAAAGTTTTATCATTTTAAAGTAGCACCACAAGTCTTAATAGAGCAAAGGTAGACCATACCAAGTGGTTGAGCATTATTATTCCAATGACCATATTTCCCTAAAGAATGACTTTTCGGACGTAAATTATATTCAAGCATGGTCCTCTTGGTCAATAATGCTACCATTTGTGCAGCAGCTTTTTCTTCAAAGTCTCTTTGATTATCTTGATTATATCGAACTGTTAGATTTGAACTCCAAGATCCCATTCCTTCACACCTGCTAATCAAAAATAATTAGATCGCAAATATAAAACAAGGAATTGTCAATGAAAGAACGTATACCTTTTGAGAAAGCTAGTTTTAATTTTCTTCTTTTTCTTAATTAAGTGATCCGCGCTATCCCAATCACGCGATTCGTCACTCTCGGAAGATTCGTCATCACAAGTAGTGAGATCATCATGGCTGCCGTCATCATCTTCATCGCTGTAAGATTCTGAAGACACAATCGAAGAAACGTCAGTCATTTGGGATACTTGATGCAGCACCTTTTTAATTGACTTTTGCGAGATACTTTGATTGACTTTGCGAACGTTCGATCCACCCCAGATTTTGGCTGTAGAAAAAAAAAATTAATGTTACGCGAGTTGGATTTAAAGTAAAGTGTATTGCCTACCCAGAAGACCAAGTTTTGGTCTTGGTGGTATAATTTCAATTCCTTCCCACCAGAAGACTTCTTTGCAAGCTAATTTCCCCTCTGGCAGATTGGGATCACGCGCGGTTAGTCTTGTAATTTTTTCAGGAAAGAATAATTGCGGAGCTTCGATGGAGACGATATCTCTGTACGCGAGAAACACGTTGATGATGTTTTCGTCCCTTTCGGTAACTATTTCCGGCACGTGCTCCTATCGACAATTATCAGAAAGAATTGTAAATCTAAAAGTGATGCGCAGTTTTTTCAGAAATGCAACTTTGGCATTTACTTTGAATCGACAACCATCACGGTTTGTGATCGCTTGAAATCTGTAAGCTCTCTGACTACAGCAAGGATACCTTCCCAAGGGGAACGGAGTCGCTCGTTGCAGCTCATTGATGAAAAACTGTGGATTCTCCGGATGATAAGAACACCAATCCATTTGATTGACGGCAAAGTAAATTCCGCACTGGCGACAAAGCAGGAAGTGACAATCGCCCCACAGTCGCCAATAAACTCGTCGCCAAGAGCGCAATTCCGATCTCAGAATAATAATATAATCGTTCAGATTCCACGACATGTCTCTGCAAAACACGATAGATGCGTCAATTTACAAGGACAAACTTCATTCGTCTTTGTAAAAAACATGTATACCTAGTGTGCTTACTGTGCAAATTTCCTTTGTTATCAATCCTCATGTTACTCGGCACACAGGGTACTAGATTCGATATGGATCGAATAACATTTTTTTCGCATTTCATACACTTAAAGAGCGTAGCCAAAGAAGCGTAGTGTCCTCGTTTCTGATCTGGTTTAGCATTCGCTAGAGACATTATCAATTTGCAAAAGAGCCTACTTTGAATTTTGTCCTTTTTATCTTTGATCGTTTCAACTTCAGCATTGGAGAAGAGATCAGCTAATTTAGTCAGAAGATTGTCGTTCAAACAGCTAAGAACGGTCGTGGTTTTTAGAATTTCTGACATGTTCGTGTGGCAGAAGTTGAGGCAGCAATCCAATAGCGGATCCATTTGTAAAAACGACGCTGACACCATGACGGGCACCACATTAGTTGCCTCCAGTACTGGCCAGTCGGATTTTTTAATGATATCCTTTTTTACCCACCGCATCAGCCAGTCGAAAATAACTATGTCACAGTGCACCGAAATATCCATTTCCTCGAGCTTTTGACCGGCGGTCACTTCAGCGAAGTAACACATTTTCTGAATTAACAGTCTCTGTGGACAGCGGAAATCTTTTTTTATGTTTTTAGCTTCGTCGCAAACGTGGATTTCAACCTCGGCTCTGAAATAAAAACCAATGGCTTTCGTAGCATCAAAATTTAGAACAATTAGGCATTGCAAAATACTTACTCTATACATTTTTTCTGCTTGATCTTGTCCTTTTCTTTTTCTTTATTACCATTTATACCAGTGCTTACCTTACTTTCAAACCCATTTGGGACTGAAATGCTTTTCTTGGGTTCTATAATTAATGATTTTTTTATGATTGGCTGAGAATGAACTGGTCTAGCAGTGATGTGGGGAAGTACAGAATCCAATAGTCCTTCGTGCAAAACGTCGCTCAAACATCTCTTCATAACTTTCGACAAAAGTGGCTCTTTTTTATTTTCACAACATGTTGCCAACAAATAACACTTTTGTTTGTTGAACATGTGTTCATTGTTAGTTTTCTCTTCGGCATGCCGATTATCTTCCAACAGTTCCCGCTCTGCCAACGTATTTGGATTTTTTTCTGAACTTACTATATTTTCGATTTTTAAGGACGTGTCAGAATTGTTATTTCCCTAAAATTATATGAAACAAACAATGCAGTGTAAAGAAAATAGTTACGTTTAAGCTAAATCAGAATACCTTTACAGCGACAGTTTGCAAGCTCTTGTCCAGTGGTGCGATATCATCCAATTGCGTTACATTGTGCGACTGTCCCAAGTTTAAAGACACTTTTGCAAGAGCACTCCAATCTATTTCACTGCTGGCTGTTAAAGTATTTGCCAACTCATCAAACGTTTCATTCACTTGGTAGGCTGTTCTCATAAAATCGAAAAACGTCTTCACAGACAGTTCTGGATATTTGTCTTCTTCGTCTTTGCTTTGCTCTCTGTCATCCACTATTTTTATTGATACGCCGAGTTTCGTTTGTGTTAAAAATGATTAAAAAAAGATATATTGAACGACAATCAAAGAAACTATCGTTTACCTTCAATTTGGGAAACTATATCGCCAGTTTTCGAAATATCATTGCACAGTTTTGGCAAATTAAACTGCTTGAATAGATTCGGATACATTCTTTAAAGATATTAACAAGTTAACCTTCTAGTTTTTGCTTGATTTTTCGTACAGACTTGCTTAACCTTTGCGATTTCTCTATAAAAAGTTAATTTTGAAAGTTTGAGTGCGTCGATGAGCGTGTGGTTGAATTTGAATAATTACAGAACGTAATTGTACAAAGTGTGTAGTGTGCAAACAAAAGATTTAAAGTTCGATGTTGTGATTTAACACGAGGTTATCAGTTTACTAATTAATTTAGTAGCATGTTTAGAATAAAAAACAATGTCAACATTGTAGATGACACCACAATGTCGCTTGCAAGCACAGTGTTTACTATCGTAACTAAGCGAACAATTGATCAAACTTCTTATCTGTCAAGGTGTTGCTAAATAACGTTCGGGTCAGTATTATATCCTGAGGAATTTTCAATCAAATAATTTCAGCAATGTCGTACCTCCACAAATAAAATAATAATTTTTATAACTGCACACGTGTAACAATAAACTTACGTATATTCTCAATGTGCATAAATTAGCCTACAGCATTAATTATAAAAGGAGCACCAGGTGTTATTATAAAATATTTTACTAGAAATCTCAGAAAACGTAAAGCAAAATTTAAGAGTTAACGCTAAAGTGAGCTTTCGCGGAGAAATTTTAGAAACTTGGCGCCATCGATAGATCAGTCAGCTGTAAGTTACGTGCGTGCGCCAAAACGCCAATTACGGCCGGCGGCGCCAGCGGCCAGGCCCAAATCAGCCGTTTACGTTAGATCGCATCATATTCATTGATCATTCCCGGTTATGGAGTTTATGGCGGACATCTGACGCAACGACATGTGCTCGTTACGTTCCAAGCAATCCTTCTTGTTTTTCATTTTATTCTTTCCTTTCACTTTCACTTCAAAGCCTCAAAGTGTCATTTCAAGATAACCTATTTTCAGAGGTAACCATTGGCCACCTTGTACTCTGCCCTAATGCTTTTAACGTAATTTCTGCAGATTATTCTGGTAACACGGTCATGACCAAGCAAAGAAAGATAAAGCTCGAGGAAAAAAAGCAAAGGGTCGATACAATAACATATCAAAGACTAAAAAATCATGAATGTCTGATGACCCGCAATCCAACGACGGTGAGAGCACACGGGACGATCCTGAAATGAAAACGGAAATTACTGAAACTGCACTTAATACTCATGTAAGTGAAGTTTACACCTCTTCGGCCACTAATCTTATAATTGACTCGCACGGACGACAATCACAACTGACAAATGTCACCAAAGTCGTTAAAACTATCACGCAACCGATTAATTCCAAGATAATGCTAGACTCTCAACTATTGACCCAATATTCAGGCATAAAAGACGTCCTCGCATCAGACTTTCATTGTGCTAAATGAAACGACTCTTCGAAAACAATCAATAATTACTCAAAAAATAACTTGGGCACTCTTCATAGTATTTGTCGAACCCATTGACAAAAAAAGCTGTCAAGGGCATTAACTCCACCATGCTTAGACGCCTTCTCTCAAAATCCTACTCGGACTTTCTTTTTTATGACTATAAAAAGCTCAGGCTAATTCAGGCTAAGCCGCGTTAAAAATCGGTGCTGCCTCCAACCGTATACTTAATGACTCCATTTTAATTGCATCAGATCTAAGACTTTCAACATATTTAGAGTTCAAACCACATCCAAAGAGAATTTATATCAGCCCTATTCCACCCTGCTACGTCTTTTCTTTGGAAGCCCAACAAGTTCAGCAAACTGTTCTTTTTAACCAAAGCTATGCAGTTGCTCAAGCCAAAGATCCTCAACGTGAGTTTGACGAACAATTTAGTGATATACTACAATCAAATTTGCTTTTTTTCACGAATGGTTCAAAAAAGGACCAGGCCTTTACGTCAGCTGCACCATCCACAGCCCTGATGAGCCACTCAATCTGAATCTGCAGTTTAAAATCGATCCTCGCGCTTCAATCTTCTCTGCCGCAACCTTTGCCAACTCACTCTAGAAGATATTCTACCCAATCGCATAGTTAAATCAGTATTTTTTACAGACTCGTTGAGTTCGCTGCAAGCTCTCTTAAACATTGAGGCTCTCATCAATTCTTCTCACATCATTGTATTCAGAATCTAAGGCTTGTTAAACTTATTCAAAACGATCAAGAAGTAATTGAATGAATTACTAGCCATGAAGGTATCTCGGGAAACGAGGTGTTCGATGAACTAGCCAAGAAAGCTTGCAGCGTTGACGCATATCTTTCTCACCTTCTGCCATACGCGGATCTTCGACAATTCATCAACGATTCAAGCAAAAAATAGTTTTATGTATATACCTTTGGAATATTAATAGAGGAAAATGAGTTTTCTACTTTGTAAATTACATCAAAGAAATATCAAAACCTTGGCTTTTCCAAATGCATCTGTGCAGAACACAGACCGTGACTTTTAGCTGTATGAGAAATGATCAATACAATTTGGCTTATATAGTCTTGACAGAAAAAACTAGTCGACTTTTCCTCATGCCAGTGTGGCTACGATGTCGAAGACCTAGACCACGTATTTTGGAACTGTGAAAGATTTGTTATACAACGGAAAGCTCTTTTATTCAGACTTAAAAAGGAAAATTGTTCCCGCCATATAAAATTAGTTCATTCCTCTCTGACCCAGATCCCGATATAAAAGATCTGTTCTGTAGATTTCTAAACGTCTTCCTATAATCCCTTTTCCTTCCTTTATCAATCCAACTCTCTACTCTTAATTTCTATTATGAAGCTTCAAAAAGCTTTCATTATTTAGCTTACCTTTTTATCTACAACTCTCTATATATACTATCTATAACGCCTGTGGAAGTACCGCCAGTCAGTAATATAGCGCGCAGTCGCAAAAATCAGTTGATGGCCGTATCGGACACAGACTCGCAGTTCAGCGTGTCGACACCAGAGCCAAATAATCAAACAAATTCCCGGTTATGAGTACTTGTTGGTTTACGGCTATGCGGACGGTCGCCAGTGAAAAAGACAGTGACTTTTAATTTCCACGAGTAAGTCTCGAGCTTTTTTCGACGATATCGGATGCAAATTGCGATTAGGTGCTATTTGATAAGCTCTCATACGTTACAAGGAAAGATACTTTCTCGAGAAAAAAGTAGAAATCATATTCTGAAATTTCAGCTGTACACTTTCTCCAATAAAGAAAGAGAATAAATTATTATTTTGTAATGTTCGCACTTTACGTATCCGAAAGAAATTTCACGGTTTCTACGTTGAGCGTATAGACAGTGGAAAAATCGTGCAATGCATGCAATGCAAAAATTTGAATGACACAAAATGACAAATAACACAATGCTTAAACCATATTGATAAAACCGAGGTAACACAAGTATAGTAATACATTTTCATTCCAAGCAATCCGTAGCATAAAGATTTTGTGTTTTTAAGCCATATATTCCATGTCAATTTGTAGAACAAAATATAATTAGTACAAATTCCAAAACAAATAAGTTGTAATCAAAGCCAATGTGTTATATCCTAATCACTTAAAATATTTATAGCTTTTATTTAAATTATTTAAACATGAATTTAGCTTGTTTATTCGCGACGTCAAATCACATCTTGGCTGCACAGAATTTGAATAATGGTAACAATATTCATTTATGTTTATAAAGACTCGAGTATTTGTCAGCGTACAATAGCATTACGATTCTAAAATGGGAGAAGTGTCTGGTGAAGTTGAGGCAATTAGCGCCGAATATGCGCTGGCCGATGTACTCGATGATATTTTTGAGTATTTGAAAATTCGTGATCTATCCATTGCTGGAAGCGTCTGCAAGTAAGCTTCTGTTTATCTCAACTGAAAAACATAAGTTAACTTGATCGACGTAATGATTGTTTTTCTTTAAGAATGTGGCATCAGGCAGCATTAAGAATATTAGCGAAGAGAGGTCCTGAAAGACAATTATTGCCAGCCTTTGGTGGCCAATTGTACACCGTAATGAACGTCAAACCTTTCGTAGCTTTTCTGTTCATTGGGCCAAGTAAACGAGAAAGAAACATCAAGGAATTAGAAATCGATGGTAACTAGCGCATTTTAATTCAACGAATGTCGAGTGAACAATTCGCATTCAACGCCCGCGAATATTGTCAGTGTTAAACAGGTACAAAAAATTCTTTACTCGTCACCTTATTGCCGTGGGCGTCGACGAATCGATGATGGACGATAAACCGATAATTAGTTGCGATGGTTTATTGGGCACCGCTAATGGAATCTTAGGCCTGTTCATACCTCAATATCGTGGCTTGCAAATCAAAGTAAAACGTTTGCATCGCGCCAGCGAATCCGTCAGTAGTATAATCAACAGCTTGGTACCCGACGACAAATCTGCAAAGACAGCGATGATACTCTTTGCAAGACCTTACGGCTACGACGGCACAATTTTAGAACAAATCAAACGCACGTATGTCGATATTTGTTATTTTACTGGTGCTGTAGACATTCATTTTATTGAATGTCGGCTCATTTCACCTTTTTTTATAGATTCAAACAAAAAAGATATACCCTATGGGGTGGTTCATTCGACGACAAATTGCTGGCAACTGATCGCATGGTCGATGCCAACGCTTTCATGGCGGATAGCAACTCCAGCGACGACGAATTTTACGATGCAGAAACTATATATGACGACGGCTACTATCCTCAAGTAGACCATTACGGGAGTACAGCAATGTTCGCCCTAAGTATTTCAGGATCGAAGTTCGATTCTTGGTCGACGATGATCAATTGCCTCGCGCCAAAGCTAGAAGTCGACAAAAAGCTCCTTGACTTTCGACAACACCTAAAGCTCAAACGTCGCACCATAGGCTTGGCCTGTGGCCCGAGATACGTAGAAGGTTGTGTTATCATGAATAAGGATTATGAACAAATATATATGACTAGTCATGAGCTCATGGATGTCGTGAAGAAAACTCTACCGGGCATTCCTTTCATTGGAATTTTCAATTTTGGTTATTATAGTCATTTTGGAGTTGATTCAACAATCGATGGTACGTTTATGCCAAATCTTTCTAGAAGCATGATTATTGAAGACTTTTTTATTTTTTAGACTCCAATCAAAGACTTGGACAACAAATGGCCTTGGCACTTATGATTTTAACTTACGATTGAACAAATGAGACGCCACTGCATTTCAAACATATGTTTGCCATGTAAACATACTTTTTTTATCTAACTCAAGTTAGGAATTTTATTATGGTCCGCAACAATGTTTTCTGTAAAATAGGTACCGTTTTTAATATTTATTTGGAGATATTATCATTTTATGAAAAAAACGAAAAAAACGTATTACACCTTTTATGTACTAAAATTAGTTTAAGTAATATTTTTTAATATATGTTACTTATTTCGGCATTGCTTAGCCATTAATTATTATGTACGTTAAGTTTTAATAATGAATGAATTTTATAAATTAAATATTATCTATGTCTTCATCGTGTTTACTGTTTATTAGTTGTTGGAAGAATATTGCGTAAAAAAAATGTGTAATTTCTAAACAAAAATTTGTACACATACGCGCCAGTCTTTGTAAAGATTAAAAAGAAAAATACTATGTTTCAGCTCCAATAACAGTTGAAATTTGTTTGAAAATAAGTTATTTAAAAACCAATTTTTGCAAAGAGAAACATATTTTTTTATTAAATTAAATAAATGGGATATCAAAACAACTTTAATGTGTTTAACATTCATAAGTCTAATTTTGGTGGTACCTGTATTCAAGATTCTTTTGTTATAAACATGAATGTTTATACGTTACCGCAAATGTTGCTTTGAATGAAAATTTGCTCAAACACATGATCATTTTCAAACTTTCAGAAGATGCTTACAAAAATGGTTCGATATTGATTTCTAAAGACGTGCATGGAATAGTTAGACCAAACTTGGTCAAAACATTTGGATGAAGAGTACCAATTTTACCGATGACTTTGCCATAAGCTATCACTTCTCCGCAGCGATGAGGGAAAAATGTTGGATCTAAAATAATTCAAATTTTATGTAAAATAAATTTTTGGATTTTTTGTTTTTAAAGTTCACATATAAACCTTCCAGAGATCGTAAATGATAACCCTTATCGTCTTTGTTATGATGCCAAGGTACTTCGAGAATATGCATTATATTGTCAAGAATACCGTGAACGAACTCGAATCTTGCCATCTTATTGTAATATACAACGCACAATCGCCTTTCGTTCCTAGCTCCAACTTCTGACTTGGGATCGCGTAAAATAACATCAGATATTTCAAACAATTTTATTGGCAGTGGCATTTTTCTATTTGCTGCTATTGTTTTTAAGAGACCTGGAAGTAAAGTAGTTCTCCCTACCTAAAAATTAAAAGAAAAAATTTGAAAATAAATGAGAAAAACGTATGATAATTTAATAATATAACAGATTGAATACTATACTTGAAATTCTAAAGTTTTTGGGTTGGAAATATGAACAGCTGGTATGTTTTTAATATCATGTCCAAGTTTATCAGCAATATCTTCTCGAGAACACTGTCAATTTTACAGAAATTTTTATTAAATAATTTCATATTTATTAATATTAAAAAATAAGTTATGGATTTTAAATATACCAACGAAAAAGTTAATGCTTCTGTGAAAGCAGCATTAGCCATAGCTTCTCTCAGTTGATCAGAAAGTTTATTTAATGGAAACTGCAATTTTACATGATTTATGAATTAGTCGGCGCAAATTGAGTAATCTATATATACCTACTTCTTTTCCAATACTGGGAGTTTTGGGCACAGTTTTTTTTATGTTATTGTAACCATAACCAATCGCAACATCTTCATAAATATCACAAGGATGAATAATATCGTGCCTTGTAGGTGAAATCTGTACATGCAATTCATCACTACTTTTGACTTCAGTTTTTAAAGACATTTTAGTTAAAAGCCTTGCAACATCTTGAGGTGATTGGCTATAAAAAAACCATTGAGTAAATAATTGGACAAGATTACTTAAAAGATTTCATTACATATGACTTTACTTGATTCCAACATAATTCGTTGCCATTTTACTGCTAATTTTTTCAACTCTGTATTTAAAATCTGGACTATCAAACTTCTTGTCATCTGGATAGACTACTTCAACAAGCTCAACCTGATGTTTTGTAGAGCAATATTCACTAAAGGAACAAACTATAGTGTCAATTGCAATTTTTGCCTAAAAAAAGAGAGTATAATTTATGTAAATTTAATTGAAGCTACTTTTCATTAATAATAATCTTAAACTATTACCAACCTTTGTAAGGTCAGTAGCAGTACACTCAATAAATATATTCTTAGTTTGAAGTGTTATTTTAGAATGATCACTATTGATGATGGGAGGCAATGATAGTACTACACCATTTTTATCATAAATAACTGGATATACAGGGCTGTCTCTGATAATAGATAAATACTGTTTGAGTTGCGCATGGTGCTGTAATTGAAGAATGAAATATAAGAAAATACTATTTCAAAAAATAAAACAATTAAAGTACAATCTTACTGCATATAAGTCCATTATCTCCTCTCCATTATATTCTTTATCTTGATTTAAAGGCTTGAAATAAATATCTTTTGGAGGTTTTGCATCATATGTGAATGGCCCTTCAATGGTATCTAAATCATGAGTACCAATGGAAATTAATGTACGTTTTCTGCCAATATTTTGATGTAACTTATCTTGAAGATCAATAAAATTGTCATAAGCACTTTGCGTTATAGTAACATCTCTCAATATAGCTGCAACAAGATGACCTCTGACTTGCAAACACTAAAAATAAATTGAAATAAGTATTTAATTTAATTCTTTAAAAATAATTTTGCGAAGTTGCCTTACAGCTTTTTTCATTTCAATCTTTTGAATATTTTTTGGTTTAACAGTTTTGTAGTAAGGAACAGGGATTCTGTAAATAAATGTTGTTAAATATTAGTTAAATATTAGGATCCTAAAATAAATTATTTATTAAAACTTACTTTTCTAAGAATATTAAAAGTCCTGTCACCAATCCTTCCATACAGAGCAAGTCATAGCGATTGGCAGGAACATCAATTTTGTACAGTATTTCATCAGAAGCTCCATGAGTCTGTTCTATGCCCTGTTCTTTAGCTACCATTTGCTGTTCCGTTGTCTAAAAAAATCAATTTGGTCAATACATTTCACATAGTCATTAAAATAATGCAAATTAAAAACTTTACATACTACTTCATCCAATTCCAGCCCAAAAGCAAAGCATAATTTTTGAAACTCATCATCAGCTTTAAATAACATTTTTGAATTAACATTGAACATCTCTTATAAACTAAACACAATTTTGCACAAATGCGGTTGAATATTTTAAAAATATGCTCAAGTATAGACATGAATTACTTACTGTAAGTTTGTCCAAGCGCTTTGAACAATAAATCCCTTTTCACGCTAACCGTAGGCATTTTCAATTTCTAGTTTGGCAACGCGTTAAAAATGATGAAATTTATTTCGGGTGATTAATTATAAATCCCTACGATTTTTTGTAGGTTAAATCCTATCATGCAGTATGACGCATGCCGAATTATCTATATATATCATACATATTGGTTTATTATACCGACACGTTATAATGATATATATATATAGTAATACAATATTATAATATGTATAAATAATGAAAAAATTTAAGTGTTTTAAATTAGTTTAAATTATAAAATTGTACTTCTTAAACTTCGAGTTTAACATGTATTTTAAGATTGTTTGAATTATATATTATTGTATTACATATCGCGCAATCTCAAATTTTTTATATCACGACCGATTGCTGAAATCTCCACAAATTAATAATTTTTAATAAAAGATATTTATTTTTTATTTGAAATTATAATTAATTAATTATATCATTAGTCAATAGTTACTATAATATAAATAATACCTTATTAAATCATAAATTAATAAATATTTAATATCTAAGTCTAAAGACAAGTTATAATAAACACAATATAATATCTAAAAAATTATAGTACGTTCATTGTTAATCATTGAAATACAATACGTTCCAGCCAAATGCAAAAATACTTTTTGATTTCAATTATATACTTTACAGTTTTTAAATGTCACAGTTACAGCTATCTCGGTCACAGATTCTGACCTTACGTGACAGCAAGAAGAAAGTCACAGTCATAGATCCAACAAAATATTCAGATTTAATCCAACGTGATACGCGATCGGTCATCGGTATATTTGCATGGTTGTATATTTATGTAGCAACATATTCATTTAAAATTTCATTGACATTAAAAAACGAGTAACCTCATTTAAGAATTGTTTTTATATTTTATTTTTAAATTGTCTGTAATTTCAAAATTTCTGTAAAATGTATAAAATTGTTGCCATATAGGTTATCTTTTAATAGAGTATTTTTTTAACTAGAGATGAGATGTCCGTTTTTAACACAGAAGATTTAAAAATTGAAATTAATACAATTATTGAGGATCCTAAAACACCAATGGAAGGTGCGAATGAATCATCACAAGATTCATCAAGCAAAAGCATTTTAAAGTCACCAAGTATTTCATTCAAAGAAAGTGATTTTAAGAAAGAATTTTTAGATGTAAGTCAGTCAAAAAATTACACTCCACAATCAAGTTTTATAGCTAGACCTCATACTGTAAGTATTTTGTAAATAATGCTTTCCTTCATATTTTCAAGAATTGTAGACAAAAATTGATTTTATTTCATGATTTTTTGATTGCTTCCTTGCTAATATAAATTTTAGCTTGAAGATTTTGTACAAAGAGAAGAGATAAGTGGTGCCTGTGACTTGAAATCTACTTTTACTCTTGATGATTTAACTGAAGATGAAGACATTTGGATTATAGATATTCCTAGAACTGTAAGATATTAATTATATTTAAGTTTAATGCAATGAAATTAATTTTTATACAATTATAATTTAATATTGGTATCAACTTTAAGAATTTGAGTATTAATTATTTATGTTGAATTTTTATTTATTATTTGTTAAATTGCAGATTGATCCTCTACAGTTAAAAGATCAAGTATTACAATTAGGACATGAAACAAAGTTTAAAATAGGGGAAGATCGATACTGTGCTATTAACAATGAAAGTAAATTTAGTCTCACATGTGTTTTTAGTAAAAAACATAAGACAAAGAAATATAAAGCAGGTACAATTAATTTTTATTCACTATTATATATATATATATATATATATATATATATATATATTATCTATATTAAAATTAATGATTTTTCTATTATAGTTAATATCAAAACTGCTGGTGCAATGAGCATACGAAGAAAACTTTCAGGGATTTCAAAAAAAAAATTGGAATATGAAAAAACAGAAGCAGTGCCTTATCCAAAAAATATTAAAATCAGACATCCTTTTTTTGGTGTTCAAGTTAATTCTTCAACAGTAAAAACTAAAAGGCATTGTTGATAGTATAGTTATAACTTCTGATTTTCTGATTTTCTTAATATGTAAATATTTACCGTAATTTATATACATAGAGCTAAATGTAAATTAAACACCAAAAAAAAACTTTTCTTACTGTTTTAAGTAAGAAAATAAAGAACGTCCTAATAATTATCTTTTATCTTGAAATTTTATAAATATAACTTGTAATAATAAATTAACAAACGTTCTTATAATTTTTTTTTTAAAAGATTGCATTGATTGATTATTAATCTCCCTTTATTTTTTTCTATAAATTTTAAAATTTTTTATTAAAACTGCAAATGGTAAAAAAGCAATTTTTACCATATACACACATATATAACATGTATAGTCCATGGTCGGCCGTATGGTCGCGCTTGGCGTGTTCTCTTATGTGTATTCTATATGTATATGTATATATGCTATCGCGCGGGGGCATTGGAGCTTTGGAGGCCCTCTGATGGTGGCTTTCTCTCTCTTTTTTTTTTTTCACGCTCATATACGCTCCCTTTTTCCGGCCTGACATTGACTCGGCAGTAGTTCTTTTTGATCGTGCGTATAATACCTACGTGAGTATATGCAATGATTAGCGGTTGGTTGTCCTAAGCCAACGATGGACTCGCGCGTCGAAGGCGACCTTGTCTCTATCAACGTCGTCAAAGAGGAACCAGCCGAGCATCAACCGATTATCGCAACCGTCACGGATGATCAACAGGCGACCACGGTGATGGAGACTATGAATACTGACGAAGATGAAGAGGTGCCTCAGGCAGCTGAGTGCACTACCGAGGCGGAGAATAGCCAGGACCAGTCGGAAATAAAAATTAGCATGTCCAAGTGCATCCTCTGCGGCAAAAGTTTTACTGCAGGGGATAGTCCCAAACTCCTCGAGTGCCTACATGCAGCATGCGCTGCCTGCATCAATGCCAAATTCAGCGAACACGCGAGCACCTCCGTTGACGCCGAGGTCCTTTGTAAGTAACATTTTATTTTTTTTTCAAGGTCGTCTGTGTGACGACTCGTCAATTAAAAATCATTTTATTCTTGTAGCCGATAATACAGTCACGTGTCCGGATTGCGAAGTGGTCAGTCACTTAGACAATTTGATTGAGAATCGATTTTTCTCTAAGTTTCTCGAAGATGACATGAGCACCACCTGCGAGGATGACCCTAAAGAGGTTGAAGAGGAAGAAAAGCTGTGTACGAGTTGCACTGAGAATGCTATAGCAACAAGTTGGTGTGTGGAGTGCGAGGAATATATCTGCCATAATTGTGTTGTGGTAAATACTTATACTTTTGTTTATTTCTAATGTACAATTTTTTTTACTATTCACCTTTGATATTCAAATGCAGGCACATCAAAGGTTAAAAATAACAAAGGACCATACAATAAAACCAAAGGAAGAAGTTACTAATGATACTGATAGTGGAAAAAAAGAGAAAAAATTGCCTATTTACTTGTTTTGTATACTTCATCCTCATGAACAACTGTCTTTATTTTGTCAAACTTGTGATCGATTGACATGTCGAGATTGCCAACTAACTGATCATAGGGAACACAAATATAAATTTATACATGAAATTGCCTCGGAAAGTCGTATGTCTATGAAAACATTATTGAATGAAGTTAGGTAAGTACTCATAAAATTATGATCCAATAATCATTATTATAGTGCATGTCTGGCTCTCAGCAATTGTTTCTTTTCAAAAATCACATTGTGCTTATTACTTGTTTTATTCTTTCAAATATTTTTAGTTATAAGCGGGAGTTACTGAAAAGTGCTATGAAAGTTATTGAGGAGCGTCAAGTTTTAATTACTGAAAAGAAACAGAGCCTTGTTCAAGAAATAAAGCAAATGGTTGTCAGGTGAGCTTTATTACGAATGGTATGATTCAATTGTACTCAAGTCTATTCTTTATAATAATTAATTATTTATCAGGTTGACAAATGCCGTAAATTCGCGGAGTAAACAGTTAATAATACGCCTAAATGAAGTATGTGATCAAAAACAAAATACGCTTAAGGAAAAAAAAATAGCCTTAGATCATCTGTCCAAACTGACTGACCATTGTATAGATTTTGTTAATTATGTATTAGAGCAGGATGATGATATGGAGCTACTTTATAGTAAAAAGTCAGTGACATCCCACTTGCAAAGAATCAAAAGTAGAAGAGCTGATATACCCAATCCTGAAATACCTGTGAGAATACACTTATCTATGGACAAAATGCAAGATCTGATCAAAGGTTTGACAAATATACATCCATATTACCGTCAATGAAATCGACATGTCTTGATTATACATATTCCTTTATTTTCCTTACTAGTTGTTAAATCAATTGGAGCGATTGTGGTAGATGGAAGAGTATATCCATCAGTAACCCCGCCGTCGGAACCAAGCGCTCCAACAACACCGATAAACGAGATAGGAGAACAAAAACAATCGAGTTCTTGCACTGTAGGCATGGCTATAGATGCGTCGGCTGTACCACAAGCTATAGGTGTATTGCCTCCCGATGCATCCAATAATATCCTACACAACGCTTATTTGAATCAATCGGTGAACATTCCAATCTCGTCCCATCAGCAACCCATGTTGCAAGCTCAGTTGAACATGATGCAACCTCAAGCAGCTAACTACATTCAGCATTACAATATGCCACAACGTGCATCACCGCAAGCACAGAGAATGCCTACATATAATTACAACGGGCGTATACCACAGCCGCAGCAGATGATAATGCCACAACGACCAGGACTTGGTCATCAACAGGTATATTGGCGTTAGAAATTTTGGTGTTGTATGTTTAGTTTTGTGTTGGTGCATTTAGCTTATTTTTTTATTTTTATTGCTAATCCTATCATGGATATTTTCTCATTTCTTTTCTAGTATTATTGAAAAGTATTAACTAGTTATAGTTATAGTGAATGGTATAATACAATTTATTCGAACTCCACGACAAATTTCAGAAACAAAAATATCAGAAATAAATGTAACAAGATATCTATAGCAATGATATTTTGACGAAAATAACTGATTGTAATTTTTACTTAAAAATTGACATAGTATATTTACTATTCACGCTCATTATTTTTGGAAGAATGTAAAGATTCAAGGTGCACTGATATCTTTAAATAATTACTTGTGTATAGTTCATAAGTGCAATTGCTTTTTTTAAAATCTTTTATACTTTTGTACGGTGTTGAATAAATTGGACAGATATGACATTGAGAATTTTTATTTATTCCTTAGAAGTGTTATTATTAAATAATAAAAAATTAATTTTATTTTTCTTAAAAGTTGCCAAGAAAGAAATCATACTTTACTTTATAATTGCAAACCACCTTTCTAATAAATATTTAATGGCACTTTACGTCTTTTTTTTGTAACTTTTAAATGAATAATAATATATTTAAGATGATTAGCATTGACTAGATGAAATGCGTTAAATAATTGAAAATCGCGTGAAAATTAAGAATAATGACAACTTAGTGAAACGAATAACTTGCATTCTAAATTGTTGAGTTTTCATTATAAAAAACATTTGTTCCATAGGTAACATCATCGACCCACCCTCATCAGCAGCAACAGCAACAAATGGTTTCTGGACCAGATCCCCATCTAAATCAAAATGCTAATCTTCGAGGCTTACTGGCCCACAATCCACCAGCCTATCGTCCAACGGCAAGCAGTTATAGCAGATTCCCGCCACGCTACAGATTTCCTATAAATCCACCTCAGCGACCAGTAGGACCACCGCCGCCGCACCAAAACTATCCTGCGGGAAGCTCTCTCCTCACTGGTGTACAGATGCGACAACCCGTGATAAATCCTTACCAGCAGCAACAACAGCAGCAGTCAGCCAGGTGGCATATTCCACAGAGTACTGGTCAGACATCGTCTGCATATCATGCTGGTAAAGGTGGCAACCCACAGATGTATCAGGGTGCTGCGCCGTTGGGCGATGCCTACAAAATTACACTCAAGAACCAGCAAATGAGCGTTGCTTCTCAAGTGGTAAGAACAGGGAAGAGATTCATCGATAAATATTTTTAGCGTAGATTGCATGGTTTTTTGAACGAAAGTTATTTGATTTTGAGTAACTATTTGTTAACACTTTTAAAAAGAACGTTATATCTCATCTATGAAATGCTTGCAAAAAAACAAAGTACTTTATCAACGTTTCATCGGAAAAATCCAATGCACGTGTGCCGATTCTGCTTCCGAAAAAGCTACTAAAATTTTCTAAAAAAAAAACAGCTTTACTTAGATGGTGATTGGATTTTTTACAGAAGAATAACGAAGCAGCACCAAACCCACCGATCAGTAGTGATCCAACAGTGTCATCTCAAAATTCGACGATGGTAACGCAAACAGTGAGCTCATCGATGCCAAAAACGCCAAGTCCAGCCATACAAGAGAAAGCTGACGATACGCAAAAAAGTCTTGACAAGTTTTGCCAAAAATCGCTCAACGATCTCATGTTGACCATCGCTAAGCTCGACAGTAATGGTATTGTAGTCATACCTGAGGCGCAAAAAAATCAAATTGAGTCCACGCAAGTGGACAGCTCCACTGATGAAGGGGCCAATGTCATGACTGATAATTCATCGGGTAAGCATTTGAAATTGTATTGGTTGATTTTTAAAACTACTTGTAGCTTCAGGATGTATTATTGTAGCAGCATCCATGACAAAAGACGATCCTAATGAAGACTGGTGTGCTGTATGTATGGACGGGGGAGATGCGGTCTTATGCTGCGATAAATGCCCGAAAGTCTTCCATTTGTATTGTCACATACCGGAACTGAAGCAGTTCCCGAGGTATGGTTTTCAACTTTCAATAGTACAAGAACAACCACGTTCATTGAATTATACTTTGGAAAAATGTGATTGTAGCGAAAATGAAACGTGGCAGTGCATGCTCTGCACGAACGTGCTTGATTGCTCCGGTGATCCGCCCGGAGACAAGAGGCCAAATGAGTTGAGCGCGTGCGACATGAGAATCGCTCAGCGTGTTGTTTTAGAATTGTATTGCCAGTACGAACAAAGCTTGCCATTTAGAGAAATCGTTTCGCAAGAGGTGCGTTATTCTTGAACCGATGAAATAGTTATTTTTTTAATACTTAATTTCAAATTTAACAGATTGTCGAGTATCATAAAATTATCAAGAAACCAATAGCCTTAGATATTATAAGACAGAAACTTAGGCCAAGCAGCGACAATCATTATACGGATTTAAAGCAAGTGATGGCTGACATTAGATTAATGTTTAAGAATGCATACAAATTTAATCCAGTATGTTATTTTGAAGTCTTCTTTTAAATTAGCTGAAAATCAAATTGCTTCAAATAATTACGGTTTTTCCTTCAAGGTGGATTCTCAGGTTTATCAGGAAGCACGGAGTCTAGAGGAATTTTTTGAAAAACTTTTAACAAAGTGGGCGCCTGATTACGCTTTTGACGACTCGTTCCTAACAGGTGAAGGTGATGACGACGAAAATGAAGAGGTGTTTCCGTCGAATAGGAAATACCGCCGAATTATCCCTGGTGACGATTAGCATTCATTCGAATGCGACTAAGTAATTCGATAAAAGAATGATCATTCAAATGATCATTTCCATGCGACATAAGCGTAATTGTTACTTTATCATACATTCACGTTGAAGTGCATAAGACATTTGATGTTTCCTGTAGATCGAAATAACTATGTTATATGTATATTATTACTTTCACAAAATAATTATGTGGTCGCAACAAATACGTTCACACACCTAAATAGTACCAAAAAATTATGTCATTCTTATCAAAATTATAATAATCATAGAGATGCTCACGGAAATTCCATAAATTCACTGATGAATTAAGGAACTCAGCAGGAAAGCAACGAAAATCGATTTTTAAAAAATATAGAAAAATTGTATGTGAGTAGCAAAAGAAGTAACATTTATTAAAAACTACACGATTTAGTTATTAGTAAAATAATCCCAATAGTTGAACACTTTACCTAGACTCAAGTACCAATACACTCTTAAATAGGCTGTATCCATAGAGATGGATTATTTTAAAAATAACCAACAATTTCAACTAACTTAACATAAACAATACCTTCTTAAGAATATCCGTGTAAGAGCTGTACTAATAGGGATCAACTATTCTTTAATAATTAGCAATTTTTAATACTCAAATATTTACCTTTGCTAAAAGAATTTACTTCTGAAGAATGGTTAACATTGACTGACAGCTATTTAAAAGAATAATGTATTGCTATTTGTACAACTCCCGTAATGACGTAGTTCTTGAGAGGGAATTGTAGATATATGTTACCTATTGATCCTTTCTAGGTGCACTTATCGTTGTACAAAATTAGAAATAATATTTATTTCTTTAACGGATGATTGTAATTATATTTCGATTGGATAGACAATTTTGCGTGATTTTTCTAATGATTAAATATATTTATCTATATAAAAACCAAATTTAAACACTACGAAGATTCGATTTTTATTGATCAGGGAGTCATCAACTTTAAAAATTTTTTTATTAACGATAACTAAATTGTGTAGTTATTAATGAGTTTTTTTTAACCTTGCTAATTATGCGTAATTTTTCTATATTTCTAAATCGATTTTCATTGACTTTCGCCGAATTCTTTCATCTAAAACTTACGTAAGATTCGTCAAATCTCATTAGGTGTGTAATGATATCGATCTACTCAGATTTTTTACTTTATTTATCATGAACCTTGGCCAACATTTTTAAAAATTTTATTTTTAACAAGCTGGCCTTAAGTTGTGATTACAATCAGGAATAGCCTAGATAGGAATTAAATTCAATCAATTTTTACGATTTGTTAATTTTTAGGGAAACAGATCATTGTATCGATATTGTAGAAAATACAATTGATGCATATATTTTTATAATGCTGCTGTTTTATTGGTAAATGTTTTTGGCACATACGTAATCAAATATTGGACATTTCTTTGTACAGATTAGATTTTTTATTTAATTAATAACGATTATATTTTCTCATTTTAAATGATGCTTCATTATTATCATTATTATTATTATTATTGTTTTTTCAAGACCTACATTCATATGGAACGCTCTGCAGAAGTACATTAGATACCTGTAAGGTATTAGTCTTGGTTTCCTATAATCATAAGTATGTATACCTATCTCCCTCGTTACTTTTGGAAGGGTATGGGAGGAGGTTTTTACATGCATCATGACTGGACCTACAGTTTAAGGTGGAATCCAAAACACCGGAATTACGGTAATAAATATATGAAAATTTCATTTCTGAAAATTTTCATATGTCTGGGACAATGACAATGACGATCTTTTGCGCAGAAGTCTGAGCTCTTACCCACGGAGCCATTATGACTCATGAAAACGAACAATAATTTATAGAAAAGTAAGTTTAATGAGAGATTAGGGGATTTGGTTATTATTTATTAGTTCTCCTAATCTTCTATCTATGGCTTAAATTTTAGTACTTTGAACTTGAAGCTTGTAAATTGTTAGCTTAAACATCAATTTGATTAAAATATATTTGTTCTTCTGAAAATTCATTAAAAATAAATTGTTGAGAATATTGCCTATGAATATTTTTGATGAACAGACTATGATAGATGTAAATGTTAAACCTATTTGTGTAATTTATGTACTAATTGTAGATTTTACTATAATAAAGTTTTGACTCAAGCTTAGAAAATTTAAATAGTTAATACTAGTTAAAATAAAAAACTTCGTAGTTTTATTACCTTTTTCTTGTCACAACATTATAGTTGAAACAAATGCTCTTTTTAAAAATTATCATTAATTTTTAATATATCAATAAAAATATGCATATATATATATATATATAATCTAGAAGTAAAACGTCGATAATTTATAACAAAAGTATCATTTTTATTATAATTATGTACAATTAATATTTTGACTTTATAAATCAATAAGATTGCTTATCTACTTCAAGCATACATCCTAATTGTTATATCTAAAATTGCTAGAAATAATGTAGATATAGAAATGCTAAAATTGGAATATTTGCAATTCCAGATTGGATCTCACTAAAACAATAAATAATTAATTTAACTTTATGACGTTAATTGATCGGTACATAGAAATTGTTTACATTCATAAAAAAATTTCTTACAAGTTAAAATATTATGATATAAACTTTGACTTTAATATAAGTGCAGTAATATTTTTTCACATAGAATGAATAAATTTACTAAGACATTTCATTGACACAGAAACCATTAAATACGTAATAAATAAAATACTTTAGTTCTCAAGGTGTTATAGGTGTTGCTGTAGTCGATTTTTGAGAACAAAATTTGCAAGTGGGTACTGTTCGCTGAGCTGAATATCCCGCAAGTATGCTATTTATTCCCATGCATCGATGACATACTATATTTCCACAAGACCAACAGTGATACTGTAACAAAGATGAAATTATACGCTTTTGTCTAAAAATACATTTTTCTTGATATTCATTTAATGGGCCAATTAAAATTTTGTACCTTTTTGTTAAAAGCATCGAAAGTTGTTCCACATTTACATTCGTTCATGTTTCTAGATAATTTCCATTCTAATGAAATAACTTTTATTTCATTGATCAATTGCTCTATATCAGATTTATTTTTTTCATCTTCCGTATTATTTGCAAAATCGTTTAATTTGTCTTTAAAACTCTTTTTCAAATTTTCGTAATCTAGTTTTAACTTGCTAGGTGATATATCTATGTTGTTTAAAGAATTGAACTGCCCGATTGAATTGACTCTCTAGTACACAAGATTCTACATTAACCCTTTTATTTTTGAATAATAAAACTGACAATTTACCTTAGTAAGAAATTTAACATGGTCTTCCATAGCACTAATGTGATTATTCAGTGTTAACAAAAAGTCTTCACAAGACTCTCGAGGGTGAACACCGTTTTCAAATCTAAAATAAAGGCCTCTCCATAAACTATAAAGAAAATTCTTATTATTTTCAATAAATAGTTTTTTATGTGTTAACGATCTTACATAATATTTTGTGGGAACAGCTTTGGTTTCAAAATGCGACTAGTTTCTCCCTTACACTGACTACTTGAGTAAAAAGGGTTTATAAATTCATTTATGCGTTGAGCTACATGACCCCATAAAGAATAAGTTCTTTCTGAAAGTCTAAATAAAATGATTATTTGAAACTTTCTAAGTATTATTGATCTATAAAAAAACAATTCATATCTAACTCACTTCAAAGCCTGTCTGTCTTTTTCACAGTTCCCTATAAAAGTTCCATATTGGCAGCTGTGGATGTGATCATGTAAAGTGATCAGATATTGCTCATTAAATTGAAACATGTATGGGAACTGTTGAAGAAGTTGGTAAGTTGCATCAATAAACTGAGTAAATATAGGTGCAAGTTCTTTAGTATCTGTAATAATGAAACCGCAGCGATCGTTAAACTTGTGACCAAAAGCAAGCCAATCTTTTTCAATTAATACCTTAAAAAATAAAAATAAAATACATAAACAGACTCATACATGTTATATAAAGAATTTAATGAAATGCGTGACGTTGCGTACTTACTTGAAAACCATGAATAGTTCTATAAAATGGATCTAACATTAAAGCAGCTAAAGAGCAAACTTGAGCTGTTCTATCCCATCCATCACTGCAATGTACAACTACGCTGATACCGTTAATTATATTTCGCGCTATAAACCATGATGTTTCCAATATAACACGAATGTGTTTTAGCCATCCGCTACTTTCAAGTGCACTTAGAAATGCACTCATAGAAGTACTCTTTTGTACTGAAACGGAAAATTATTTTTTAACCAAAAATTTTTTTTAACAAAATTGCATGAAAATTTACTTACATTCTATTAATTTAGATAAACTTGATCTCATGACATGAATATTTTCAATTCCAAAAAATTGAAATTTGATGTTGTCATAAAAATTCTCGTTTTCATATCCTTTCCCTGCAGCACGATTTGCCATAGCATTGATCTGAAATATTCATTTTGTTAATTCATCAGTTTTTTAAGACTTTTTAATATAGTTATATTAAACTTGCTCTAGGTCTTGTATCAACTATATATAGATATTTTGAATTAGGATTTGTGCAGAGCAAATTGTAAAGCATCTGCTCATCTTTTAGACAACGTGCATTAAATCCAGATAATGGCTGACTACACCGACAAATAGATGCCTATAATTTGAACTTTTTAATAATGGTAGAAACTCATTAATATAAATCTTGAATTATATAACCATAAATTATATTTACCTTGCTATTATTATGTAAATAAGTTAATACTGGTAGTCTTCCTTTACTACGAAACTTGGCACTACCCATTAATACAATATTGCTACACGAACTGGGAACATACAGATATTTAGGGTATGTTTCACACAGCTACAAAACAAATATTTATTATATTTAGGTTGAACAAACATATCTAATTATCCTAAGCATTCAATCTATCTTACTTCATAATTAACATTAAGATATGATAATGACCACTCTTCGTTTGGAACACCCTGTCTTTGAAACTCATCTTGGATGCTGAGAAAGTTCCAACCAACTTCTTGCAATAATCCTTCATTATTACCTTTGTAATCAAAGCAATATAAATCTTCAGTTTTTGCTGTAAAAAGGATATAATTTCTTATAATAACTAAAAAATAACTAATTTATTTACATGCACTATAATTTTCATATAGCAATTACTTGGGGATGATAATTTTAATAATGTTAAGTAAACTTCATGACAATCTCGTTCTTTTGGAATAACAAATGTAACAACAAAAAAATTTTTGCATTTGATATGCAGTGGAGAACCACTTGTCAGTAGAGGTAATTTTTCTACATTTGCAACATGAGTATTTAAGACCTGCAATACATTAAATTACAGAAATTAACTTTTCTGAGATATTTTTTAAACAATATGTTGCATGAATTTTACCCAAATTTTTTTCTTTCCATTCAATTCCATAAAAATAAAATGTGTTTCCGTTAAGAAAAATGTTCCCAAAGTATGCTTGACTCCATACTTATCAAGCATCAAAACATTTTCAACCTAAAATGAGGTGTACTCGAAATTTAAGTTAAATATTATCAATGTATTTCGTAAATTAATGTTTGATTGTAACAAATTTAATAATAGTTTAGCCATGAATCTTTGCATATGTAGAGTACAAACCTTTTGAATTTTAATTGCATCAGATACATTCATTATTGATGAATAAACTAGATGAATACTTCTTTGTAATATCTTATTTATGTTTTTCTTATTAAGTTGAATAAAACTTTAAGCTGCAGAAGGCACTTAAATTAATCTAACACTCTAACCAAGTACAAAAATTAATATATTTGATGAGAATAAAACTAAAATTAGAACTAAGCTAAAGATAATTCATGTACACATAAGTTATAAAATCACAGATAGAATAATGAATAAAATGTTTGAAAATTATTTACACATTTTTTTTTAGAGGAAACATTTCACGTCACGGAGGACATCCTCCCACCCAAATTCAGGAGGTCTATTTGATCAATCGAGTTGGCCACTATTGCCACCATTTTTCAAAGATTACTTTTAATATTTTGAACATTTTTTGTTTATGAATAAAAAATACATTAATCTATGTACCGACAATTCTATTAACAATTTAATGCAAAATTTTTTTATTTTATACTCATTAAAACCACAACCCAATTTATTTAAAAAACTACATTTAATTTTCTTCTCGATATATATATATATATATATATATATATATATATATATATATAGTGTTTCTCATAATCATTCTGTTCTGTTTCTGACGTGACACCACTTGGTGGCGTTGGACATCACCGGCGCATACAGTCAAGAACTTCTTATACGTGAGCGGTGGTGAGACTAAGCAAGCAGTGACCCAAGGTATCAACTATAAGTGTTTGTTTATATGGAGTACACCACACAAAGAAGAATATACCATTTGGTTACATTTGTGATATAATAAACTCATTATCTAACTGTTTCGTTTCGTACTACACCATCTCGAGTATAATAATGAATAAGATTTGACTAGTGCAATGAATATTCAAAAAAGTTAATAAATGCATTATATATACCTAACCTTGAGGTTTTTATCACGCAGCTGCTGCTCAACAAGTAATATAGGGAAATATTCGCAAGGAAACATTACGATTACCATAATTACACTTTTAGCATTGCAAATTTCGTCCACACGAAAATGTTCAAACATTTTAGTTAATTTTGAATGTTTCATTTACATTAAATAATATATATCATTCCATAGAATAGTTGGGAAGTTTAAAAATAAAGAAACATAATTCCACAGTAGGTAGCTAAGGTATAATTGATAAAAGTATAATATGTTAAATTTTTCTTTATTCTCATAAAAAAATAATTCCAATCTATTTCAGATGTTCAGCTCCATACAAGTAAAGCAAGAGTATAACAGTATAGATGATAAAAATCATGAAAGTATGGTTACTGAGCATGGTGATGTCGATTCTAGTGTTTTTGAAAATCAAAATGTTCAGTATACATATCACCATTTACCACATTTTTGGGATCAAGCATTTCAAATTCAAGGAAGTCAATATGCAAAGGATTTTTCTCATAAAAGTGAAGAAGATATGCCACAAATGAATGTAAGTAGTAAACATTTATTATAAATAATAACACAATGTAATTAAGGTATAATCTAACAGATATTATTTTATGACAGACTCCTTTACCTGTAAATTATAATTATTTGAGCCATATGCAGCAACAACAACATATAATTCAACATTCACATCAAAGTCCCTTTGTGATTGATCAACCTAGTAATCAATTAATGCATCAATCAGATCATTCAAATGTTAAGAGTGCTAATGTAAACATTACAGTTTCACCATCTATTTCTGATAATAATTCTTTGGTTAATTCTGCATTCATTGGGACTCACTCTAATAATTCTGAGAGACCATCAAAGTCCACAGATAGTATAATTCCTGGAAGGAAAGTAAAATGTAAATGTGAAATTTGTTTCAAAGAGTTTGGCCATAAAAGTAATCTTTTTATTCATATGAGGACTCACAATGGTGAACGACCATATAAATGCAAAGAATGTAGTAAGTGTTTTACACATAGTGGTAATTTAGCCATTCACATGAGGACGCATTCTGGTGAACGTCCATATGCTTGCCAAGTGTGTGGTAAAATGTTCAGTCACAGTGGAAATTTATCTACTCACTTGCGTACTCACTCTGGTGTTAAACCTTATAAATGTAGCGTTTGCTATAAAGAATTTCGTCACAGTGGTAATCTTTCTATACATGAAAGAATTCATTCAGGAATCAAACCATTCCAATGTTCTGTTTGTGGTAAAGAATTTTATCATAGTGGGAATTTAACTACTCACATGAAAAAACATCGTATCATTGATTCTCCTGATCAATGTGAAAGTAATATTCTTCCTGAATTAAACACAGCTTATGTCAGCAATGATGTCAATTCAACTAATAAAACTAATAGGATTCAAGATTCAAATTCAATTGATATAAATAGTACATCGCAAAATTTTAGCAAAGTCGAAATATTAGAGCAGCCAAATAAAGAATTATTGGCAAGCTAATGGTGTAATCTTATCTCTTTAACTTGTTCATTTGTTAAAATTTCCAATATTGGTTAGTACATGCATTCCTTGATAAGAATTTGCTAGGACTATGTTATTTCAACAAAAAAATATTTTAATGAAATTTTTTACTCATAAGACAAGTTTTTTTATTAACCAAAGAAATATTGATTATAATACGTCAATTATTACTAACGTATTTTATATTAATTTCTAGTTTATAAAATACTTTTTGTATTTACACTAATTATGCCAATTACTTATCTGAAAAGTATATAATTTTATAATAAACAGTGGTGGTTTATCAAAAATCAATTCTATTCAAATATATGAATAGTTAGGAGTTTTGTACTCTTGTATTGTGATATTTATGAATTTAAGTCACAATCAAATCCATGAAGTAATACACAATAATTCATGTAAAAAATGTATAATAATTTATACTCTTCAGCATTTTAACATTTTAGATGTCAACCACTTGAACCTTTGTATGATCAATGTCATTCATTATAAATATAAAATACAATTCTTTTTATATGCATATTTCATAGTATACCTATTACTATTATTAAGATTATTACTCTTACTATAATTTACTGTTAAAATTATGTTCTATATGTTAATGTGATGTCTTAAATATATAATGAATTTACAAAGTCAAATATAAACTTACAAAAAATAGTCTGCAGTAATTAAATTTATTTGTTTTTTCCCTTTTTTATATAAAATATATTCATCATTGACATATTCATTTTGATTACAAAATTGTCAACAAACATTTCATTAAAATGTCTTAAAAGTAAAATATATGTTAAAATACAACTGGCATGACTATTTATTTAGAAGTATTTAGTATATATACTTGCATTTCTTACATTCACTTCTTTCAATGATAGCAAATAAAATATTGGTTAAAAAAATATTTCCTCTTTATTTTTTAAGTTTTATAGTTTACGAGACTGTAACACATTATACAATACTTTCTATCACAATTTAAATCTTTGTAAAAAAAAGAATAGAATATATTAAAACTATAAGATACAAAATATATTTTACAGAAAAATTAACAAAATTTGCCGTATCAATGTACATATTATGATTCTTCCATTGTATATTAATGATAGAGAAATATTTTGTTCTAATTAAGAAAGGGTTAAATCAATCTAATATCAATTGATCAAACAATTGTGTCAATTGAGCTAATCGAATTGAACTAAATCATTTTATGGTTTAGAATGAAATCATCTACAAATAATACACAATATTGATCATCAATGTTGTACTCTGCATCCTAATGCTAAAATAGATTAGTATTACAATCAGTTTCAACATCATTTCAAACTACTATATAAAAAAGAAAAATCTAAAGCCTTTTTTCAATAGGATTTGAATTTCTTAATAACATTTTTTCTCAAAAATACCTCTTTTAAGTAACTAGTAAAAATAAAGTAGTGTGTTAATTTTAACTACTTGAGTAATTGGAAACTTCCATAATACCATAGAAATGAGTAGCTCTATGCAATAATCAACAGCAAACTTTAGCATAAGGAGACAGACAATTTGAAATAGCTTACTTAAACTACATAGCTTCAGTAGACTTTATAAATAAAGCTGTTAATGCAAAAATTAAAAATACTACTCCTCCTATGAGTGTCACTGAAAAGTAAAAAAAACATCAATATTGGTTTACTCTGTGTGATTATCAATAGTTTTTGAAAATTTTTCAAATGTATCTAACCTGTTCTCACTGATATTTTTTGAGCTATCATACGACCACCAAGGACAGCTAAACCAGTGCAAAATGCATGTCCAAGCACAGCACCAATAACAACACCATAAACATCCTACAAAGTAATTATCAAATTTCATTATTTACTTTCTTTCATAAATAAATATTTTAAATTGTATTTTGATATTTTACTTCACGAGCTGCAAGAATTATAGTTGTAAGCTGAGATCGATCACCCCATTCAGCTAGAAATGTAAGAGAAAAAGCTTGCAAAAATATCCGGGAAAGCATCATCAAAGCAGTAGTTCTTTTAGTTTTCCTAATAACACCAGTTTCTGGATCTTGAAGCAGGGTTGCATTATTTTCTTTTTCCAACTAACAAATTTTTTTTTAATTACAGAAAGAATTAGACATGCATTCACAATAATTATAAGCATTTTACTTCATCTTCTCGCTTTCTGAGATCAGTCTGTACTTCTTCTAATTCTTCTTGTCCCTCATTTGATGACATATAATAGCCATCTCTTAACATTTTCAAACCAAATAAGGCAAATAAGGCAGTAGAAATATAATATGTATATGCTCGAGGAATAATAGTAGCAGCATAGCCAAATATCACTGTACATTGATTATCATTAGTGATTCAAATAGTAATATATTCAAATAGTAATATACATATGATATAATATACATACCTGATAAAACAGTCATGACTGCCAGAGCACCTATAGCACCAGCAAATACCGTTAATCTAGGATATCTCATTGCCATTATAGCAGCAATGAAAAATGTCTTATCTCCTAACTCAGAAACAATAATCACAGAAAGCGAGGCAAGAAATGCATGTAGAAATCCTAGATTTTCCAATGATGTTACTGGTGTACTAGGTGAACTTTTCTGTAAATAGTTTGAAGAGTTATCAAACAGCAGTATCATATGACTTTTACTATAATTATAGAATATTAATTTTCAATAACTTACATCTGATGCTATGGAAGATTGTAATCTTTCTATATCAGATGGCATTTTTTCTCCATAAACAAAGGTAAATACATAAGGAAAAAAGAATAGTAATAAACACAGATTATTTTTAATAGTCATTTTCACTAAATTAATTATTTGTTGTTCACTGGAAGACTAAACTAAACAATTTGCAACTAAAAATTACTTGAAACGCATCCACGAGACGATAATTAATACTATATACGTGTACATATATCCATACGATTCACCTAAAAGAATTTATACATCTATAAAAAATGTGAGGTTAAGTAGCATTTGGTCTCGTTCGATTTGTGGTAAGCGGCAATCATAGACTTATTATATAGTCTACATGACGGCAATCATACGTCAGATCAGTCAGGAATTATATACAGGCACTTTGATTGAATTGCATCTTGCCTGTTTATGTGTCGACATTTACATTTTATAATTATTGTAATAATTTTCTCTTCTTGGACGGTTTTTGAAGCACTGTCCTGCAGTAAACATAAACAAATATATAAAACAGCATGGAAAAATTTCAACAAATTGATTGGTAAGAATACAGTGTAAATAACCATTTACCAATATTTTTATTGTTGACAATACCCTATCATAACCTCTTTTAATAAAGGATGAACTAGGAAATGTTCTATAACATTTATTTTTGAAAATATTGCAGGTCAACAAATGTAGAAGATATTGTGGATGAAAAGTTTTTAAACGAAGAGCGTTTACGACATGAAAGTCCAATGTACAAAATAATGAATGGTAATTTTCAGGACCCTTTTCAACATCTTAGGCGATTTATACATGACAATCAAATTTCAAAATCCTCAATGAAGCAGCAGCCTAAGAAATTCACAAATAAATTACGCTTGAGTGTTACAGCTGCTGGAGCTGTGAAGAAACGAGGAAGACCAAAAAAAAATGACAATTAATTTTTTTCAATCATATTTCAAGTAGTTTTTCTAATAATCGTATAGTAGTGTGAGATATAACATTGTAAGGTAGATTTTTTACAAATAAAAATTATTCTTTTCTTTTATAATAAATCTGACGTTATTATTTTATAACACCGAATTATTCATAATACACGCGATTCACAGGTTAATGTATAAATCTAAATAAGACAGTATTAAGCATTTGTAATCAATTAATAAATTTTGCAACGGTTTCAAATAACAAGTAAAACGAAATGGTTTTCATTTGTATCATACTTTAATTAAAAGTCTGCGTCATAGTTACAAATCCAAATTCTAGCAAAACAGCTGAAATACATGCACGCAGCAGCACCCACACGTACATTCGCGGCATATTGTGACGTCATATCTCGAGATGCAGTGTAGCATTGCGTGTGAAAGAGAGAGAACGCACACAAATAACATTCTATCTTCGACCTCTTCCCGTACGACAACGATCGTGCTTTCTTGTGTTCCCCGTCGAGAAGCAAAGTGCAACACATCTATCCATCAGTCGATCAACGACGCTACATTTTACAAAAAACAAAGACGACTACGCGCTTCGCAGCCTTGCAGTTCCATTGCATGTGCGGGAGTTAGAAAACTAAAACACGTAATATGAGTGCGTAAAGCAGCGGAGTAAAGAGAAAAAAGGATATGTGAGTATTACTTACGTACGATACTCTTGGAGCTACATGTTTTTTTTACCATTTGATTGAGACTCGGTGGAGAGCGTGAGAGAGACCCGTTAGAGTTGACTCAGACTCGCGATACCCATAACGTGGCTTTCATATTTTTTGAGAAATTTCTTGCTCGTTTCGTCAGTAACACTTGTGCACGATACGGCGAAGAGTTGTACTTGTCACGGTATGAAATTTTGAGTCTTGTCGTGAATCCGTGGGTTTAATTTTATTTTGGAGTCATGGCCATAGTAGTTATTCGAATGAAACTTGAGAATTTTTAAGCACTCAAGAAAAAAAATATATTTTTAAATGTTTTCAAGTACACTTACGACTATACTTTGTGAAAAATTATTAAATCACTTTGTGCAGTTTGCTTAATTTAAAGATTCTTTTGGAATTGCAATGAATTTCAAAAAAATATTTTTATTGTAATTTTATTCAGAAATCGCATATTTGTAATAATGAAAATTTCATGAATAAGGTATTTAATTTACCTTTCATTATGGATCAAAGACACAAAGATATTTTATCGCAAATGCGACAGAATATAATAGATGATTTAGATGTCTATAATGGAATAATAGGTCCGCTATCGACCGAATTTGTTTTGAAATCTGAGGATGTAGAAAATATCAATAAAGGTAAAACAAAACAAGAAAAAGCAGAAATTTTATTGGATTTGTTACCACAGTACGTATTTAATTAAGATACTCTTAAATTGTTCTATCATCGTCATATAGTAACATAAACAAATATGAGTTGTAATACAATGTTTCTTATTTTAGACAAGGATCTAATGCCTTTGATGTGTTTCATCAATCTTTAAAACATCATTACGATTGGTTGAGTGAAAAAATTGACAAAATGTTAGCTGCACCAGGTACACCTAACAATGAGAGATACATTGTTAATCCCAACTTACAGCCAGTATCTCCAATAACAGTGGCAAGAGAAGACATGGTGAGTTTTTTCTATGATTTCAATAACTGCAGTATCTTTCTAATTATTTTTTCCTACTAAACTAACATTGTGTGAACAAATTTTTTGCCTGCTTTCCCTACACTTTTGGATAATTTTCCAAAGTAAGTTAGGTTTTTTTTTAGTATGTGATGTTGCACCTTGTAGATTTATGAAGTCGAGAATCAGTAGATGTAATGGGTATACATTAAGTAAATTTTTCCAACTAAATGCTCTATTCATTGATTCTCAAATTTTTGACAAATATCAATGTACATCAAAATAGATGAATAAAATATTAATGAGAATTCTTTTAAACCAGATTGAAAAGTTGAAAGATGCATTGCAAAAGTTGCAACCAAATGAATATGTGGCATTACATGGCATGAAGGGTTTTGGAAAATCTTGTCTTACAGCGAGTACTTTGAAAGATAAAAATCTATCACAAAAACTTTTTAATGTAAGTTTGAGTTACAATTTTTAAGAGCAGACATTTTAATAATAATTATACTCTACAGAATGAAATTTACTGGATAAAGTTTGGATACAAACTTGGCCTCCAAGAAGAGATTTTGATTCAATTAAATAATCTTTATCATCAAATTAAATGTTTTAATTATTTGCAAGAAACTGTAAATTCAGAATCATTAGAAAAGACTTTGAAACAAACCATAGAAAATTACTTCTGGAAAGAAAATCACAGAAATGCCTTGCTGATTTTGGATGATGTTTATCGGAAAGAATTTGTAGATAAATTTGACTTTGCATGCAAAACACTAGTTATTACATCTGATATTGGAGTTTTGTATCCAAGAAGTTACAGTATTGTAGCAGTATGTCAATTGATATAAATATTTTAATAACAATGTTTAATAATAAATAAACTTAAAATATTATTTAATTATTAGATGAATCACGGTTTCACTAAAGCAGAAACATTAGGCTTATTTGCAAAAGTACTTGATGCATCTGTTGATACTTTACCTCCACAAGCAAATCTAATTCATGAAGAATGTAAAGGAATGCCATTACTTATTGCTATGTTTGCTGCCCAATTTGAGAATTATAAACATGACATGAAATGGAACACTGGCAGATGGAATTATTACTTGAAGTGTCTTCGTACTAAGAATGCCAAAAATAAGTCAATATAACTTTTATATTTTATTTTACGTTTTAAAATATAATTAAAGATACATTCTTAATTGTATATTTGTATGTTTTAGAGTTATTGAAGAGTTTATGAAAATTCAAGAAGCAACCTTCGATATGTGCATTAATCAGTTAGATCCAGAAATGAAGGAACGATATGAACACCTCGTCATTTTTAGCGAAGATGTTAATATAATGCCTAAGGTAACTAAGTTTTCAATATCACTTAAAGAGAATTGATATATTTAATATAACGTAAAATAAAATATATCTTTCAAAACATTATTTTAGACATTAGAAATTTTATGGGATGAAGAGCCATACTCTGTTGATGATCAAATGTTAGATTTCTGTCATAAATCACTCGCTGCAAAAAAATGGAATGATGATTTAAAAAGTTATATTTATGGAGTTCACGATTTATTACTTTGTCATTTAAGAAAAAAATTAACGCCAACGCAAATAAGGGATAAACACCGGTTATTTATTGAAAAATATCGAAAATATTGTAATGGTGATTTTTCTAAGCTGCCTGACGACAATTATAGTTTCTCTTACATTGGTCACCATCTTGAACAAGCAGAATTGTTTGATGATTTTCCCGCAATCTTCATGAATTTTGATTTTATTCAAGCTAAAATTAATAACACCGGATTAAGCGATTTACTCATCGATCTGAAAAAATATCGAAAACATATCACAAAAAATGGTGATGAAAAGATAGAATCCGATCTCTCTGATATGGAACAATTTGTCAAAAGTCATGCAAGTACTTTAGCAAAGCATCGTCAGATGAAGTGTTTAGATTTGGTGCAGATTGCATTGGATCATTCCGCGGATGGATTTGTCAAAAATACTATTACTAATTTAGCCTTGTCAAGACCGAATTCTCTTTACATCTCTCATGAGAGAACGGACTTATTCAACATTAAATGTTATTCAAATTTTTGCCAAGAAATTACCGACGACGTACATACCGCTGTTTTTACCGAAGATCCATCGCACGTTTTAATTGGAAGTAATAGTGGTGAAATAATACTGTGGGATACCGACAACCATAAATCGAAAATTTTTAGTGGTCATAACAAAAAATATGCCATTAAGAAGATTGTTTTGTCTATGGCCGGTGATTACTTTCTAGCTTTAAGCGAAGACGGTACAATAAAAATGTTTGTATTGAACGAAAATGAATTTACAAGAAACGGCCTTAGTATTTCAATACAAAATCCGCGACACAAACAATCTTCTTGGAAAAATTTGTTTAAAACTACTCATGATGATAGTGTAAGAACATTTGCTATTGATCAAGAACATATTTCAGACATGAAATTCTCCTTGTCAAATAACAAAGTAGCTGCTTGTACCACTTCAGGAACACTTGCAGTAAGTAGTTTTTTGATGCAAATTGTTTACATTTTTATTTCAAATATTTAACAGACTTAATTTAATCAGGTGTGGGATGCACAAACTGGTATTTTAGAATTGAATGACAAATTACGGAAAGAAACAGGACCGAACCGTTTAGGAGGAGTGGCTTTCACAACAGGAGATAAGTTTCTACATGTATTGAATGAAACTATTTCCGTTGTGAGGATCTATAAAAAAAATCAAGATAAATACATATACGTGTCTCAATTTAACTTACAACTTACCAACCCGAGGGTCATTTACTTTTCAAAACACCCTGAAGAAGATAACTGTTTGGTGATTGTTACTGATAAAGTAGCTTTGTACTTAAAGTGGTTTGTTAATATTGATGAGCTCTCTCACAGTTACGAGAAGCTTGTCAAAATTGAAGAAAAAGAGGAAAATGTTTATTTTACTACTGCGACGTTGACTTACGATGCGCGATATCTAATAATTGGTAATTCAAAAGGAATTATTAGCATTGTGAAAGCTTTCAATCCCGATGATTTTATAACTGGCATCAAAGCAAATGTGACTTCTCTTGATTCTTATTGGATGCCTGACGAAAGATGTCATATGGTACTAATTGTTTCAATGTTTCCATCTTATAGTAAGAATTCAGTAATCTTAATTTAATGAAATTATTCTGCTAGGTATGTGGCGGTGAAAAATGCGTGATTTACAACTGGAAGATTGGGGATGATGAAAAACCAAAAATAGTTAAAGAGCTTCTTTTCGACGCTAGAGTACAAAATTTTGGTGAAGACAATATAATTGTTTTAAAAACAGCACCAAATGAAATAACTATATGTAACGGGATAGTATCCCCAAAGAGGATTGAATCTGAGTGTGGTAAAATCACAAGCATTGAACTCCGTGACAATGCAACTAAACTAATTTACATTACTGAATTGGCCTCAGTTGTAATATACGATATGCTTACCCAAGAAACAACCCGATTATCACAACTTAATTCTTTCGAAAGTTATATTGGTATACTCCAGATCAACGATAATTACGTGGTTTTGTGTCAAAATAATCATCAATTACAAGTAAGTAATAAATAATTAATTTCATGAATTTTCAAAGAACATAAAAAACAAAAATTATTATTTTTCGCAGGTTTGGAAGAATATTAAATCATCGCATTCAGTCGAAGACGCGATAGATGTGATTTTTGTACACAAAATAAAAACGAATTGGATGATGACAGTATCAAAAAAAGGCCAAATTAAATATTTGTATACTGACTATTTACCATGGAAGAAAATAGATTGTAAAGTGACCGAAGAATGGACAATTGTTTACAGCACTATAAGTAATTCTAAAACCCTCCTAGCAATATTGAGCGAAGAGCAAAATGTGATAATATATAAATTGCCAGATGTAGATACAGAAGATAGCTCCAAAGTAGAGTCTTTCATGAAATACGAATACAAGAGTCAACTTAGCATTTGTCAGTTTTCTCATGATGGAAAATACCTAGCAGTTGCACTGGATAATGGTGAAATATCTGTAAATAACATATTTGATTCTCTTATCAATATCAAATTAAAACTGATTAATAGCACATTTTATTATTACAATTACTTCGTAGATAATCGACGTAGACTTACAATGTGAACTAGGGAAACTTTGCTTACACTGTTGTCCAGTCAGTCAGTTGAATTGGTCGCCATCGTCTATCAGTGTGCCAATCCTCTTATCAGTGAACTGCGATGAATTAGCTTGGTGGAATGTATCTATGCTGCACAGCATCGATAAGACACAGAACCGCCGTAGCCGTATGGGTTTCAGTCGTAGTATCAATAACCTAAACATGGATATGAGTCAGACGAGAATGAGTCAAAGCGTAAAGAGATCTAAATTACAGATCAACGTCGATGAGTTTTGGAGTCGAAAACTCGCGAAAAGTAACAGGCCTGCGATGCTTGGATGCGTGCAATTACCGTCAACTTGCACTGGTAAGGTGAAAGTCTGCGTGTCCGAGGACTTTTCCAAGTTCTTAACAATCGATATTCACGGTACAGTCAGTAATTTCACTATTTTTGGCAATTTGGACTAGTAATTCAGGTGTATTATACACGTTTTAGCGATTTTATTGCTTGATAGTATGGTACTTTAGGGTTTTTATACAGTGTGCCATACGGTTGTAATTTCTTCATTAATTTTTTTATAATACTGATACGATTATCAAATTAATATCTTGTTGATAATTAATTCGTAAGTCGATATTTTTTAGAACAGTTCGAGAAAATCGTCGTAACAAAAAAATAATAATAAAGAAGTGAAGAAAGAATACGCGAAATATTCTTTTGCGATATTCCAAAAGATGAATCTATTGATAAGAATCGGAAAAAATTTTATATAGGTAGAAAGATTATTTGCGATTGTAGAAATCAAAGATAGATTCTTTGATTATTTTTACCAAGTCTATCTGCAAGGGAAAGATGTTAGATTTTTTAATTTTGAGTGTGTATGTATCCGCACTGCCAAATGCATTTTTTTAATGATTTATTGAAAGGGATAAGTGATAATGATCAAAAGTCAGCATTATGGAAAGACTTACTTAGTAAGAGAGTAATTGTGTACCACTGATATGAGACATACGCGATTTATTGATGAAATTTACATTTTACTTTATATAACTTTATACGGTATTTCATACAAAATACAACCGATAAAATTAAATATAAACAATAAAAAATGGCAATTAAAAATACTTTATTTGAAAAATAAAACAGAATACGATTTTATGGCTATAAATGTTTTTTAATTCTTTAATTAATTAGAGAAGTCATGTTAATTAAAAAATTGGTTTTTTAATAAATTTTAAATATTTGTTTCGAATGATGTGGTGCCTTAAAAATATTATAAGTACTTTTTTGATACTAGTTGTAAATCAAGCAATTTTTTGATTATTTTTGTCGCATTTTTAGCATTAATGTTTTTCTTTGGTATGTAGTTTACTTATTATGAACATCGTAAACACGACCTCAGATAAAAAAAATAACATATGACAATACGTGCACATTTACGCTTGAAGAAATTAAATGAAAACGAAGAGTAGCTTGCAATTTTTCATTTAAACGTAAAGGAAAATAAACTGGTTTTGCAATTTTTTACCTCTTGAAAATGCATTTTATACTGTAACAGATACAGTAAGTAATTTTTCGTGACGATTTTTTATACAACTAGCGTTAATTTTATGTACATAATACGAATATTTTAATCATAAATCGCGATGACGAAACCCCTTATTACTGTAACTTGTGTATTTACATTGCCAACAATGTGTATCATTGCAATATATTATATGGCTGTTGGAAAAAGTGTAATTTAAGCTACACTGCAATTGCATTTATATCACAATCGGAGAGTCTTTATTGCCAAGCAATCAAGCTCAATTTTTCGCAACGAACTTTTATACCGAATTTTATACCTACCATCCCTGCGTAATCTGTATAATTGTAATTTTGTTATGTTTACGCAAATAAGACAAAAACAATAAAGATAAAAAAATTAATTATTGTATATACTAAAGAACAAGTGTTATTGCAAGTTCATTCAACCTCAATCTAAATTGCTCACTCGCAAGGAGAAAAAAGAATAAATCTCGAGACATATAGCGCACATCGGAAGTTGCATATGATGAATATTACGCACGGTGGAATGGGCTTATATTTAGCGTGCTGGCATCCCGACGCATTACATAATGAAAAAGAAAAAGAAAATTGGCGTGCGCTTCGGAGACATCTGTTTTGAGACTCTAGGTCACGAAGCAGTCACAACTAGAGGCCAATGTCAAACTCTATAGTTGTCCAACTGCGATTGAAGCTTGCAACGGTACGCACACGTGGAGAGATTAGAGCGTTTGATGTTTTCGTTGTTAACGTCGTGATCACAAATTTCTTGACGACCTCGTTTGCTATTTATTTCATTGAAAATCTGTGCAAGTTGTTTGCCATTGAAAAAAAATGCAAGTCGAATTTTTCCTGGCTCCAATTGAAAGTTTTTATCTGCATTAAAATCATTCACAAACTCAGCTGGAAAACGAATACGACGATCATTCCATCTCAATGAAAACACAAGTAAACGATGATATTGATAACGTACAGCAGTTCCAGCGTTCCAAAGTAAAGCAAAAGAGTGCTCGTTCGACAAGTTTGCTCGTCATATAGATCGAGCGACGCTCGCGCATACCTTCGGTAGTGGGGGATGGAGAGAGGAGAGGAGAACCTCGCGCGTAAATGGGGAAGCAAACAAAAAAAATACGGTTCGCGCGTGTTGGATCAGCAGATCGACGTCAGCGAGTGGGAAAGCGCGTGACTGTACGCACTGTTAATTCCTTTTTTTTCTCAGTTCAGTGTGGTTTTTTCGATCTCAATCGTATACCATGTCTTCAGCTCTGTATCAGAGTTCCATGCGTACCATTGGTAAATTCGTCCCGGAGAAGCTACAGCCTTTGTGGAAGCACCCTGCAGGTAGGTTCGTCGTGTTTCGCGGAACTGACACACGAGATCTACTCATATTGGTTCTTTTTCACTTGACGGGATTCACGTGGCGCTGGGTCAAGGTCGAGGCTATCGTGCATTTACTGTGATTGTCTGCATATCCCATTTTTTTCATAATCACCTAAATTAAGACTTTCAACTAAATCTTATATTTTTCAAAATTGATTTTTCACCAAAGTCAGTTGTTATTCGTTCGTTCTCGAGCATTTGTATAAAGTTTGGATTTTGCAATGATGCAATTAAATGATCGGATAATTTATTAATAATGATAAGGCATTCGTTGATGTGAATGGAGTAGTGGATAAACGAGTTGGTATGCGGTCTATCACAACTTATTATTTTCAGCATTTTCTAAGAAACCATCGACTGGCTCTTGCGCTTCGATAAAATTATCGTCGATTTCTTTCCGATGATTGTCGAGTCTATAGACTATTTACTTGCTCAGCCGAGTTCAATCAACATTATCGTATAGACACAAGTCTTGCTATATAATCTCAATCATGTTCTGTAACATCCGTCATAAAAAAATTGCGAAATTTGTCATTTTTTAGGTCCACAAACGATCTTCTTCTGGGCTCCGGCGTTTAAATGGGTAATTTTCTGTTTAATTCTTATTTAGCCAATATATTGATAAAAGAATGTTTTTTAAAAAGAAAAACGTGTTTTTTTTTGGTAATCAGCCTTTCTCAATTCTCTCATGCAGTTTCTATGTAGATAAGCTATAAATAAGATATAAAAATAAAACCTGTTGACGCAAAATCATTAGAATGAATATTCTTTTTTTAATCATTCTTTGAAAATTTTTAACAGTTTCTTTGTAAATATTATTTTTATTAATTGTGACTTTTATAGGGACTTGTGATAGCTGGACTGGGAGACCTTCAGAGGCCAGCTGATAAGATTTCAATCAGTCAGTCATCAGCCCTTGGCTTGACTGGTATAATATGGACAAGGTACTCACTTGCCATTATCCCAAAAAATTACAGTCTTTTCAGCGTCAATCTTTTTGTAGCATTAACTGCTGTGTATCAAGTTGCTAGAGCGATAAAGTAAATATACCCTTTAGAAAACATATTCATTCACATTTTGATAATGATTAAAGCTTCTTTTTTTCTTGTAGATATCAAACTGAACAAAAATCGCAAACAGTACCTAATTAACAATTCAATTGATGAACTAACACATTCCTATGCAGAAATATAGACAAAGTTCTTATCTTTATTGTTTCTAAAAAAAGAAAAAAAAACAAACAACAGAAGATGACTTTTAATTTAAGTTGCAAGATAAAAGCATTGGTAATGGATATAAGTTTGTTATCTGCTCATTGTGTTTCATCTGGAATTCAGTTGATCTGAATAGAGTAATGTATGTGCATTAGAGAGATTAAGATATATTTTATTTGATTATCTTCCTTGGAAGCATAATAGAAATTTATCCATAATACGTTATACTGCTATATACGTATATGCACATTGTTAAATCAAACTATGTGATAACTCAATGGTGTCTATTATATGCAATATAATGTTTCTATATTTTTCTTAATAACGTACTTTAAATCTACGACGATGCATCGGTGTATATGATCTAATTATGACCTAATTAACGAATCGAAGAATTCGAAAAGTATATATATATGTATATTTATGTACAGTGTATTATAAAATAAATATTTACGAGCGCTCTCCCACTTATAGCTCAACTGACAATGCTAGTGTAAAAAATATATTTTTTTTTCGAAAGCAGAATTTACGATGTTTTATTCATTTGTGTTGCTGTTCTTTTTTGCATTTTTAATCAAACCTTTTGATTTACATACAATGAACGTGTGCTTATGATAACCAGCTTTGTTTGTGACAATATAAGCAAAATTACTTATTAGATAGGGTTAAATCAAATTATTATGATAAATTAATATTTCTGTAGATTGAAGTTGTATTAATGATAAAATCATATATAATTATTTATGTCATCGTTGTATAAAAATATTTAGAACTTGAAACAAGAAGAAAAGTGTATATAGAGACGATACAAATTTCCATAAATATAGCTTATTAGCATTCAAATCTCAACAATAAAATCAAATAATCTACGAATTACAATTAAGGGACTTTTTATATGAGACAACGGACATTGGATGTACACCGAGAACACAAATTTAAAAAACAAATTGTTTAACATAGTGTATGTGAGATTGTGCAGGATGTGAACAATAGAAAATATAGATCTACTATATTAACACTATTAGTACAATAATATATCATTTTGCAAATAACGTTGGATGGTCGGTGTTCGACGTCCGATGTCTCCTTATGTAGAAAGTCCCTAAAAAATACTTTAACCAAATTAAATTGCGATCAATCATTCAACTAGCCGAAACGCATTGATCTTTCAATTTTTCCATTTTATCACTGCATATATAATTAGTGATTATTAATTTTTAGTTATAAAGTCATTACTGCGTAACAAAAAAATGTCAAGAAAAAATCAAACTCGTAGAAACGGAAATAAAGTAAGTAGTAAAAGCGCCGCCTAGTGGGCGCGTCCGAAAGCGTACAATAATTGCCCTACTCCATAACGTTAATAAGTGCGAGTGAGACAGCACCCCTGACTATACCATGCACGGAGACTGCCACGGCTGCCACGCCAACGTAGATCTAGGCTAGGCATCCGCCATGTTTGTTCAGACTCATCCAGTTCAGTCGATGGACAGCTTCTAATCGCAGTATCATATAGTTCTAGAGTCTTTTCTTTCGTTTACTTTTACCAGTGCAGTTTTATTAAAAGTTTCCATCTATACATATAATTTTTTATTGTACAAAAAGAGATCAGTTTATGCAAAATTGATCATCTAAGAAATTGAATTGCGCACGTGGAGGGTTGAAATAGCTGTTACTTTCCCTCAAGCAACATACCAGGCATGGGTCGTTACAGAAGGTGAGTCCTTATAAATTTTATTTTAATAGTTCGTTCCTTTAAAAGAAAGAGAGTTATTCTAGCTATTGTTTTCTCATGAATATTGCGTATTTTATTTAACGAATTCTTCTCGAACATTTGTGAGTTATTGCGCTTCTTCGCCTGATAATGTATGGTATAATTGATAAGAGATAAATACAAGTAGGCATAGTATATGAATCTCTTTGAATTATTTTTAGCCTCTCTTTGCTCAATGATTTACGTTGTTATTCATTCTAATATGATCATGAGTCATTATGGAGTGGCAATAGATTGTGATCAGCAATTTCCTGTTCTCGCAGCATACAGCACTGACTCTTAAAACTTATGAGGAAAGATTATTTTTACATTGTTAGTAAAAACTATAAAAATTATAGAACAGTGTGAACAAAAGGAAATTAGTATTTCATTGGTTGAAGAATCTTGGCTGTGAATTTCATTACAACTGGATTTGAGGACTAAGCCTTGCAATAACTATTGCACAATCCTGCTAAAATAACTTGAAATAGAGTAGATATTTATCAACTTCCTAATGTATTTTTCAAATTTAATAGTCGAAGTCGTGACAGGGACAGGAGAAGAAGATCTCGGTCAAGATCTCGTAGCAGATCAAGAGATAGGAGAGGCTGGGGTGGAGGCAGGGATAGAGGAGGTGGAAGGAATGGCAGAGGTCAGCCAGGAGCCAATCTAAAGAAGCCCAGATGGGACATGAACCGTTTGGAGCCTTTCAAAAAAGACTTCTATGAACCCTGCACTGCTGTTATGAATAGGGATCCACGTGCTGTTGAGCAATATAGAAATGAGAAGGAAATCACTTTGAGGGGCAAAGGTATTCCAAATCCAGTATTGTCTTTTGAGGAAGCTGGTTTTCCTGAATATGTTATGAAAGAGATAAAGTGAGTAATAATTTTTATTGAGAATATCAGTCTCTTTATTTCTTCTAGTGCTCATTTTTCTATAAAAATTGTGATTAATTTTCCAGGAGGCAAAACTTCAAAGAGCCAACATCTATACAAGCACAAGGTTGGCCAATTGCTTTAAGTGGTAGAGACATGGTAGGGATAGCATCAACTGGCTCTGGAAAGACTCTGTCCTATATTCTTCCCGCAATTGTTCACATCAACAGTCAGCCCAAATTGATGCGTAAAGATGGACCGATTTCCTTGGTACTTGCTCCCACGCGTGAATTGGCTCAACAAATTCAACAGGTTGCTGATGACTTTGGGCATGCATCTGGCATTCGCAATACTTGTTTGTATGGTGGTGCGCCAAAAGGTGCACAAGCAAGGGATCTGGATAGTGGTGTTGAGATCATAATAGCAACACCAGGCCGATTACTTGATTTTCTCGAGTCAGGAAGAACAAACTTGAAGAGGTGCACTTATTTAGTGCTTGATGAGGCTGATAGAATGCTTGATATGGGTTTTGAACCTCAAATTAGAAAAATTATCGAACAAATTCGACCCGACCGGCAAACGCTCATGTGGTCTGCAACCTGGCCGAAGGAAGTTCGTCAACTTGCCGAGGAATTCCTCAAGGACTACGTGCAGATCAATGTTGGCTCGCTACAATTGTCCGCGAATCATAACATACTTCAAATCATTGACGTATGTACCGAGTATGAAAAAGAAGTCAAGTGAGTACATTTAGTTATTAACAGTTTGTAACTAGTACTTTTATAAAATATCAATTGTTGTTATTATTTGTTGATAGGTTAAGTACGTTATTAAAGGAAATAATGGCAGAGAAAGAAAACAAGACAATCGTGTTCATTGAGACGAAGCGCAGAGTTGACGAGATTACGCGAAAAATGAAGAGAGACGGTTGGCCAGCTGTATGCATCCACGGTGATAAATCACAGCAAGAGAGAGATTGGGTATTGCAAGGTACTGATCTTTGGTTTTAATAGAGTCCACATTTTTGAGCAAGTTCTGACGTATGTTTTTATTTTAGATTTCAGAAGTGGTAAAACTCCCATTCTCGTTGCTACTGACGTAGCAGCCAGAGGATTAGGTAAGCATCGAGCGAATTTTATCTTGGGATTGCGTTATCAACTTATGTAAAGAACGTAAAGTAGATGTTTCTTAAAATGTAGACTGTTAAAGTAAACTGAAGTATTGTATGTTGAACTTTGTAAAAAGAAAGGCATGAGATAAAAGTGCTGACATAAAACAAAAAATAAGTAAGGAGTGGGAGGCAGATGAAAGAAAAGAGTTACTGACTAAGCGGCTGGATTTGTTTGCATTGCAGAGGCACATAGCGCTCGGGCCCTCGCCGGGTAATGCAAATAGCTGGCTTGCGCGCGCGTGCGCGTGCGTGAGAGAGAGTGCACACAATGATCTGAAAAATGAGAGAGGTCGTCGGCGCTCTTGAACGCCGTGGCCGCCGCCTCTGATGCAACACGTTGTGGCTAGGCTATTGCATTGTCTGGCTTGGCGTTAAATATGGGCCTCGTGGCGCGCGTGCCTCACGTCTCACACACACACGCAGTCGCCGTGAGAGAGAGACAGAGGGCGAGAGACAGGGGCAGCAGCGTGTGAGATAACAGAGGATGAGGCGATGTAATCGCCTCTCACAATCAGGCCGCTCGCTCACACGTCCGCTCGACCGCTGCTACTGCCCGTCTCTATCGACACTGCCTGCCTCCACGATTATCTGCGCCGACGGCGCGGCGTGCGATGTACAACTCGGTCGCACACACGCCGCTCACAACTCCTCCGCCCTTCTGGTTATCTGGTTGCTGGTCCTCTCAAATCGCCTGCGCGAGCGACAGAGAGACCCGACAATCGTCCTCTCCACACGACTTGGAGGAGGCCTCGTGAAAGAGAGATACACTGAATCAGTTAGACCGTTAGCCGCCGCTCTCCATCTCTGCACGTTCCGACGCAGGGCGCCGCCAAAGCGTCTGCTGCGGACTCGAGGCAGAGAGCGTCAGATCGAACGGCGGCTTTAACTCCGTACGTTTTCACATTAACAAGGTGGCGACGCACATTATTATGATGGCGACGTCCCCCACAAACACAAGCATTTTTATCTATATATACCTTTTTTCAATCGAATATTGTCGACCCAATCTGTACCTTCTCGCTAAATCATTTTTTGTCGGCTTGGTATACAAGATTGCTCGCAACGCGAAAGCCCTATATTCAATCTTTTTCACTTTCTCTTTTACAAACGCTCTTTGCCGTTATTTCTTATTGAAATTGGCTTTCTCGTTCTTTTTCTGTTTGTTCTGTTTTCCTGCATCATTCTTATGATGTTCATGGGCGTCTACCGAGAAACTAAACATGGCTCATTTTCGATGTTATTTCTGAAATTAAAAAAAAAATGCGTAGTTTTTCTCAGTGGACATCCTGGATCGTGTATTATGACCTTTTTCTCAATAGTTAGAATACATCAAAATTGAAATAATGAAAATCTTTTATTGGCAAACCAAAAGTACTTTTAATCTTGTTTCTTCAATGACTAGGATTATAATTATTACATCTTCACCCGTTGTTAGTTAAAAATTTAGGTTAGAACAACAAAAAAGAAAGCTCACGTTCACTTCGAGATGGATTTAATACGGTTGCAAAATCTTGTCCAATGCTATAACAAATTTCTGTGTTCATTTCAGATGTCGAGGATGTGAAGTTTGTTATCAATTTTGACTACCCATCTTGCTCGGAAGATTACGTGCACCGCATCGGACGAACTGGTCGCAGGCAAAAAACTGGCACCGCATACACCTTCTTCACGCAGAGCAACGCAAGCAAGGCCAATGACCTCGTACAGGTGCTCAAGGAAGCTAATCAAGTCATCAATCCTAAGCTTTTGGAATTAGCGGATCGAGGTGGTGGTTACGGACGACACAGAGGTAATTTTGTAGAGAATACGAAAATTCATCAGCTTATTTGTATTGTCGATGGTCCTCATGAAAATTCGATTTAGGAGGTGGCAGAAATAGATGGAGATCAAGAGCGGCTCGCCGTGAGAAGGAACGCAGCTTGTCTCGCAGTCGAAGTCGTAGCAATGAACGTAATGGAAAATCCCGACGTAGCTACAGTCGTAGCTCAAGAAGCCGTAGCTATTCAAGAAGTCGAAGTCGTAGTCCTATTCGTAAACGTTAATTATATCTCTGACCAACAGTTTTTGACCGAATAATTACTGTTTTTCCCAGAGATTACTGAAAATTTCTATTTTAAGGAACCGCTTCCTTTAATTGTCTATAAATCAATACAATTTTTGTGTAACTATACTCATTTTATTTAGCAGAACTTATGCTAAACTTAACAAAATGACTTTACGCTCTTAGTATAATTTTGGTTTTGTAACAAAAACAACTTTATTTTGTCATGATAGATTAACGAATAATTATGTATACAATTTTTTAGCACAATTATCTAGTAAATGATAAATTGTACTTATAATATTCTAAAAGATAAGCAATTTCTTTTCAATCTGTATGTTTACGCGGGAGAAAGCATTGTTGTACAGTATTTAAAAGAAGTGCAAAAAAATAAATTTTGTTAGCAACATTAATCAACGTGTTTCATTTTTATTGACATTTTTCTATACCTAAATAATACGCGTGATCACAATAGTGTGATTAAAAAAAATGGATTCTTGCATTAGAAAATTTTTCATTCACATATTTCCATTGAATTTGGCAACTCGCAATTTTAAGCTCTAAGAACACTTATCGCGAACAACGCCCCGAACAGATAAACGAAAAAAGGAGCAGCGAGTCACGATGGGTGGTGGGGGGGCAAAAAAGAGGAAACTAGTAGCTCTTATCGATCGTTGAGGATACCAAGGCATTTGTATGCTCGCGCGTCTGCGCAGCATTGGTCACGTGATCATCCCCTCTATGTCCTCTGTCGTCGCAGCGGAAATCTCCGCCAGCTGCCCGCTTCCGTCTTCCCGAGCGCCTGTCAGCCATTAGAGCTCTGTTCACCGGGTCTCTGGGTAAGAATTATCAATTTTCACCTATTTCGCAGGCATAATTCTGCCCCTAAACCACTCATTTAGCTTGCCTAATCATCGAGAATATTGAAAAAGTAAAATCTATCGAAATGGTTCTTTTTTTTGGAAGTGTAGGTTTGATTGGGTGCATCGCACGAAATCGAGTACCGTTCCACGACTGAGAACGAGCCAGAGAGGGAGAAAGAAAGTGGAACGAGTTCGCTGGACGTTCTAAGCAGCGAAGGAATAGTTTCGCGGTCTGGCCGTACGACGATGTACAGCAACAGTTACGCCAATCAAACTTCGTGAGTATCAGTCAACCGCACATACATGGTCCGATTTTACGCTGGTTTTTCAACAATCCTTTGATAAAGTGAATATTATAGTTGTCTTTTTACTTTAAATTCTTGCATTTCATACGTATGATGTTTCTTGCCAAAATCGTTTGGGAACGTAACGAAGCGCTCTTTCTCTTTCCCTATATAGCTTGCACTATATTGCGTTCACGAAGATAGGAGAGCGGCCATTTTGTTCGTAGGCGAGTCCGCTAAGCTCTCTCGGACATTTAATTATTTAAAGACACGCGTTTAACTTCGTTGTCATGGACGAATTGCTACTTTTTCGCAAGCAGTTTCTGAAATAGTCTTTCGGGTCAAAGATTATTTCGGTGAGAAATTCTAACTCTGATGTATTAATTTCATTGTTATACTTTATTACTTCTTTCCACTAACTCAACACGTTAACACTCCGTTTTTCATGTAACATACGTATAAATATTACTATATTAAATATCGTTATAATCTCGTATTATTATAAGTTCATTATCAAAACGTTGCAAATCGTTTTCGAACAAAAAAATCGCATCTTTGAACAATCAAAAATTTGTAAATCCATGTATTAACACGATTTCAAAACGACATTTTCTCGTATAAAAAAAGTTAAGGTAATTACAACTGTTAAAAAAGTATTGACTATAAGTCTTGAATTTTCAGACCTAGGGGGAACAGAGACATTGGTAACAGGAAGGGGAGTGGTGGCACTTACTGGAATAATCAACAGCAACAACAGCAGCCTCAGAAAAAAATTGGAGCCATAATTATATCAACACAAAAGAAAAATAATCAGAAGAAGACTCCTGGTGACCTCTTGAAAAAACCTAACTGGGAAATTATGACTCTGCCAAATATTGCCAAGAATTTCTATGTGCCCCACATTAACATCCTGCGACGCACTCCTGATGATGTCAGAAAGTACTATCTAGGCAAGGAGATCACCGTCAAAGGAAACAATACTCCCCTCCCAATACAGGCGTTCGAGGAATGCAACTTCCCCGAATATGTTATGGAGGAAATTAGAAAGCAGGGCTTTCTAGAACCTACCGCCATCCAAGCTCAAGGCTGGCCTATTGCACTCAGTGGACGTGACATGGTTGGCATTGCCCAGACTGGATCTGGGAAGACACTAGCTGTGAGTATTTAACTTTATTAGGTTTGAATTTCTGCCAAATGAGTGTCAACATGATAGCACTGATGTCATTCTTGTTTATTTTACAGTACATGCTTCCTGCTACGGTTCACATTAATCACCAGCCACGATTGGCTCGAGGAGATGGTCCTATTGTTCTTGTGCTAGCTCCTACTCGTGAGCTTGCTCAACAAATCCAGACTGTTGCACGTGACTTTGGTACGTCATCACGCATCCGCAATACTTGCATCTTTGGTGGCTCACCCAAGGGACCTCAAGCTCGCGACCTCGAACGTGGAGTCGAGATATGTATCGCCACTCCTGGACGGTTGATCGACTTCCTCGAACGAGGCACAACGAATCTGCGCCGCTGTACTTACCTTGTACTCGACGAGGCCGACCGCATGCTGGACATGGGTTTCGAACCTCAAATCCGCAAAATTATCGAGCAAATCAGACCAGACAGACAGGTTCTCATGTGGTCTGCCACCTGGCCTAAGGAGGTGCAAGCTCTTGCAGAAGATTTTCTTAGCGATTACATTCAAATCAACATTGGATCACTGTCACTCGCCGCCAATCACAACATCCGTCAGATCATCGAGATCTGCCAGGAGCATGAGAAGGAGGACAAACTCACCACTCTGCTAAGAGAAATTGGTTGTGACCGAGGCAATAAAACCATCATCTTCGTGGAAACTAAGAAGAAGGTCGACGACGTCACCAAAGCCATCAAGATTAGCGGACTGCACGCCATAGCCATCCATGGCGACAAGTCTCAGCCCGAACGTGACTACGTTCTCTCAGAATTCCGTAATGGTAAAACTGCAATACTGGTAGCTACGGACGTGGCGGCACGTGGTCTCGATGTCGAGGATGTCAAGTACGTGATCAACCTCGACTATCCGAACAGCAGCGAGGACTATGTGCATAGGATAGGAAGAACAGGACGCCAGAGTGCCGGTACAGCCTACGCTTTCTTTACTCCCAACAATGCCCGCCAAGCCAAGGAACTGATTGCCGTTCTCAAAGAAGCTGGCCAAGCCGTCAACCCGCAATTGCTCGATTTGGCTAACTCCCAAAAACACCAGTTCGGTAAGAATCGTCAGCGATGGGGTCAGAGTCGTGGAAATCCTAACACCATGAATAAGGACATGAACGGCAGTCCGAGAAACAACCGCAGTCCACCCAACAGCTGGCAGTCAATGAACCATTTCAATGGATCAAAGGTGCCTGGTCAGAACAACATGAACCGCCCAATGATACGCCAACAAAATGGCTATTCGAATAACCGTCAGAACGGCTACCAGAATAACTATCATCATCAATCGACTTCGCCAAACGGTCTGCCACAGCAGCAATCGCCTCAGCAGATGTCTTCTCTGACACAACCGCAGCTGCAGTACAAGCAGGTGAACGGCTATCAGAATAATGCCGCGTACCAGCAGATCGGTAGTGCCATGCAGAGCAGTTACCAGGCAAACGGTTATCAACAACGTGGCTACCAGAACTTCACTGGAAATAGTGGCTATCAGGGAAGCAATCGCTATAACAATCGTCAGAATGGCTACGCACCCCAGCAGAACCGTCAGCAGCAGCAGCAGCAACAGCAGCAACAACAACAACAGCAACAACAACAGCAGCAGCAACAGCAGCAGCAACAACAGCAGCAAAGCATGTATTCCGTGCCACCGGCGTTTGTCATGCCGTCGAGTGCCACTGCCACGACCGACTCCAGTATCCAGAGTCTGGTGAATAACAAGTTCTTCCAGACCAGTCGACCATCGCCACCAGCAGCCAATCCTTGCGCCTATCAATCGGCTATGGGATACGGTCAATTTCAAGCCGTGCCGCCCTATGGTTACCCGTACCCGCCCACACCGGTGCAGCAGTGATGCGCCGCCTAAACATGTATCAATCTTATTCTTTGTTTTTCTAAACGTATAAGCGAGACGGTGGCTTCACAATGTCGTAGGAAGGTAACTTTTTTTTCATTTAATCTCGAACTTTTCGTTTAACGCGTGAAACCATCATCGATCATCAATGTTTCTTAATCAATGAAGAAAAAATTAAGCAGAAAAGAAAAATTACGACGTTCGTATAGATAACGCATATCTTTAATCTTGATTTTGTGTTCTCAACGTAATATTTTTCAATTTTTTCCTTCCCGTTCTCGTGTTTAAAGACGAATTCTTTTTCTGTATCACTTTTAATTTTTTTAATTCTAATCTTTCTTTACTATCGTACTTTTCTGGAATGGTGCTCAAAGTGTTCGTCGCTTGCGCGTATGAAGCAAGCCGACGTATCTAATCCTACAGTGACTGCAAGCAAAAGCAAACGGTGAACACTATTATAGGCTAACAGTAGAAGCGGAAAGTTCTTTAAAAGAATAAATTGAGATGGAAAATATAACGAAACATGCAAAAAAACTACAAGATAAAAAAGAAGCTATGATCGTGCTGATTCGAACGAATGATTCGTATCCACCAGGCACATTCCAGTCGAGTTTGAACGTAGGGATTTAGCTTAATTAGCGATGGTATATCGATATTGCATACATATATTATAATACTACTACTAAATATTGGTAATGACCACAAAAAAAGTGTAGCTTACGATTTTTGGTCATCTCTGTGGTAATTGAATATAGCGTAATCATTCTTGCGATTTAATGAAAACAAACAAAAAAATTACAAACTATGTATACTACCTGTATGCTTTTCTGAAATGCACGAAACATATAGAAGGGGGGGCGTGGGTTATAGGATTAATAATTTATAATTTATTTATAATCTGTCAAGCGTATAACAAGGAATGAGAAAAAAGGGTTTAAACGAGTAAAATAGATGACGCTCTTTATAAATACCGACGAAACGAGGGATGAACGTAAGAGAATAGCGCACGAAGACGCCAAGAAACAAAAGAAAAATAATCTCATGTTTTTGTATTTTTTGTTTCAAAGTGTTTAAGGAGATTAAAAACGATACACAAAGAAACTAGCAAACAGAAGTCAAACGTAAGAGAAAATAAAATTAATTAACGCCAGCGCGAAACTCGATAAGTAAGCAGGATCTCCCACGTTATTTATATACTACTAAAGCGTTAAGAGCGTTCGTATTTAAACAAAAACGCAAACATAAAAGGAGAGCTTTTCTTCCGGCAAGAAAGAAATAAAATGAAACTTTCTATTTGTAAGAGGCAAGCCTCGCATTGTTTACGACGCGTTAAGTCGAAAGAAGCAAAAAACACGAAAAACACGCTCGCATTCGAGAAGGTAAGCGTCGATCTTCCAGTGTTAGTCGGAAGGAATAGATTTAATGAATCTTTTTTTCGTACGCAATGCGTTTGTAAAACGGGTAAACTCGAGGATGCAAAACTGACACACGTGTCGAAGATTATCGGTCGCGTAGTCTCACATGGCTGTGCATTATAACTATTAGAGCAGAAACTGTTCTTGGGTATACCTTATTTTTGTAAAACGGCGACAAAGAAAGTCTCTCGTTCATTTGATTTGCAGATGTAAATGCGACACGCGATTATATCGAGCGAGTAGCGCCATTCACGTCGATCGTCCCCTCAAGAGGCACAATTTAATTAGATAGTGAAAGAAATATTAAAGACAAAAAATTACAGTCTTGAAACAATATGTTTCGATTTACAATTATAAAACCAAGAAAGACTTTTTTTTACTGGTAACTCTATTTCGAGGGATTATTAAACGCGACTAAAGTTTCAAATCTCTGACCGCAGGCGACAAATCAGTGATGTGCGTGCATCTACTTTCCGTCATTTATAATTAAATGTAATATTACATAAAACTCAGCTCGACCACGACACAGAAACACAGAAATACGGGAATTTATCGAAGAAAATAAATATATAACGTCGTCGTCTGTGTACGTGTGTTATTATTTATCTCGCGCGCGCGTGCTCTTTACTTTTACGAAACGCAAATAGTAACGTGTCGTATATAAAACGAGCGAGAAGAAGCCCTCTCTTTTCTTGTGAGATATCTTCGAGAACGCGCACACTTTTGCGGGCAAACGAAGAGCGGAAAAAAACTAGTGAGAAAACTAATATAAAAAAAGCCTCCAGTATTTCATTGTCTCCTTATTTTCGTCGTACAACGCACAGAGAGAAAAAGAAGCAGCCACTTCAGAATATTCAATAATTGTAAACTGTACTATATTGGAGGCTCTCTCGCTGATTTGCGTGTCTTGGATCATGCAATCATCTCTTCTCGTCGAACATAGGAATCTGTAGGATGGTTGCGTATTACACGCGTAGTTCTGTGATAAGTATGATGTAGTGTTACCGCGAAAGGTTTGGCGATAATAATTATTAAAAAAATGGATGCGAAGATCGCTCGAGAGGGCTTTTTAAAATAAAACTAATCGCGCGTCTCTCGTCTCTCATATATAGAAGCGCTCGTTTCGACGGCAGATTATAAGCAAACAGTAAGAAAAAAAAGTGAACCATAAATTTTTAACGAAAATAATAAGAGTAAACTCACGCAGGCACGTAAAGGCGTCGTCATATCATATGCAATATGCGTTATAATTGTAACTTGTCTCTCGAAAACAAAAGCAAAACAAGCAAAAGATTGTGAAAGCGTGTCGTGTGCTGTAATAAAAGGCTTATGCGTGAGCAAGTACTCAACGTGCGGTAGAAGATGGCCAATCGAATTCGCTCTACGAAATACACGATTATTACATGTTACATTTTTGCAAGGATAATATGCTTATTCGCATCAGCGCCTATCTCGTTCCTCTCTCTTTGATCGCGAGGCATATATGAATATTATAATTTTTAAAAACAAAACAGTCATGAACGTACACAAAATGTATTCGTATATCGTTAAACAGCCACGTCATACGTTCTTTCTTTCTTTATTTTATTTTATTTTATTTATTTATTTATTTATTTTTTTTTTTTTTTTTTTTTTTTTGTCTTTTCTCACGCGAGAAGAAAGAGATTAATTAATTGTGATTAGATGCGTACACACATGAGAAATATTTTCCTTCCCAAATAATGAGGCTATGTTAATAATGTATATTCACCAGTGACGCGACGGTTCTTCGCTGTATATTCGTATAAAATCTTACATCTCGTTTAAATATGTAAGTATGGATTCGCGCCTCGAGAATATATTGCTCCAAAGTGGTTCTTGTGTGATGGTGTTCGTTAGCTTTTTTCTTTTCTCCGTTTTACACGCGAGAATCTGATTTTTGTGTCTCTGTCAAATCTCTACAAACATTCGCTTCCATTATTATTATTATGATTATTATTATTAATATTATTTTAATTCTTATTGTCGTCCTGTATCTTTTTTTCTCTTTCTGTTCGTGTCGTATTTGAAGCTGAGGGATCGTTTCTCACGATAAAAATTGTTGAATAGTTATTAAAATTAGACGATAAAAGGATCTTGTTTATTTTATCTGCGTAACTTCAAGAAGTCATTTATAGTATAACTATATTCTGAAGATTAGAGCGTCAAAATAACATATTTTTTATTTATTTGTATCTGAAACTTTTCTCATAATTACTTTATTTTTTTTTAACTTAATATTATGAATAAAGCGAAACGAACTCAGTTATTGAACTACATTCACTTCGTATTATTACTTGTTGATATATAATTCAAAGGGTACTTGCTGAAAAAACTTCCAAGACATTAGCTGGAAAAAATATCGCCAACTGATGAGAAAGATAAGTGTGCTTTAATTTCTAGGTATGCAATGAACGAAATAATTAAAAATTAATACCTTTGTTTTCAAATAAATCGCACAGTACGAACCGATGTTTGTTAAAAAGAGATAAAAACTATTAAAAAAAAAACAAAGTGCGTATTTAGATTACATACAAAAAAAGTATATATATCGAGATAATTGTATGTAGCGAAATGAAATTGAAGGTACGATGGAAAGACTAGAAATTTGTTCAAAAGAAAAATATGTGCTTAGACGACGATCCAAGTTGTAAAGTCTTGTCGAGATTATTAATTGATTTTCCTTCTTTTACCACGTAACGAAACAAAATAAAAACATTATGTTAAGAGACACGCTATCGCTGTGATAATCGCGTACGTCAATACGTATAATTATAAAAAAAAGCAAACAGAGAAGCAAAAACACGCGGAATGTTAAGGTAATTTAAAATAAAAAAAATTAAGCCTAGAGTCAGAATATAGTCTCCTTTAACGGCTACATACAATCTTTGAAATCGCGCGCAAGTCAAACTACAAACTCAAGAAAGACTGATTCTCTTTCGCCAAGCGCGTACATTCAGAAAAGTCGAAACAGAAACCTAAGATTCAAACGTCGTGTATTTACTGTACGTTAAACGAATTGGGTCAGAAGCCGTCCGCGACAGGAAAAACAAAGATTTCCTCTTTGTAGTTCGATAAAGCTTATTTTAATTTACTCGTTTACTTAAAAAAATAAAAATAAAAACAAGAATTCAGTTCTTACATATATGTATATTTTTTTATGTAATTATCTTCTGTTCAAAATGAAAGAAATAGTCCGTCGGTCTTGTATACTGTACTGTGAGAGAGAAATATTCACTAGTAATCGAAGGTGATTATTTTGACTGAACTCAGTCGTGTGTTGCTCGCCGCCTGTTCCTAGAAATTTGTTGTTCAACGGGCGACAAACACTGTGCGATACCACTGTTCTTTTATAACTCTGATAGAAAGCTACTTTTGCGTTGCATACTTAAGATACTTGTTTTTGAAACGTTGTCTTTCAAAGCAAACATATCTTTCAGAGAAATCTTGGTGAATCTGAAAAAATACATTGGCTTGTTCCTCTTAATTTTAAACTTAAGGCTAAAATATGACAAGATCAGTTTGTCTATCGTTATTATTGCACTCGTCGCGCGGTAACCTGGGACATTAAGGAATCGAGGGACTGTTACGTATTCTCAATTATTAATATATATCGCTCGGATCTATAAAGCCCTGTCGTGTCATTGCCGAAGCCTGACGATGTTCTTTGTACCTACATATATACAATTTATTTTTTCTTTGTTCTTTAATATTTATCATCCACGCAAAGGCTGATAATATAAGCTCGTCTAGCGTTTTTGTGACGCTGAGTAAAACATATAAATGTTTATTTTATTTAATATATATACGTTTCTTCTCTTTTTTCTTTGTAAAGAACATTGAAACATTTTTATTTCATTTTAGCAGAGTCGCATATCTTGTTTCGTTTCAATTTTTTTTCTTTTTTTTTTATGTTATTGTCGAAGCATAAAAGCGTGTGATTTGCCGAAATGCACATGTATAATTATATATCCCCACTGCGTAAATGGGATGAGCGCAGTCGACAGAAAAAAATTCCACGCAAGACGTCGTCCAATTTTATTTGTTCCAAATAAATAGGAAGGCGACACGCCAGATTCTAGTCAAAATTCATATTCTATATACTTTCGAGCCTCGCAAGATTATCAATATTTCTTTGTTCCCCCACTCCCTCGTGTATCTTCTTTCAAACTATTGTACCTGTCCGTTGAATTGAACCGTTTCTTTTTAACGATATGAAAAAAGACGTTATTCCCTCCAAACACTCTCTGTTCATTGTGATTGCAGGGATAGACAAAATCACAATATACCTGTAGTACAATGTGAAAATGTGTGTGTATCATTCGGTTTCGTAAAAGATTTTAAACGTAACAACGATGGGTCGTGTTTTTCGACGACGAGCGAAGGACCTTTTTGCAGGGTTTCTAAAACGGTTAAAATAATAGACTAAACGCAAATCTTTAACAAAGTAAGAAAAAAAATGTAGCTGGGATAGGGGGTTCAAGATTAGGGCGTTTTTTCTAAAGAGAGAGAGGCCTTTGTTGAAAAAAAATAAGAAAAAAATTTTTCTCGAGCAGCTACTGCTTCGCTCATTACAATCAAACTGTTGTTAAAACAAAAATAAAACGTGATATTACGAATATATGTAATGATGAGAGAAAGAGAGAGAGAGAAAAGAGGTATTATATCGTGTGAATCGAGCAGACTTGACGGGCCCATAATATATGTTTTTATATTTGATACTAATTAATTAAATAGAGAGAGAGAGAGAGAGAGAGAAAAAAACCCACAAAAGTAAAGCGAGCAATGGAAATAATATGCGTAGTGCGAACTGAAAAATAAAAAAAAACATTTAACGATGAATTTATTATATTCCCGTTCGACGTGTGATTTTTACATTCGAGAGCTGATAAAGTTCATGAAGAAGCATACGATACAAAGAGTATTTATTTTTTGACCATGACATTCGCGAGAATGGAAGAAAAATGCGAAGTTCGTCGAGTATGCTTCTCAAAGTCGAGTCGAAACAAAAGGGAATATAATTTAAAACACGACTAAGTTCAAATATACAATGTAGCTACGAAAAAGAATAAGAAGCAAATTTTATAACGCCCGGCGGTTTAAAAAACAAAGTAAAGTATAGTTGCTCGTTAAACGCGATAAACCGTACTTTCTTTTCGTTCGTAAGTCGTAAAAGTATAGAGAGAAAGGGAAGAGAGAGTGCAGAAGAGCTTGAGTTCTGAAAGGAGGGACTTTAGATGAAAACGAGTGGAGGTAAACTCATTTGTTATAAAAAGAAAAAATTGTAATTTTTCATTATCGAATATTGTAAAGTATGCGAAAGAAAAACGAAACAAATTAACCGCAGGAAGGATTAAGTAATTAGCAGTTCGGCAACAATTTATCAGAACGTGAGATACTGTTCGACATTCAGATTCTCTTCTTCTGTAGGTTTCACTAAAGTGCATTTCTTGTATGTTATACAGTATTATGAATAGAAAATAAAATATAATAAATACATTGCAATTTGAAAAAAGTAATTGTTTTTATTACCCTACTCATCCTTTTCATCTGCTTACAATTTGTACTATTTTTCAAACAATTTATGTATACTGACTACTTTATTTCATATACGTCATTTGACAGCAGTTATTCGTTATGTAAGTATAGAATAAAAATTGATAAGCCTATCAGAACTATTATTGTGAAAAGAGTAACTTATTATTTTAAAATGTTTGTTGAGAAGAACGAGAAATATAACAAGATTTTTATTAAAATTCTTAAAAAAATATTTAGGATCGAAAAAATTAATAAGCGCATAATTCGGGAACGAGTAATTAAAAAAAAAGGTTATACTTAAAAACTCTTCACTAATCCAGCAATGATGCGCTCGCGCAAGTACAACTCATATTTTGCAGATGTTATTGATTCGACATTCTAATATTCTCGTGTTCCGGAGGAAGGAGAATTACTTTAGGTTTTTTATATTTCGTTCTCTGCTCATGCGCACGCAATGCGGATACGGCAAGCGTCAAACACGAAGACGTGAAGCAAGACAAAGATGGAGAGACCTTGTAGTCGACCGGAAATGACGGCAGTGCAGGTCACTCGCATAGTCAACATCGAGTTGTTTCTGAAAAATCCAGAATATGATTAATTGATGATTCAATGAGGTATTCATGTTGAAAATCACTTTAAAAATTCTAAAATGTTTTTTAAGAACTAACTGATGCCATGTTCATTACGTTATCGATTGGTAGGCTTTAACGTTATCTATACGTATTCTACATATTCGCCTAAATATCTACTATGTCATTGACAGCAAATGACATTCCAACAGTACGAATACACGAATTTTTATTTTATTAATTACATCATCTCTGCGGTAATATAAGCTTGCTAAACATTGATAAATGTATCTCTTGTCGTCAAGTGCTGTAGGCAGGTGGTCATGTGACCTTTTCTTCAACCAAGTGCTGAGGCTGCAGGCATTACAAGAATCGATCGGTGCGCAGTAGTGGGATTTGATTAATGCAGTACCAGCCCGACTTGCCCGAGCCAAGCGTACTTCCTGTTCTTTCCGTCCTCAGTCGCGGCACGGGTAAGTCGCATTACGTCGTAGCTCCTCAAATTTTTCCATATTAAAAATTATATTTTAAAAATTATTTTGTGACAATCCTCTCATTCTATCTAGCGGACAATTCTCGAATTTTCCTTTTGATTATCGCTTGTTTTTTTAATTCAATCCCTCATTATTTATCGTTACAGAAATCTTAGCCGCTAACAAGCAACTAAGCCATCTTGCTTACGAAATCAGCACACTTTGCAACATCATTTTCACGAAAGGACAGAAAGTCTTAAGTTAACTTGTCAGTCATGTAAGTTAAATTGATTTATTTTTGTGTTTTATGCTTAATTTAAACAATTTTCAACAATGACGGGGTCGTGTGAAGTTGTTCGAAATTAATCCAAAGAGAATGGCATATGTATGGCCGCCATTTGCCTGAGAACTGGAAATTTCCTTGCGCTCGAAGTAACGGTAAACTACGATGACCTTCGACGAATCATAATTCGAATATTTTTCTTAAACTTTCTCGATATTTCTAAAAGATCTTGACAATTGGCAATTAATTTACTTTGAACAATGGCATTTCGGTCTAGTAAGGCGTGTGCTTCACCTCCTATTTTGGCATGACTCCATTTTGTATATCGATGGGGCATGAATGCTTGTGGGAGGAATAGAAAAAGTGTGAACCTTTGCCTTCGGTGTCCACACGTTTCATGTCTGGATTCTTTATTCTCAATGTTCACTACAAAAAAGTATTGAAAAAAAAATAGAATTTGTTGCGATAATTCTCTAAGTCATCATAATTATTTAAAGGTTACACAAGTTGTCACTCATTTGAAAATTTATTCCATTAATGACCAGGACTTACTCCAACGGTGTTAGTGCTGGCGGCGGATATCGCAACAACAGTGGTAGCCAAAACCGTGGAAGTGGCAGTTTCATGCAGCGTGGCTTCGGCAGTGGTGGTGGCGGCGGCGGCGGCTCTCGATTCGGAGGTGGCAACAAGGGGGGTATGCGTAACGGAACCGGCGGTGGTCCTATGACCAATGGACGAAGTTCCGCTGGAGGATTCCATCCTTACCAGAGGCCCCAGAACAACAGCAACAATGCTGGCAGCAACTTAAGGAAGCCCAACTGGGACACCGAGCAGCTTCGACCCTTTAAAAAAGACTTCTATGTACCCCATCCAACTGTTTCCAGTCGCCACCCACACGACGTCGCCGAATTCAGAGATTTGCATAAAATTACCCTGAAGGGTGATATCATCCCAAACCCAATTCAGTTTTTTGAAGAGGGAAATTTCCCAGACTATGTTCTGCAAGGTATGTAATGTTCGAATTTACAATTACAAAATAAAAAAGGACTTATGTAATGAATTATCCATGTCTTATAGGGATTAAAAGACAAGGATATACGGAACCAACACCAATCCAGGCTCAGGGCTGGCCTATTGCTATGTCTGGCAAGAATATGGTTGGGATTGCCCAAACAGGCTCGGGTAAAACTTTGGCCTACATATTGCCAGCAGTTGTGCACATTAATAGTCAACAGCCACTCAGTCGTGGAGATGGCCCCATTGCTCTTGTTCTTGCACCAACTCGAGAATTGGCTCAGCAAATTCAGACTGTTGCCAATGATTTTGGATCTCTCTCTTATGTGAGAAATACTTGCATCTTTGGTGGAGCACCCAAGGGAAGCCAAGCTCGTGACCTTGAGCGTGGAGTAGAAATCGTAATTGCTACTCCAGGACGTCTAATTGACTTCCTTGAGCGAGGCACAACAAATTTGCGCCGCTGTACTTATCTTGTGCTCGATGAAGCTGACCGTATGCTCGACATGGGTTTTGAACCTCAGATCAGGAAGATCATTGAACAGATCAGACCGGATAGACAAGTTCTCATGTGGTCTGCTACCTGGCCCAAGGAAGTTAGACAATTGGCTGAAGAATACCTTACTGACTATACTCAACTGAACATTGGATCTCTGCAATTAGCTGCAAACCATAACATTCTTCAGATTATTGATGTTTGCCAAGAACATGAAAAGGAAACTAAGTAAGTATTGTTTATGTACTCCATTTAGTGATTTACAATTGTAACATATGATGATAAATTAGTATGATAGATAATGATTTTAACTATCTAATACCTCTAAGAAGAACTGATTTATTAAGAAGTCTCATTTTAATTTTTTTAAGAAAGTTAAATATTCATGATTTTTTTCTTTTTTACAGATTGGGAACACTACTTGAAGAGATTGGAAATGCCAATGATGAAGGTGGGAAAATCATCATTTTTGTTGAGACTAAAAAGAAGGTAGAAAACATTACAAAAAATATCCGTCGTTACGGGTGGCCTGCCGTATGCATGCATGGTGATAAGTCACAACAAGAACGTGACTACGTGCTTAGAGGTAAATTTAATAATCGAATTTTCAGTATGAAATAGTCTCTACATCAATCTAAATCTTCTTGATATTTCTTTAGAATTCAGAAATAAGAGAGGATCTATATTAGTAGCAACTGATGTTGCTGCTCGTGGATTGGGTACGTAAAGTTCCTTATACAACTATAGTTATAAATGTGAGAAAAGTTGGCAAAAATGGGAAAATGGGAAAAATGTAGTGTGGGGGGTGGCGATGTTAGCACAGACTGGTTATATGAAATGATGCCTCGCTGTTAATTACGTGGAATTTTTTCTGAAGTTAGTACATATAAATTTTAAATTTTACTACTAGGTACGCTTTTTTCTATTTATAGCAAACAATAATTTGTCCCAGGTTAAAATATTTAACTGTTCATAAAATCTTGCATTGTGTATGTAGTTTGAATTGATTTTTTCTCTTTTTTTTTGTTTTTTTTTTCTTTTTTTTTTCTTTTTTTTTTTTCTTCTCTTTTTTTTTTCTTTTATTTTTTTCTTTTATTTTTTTCTTTTTTTTTTCTCTTTTTTTTTTGTTTTTTTTTTTTTTTTTCTTCTCTTAACAGACGATATTTAGATTACTTTTTTCAAAGGATTCCATATTTTCATTGTTTAATTTGAAGGATTTCTTTAACCGAAATTAGGTAATATTTATTATGGAAGAATGCGGATATGCAAGATTGCATATGCACAAATGGAGATTTAAACAGTTTACGTCTAAGCAATGAAATGGAGCGGGTGCATCTTACAATTTATGTTAATCAGTCTGGTTGTCTTTTGTTTCAGAGGCACATGGTGCACAGATTATGATGAGTGTGCGATGATTTAGTATTTGGTGAACATCATGGAAAAAGTATACCATGTACATGGCTCACTCACTGTCTGTGCTCTTGATAGGGCTATATATATAAAAATATAGACGAAAGTACACACAGGCGCTCCTTTATGAGGTGCAAAAATTTCTGTGTGTATTTAATGTGCCTCTGTGTACAGCCTGCGTACCACAAGTTTACGATCTGAGTAAAAAAAAAAAAAAAAAGAGTTAATATAAAAAAAAAAAAAAAAAAAAAAAAAAAAAAACGAGATGTAAGAGGGTGGTGCTCAGGTTATTGATAACGCCTTGGAACGTTGGCTGCTGGTTTTTTCGTAAACTTCCACAACTCCATAGCCAATGCTCACAACTGGGCCGAGACAACAATCATTTGATTTAGCTATTATCGCTACTCTTTGGGGATGTATGGGAACAGGATATTACAAAGTAGAACTTGCATTCAAGAGTGCTCTCATCTAAAATGCATAGTTCAACATTCATGGTTTGTATTTTTATTTCGTCATGCAGCTATGTTATTGTGAATATTTCAGTTATCAGTTATATTAGAAATTTTTTTTTATTTTTTTTTTCTACTTTATATTTTTTAATATTTATTCCAATGGGCTGCATATTGAATATGTTACGGTATGAACATGAATGAAACTTTTGACATTTCCTAATATTCATTAGCTTTTATGTGCCACAGATTAGAGCAATTTTTCAACAAAATTTCCTTTTTAGACGTTGATGATGTTAAATACGTCATAAACTTTGATTATCCGTCATCATCCGAAGACTACATCCACCGAATAGGTAGAACTGGTCGCAGTCAATCTTCTGGTACCAGTTACGCCTTTTTTACACCGCAGAATGGGCGTCAAGCTAAGGATCTCATTAATGTCCTTAGAGAAGCAAATCAGATTGTTAATCCAAAATTGAATGAATTGGCATCTAAGATGGGAAACAGTTTTGGAGGACGCAGTTCGTATTTTCTTTTGTTTTTTTGTTATAACTTATTTTTAATAAATGAATTGCCAATAATACAAACCTTTTTTGACAGATCGATGGGGATATCAACCAAGAGGTCGGGAAAACACTTTCTCTGGCTCACACAAGCGATTTGACAATAAGAGCAGTGGATACCACAATTATAGTTGAGTTTCTGATTTAGGTTCTAATCACAATGCTGGTCTAAAGCTGAATACTTGGGGACTTAGATTAAACTATTTGTCTTGATCTGTGATTAGAAAAACTGTCCTTCAAAGTGGTTCGTGCGTTTGAATATGCCAGTTATTGTGTTTAATATTGTTTGCTATGTATTTTTAATTTATACTTTTTAGAATTTCTTATAAATTAGTTGAAAGACATCGGTTTTCAAGCCTTATCTCTTATTGTCTTGAAAAGCAATAAGAATGTCAATGAAAGTCTAGATTTTCTAGCTAAACAATGCCCGGCAAAGTGGATCATTCCACATTTCCGTCGAGCTTAAAAATGATTGCATTTTGATTTAATCAGGAATATGATTAATTTCTTTTCGTTTATAAATTGTTTGATTTTGCAAAGCATTTTGAAATAATTGAAGATTGTTTAATTTTATTAAATCATAAAACCTCAAAGTACAAACATTTTGACGAGCACCGTTTTGTTGCTGGAGGCAAATTAAGGCGTATGAACCATTAACACATTACAGTATTCATTCCAATATCTTGTAACGCAATGTCTTATCTGTCATGTTATCTTTTTCATGCATATAAATATTTAAACATTTAATAATCAATACAAAATGTATTTGAATCACGTCTTAATCCATTTTATATATAATAGTATAAAATATGTCACTTGTTTTTTCGCTGTGAGCATAAACAAAAACAAAGTGTATTTGCACATTGATGAAAGTTGCTAAAAAAAAAAAAAAAAAAAAAAAAAAAACGAGTAACATTAAAAAAATAAAGAAAAAAAATAATGAGAAAATTGTTAGTGTTAATGAATATTTCCCATGCCACATTTATTTGGTTAAAATAATTCATTACGTTTTTATGTAGTTTTAAGTCATTACATTTGCAAAAAATTATCAATTGTTGGAACTCATTGCCAGTGAAGATTATAAATGCTTTACCTTTACCAAATTTTCTTATAACTTGGTTTTTATCGTATAAACGTATTTTGAATTATCGAAATTGTCTAAGAAGCATGAAGACATTTAACTATGAATTTTAAAATCTACTAATTGATTTTTACACATAAAAGTATTGTGATGATGTCCCGTCCTATCTACAGTGCAAATTGTGCTACAATGAATGTAAAAACAGAAAGGAAAGAAATTTACCTGGAAACAGGAAAACTGCGTGATTGACAAAGACAGCAAAATTCATTAGGAAATTTGTGTAATTAAAATTTTGTCATTAAAAAAATTTTATAAGTTGAAAACTCCCAGATCGATAGATATTGAATCTGCGTAGCACTTTATTTCGATTTGTATAAAAATGATTATGTTAAATGATTAGCAAAAATCTAATCTTTCAAGTGCATGTATTACTGTATTTTGAAAAATATTTTGATTGAATAGAAAAATTGCGTGTAATTTTTGTTAATGATACAACATATTCTTTTTGTAAAAATCGTATTTGAACATTATCTGAATTCTATTTCTACTGATCGTGGAGTGTTCACAACTTCTGGAGTTTATTTATTTACCAAAGCTAAATTACACAGAATTATTAATGAATTTTGTTATTCTTGCCAATCATGCGTAGTTTTTTAATAATTTTTCCGAATGAATTTTTGCCGATTTTTCGTTCAGTTTCTTCATCCTGTTACGACATTGTCACTTGTCAGGACAGTTTGGGCCAAGGGTCTTATTCCGTAAGCGTGTCAGAGCAAGAAAAGTGATACGTCAATGTTACCCATTAAATCAAATGAAGAGTGTAACCGTATGACGGTCAAGATTTGCTGTATCGATTACAACACGTTTAACGGAGCAAAATGCTTGTACGATGTTATTTGTCAGCTGAGTGAATTAATCAGTATAAAAGACAGATCAGTTTCATAAAATAATTTACACGTGATAGTCGATTGCAAGTACGCCTATCAAAGATCTATGTTTATTTGTTAAAAATGGCAGACATCCCAAAGCCGACTGGTCTTGACTGGGTTAAGCTCCGCGAGGAGATGGATCAGATGTATGTTGTTGAAACATTTTGGGAGAGGACCATACGAAAATGCAAAGAAAATCCACTGGTTCCTTTTGGTAATTTTTTCGTTGTGATTATTGTTTGTAAACGAAATGCTGTAATTTTTTCCAACTACGTATTACTTTATTTTTGGCAATCAATCATTCTAACCTAAAATTATTAAAACTGTTTTATAAACATCAGCTTTTTTAAGGAAAAAATTTAGAATTGAATAATTATGTATATTTGCTTTACGAGTATCATTTTTTCCAGGATCATAAACGTCGGTGAAAATATTTTTACCTTCTCAACTTTTATCATTAAGTTTTTATCTTGAAACTCTTAACTAATATTTGCGTGATATATATGATCTGCAAATAGTAGATTATAGCCCAACTCAAGGTCACGAAAATGTTAGTAAGTCCATAGCACGTGTAAATTAACTAATAACACACGCTATGGACCTGCTAATATCGCACCCATAGGTCATATACATTTTTTTGTCCGAGGCCAAAATTAGTCTGCTTTTTTGGATTAATTTTGTATCGCTGAATAAAATAACAATTTAGCAATAATGTTTTAGATGAAATCAACATTGCATCCATGATGTAAAGAGCAAATAAATCTATTTTGCATGTTTTCCAGAAAATAAGCTACTAAAAATGTAAATATCAAAATAATACTTTGTCACACTTTTTCAGGTGCAATGGTAACTGTTGGAGCGTTAACGTACGGTTTGTATAACTTTTACTTAGGCCGTTCCAAAATGCAGCAGAATATGATGCGTCTTCGAGTGGCGGCTCAAATGTTCACTGTATTCGCGGCAGTCGGGGGTATGATCATGGCTCTCCCTAAAGAAAAGAAAAATTTGGAGGGATTCATCGAGAGGGGCAAAGAGAAGTCTATTCAGTAATACACAGTACAAATGATTTTCCTCTGCGAAATGTTTAAAAAATTTACTATATGTTATAAATATTTTGTACTTGAAAACTGAAGAGTCGAAGTATAACTTCATAGTGTTTTGCGAAATTATTTTTAAAATAATTTAGAAGCTTAGAAGTTGAACGTAACTACTCATCCACATGTTCCAAATTACTTTTTAGCTGTTCTCTTAGTTAGGACATGTTTTTAGCTATCGTAAATAATTGTAAGTGTTTTTTTTTAGTAATAAATTACGTTTAAACGATATAATTATATTACTTCATATATCATTTAGTTTTATTTTTAAACCTTTACTTCATTACAAAGAAATGAGTTATTTTTTATTTTTACTAACAAGTGCTTTAATCTTTTACAATCAAAAGAATGACTATTTGAAAAGCTTTTTAAAATTTTGCGAGCTTACGTTTGAGATAATAAATTTGCGTGCGTTAAAATTTATTTGCAATTCCTGTGAAACTTTACATTCTGGTAATGTCAGATAAGCAACAACTGTTTCATGGCAGGTGAAAGTTATCTACGTTTTATCAACTGCGTTGCGAATATAATTAGCGACTTATTGAGGAAGTATTATCAGACGTAAAACTTCTTTGAGACTCAACAGGTATCACTAGACTTATCTTCAATTGTAAGTGTACTGATTAATCTAGCCTTCTATCGACAAAACTAGTTGTGCACAATCATTAGTTTCAAACGATTACAGCAAAATTAAACAAATTATAACTTTATTATATGTGTATTCAAAGAAAAATTAGTTATAAATTATCTCTCAAATTTAAGTTTCATACTTTACTGTAAAATACGAAAACTCTATTGATCTGATTAAGCACAGCATATGTTTAATAGTTCTTTCGAGTCAGCAATTAATCAACGCTTTTTCTCAAAGAATTAAAGTCTAAGCTTTTCTTGATAAGCCGCGAATGACCGTTGATTCTTGGTTGCTCGTATTATCTGTCACAATCCTGTTTTTGCTAATGAAAATGAATTACAGATTTCCTTTTTTTTCGAACACAATGAGCAAACAGCTGTTGATTATTTTCTTCTTGACCTTCATTGCCATTGGTTTTGCACAACATGATTGCCCGTGCCACAGAAATTATGATCCAGTATGTGATAACTTTGGAAACCAACATAATAATTTGTGCTTGTTCATGTGTGCCAAAGAATTTGCTACTCTTCAGAAGCAAGGTTGGGTAATCTAAATTAATTTCTTTATTTATCAGTACTAACATAAAAATTTGATTACATGCTTTTTGTACTCTAAATTTTTTTTATTAATGAGAGAAAATTTTTTATTTCAGAATTACACATCGCGTATGTAGGAGAATGTCAGTAGGTTACTGCTATAATTTGAAATTTATTTGATTCATTGAATATGTAAATTAATTAATAATTAATAAAAATTTTTCACTGAAAAACGTATTAATTTTTTTTCAATATAAAATCATAAGAATATTCTGTGAACAATATAATTTGACAACTAAGAAAAATTGCTCAATGGAGCTTAACATTACAAAAGAAATATTAATTTTAAATAATAGCATTTAGTATAAATTTTACAAAATCAAAAGCAGCATCTGTTTTCTTTTTCATTCCACATTTTATAATTCAATTCAATATCGTAATACAAGTTTAATTAAAAAACCTATCTGAAATAATTTACTTCTTTTCTTTGTCTTTTCCTTTTTCCTTCTCCTTATCTTTGTCTCGACTTTGTTGTAACGATCCAACGGCTTGACGAACAGCCTCTGATTGTGGATCAACACCAGGCAAATTTTCGAGCACAGATTGCAAAAATTCAGTGTCAGCCATCACAGTAGCATAATCCTCTTCCACATCCATTGGTTCTTCTTTCGGTGTTCCTTCGACTTCTTCTGAAGCAATAACGGCGTATGAAATTAACAAAAATCCATTACTTCCTATAGATGAAAAAGAATACACTTACGCTGATCTTGCATTGACATTTGCATGGCAAATGCGATCTGCTCTTCTTCTGTCATATGAGCAAAGTCAGGAACGCCTGCACTCGGTGTTGCTGATTCGGTAGAAACTGATTCGTCACCCTCAAGAGACATAGCCAAAGCACGTTTCAACAGAGCCTCCTCAGATGGTATATCTTTAGCAGTTTCCTCTTTGATTGTAGCAGGCACGTCAGGACCTTGATTACGTCTCGCTTCTTCTTCTTGACGCTGTCTTTGTTCTTCCATAGACACTCGCAAGGCCTAGATGCAATGATGTACATTAATTTTTCATTAAAGTAAAGTAATAAATTTGAAAATGCTCTGAAAATAAAAAAATACATACCAGTGCAAGTTCAGGATCTTCGTTAGGATCAACTCCAAATTCAAAAGCAGCACCACCCATACCAGCACCACCCATGCCATCCTCACCTTGGATGATGGGAGAAGATATGAGTGCATCAGATAAATGTGGTCCTGGAGGGATTGTAACAAGGTGGCTGCTTGTGCCATCTTTTCCATTCAAGGTATTGACAAATGCTGTTAACACTTCGTTATTCACACTTTCTTCTCCAAAACTTATGATGTCAACATTGACTTTTTCCTTCTTCAGTCTCTTAGCTAATTTTACAGCTTCTTTCTCATCAATTTGAATAGGACTTCCAACAAATGCAACAATTCTCATTTTATGGTTCTTTCCCTGACGATGTTTCAAAGCTAACTATATAAATAGAAAAAAAATGAATATTTGTTTTGTAAGTCACTAAGGTATATGATAAATAACTTACGTGTGCAATTCGAATTCCAGTAATCAGTGATAAATTGCCATTGGGCTGAACTTGATGAAGCTTCGACAAAATACGACCTACATCGCTTGTTAGTGTAGCCAAAACTTCAACACTGGAAAAACATTATTAAGAGAAAAAATTTTGGATTACAATAATTACTTGTAGGTTTGTAAATACAGTCAGAAATCTTACTTTGCTAGTGTGATAAGTCCAACATTGTTTTCAGGATTTGCACGAGTCTTAGAATGACAAACTAAGTTTACTGCATCTTGCTGTGCTTGCAGTCTTGTTGGAAGAAAGTCTCCATTTCTCATATAATCACTGTTATCAACACTGAAATTGGAGGATCAAGCTGGATTATATTTTAATCATTTTATGCTAATGAACAAAAAAAATAAGATCTATGAAAATAAGAATAGATACTTTATAAAGTTACAGTCTTATTAATGTTTGGAAAGAGGTTATAAGCACAAATTCCAAAACTCAACTTGAAATTACTTAGAAACAAAAGTTAAAAGTCCTAATTAAACTATCTTAATCGGATATCTATCGAATTTTGTTTAAAAAATGTCAGTTTCAAATAAATTATAACAAACAACACGGTCATTTTTGCACTGTCATTGTGAAAACAACTTCAATTGCAAGCGATTAACTCCAAAATATAATAACACTGTAAGAGATCACGTCATGCATATGTGAACTTCAAAAGACAGCCCAAAGCTTTCAATTATTTATAAACATAAAAATCATTGATTAGTGAACAAAGAATAATTAAAAAAACAAATTACCATATCATAGTACTTTCAAGCACCATCTTGATGAGCCGACTGTGTGTGTGTTCTGAGTTCTGACTTTCTTTTCTGTCTTATCAATCTGTAGTCTGTACTGTACTCTGTAGTCTGTACTCTGTACTGTACTCACTGTACTCTGTAGTCTGGTACTCTGTGTAGTGTGTACTCTCCGTCACATTCGGTAATTTTGTTTTGCATATTAGATGGCGTACGATGTCACCCGTACCCTAAAAAATTTCATGTTCATGAAATCGTATCGTATCTATATCGTTTATACAACTATGTTCAAGATGCTCGGCACTACCGACTGCATGGAGCGGGGAGTAATGGAGACTGTTCAACTGTGAATCTTAGGCATAATTATATGAATGATATAGATGCGATACGACTTCATGAAAATGAAGTTTTTTGTAATCAGATTCTCATCCCGTACGCTTGCTAGTTTGCGTTTCATGGCATAAATTACATGAATTCTGCTTTACTAGAATTTTAGACTCCGTTTCCATCTCTATTCTCTATACTATCGAATGCATAGCGCAGCTAATTACAATGTTACAAAAAATAGTCGATAGGAATCAAGGTGATTACATAGTTTTCGATACTCCATGCCCCATGCGGAAAGTACGTACTTTCCGCAACGCTTGGCCAAAAACATGCGTTCAAAAATGAGCTTTCCACACATCGCAGTCGTCGTATCGAAAAATACTCTACGACACATGTTAAGGAAAGAGTTCGTCTCGTGTGCCAATCCATCCTCGCTTCGCTAGGGCTTAAACGCCACACAAGACAAGAATCTATAGATACTTTCCCGCACTTGTATCGTCATGTACTATTTCCGGTTTGGAAAGCGCACTCAGTTATCAATTCGGTTTGTTTTGAATCACCTCTTATAGCCAGATTCAGAGACATACTCGTAATAGATCACGAAAATAATATTGATGTTAAACTTGTATTAATGCCTGCTTATGTATAGGTATAAATAAGACAACGAAAAAGCCGACAATATTAGTAAAGATGTTGCTAAAAATGGGCCATTACTCAATGAACCAAGCCCAGTCTCAGACTATTTTGCCAACTCGTAAAAGAGTGCATGAAAGAAAACGAAAAAATGGTAATTAGTCTTAGTCTAACGAAAGGCTCCTTTTATTTTAAATTTTTTATAATAGGAAAAAACCATGGTTCTTTAATCATTCATCCTTAAACAATAGCTTCTCTGGCAAAAATATTGTTCTTGAAAGTATATGCGAGTGTAATATAACTCACATAATTCAGTAAAACATATTTTAGGAATGCAGATCAATTAATACTCCTCGACAAAAATTGTTTAAAAAATTTAGAAAAATATTAAAGTATGGCTCCTATTCTATTATATCATTCGTAGCGTCTAAAAACTAAAGCCTTATTCTTATTATAACTGAATTTTTAGATAATATAAAGATTATGATTTTAATTTGTATTACGCACCTTCCTTAAGGTGCATTTTTATGTACTATGGCAATGTAACCTGTAGTTGAGCCAATAAATACACTTCTTGCTAGTTCACAATACGCGCAACCCAGTAGAATTTCCGTGAGATGCGGCCTCTGTGCTCTAAACAGGCTCTGCTGAATAGTCCTAGCTATAGTTAAGAGAGTGTGTACCAAGCGCCAAAAGTTAACTACGCACTCAGCGATTCGTGTAAGTCGTGCGTGCAACAACGAATGCTCAAGGAAGAATAGTGACGGCGATGGTGTAGTAACGTTCACTAGGTCAACAATGATGATTGTACAAGTAGAAGAACCTGCTAAAGCTATGGACAAGCCACAGCAACGGCAGCAGCACATGGTGCCCGAGGATGACGAAGATTGGCTGCTGGGTTTGGCTTTCACCAAACCAAGGCACACCGTCACCATCGAAGGCATCAACTGTATTAGTCAGACTTGGCGTATGAAGGAACGGGTAAGTTACTGGCACGTTGACGTCGTGTTAATCAAGTCTGTCTAATCGGTTTACTGGTGATGCTATGGAGATTCATGTGATACATGCATTGCAGATGAAAACTGTGAGCGTTGCACTGGTACTTTGTCTGAATGTCGGCGTCGATCCACCGGACATCGTCAAGACTCAGCCCTGCGCTCGCCTCGAGTGCTGGATTGGTAAGTGTCTCGTTATGTAATGAACGTATTCGGCCTACTTATTCGCTGTTCAACCTCTTCTTGCATTTACTCACGCTTTTATCACTGGTGTGATTGTAGATCCTCTGTCGTTGAGTCCTCAGAAAGCTCTGGAGACCATTGGTTCCAATCTGCAGAAGCAGTACGAACGATGGCAGCCTCGTGCTAGATACAAACAGAGCTTGGACCCGACTGTTGAAGAGGTAAAGAAGCTCTGCACTTCGTTGAGGAGGAATGCCAAGGAAGAAAGGGTTCTGTTTCATTATAATGGCCATGGTGTACCTAAACCTACTGGTAACGGAGAGATATGGGTGTTTAATAGGGTATGTTTCGTTGAAAATTATCCCTGATATCAACTGATTGTATTTAATCCAAATAACATTGACAACTGACATTGATTAGTTGTTTCATGCTTCTAACTTACAGACATATACTCAATACATTCCTCTATCAGTATATGATTTACAAACATGGATGGGAGCTCCTAGTATTTATGTCTACGACTGTTCTAATGCGGGTATTATTGTTGATTCTTTTCAACATTTTGCTGCACAACACGAGAAAGAGTACGAGGTAAGAAAACTTCAAAGTCAAGTGATTTGTTTACATTGAAAAATTGGTTTTATTTTGTTCTGTTAATGTTGTCAGATAGAAAAACAAGTAAAACAACAAAATAGAACAGGAGGTGCACTTCCTATTACTGCACCTTCTTATAAGAATTGTATACAACTAGCAGCTTGCGCTGCTAATCAAATTTTACCAATGAATCCAGATCTTCCTGCTGATATATTCACCTCTTGCCTTACAACCCCCATCAAAATCGCATTACGCTGGTAATTACTTAAACTACATGCATAAAATAAATGAAAAATTTATTGAATCAATATTTGTTATCGTTTATTTAGGTTTGTAATGCAAAACACGTCCAAATTGGTGCCAAAAGTGTCGTTAGATCTGATAGACAAGTAGGTTATAAAAAATCCATACTAGTAATATTGAAAAAAATTAATCTCTGTTGTTTATGATAATTTTTGATATTGCAGAATACCAGGTCAACTGTCAGATAGGCGAACTATGTTAGGGGAATTAAACTGGATATTCACTGCAATTACAGACACAATTGCATGGAACACGTTACCAAGAGGTAATATTTCACTGAACTTATTTAATTTTTATCAGTAATTAATTAATAACTTTTTTCAGATTTATTCCAAAGGTTATTTAGACAAGATCTACTAGTAGCTAGTTTATTTAGGAATTTCTTATTAGCTGAAAGAATATTATGTTCCTATGATTGCACACCAGTCTCCTATCCAAACCTACCTCCCACATACCAAGTAAGTACTTCTAAGTGCAAGTTATTTTTCAATTACTCATAATACAAAAAAATGAAAACTAATACAATTTTTCAGCACCCAATGTGGCAAGCTTGGGATTTAGCTTTAGATTTATGTTTAGCACAATTGCCAGGAATCTTAGAGAGAGATGAGCCATTTGTTCATTCACCCTTCTTTGAGGAACAACTAACTGCTTTTCAAGTATGGCTCACTTTTGGTTCAAAGAATCGTTATCCTCCAGAGCAATTACCAATAGTGTTACAAGTTCTGCTAAGTCAAGTACATAGACTAAGAGCGCTGGAATTGTTGGGACGATTCCTTGATCTTGGTCCTTGGGCTGTCAATTTAGCACTAAGTGTTGGCATATTTCCCTATGTGTTGAAACTATTACAAAGCAATGCAAGAGAGCTCAGACCATTACTTGTTTTTATTTGGGCTAAAATACTTGCCGTTGATAATGTGAGTTGTTTTTTTTTGTCAAGATTGTACTTTTATTTCTAAACAATCACTTTGATCGTAGACCTGCCAAGCTGATTTAGTTCGCGATAACGGCCATAAATATTTTTTGTCTGTTTTACAAGATACCTTAATACAGGTACATAACAACATTCCTTTCTAACTACCCATAGACATCTAATGATCAAAATTGTACGTTATCTTTCAGAGTGAGTACAGAACATTAGCAGCTTTTGTGCTTGCTTGCATAGTTAACAATTATCCACCGGGTCAAGAAGCCGCTTTGCAAGGCAGTCTCGTATCTATTTGTTTGGAGCAACTTGGTGATGCAAATCCTTTGCTGAGACAATGGTTATGTTTGTGCCTTGCGCGACTTTGGCACAATTACGACAAAGCTCGATGGTGCGGTGTACGTGACATTGCCCATGAGAAACTGTATAATCTTTTACAAGATCCCGTGCCTGAAGTAATGACTTGTTGATTGTTATTAGTTTTAAATTTAAATATAAGTTTTATTTTAATTGGTTGTGAGTTCCGTAGGTTCGTGCTGCGAGTGTTTACGCTTTAGGAACTTTTATAAATAGTGTGACGAAACGAAGTGAGCATGCCAATAATATTGACCAAACGATCGCTATGATGTTAATAAACACTGTCACCCACGATATGTGTCCTCTAGTCAGAAAAGTAAGTGATAAATATCTCTTTAATTGAATAATTAATAATACACTTTGCTTCAATTTCCATTGATGAATGGTCATTACAGGAATTAGTGGTGGCTCTCCAGTGGATGGTTTTGCATTTTGAAAATTCTTTTGTAACTCTCGCCATCGCCGAAGAAAATAGCAAAAGAGAACTCGTCGTTGAAACTTTTTCGCCATTTAGTGGTATGAGAAGGATAAGTTCGAAAGATAGATTGAAGATGCTGTCTCCAAATAGCGCATATTCTATAGATGCAACGGATGGATTTGGAACTGACAGAATGAAAAGAGTCTCCTCGGTGTCGTCAATCAGTAGTTTAGGTATGTCAACATTGCACATGCTTGATATTACATATGGAGAAGTCGATAGGTTATAGATAATTATCTTTTACTGTTTCATTTTGCACTCCAGGAAATAATTGGGAGTTCGTGAGAAAACCTTGCGAATTGCTCGGTAATTTCTTTCTGACAGTCGTTTACGTATATTATCGTCACGTAGTTGTCGTTGCCCATTTAACACTTGACCGCCAGCTTTAATGTATATAGCATTACACTGGGCCTAGCTGAATTAAATTTATGTGTAACTCTTCTAAAATATTAAAATCTTAAAGTTGATAATTTCATGCGTTTTGCAGGTCACAGCTCTCTTGGAAATTTACCTAGTTTGTCATACGGAAGTGTTTACATGAAATTGTGGCATGGGTTGTGTGGTCTTGATAACGATCCACATCCTGGTGTTGCTATAATGGCGCAAAAAGTCACTAATCACATTCGTAATCAGGTAGAGTAAAGTTTTTGAAATAGTCAGTTTTATTCTATTTATGAAAGCTTTTGGTTCAAATCAATTATAATATTTTGTAGGTGAAAGAATCAACAACTCCAAAAGAAGTGACTGATGCTAAGATATCATCTTCATTATCTTTACCTCCGTCTCCATCAAATAAAAATTATTTAACGTAAGTGTAATAAAAATAATTGAACGCATTATGGATTTGATTTATTTTCTAAATTGATCTTCATAATTCTATTGCAGCAACAACAAAGGAGAATCACCACCTGCAGTGAATTCCGATCTTTTCGTTGCTTTCAAAGGTTCTCAGAGTCGTCCTCAGAGGCTACCAGCACAACAGAATCGATCAAGAAAGCCATTACCCAATACGGTACGCACAATAAGCCGATCGAATAAAAACTGTTGCAACGATTTCTTACATTTTTTTAAATAACAATAGATATCGGAAGAATCGGATGAAACTCAAGGTTTCAAAAACCCTTTGACTACTTCTCAATTCGTTGAATGGAGTTGCGCACAATTTGCTCAGCCCGTGAGTTTCGATCATGAGGCCGAATCTACGAATGACGTCGAAAGTCGGTCTCATCACGAGCGCGAGTGGAGGTATGTAATATCACCAATTTTCACGTTCTTTGTCACTTCATTTATTCATAAATTATATTTTTTATTTTTTTAGATATTTGCGAAATAAGAAACAAAGAAAAGAAGTCAGAGACGAGCAATTACGAGCAGTGTATGGTCGAATTGAGTCGCAAGTGTTTCATGCGCGTTGCCCTCAGCAGCCAGAGGTACTTTTATTTCACCCTTTCGACTCACACTTAGCAGTAGCATGCAAAGATTATTTCGGGTAAGAATCTGTTATATTTCTGTACACCGGTTGATTGTCCGTTGTATGCTCCAAATAATCTCCAAATTTTCAGAATTTGGGATTGGCATAGCGGTACAAAACTCACGTATCACCCAAGTCGAGGAAATCGACCCTCACGCATTACAGCTTTGGAATTTATTAATTCTCACGATGTAGCACTCTTAATGGTTGGATCAGACGATGGATCAATTAGAGTTTGGAAAAATTATTATATGTTAGGTCGCGAGCCTACATTGATAACTGCTTGGCAAGCACTTGCTGACTTACAGCCTGTTGTTAAAGGTTCTATAGGTAGGTAAAAATTCAATTCACTTTAGCTGATATGCTTTGTCAGTGTATAAATGAATATATTGATTATCAAATTTTATCCGTCTGTAGGAACATCTGGTCTCGTGACAAGTTGGGAGCAACGAACATTAACTCTCGCGGTAACAGGTGATGTAAAAAGTGTACGACTTTATGATGCCGAAACGGAGTTAAAGGTTCAAGATATCCCTACGGGTGCTGATTGTTGTGTGAGTTGCATTAATACCGACAATCGAGGCAACATAATGGTCGTTGGTTGCGGAGATGGCTCAGTTCGTATTTTTGATCGACGATTGGCTCCCAATGAGGCAAAAGTCATGACTTATAGGGAACATAATGCATGGGTGCTTGGCGCTTATTTAAAAAAAATGACCGACTTTGATTTTAAGTTAATAACCGGTTCGTCATCTGGCGACGTCAGGTTCTTTGATCTCAGAAAAAATTCGTCGGTCAAAACCGTGCAAACCACACAGGGTATTACTGATTTTGTAATGCATCAGTCTTCTGATATTTTTGCAAGGTACGATAATGATTTTTTATCGTTTTTATAAAAAGTAATTCTGCAGTAATTATCATGTTTTATGATTACTTTAAAAATATTTTATTTAGTTTCGATTTAAAAAATGCGTTACTTTAATTAACTTTGGTTCGTTTGTTTTCAGCAGCTCAACAAATCACTGTATCAGCCTGTACAATGTTTCCGGTCAGCACTTAAATACAATAAAGTTCCACGAAGGTTTTATGAGTACAAGGATTGGTCCAGTGAGTTGCTTAAATTTCCACCCTCATCGTGTCGTTCTGGCTGCAGGTTGCGTCGATAGTACTGTAACGGCCTATGCATCAGAGCATCGTAGATGACGCTCAGAGTTAGACTTCTTGTAGGGATACCTTGGCCGTTAGAGAGGCAGCTCCGTATATTTTAATGCCCTACAATTATGAAAGTTGACGCACTTTGTTACGATTTTTATAAACATTTTGGTATACGGGCTTTCTCGAGCTCGTAGCTGATCAATGTGATATTTTTAAAGCTACACGCTTATGTAAAGAGATAGCTATATCGAACAGTGCGCGTACTAACTACTGTAAATACGGTGTAAAACTAGGCCCCAGATTAAGTTTGCATAGAGATGAGTGTGCCTGTAGCTATGATTACGCGATATGAGAAGGCCTATGTTCGTATGCTTGTACATCGTATTTGTGCATCACGGAGACATTACCTCGACATTAATGATAATGCACGATTTCGTTTTCAATTGTACATATATTTTTTACAGAGCTTAAGTCTATTTAGTGTACTTAAGATGTTTTTCTTTGCTTTCTTTTTATACGTATACATGCACGACGTGTTTGTTATAAAATCCACGCTCAAAATTCAATTGTACTATACTGCGATATTAAAGTAGTCAAGCGATATGACTATAGTTGAAACAATCTAAACGCAAAATACACACACGCAGCGATGTACCATCTTTGCACACAATAGCCTTAATACAATTTAATAAAATACAATACAATCATATTAAAGCATCCATGAATTTTGTATAATTCGACAATTTTCTTTGAATATATGTACATTCGTTGGAATAACGTCATCACATTACAGCAAATTTTGCACGCAATGAGATAATTTTCTTTTTCCTATTACCAAAATGCGTAATGGAAAATCGTAATGATCATTGTTTACAATGACATTTTTTGAATCTTCCGAAAGGTTTTGTGTATTTTTTTCTTTGTAAAACAAAAAAATTAATTTCATTTTTATTTCATTAATTGCTTTACCTATTATTATTAGTAATACTATTATATCATTTGTATTACATGATCAATCGAGTATGAAGTAAATTCGTCCGAGGTTTCAACTGAACGAGGTGATAAGCCGCGTGCGATGCCATTAATTAAGGCATCACGATAATAGATTGAAAACAAGTCGCCACTGTGCAAAATTCATAGTACCCAATCGAGATAGGATGGACTACTTAATTCGTTCGAATACAACTAACTATATTATTTGTATTTCCGTAATAACTTTAATGACGTTACGATAATATCTAGATTTCGTGTTATTATTTGCTGTTAATTACATTTAAACAGTGGTACGTTATCTTATGTATAGTCTAATTCATCCGTCTGAATATTAAACTGTTATTTGTATTTTTTCCAGCAGAAGTAAAATATTGGTATGATAATCCCGCAGCAATTCGAAAAAAAATTAAAAACTACCAGTATAATCAGATCTCTAAAACGGTATTCAATTTCTTGCTGACCTATTGAAAATTTACTTATTTACAAAGAATGTTGTGATTAAGTCCTCAAACGCAGTTATACGCGATCGAGATCAAATTACTCGAGACAGCACGTAATTAGTCGTATGCTTTTCGGATAGCTCACAATAAAATGCTCTCTTACGTGCAGCGCAGGAGGTAGAGAAATGTTAATGCTGTGGTGGCTAATCGTCGTCTAATTGCATTCCTAACCAAATCTCTCTCGTAATAAATAACCAGGGAAAGGAGATGTTTTCGGATGCTTCACCTCCCTCTCTCTCTCTCTCTCTCTCTCTCTCTCTATATATATATATATATATATATATATATATATATATATCTTTTTCTCTTGTGAAAGATTTTCTACCTGGAACGATCTGTATCTGGCTTCTTTCTTCAGAGGAAATCCTCGAGGAACGCACCTGCGCGCAGATTCTCTCTCGCCTTCCACCTTTTTTCTCAGTGGCCTGTCAGGAGCTGACAGCCGTGAGGTTTGAATAACGAGGGTTGCAGGAAGTTGGCGAGAAGAGCAAACACACGAGGAGGGATCACATCATAGGTCACCGCGCGATCTCTTCTCTTGTCTATAGACCATGGACAGAGATGCGTAACGCTTCTGTTTTGCTCGTGGCGGCTAATAATTGGCCCCCGTTGAAAAAAAAATAAGCAATTTACTCTACGCTAAACGTGCTAAATAATTATCGCAAATTCGTTCCAAGGTAACGAGCATATTAGCGAACGGAAGCTAAGCGCTGATTCAATTCAAATTCAGGACAGCGGCAGTCAGTGACAGAGAAAATCTCCAGCCAGGGACAGATGAATCTTTAATTGTGAATCACCAGCTCCGAAATGCAGGTGAAAGAAACGAATAAATAAAACGGAACGCGTGCAATCGAATCGTCATAAAAAAATAGAGATAAAAAAAGTTTTGTTGAAACAGAAAAAAATAGGTATCAGTGATCACGCTCGCGAGGCTGAATCACTCGAAAATCACGATGAAACCAATTAAGCCTGAAGAATATTTCGACGAAAACGCGAAAAAAGAGCGCGCAAGAGAGAGAGAGAGAGAGAGACTGCGTCTCGAGTGTCGAACACTATAAGAGAACGCACTAAGGGGAAGAGGGGAGTAGAGTACAGGCAGTCGCGGCAGCGGCGGCGCAGTGATCTCGGGCATAGCAGCCAGTAGCGAAAGAGCAGCGGTGCTGGTGGCAACGTGCGAGTTCCCTGAGCTCTTGTACATGTGACATAGAGAAGACCAACGAAGAGCCTCCGTGTGACACAGCCATGGATCGGAGCTCCAAATTCCTGGTGCGCAAGGTCATCATTGACTTTGTCTGCTTGTTTACGGGTAAGCTGCGAATCGACGATATTGTACACGGCAAAACAACAATAGCACGGACACCTTGCGCGCGCGCCCGTGGAGAGGGAGGCAATCACGCGCGCGCGCAATTTCAATTCTTGCCGCGTGAAATCGCCGCTGCCGTTGTGCACACACCGCGCGCGAGGCCAAAAGTAATCCATCGATCGCGCGCGCCTATAGTACTGCCCGGCGCGTTCCTTTTGCGCGTCCTTCCGCCGCGCGCTAGCTATGCGACCGCACTCGCTAGCGCGGCGCGCTGCGATTTACCCGGAAATCTGGCAGCACGACAAAAATGCGCGTGTGCGCGCGTGCGGCACAGCACGCGATTCGGCGAAACTGCACCGAGCGCAAGTTTTAGCGCGTTCGCGAGTCGCGAGTGCGATGCACTTTGGAGAGCTCGCCTATACGGTGGGCGCCTGTGTGTGCAGCGCGTTCGAACAATATTTGCACTGCGCTGAAATGAGTGTGCAGCCTAGACACAACAGCTCGCGCATGCCTTCGGGAATCCGGACGTTTTGGTAAAATTATGAGCGCTGGATACCCGCGAAGGGGAGAGACCGATGCCGAAAAGCCGCGAGAGGGGCGCGCGGCTATCGATTGCCACGGTTGACACAGTGAGTTGCCGGTGCCACGCGCGGCTTCTCGTCGTTCGGTACGCCTGACGCGCGCATATCCGAGCGTCGTTGCGATGCCCACCTGCGAGAATTGCACGGCGAGCGCGCTGCGTTTGTGCAACGCGCGCGCCAATCGATAAAAAGCGAGCGCCGAATCTTTCTTGGGCGCTGCACTTTTACGGCTGCTATGCTTTTAATGACAGTCTACCGAGAAACAGCCTGGTCGATAAACAGTCGTAGGCTGCACTCGGCGCACGATTATGTGCTGCTTTTCTTTCGTGGGCAGCAGACTGAAATTATGATTCTCATCCCGCGCTCCGAAATACTTTATTTTTTTCATTTTTCGGAGCTTGTTTTTCGCTCTCGCGAATGCGCTGGCGAGGTAGTTGTTTTGTAAGCGTGTAATTTCCAGACTTGTGATTACCTACTTGTTGTTAAACTTGTTTTTTTCTTTTTCTTTCTTTTGACGCTCGTCTTATTTTATTTTTAGATTGACAAACGTGTAAATCATTCCCGAGTACACAGATTATCGTTATTAATTAGCGAGACAAACAAATTGTCACCGAAGAACGCGACGAGACTTAATTGAAAACGTGCTTTTTTTTTTATACCGTCATTCGCAATACTAATTTCGACAGAAAGAAAATCACCGCAGTTTGCTAGGAAAAGATGAGAAGCGTGTCGGATATCGCCAGCTTATCAGCTGATACCAACGATGTAATGGCTCCCTCCCCCGGGAACACGTTGCAATAAAAAAAAAAAAATCGCTCGATCGCAGCGGTCGTCGGCGCGTTTCTTTCGGCCGCACGCGCGTATTTGCATCACAATGGGTTGGGCTCTGCGCATCTCGCTCGACTGACAAGCTAAGTGGACGAGCCCTCGTTTTCGTTTATTTGCCGGCGCGACGTCTTCTATTAACGTCCATGACGAATCGGAAGTGAGAACGTCTTGCTCGGGCGATCGCTTATCGGCAAATCGTTCAGTCGCTTTTCTTACTCGATATCTTTTGCAGATACGCGGTTTATCGACTCATCGCGAGAAATAACGACCTCGTCGCGGTTGTGAAGTACACCGCGCGAGTGATGACGTGATCATTGCATCAACCTTGCATTGCCAAATCTACGCAGATGACGTAACTTACCTGTACGCGATATACTCGTGATTGGAATGCAAATGTCGCGCGCGCGAGTTGAATTGGGTTGGGTTTTGTCATTGTTTATGCGGCCGATTTGCCGACCGCCGATGCACATGAAATGTTTGGCAATGACTTTTGCAGTCGCGCGCTACGAGAAGTGATTTACGCGACAGGCGTTTCGACAATTCAGGAGAGAAATATTAAAGCCGCGAAAGCGAAGGAAGTCCAAGTAAATGCATGTCAGCATGCGACCGCAGACTGCGACGGCTGAAAAATGAGCGGCAGCGTGAATCGATCGCAACCCCCCTGCGAACGCCTAAAAAATGCACAGGTCGATGAGTCACATAAACCATAAAGCGCGCCGTGCAACGTAATCAGCTGGGAGAGCCCGATCAAAATTCGTAATTGCATAATGCGTTTGTTTGGTCTGCAGTTGGTATCACGATACTGATGTTCTTCTTGTTCGGTAAGCCGTATCAACGTGGTTTCTTCTGCAACGACGAGTCGCTCATGCATCCCTTCAAGGAGTCTACGGTCACCAGTCCCATGCTCTACGTTATTGGCTTGTTTCTACCCATTTGCACGGTGAGTCAGTCAAAACGCGAGCACATTGCTTGGCGCTCAGTTGGCGTGCGAGTCGAACCATGTGCGTGTCTCTGATTTTTTTTTTCTATTGCTCGAGTGGATAATGCAGGCAAGGCCGCCACTTATATTTGGAAGATTCTGCATGGATTGATTACTGTTGTATAACAGAATATCACGTTTTTGAGATGGAAACGTCAACGATGTTCATTCGATACGACGATAATTATGAAATTCGATACGACGGAGATCGTTCAATAATAATAACAGTATCTCCGGTACCTTGGCCGTTTCTCTTGAAATCGAAATCTTGATTAATAGAATTTTAATTAATTGATAAAACAGGCAAATCTCAGTCGGGTTGTCCAATCGGAGATAAGTGAAAAAATTAGCTGTTCCTTTTCGATGGCACGGCAAATCCTCGAAATTATCTCTCCGAAGCAATCGCCGTACATGAAAAGCGTTTTAATCGACGACACTCGGACTGCGCAAAAATATTGTCTTCACACGGTATAAACGCACCGACGAACAAACAAGCAGGCGAGCGCAGTACAAAAGACCGTCCAATGGAAAAGCAATCGATTAACATTGTCCGTATAAATGATTCATGGTCACAGCCGCGCTATTACCGGTTCTTCCGCGTGCCTCTCTCTATCTCTCTTTTTCAATCTTTCATTCCGCCTCGCTCTCCGAAAAAGTCGAGAAAAATCTCTAAACTCTCGCCCGTTATTTTTATTTCCTCGCTCGTCGCACTCGCGCGCGTAAATTAGTCTCGAATGATCGAAGCCAAAGACGCTTGGACGTTCGAACTCTGGCCTGCGTACGTGGCAGGTGCAGGGAATGCAGCCAATCTCGACGCCTCGTCGATAACGCAATTTTCGCCACCTTTCCAGATGATCGTTTTCGAGTACCAGCACTCCAAGCGCATGCCCGAGAGAAAGTCTTTGGTGATGTTTGGCGTGAACTTGCCTGCCTGGGTGCCCATGGCGTACGCTAAGGTAAAGGATTCAGTGTTATCGCTGCCTTTGTGCGCCGACCGAACAGGCGCGTACGTAAAGGCTGGAAATCAAGTTTCAAGGGTTTCCTTTTGTTAACGAATTAGCCCCGATGAAACCTGATTTGCCGCGAGAGAGACAGACGTGTCGGGGTATAATACGCGCTCGCTTACTCTTTTGTTGCCGCCTCACGCGCTGATTTATACGCCGTGAACACGCCGGGAATTCCACGCGCTGTGTGCATTTACCTGCTTTCTTTTTTTTCCACGGGCATCGTCAGAGTGGTTATTATTTTCTCTCTCGGTCGACACTCTGAATGAAGTTGTGCCTCAACGTCCACGCGCGCACAAACACGCACACACAGGCGTGAGAGTTTTATTTTCCAACGACACCGAATAGTCGATGTATGAGACGGATCGAACTAATTGTCGGGGGGGGGGGGGGGGGGGAAGCAACACATCTGTACAAAAAAATTCTTCGGCATTCGTGTAACTTGCTTTGCGCCGAGGTGCACCGGTTGTCTAACGAAATTACAGAGGAAAAGAATCGTTCTGGAACAAGACAATGTAATTATCGGTAGGAACAATCGTTGCGCCGTCATTATTTACAATTTGATATGATTTCTGTCGATTACTCGACAAGAACGTAAACTACAAATCAAATGAGAATGTAAAGCGCTCAAGTGAAAAGCAAGTAGTAAACATGGCGACAAGTCAGACAACCCTAAGTCACACAAAGAACTTTGATCCCAATCCCCCGGTAATGCCGTCACATTTATATATACACACGCAGGTATCGCTGTGTGCCTGTGTTTGCCGTGATAAATTACGTACTCCGATATCTTATCTACTTTTGCGAGAGAGAAAGACGGCCACGCTTTGTTACGCAACAAACGCATTTGAATTTGGCTGCGCATCATGACATTCAAAGCGTATGCGCTTTGAGTGCAATATACCGAGGCATCTGCATAATATCGGTGACTCGCTAATGATCATCGTCCCCGTTTTATGGGAGCGGAAATAATTGATCGCTCTCGTGTTTCATTTGTCATGACGCGTTGATTTATATCAGTCGCTTCACCTCTTCGCTGCCAATGTTTAATTCGCGGTACCATCGGTCGAATGCGATTGACGCGCGCACGCGACGTCCATTGGATCGTCGATTACACAAATGTTCAGATGATAATTCATCGGGGTTGTCGCAGTGGTCTGCGGCAAATGAAATGGAATCTTCGCGCTCGACGAAGCCCGCAGAGCGAAGAATCCGCGGTGTCGTGGCCGCGGGGCGAAAGTGTCATCACGTAACGCGGTACACGTCAGCGCTCATCCACGCGCAGCTCATCGCACCCAATTACCATCGCCGTTGATGTCGTCGCTCGGTCATCCTGCGCGTGGGCTGTATTGTATACGTATGGTACACAATGTATCGATTTCAGATCGGAATCTTTGGTTTCGGGGCTGCGGTGACGGTCTTGACGACCGACATTGCCAAGTATACGGTTGGCCGGCTGCGACCACATTTCCTGACAAAGTGCAAGCCCCAGATCGATTGTAACTTACCAGAAAACATGCACCGGTACATCGAGGACTTCAGCTGCGATCCTACCGTGCCTGCCAGATATCTAAAGGAGCTCAGGTGGGTTTTCCAAGCCTCGCGCGAACCGCGATGCTTGCCTCGAGGACGGGACTTATTTACGAGCGCCTGGCTCCATTTTTGTGCTGCAGATTCTTATCGCGAGTCGCGAACGAACCAGGAATTTCTCGCCAATGATACAGTCGCCACGGAGATCTGCTTGATTAATTTTTTTCTCTGTGTACATATATGTATGGATACGTTAAATTTTGTTTCTCGCGTGCGTAATATAACTTCACTTTTTCTTTCCTCTTAGCCGTCTCTTTCTTCTTCAAGGCAATATCGCGCGCGCACGTGTCCATGTTTTTTATACTTAAAGTGTGGCTATGCCACCACTTTGTAACGACAGATAAAACTTTTTTTTCTCGTTCACTTCGAGAGTAGATTGTACATTAAGTTTTTTTCGAGCAAAAATAAGAAAAAATACAAGAGAAATACCGTTGTGATATGCCGTTATTAAAAATAATTCCGAGCGGAATTGTTTACTTTTTATTTTGTTACATTGAAATTCAATGAAATCAATTACGCCAGGCGTGACAATACCAGCGATTCCGGAAATTGTAAAACATTCGCGATGACGATCGCCTTGCTGCTTTTCGAAAGCATTCACGAGAAACACGCGTGCGAAAAAAATAAGTGTCTCACGCCGATGTATACAATAACAGAGCATTCGTGCAAATGAAAATCGTGACATTGACAGGCGTGCAAAAACTTATAATTGCCGCGCGCGTGCAAGTGAAAGTATGCGTCTGGTAACGTCGAGTAAAAATACAACTTCCTCTCCGCCGCAGATAAGCTGATTGATAAAAAAACGAGAGGAACTTAACTAGTCGAAACCACTTATCAGCGACAGGTGGCGAAACTCGCGTGGGTTCGATTCACGTGGTAATTTGTTGCCGGCACTGAATATGCCCACCGTTCAGAGCTGTCGTATACGCTTGCGGCTCATCGCCCACGCGAACCCCGTGATTTTAACTCGGTTATCGTGTTTAAATGCATACCCATTGAGTTTTTCAATGATAAAGCTATTTGCGACGGGCTAATTAAATTGTCGCTCGGGAGCTTTCGTCGTTCACCAATTTATTGCCGTCTGAAATCACGCGGTGCACTCGTTTGTAGCGAGCATTTTCTTTGTCGTCACTTTTTCCGCTAGTGGTTTGGGAAACTGTTCGATAATTGGCGTAATTGAATCTTTCGTCGGGCTTGATTATTCAATGTACAAGCTCTGTAGACCTGACACACGCATCCTGCTCTTTTTCAAAGCAAATATTTTACTTTGGACAAAGTCAACGTAACATAATATCGGAAATGATTAGTCGAAAATATAGCGATCAATGAATGAGAGTGAAACGATTCGACAAGCCAGCTACTATATACGGCACGGACAAAAGCAATGATTCACTATATACATAGGACAAAATAAAAGATTATTCGAATGTACTATAAATTTTTATCTTTCAAGCAATAAAAAGAAAAAATCCTCTTATAGCCAGCGTCAGAAAAGAAAAAAATTGGTGCGATTTCCAGTAATGCGATCCGCTTTTGTCTGCTGCGTCCCCATAAAAGCCCACAAGACGAGGCTTATATCTGTCTAACCCCTCGCGTCGTTATTCTCGCAGTGGCAGTGGATCGTTCAATGCAGCACCACGCGCACTCGCGTAAGGGCGAGAGAAAGCTGCATCTGTCGCATCATATGCATTATTCCTTACCTTTCTCCTGCTGCTATATATAGCTCAGGCGATATAATACTGGAACAGTGGGCCTCATTCATTCCCGACGCAGGCCGCTGCCGCGCGCACTTTGATTCTTCCCTTTTGGCGAGCATTGTTTCTCCGCGAAAGAAAAAAAATGTCTGTAACAATCTTGGAGCGCACCCCGGCGGACCAGGAGGCAACGAGAGCGATATCTGTTTTTTTTCCTTCCCGAGTGTCTCTCACACAAGCCACCTACGCACTTTGCCTGCGCGTGTGAACGGATGGAGCTAGGTTTCTTTCTTTTTTTATGTTTTTTTCATCTTTTTTTAATTTTTTTGTTGCCGTCTCGCGGACCTCGACTCGCGTCGCGCACATGCTTCCGATTTCTATGAACGTTACGTGTATATTTTACGTTCGCGCGTTTCTCTTTTTGCAGGCTGTCCTTCCCGTCGGGCCATTCGTCCTTCTCGGCTTACACCATGATCTACTTGGCGGTAAGTTTTATGCAATGCCTGCTCGAGAGCGGTTCGATCGCCACGCAGACTTACATCGCGCTATGATCACGAATCACACGCAAATTGCAGCTGTACCTGCAGCTGAGAATGACGTGGAGAGGAAGCAAGTTACTCAGGCATTTCCTACAATTCCTGTGCATAATGATGGCTTGGTTCACGGCAATGACCCGTATTTCTAACTACAAGCATCACTGGGGTGACGTACTTGCTGGTTGTTTGATCGGCGCCGCAGTCGCACTAATCACGGTAAGAGAAAGAGACATTGATTTTTGCGTGCTTTCAATTTGCGACTGTGCCTGTCGCGTTCAGTGCGCGACCTATAACGTTCAACCGGAGTTCAGTAGGGAACGAGTATTGAATTTTCCTTTCCTGTGATTGCTTGTTTTCTTTTATTTTATTGTCACGTTTGAAATGGAGTCACTGAAAGCCCTTTTGTACTGCGCGAGAGGCCTTACATTCACTGCGTCGATTCATTGGTATTATTCAGCCGCAAGTTTTATCTTGATTTGAATGTGTTTATTTGTTGCACTTAAAGGTCAGACGTTTAATGAAATTGTCACGTATAATAGCCAAGGCAAGAAAAGTGCGTTGAATTTTCTTTTATTGCAAGTACACTCTTAAAGAAACCGGTATTTATTTATACTTTCACGAAGATCAAACGAGTGAATAGTTTTGTACATAAAATTGCTCGGGAATCGCACACATGCTTACCAATGTATAAAAATTGTAACAACAACATTTCAACTACACGATGTTTTCGTTCTACCGCGTGCGTATCGTGAGCGATATCACACTTGGCATTGTACAAACATTTATTCAGCTTCGGTCGAGGAGGTTGACGAACGCATCTGCAAAGCTATTGTTTTGATATTAAAGTCGCGCAATAGAAAAGTGCGGAGTAACGATTAATTTTGCCTAATAGAGGTTAAATGTTGACAGGCGTTCGGGATAGCAGATTTGTTCAAGGAACGTCGTCAAGAGGTCAGATGTTGTCACCAATCCGAGGAGTCGTTGCACCAACAGCAGGAGCAGGCGAAGATCCGCGCGGATTACGAGCCCTCTGCGTCGCCGGACGCTACCCAGGTGAATAACGGCACGGGAAATCGCATCTGCTGACCTAACGAGCTCGCTCTCCGCTTATTGCCCGACATCGATGACGCCGACGTACCTGCCGACCCCTAAGACAACTCAACTATACGTCGCGTTATCGATATCTTTCTCCGTTTTGTTTCCGCAATTATCACTGTGTAGGGAAAAAAATACCTCTTGAAAAGAGAAAAAGATCTGTCGAGCTGGAGATAGAGAGAGCGATATTTATAATTTGTGAATGTTTCTTTTTGTGTAATCTGTGATTAATGTGTACATCCATTTTGCGAGAGACAGCAACCGACAATACTCCCGACCTTTTTTTATTCTCGAGTGCAAGTGTAATATCGACGTAAGTATTTATAGAGAACGTGAATCAGTAACACGCGAATTCGTCTGGACTTCGTCGCTTTGAACTCGACATTCCCCCTTAATGTACCCGTATGTCCGTATCAGTTTTTTATTTATATGTACATCACTCAGTGCTCGCGCGCGCGATTTCTCACGCGCAGACTTCAAAGTATTATCCAAGGATCGTATATCGATATACGGCTTAGCCTTACGGTTGTCTATTATTATAGAAATATTATTCACTGAAAAGTATTGCGAGGGAGTTGACCAAGCTCCTAGCGCTCTCCCTCTTTCGTTGTAATTTCCTTTTTAGCGCTCGCTCGCTTGCACGCGTACCACAGACGATGGTATATGTGTGTTGGCGAGTCATGCTCGATGACGAGGAATCCTTATTGAAAAATTGTCGGGCGTCCGGCGCGAGCGCGAACGTGAAGCGGCCTTATTCCGCTTTAAACTATCGTTGACCCCCTTGCTTGTTTAGTCACTTGCTTTCTGTACAAAGATTACCTTGACGCATTAATGGGTTTCATCGTCGTCGTCGAGAGAGAGAGAGAGAGAGAGAGAGAGAGAGCCAGAGCGCTATCAATACAACTTGCATTTCACTCTTAGTTCCTTATGGGCTAATTGAATTGTATATCTATATCTCGCACGATACGCCTGTGCAACCGAAGCACAGATATTTTATTATTATATTATTAGATATTTGCAATGTTTCTGTGTAATTACAAGTATTATACATACGTTGTACAATGATATGTTTCAGTAGTGATATAATGTGCGTATAGCGGGCAATTAATCATCAGCGCTAGTCTTGCTTTTTGTCGAGAATTCCATCAAGGAATTCACTCACATACATTGTAGTGTATCATTTTTCGTATCTATGCGTTTATGTATGTGTATATCGGTTTGTGTTTTTAAACGAAGCTATATTATTTAGCTTGACAATTTACACATGAATTCACGTAATAGAATTCAGCTCATTTGTTTCACCGATCATAAACGAACTATTTTATCTGCAAACAAATATGTGTCAAACTGTAACGTACTGCCCATATATTTCGCATAATTTAGTAGACGGGTGAATTTTCTTGCCACGTTTTTTTGGTTTCACGACTGAAACTTTTGAAGGTCTACGTAAAACAAATAATGTAAAGTAGCTTATATAACTGTGTGTCAATATTATATTTAAATTTATACTTGAAAACGCGTATTGTCATTATAAATTTGTTGGGAGTAATTTATTAAAAAGAGATCAATTTGTACAACGTGAAGCCAATCTCAACGGACCTAATTCTGAAGAGAATTGATAATAATGGAAATGATATTGTAATTTTTTTAAATCATTGCAATAAATAATAGAACCTATTTGTTTGCTTCTTTTTTTATGCTCCTCCTTGCTTATTTCAACGTATAAAGTGCTGAAAATATAATTTTGAATTTAGAATATTTATAATAAATGTATTTTAAATAAAATTTCAGATTGAATCGACACCGCTGAGAAGCGCTTCACCAGACTACGGAGGGGTTCATTTTTCCCACTCAGAAAATGGACGGAAAAGTCGATAAATCAGCATAATTTAGAAGCAATAATTTATAAAATTTGAAGTTTTTTTATATTGTATTAATTTTTGCAACAATGTGCATAATAAAGCAAGAATGAACTATTTTCGGTTGATTTGCATTTACCGCCATTGCTTTTGCCCAACATGGCTTACGTATATACATATATATATATTCTATTCCTGAATAATTGCTTCTTCCTCAAATCAGCTGTTTCAATATGTATGTATAGCTATGGTTGGTTGCATTACACAACCTATAATTAATTTATTATTATTTTTATAGATTAATGTATTGTCATGTCAATACAATTAGTAATTATAAAAGACAAGATAATTGAGTGATATTCTTGAACAAAGGATTGCGATTATATTTGAGTTTTTTTAATACTCGTGAGAAGTGGTTATGTGATGAATAACATTCCTATCTTGGATCCATACCAGTTTAGCGGTGATTTAAGATTGTTGTACTTATGCGCAACATACAAAGTGCAAGTCCCTTCTACTTATTGAGTACTATTGCACTCTGTTTGATTCTTGTGGTTCAAATCAAACAAATTTATGACAATAAATTAAAGTACAACAGATATCTTGGCTATAAACAATTTGTGAGTATTCATGCAGCAATAAGTGGAGACTGAATGATTGATGAAAAGAGAGTTCAGAATGTCAGTGAACCATGATACAATTGATATATTGCAGATGCAGGAGATATCTACTGAGATGGTAGAAGTGGAAAAGTCTGTGAACAAGTCTAATGACTATGTTCATCGATTGAATGAAGCATTACAGCGGCATAATGAAAAAAAGCACAAAAATGTTTCCTTGTCAAAGTTCTTTCTACTTTCATAATTTTTAACAAGGTAACTTATCAATTTATTATGTTACTTCGTAAAAAATTATCTAATAACAGTTAAATTAGTTAAAAAGTCAAGTATATATCAAACTATACATTAATGTGCAACATAGAGCTAATAATGTAAAAACAAAATATTAATCATAGAAATTATCCAAAGCCATGCATTGAAGATTGTTTTTATCTCCTTCTAAAGGCTCTAGTACACCGTTTGGTGAACATAGCCAAGGATCATGAGTCCTTTTCTGCCAATCCATAAGCTTCTGTTTGAGTTCTTCAAATATTGGCTATTTATAAAAATTCAATATTAATTATTTCATAAATTAAAACTATGAATTGCAGAAGATATCAATATACTTACTTCCACAGATTTCTTTGTAGCGATATTATTTAACTCTTCAGGGTCGTACTTTAAGTCATACATTTCCCATTCAGGTCTATAGTAGTAGTTTTTCAAATCAGTCTTGTACCACCGCAAAGATTCATTTAAACGCGTTCTGTTTAATAAATCCTGTTGAGAAAAAATACATTATTTTACTTTGAGACAATTGATTTTCATAGTTCATTAAAAGGTGTGTATTAACTTGGAATGTTGAAGATATATAAAAGTCTTGATCGATGGGGAATGGCATCTTGTAATTCAAGTTGTGAATCAATTTATATTTCTTGGTTCTAATAGCCCTCATTGGGTAATACATTGTTACTTCATGATGGGTTTGACTTGCAAAGACAGCAGTTGTATTATCCTCATTAGGTTCTAAAAAAAAAAAGAATTTTAAACATCCAACCGTGCATGCTATTCTGATTAACGATTTACCTTTCTCTAATAAAGGTAACAATGACTTTCCAGTGAGAGTTGCAAGGTACTTGCTGACTTTTCTATCAGCTGTTAAACCATACCAATCTAACAGAGTTGGTGTAATGTCTAACAATGAAGTCATACTGTAAGTGGCCTGGTTGTGCCTTGACTTGTGATGTGGCGATGATATAATCAGTGGCTCGGCCATGCCTGCAAGTGATACGATTTACGAATCGAAACGACAGCAAATGGCAGTTAATATCTTTCCAATCGACTTACCAGGATCATAAAGATTTGTTCTGCCACTAGTGAAGGGAATGCCATTGTCCGACGTGTAAATCACCAGTGTGTCCTCTTTCACCCCGGCGTTCTCCAGTTCTTTCAATACCAATCCAATACCTGCGAGTCCATGAATTTTCAATTTGTCTGTATTTCTTTTCCGACAAAATCGTTGTAATAATATTTACCCTGATCAAGACGTGACATTGTGGTATACTGAGCAGCGATATCTCTACGAGCTGCCTCAGTATCCTGAACGTGATAGGGCAGTTTGACTTGTTCCCACTGATAGTAGATTGGATTCCAGTCAGGTATCGTGCCCATACCAGGTTGACCGTTGCCAAATCGTTCGCAAAAGCTACCGTATTGCGGATTGCTGTGGCCACAACGGTGAGGATCGTGGAACGCCACGTACAAGAAGAAGGGCCTATAACGTTGGATCTCCTTTGAGAACGTTTTTTTTTCTTTTTGCCTTTTGAAAGCTCGTTAGTTCTCTAAATAGCTAATTTTTTTGAGTGCATGTTTAAGTTGAAAATTCAATAATTCATTCTATGAATAGGTTTGACGTATTGTAGATTGGTCGATGAAATCCCATTGAAAGTTCATGTTATTATTAACGCGTAAAGTTTTGAGATAATGTGCATTCACCTTTGAAATTTATTTCCATTCGTTAATGAAAATAATATTTGGAATTATGGATTATCCTCTGAAATAATAATGAAATAAAAAACGAGTAACTAGATGACGCCTTCAATCATAATTAAATATTTATCGGATATAAGTTACGAATGTGGCTGAATTTGGAATTTGATAATTGAATTTATTAACGCATTTTGTCAGTTTGCTTTCGTCAATGAAAATACGATTCCGTAAAAATACCAAACTCATCAGCTGTCAAAGCGCTCAAGCGTTATTGAAAATTGCGGTTTAGCTTTCCTCTAATTACAACGACGGAAAAAAGAAATTTATTGTGCATTCTAACGACTCTGCTGTATAGTATTTAAGTGAATGAGAAAAAATAACCACGAGTCATTGCTCTTTTTTCTCGTGAAAAAGTTCGTTCAACCAAGCACAGCAGCAAAAAATACCTACTGGCTGGTATTTTGCGAGAGGAATTCCCGAACGAGCATCTTGATCCTGGTGATGTTGCGACCGACCTGGAGTGTCGATTCATTTTCCTCGGTGTGCGCGAAATCGAACGGATAAGCTTTGTTCGGGCCAATGTGCTTTTTGCCAATGATACCTTCGAGCAGACGTAAAAAGAGTATTTGTGAAACAGTCACGGCCGGGCGAGATGAGCAAAAAATCGACTTTCGCTCGGTTTACCTGTGCGGATACTTTTCTGCCTTAAGATCTTAGGTAGGCTCTGCGTGCTGTCGAACGAATTGAAGTGATGGTATTTGTGATGTAGTCCGTACATGCCATTCTGATGGCTCGGCTGGCCACTCAGCAAGGATGCTCGGCTGGAAAGATTTTTTTTTCGTTCGCTATCGTTAGATTGACGTTTTGACGAATGGTTGCGTACCTAGGGGAGCAGCTGCTAACAGAAGTGTAGGCGTTGTTGAAGATCAAGCCGTCTTTGGCTAAGGCATCGAGGTTCGGCGTCTGGCATACTTTGTTCAGGTAGGAGCGCATCTCGAAGCCGGCATCGTCAGCTGCCAATCAAATCGTTTCAATGATAATCGTTTCTCTAACCCACGTCAAGACCTTCGTGCTCCAAGGCGAAAAAGGCAAAATTTTCAACAAGGACGCGTTTTCATTTCTTTTTACAGTCTCTTTAAAATTTTTTATGGCAACTATACGTTGCGGTAGCTGTTTATTTTCCATTCAGTGCGTTGAAACAAGTTTTTTTTTTGCCGCCATTCAAAGTACGTTGACTGCGTCTTTCTGCGACAGCAACATTCGTTCGTTTTGAAATCCTTAAAGGTCATTGGCTATATCGTTGCACCTTGATCGTTATTCCGCCACTAATACCTTCTAATTAATTTGCATGACTTTCGCCAGACGTTACGGTAAAAAGAAGCAACGCGCGTAAAGACAATCGAGATTATATATTTACGCATCTCCATCGCATTGATAACCGTAGTCTTTTCGGTATTGTTTAGCCGGACTGTATCGACGTGCAGTTAGTTTTGCATATATATTTTTCCTAGAAAGTGCAGCTGCAGCAATTAAGAAGTGAAAGCTCACGCGAAGATGCGGCAGAGAGTACAGAATTCGACAGAATCGGTCGAACATAATCGAGACAGTATTTTGAAAAAAGCTGTCCCTTGCCTCCCCCGCAACTTGCGCAGCATCCGTAGTAAGATAAAAAAAAAACAAAGTGAAAGGAGAAAACAAAAAAAAAAGAGAAAACGGTAAATGGAAAAGGGAAGGACTCACCCAGTAACAGGATGGCATTTTTGGGCCTGCCAGTGGTTTTTGCGAGCGCAAGTCCCCGGCCGACAGTCAAAAGCAACAGTAAAAACGCGCGCATCGTCGCTTCTCGCAGGAACGCAGCGGCAACTGTGCTCCGTGCGCGTCGCTCATCAGCTACGGGCTGCTCGTGTTATTTTGGCGCTGCAGTCGAAGCCGAGTCCACGTTTACACTGCCTGTATAAAGTCTCTCCCGGCGCTTTCCTTGTCGCGCCTACAAACACATCAAATTGTGAGCGTTGCTTCGTCCCTTTCACGTCGTTTTCCCTGGTTGTTTTTTTTTTCTTTCGTTCCGTTCGTTTTTCTTTCTGCCCGTTCTCCTCTGCTGGGTGTGCGTGTGCGAGGACAAGTGAGGTGAGCACATACACGTACGAAGCGTGTAACGGGGTCGATCGATGGGCGTTGTCGTGCGCGTGTGCGTGCGAGAATACGCGTACGTGTTGCTCAAGGAGCAGAAGAGATTGGGTTTTTCATTCGAGGAGACGGGACGGCGCGTGTAAATGTTGCGCTCGTACGCAGTGGCAAGTGGAGCGAGTTTGCACGGGTTGCCGGCAAGTGTAGAAAAGCGACACGTGACTGTTTATTCTCGCGCCAAAGCTCGCGTGATTTCTTCAAAGGCCGCTGCCATACTCTGTAATCGTCGTGCGTTTCCTTCGGAGAATATTAATTTCTAATTGAAGCTCGCGCCGAAGCAATTTTCAAGCTCGTTGCGTCACTACGGTCTGCGCCTGCAGCTCTGCTAATGCACAATATTGACAATCGACTCGCTTACGTTTGATCTCTCGTTGCAGCTTCGTCCTAACTCCGCAGATCATGTCGAAGAAGATCATTTGCTTGTTCGACGTCGACGGCACGCTGACCGAGCCGCAACAGGTGGGTATTTATTTATAAGCTTGTCATTTCTGCCTAAAAACACTGTTTAATCTGTTTTAATCGATGTACTTTGCGCGTTAGATTATCTCGCAAAGCCTGGATCAATATATTCAGGATGAGTTGTCGAAGCTGTTCGACGTGGCTGTTGTCGGTGGCTCGGACTTTGCAAAAATCAAACGTCAACTTGGAGACAACGTTTTGAAGAAGTACAGCTACGTTTTCGCCGAAAATGGACTGATTGCTTATAAGGATGGCACCAAGCTTCCTACGGAGGTAAATCTCTCAATTACATCCGACTAATTGTATTTCATACGTCTTGCTGCATTACAGAAGTAAATAGGCTGTAATTATTGTCTATGTGCAAACATACAGCAAGATCTTGTTTAGGTCGTTAGACGATAAAGCTTTCAATGGCTAAATGCTCTGCGACCAACAACAAATTTTCATTTAATCAGAACTGCAGGTTTCATCCTCTTTACTTTAATTAGCAAATGGCGTTGTCAAAATTTTACGTCGTTCGATTATCTGTGTTGTGATTGTTTTTGCCCAGGACTTTCAAAGCTCGCCGATGTTACGCAACAAATTTTTCATTTGAACTTTGCAGACTATTCAAAGCATATTAGGAGAAGAGACACTTCAAGAATTCATCAACTTCGCTCTGCTCTACATATCCAAGCTACAATTGCCTTTCAAGCGAGGAACCTTCATCGAATTCCGAACGGGGATAGTGAACATCTCTCCCGTCGGTCGTAATTGCACGCACGAGGAGCGCTTGCAGTTCTATGAATACGACAACGAACATCATGTGCGAGAAAAGTTTATTCAAGCTCTGAAGAAAGAATTTCCAAATTTAGCCCTTACCTATAGCATAGGTAAACCTTTTGGATTAATAAAGTTTCTGAATGTCTGCATTTGTTGATCGATCGCGTTCTAAAGACCAGTGCTAGAGATCAGCCGAATTCAATTTTCTCGGCAATTCGGTTTCGCTTGTGCAGGGAAATTGCATTATAAATCACTTATTGACATTCCAATTTAAGCAAAACCAATTTACGTGGTAACCACAGCAATTATCGGGATTACATGTGATCACGGATGATTCCGTTAAGACAGTATAATTTTGCTTACTTGAAATTCACGTAAAAGATATTAATTGATCATCACGAGTACAATTATGAAGAATTTTAATGGATTTGCAGTTCTCTATAATGTTGCTAACCGGCACTGCTTTATCATCAATGCATTAAAAATGAAAATTAATTTCAGGTGGACAAATTTCATTCGATGTTTTCCCGAACGGTTGGGACAAAACGTACTGTTTACGTCACATCCAAGGTTACGAAGAGATCCACTTCTTTGGCGATAAAACGTTAGAGGGTGGCAACGACTACGAAATATACGAGAGCGATTTGACTGTAGGTCATCGAGTAAACGGTCCGGATGATACCTTGAAGCAACTTAAAGTACTGGTCAATCTTATCGATGAAAAACGAGGCAAAGAGCAGCTAAATGTACCTATGCAATGCGTTTAATTAAAATGTCATTGAATATTTTATAGAACTTTCGACTGCTGACGAGTCAAATCTGCTCAAAGAAATAATTGACATTGAATACATTCATCTAAATCTGTTTAAAATAATAAGATAGCAATTTTTTAGTCCGTTGATTTAAAAAACAAAATATATGAATAGAAAAACTTAGACTGTTAGTACTGTTTGTTGAAAACTACTACAGTGTACTACGGAGTTTTGGTACTTTTTAGCCTTTTCCATGTAATTAATTGATGTGTTATTCTTTGATGGTTATTCTATTTACAGAACTATTAATATTTCGCAATTAACGATGTCATTTGATACTTTTCTTACGTATACCTGATTTTTTTCTTAAGGAAATAGGTACGTGAATTTTAAATCTGAAGGGTTATTTGAAAGTTTCTTAAAGCATATTTTTTCCGTTGTCTGAAAATTTACCTTGATAGATTTTTATTTTCATAGAACAACGATACAGTTGCCAAGGTAATTCTATTAATGTTATGTGATTTCTACATTGCATTTGTATATAAAGATAGATTTATAAAATATTACTCGGATCCGTTTGTTTCCAATGTTATCGTCGTTGCTCAACATTCCTTATGCTCTGAATGTGATTTAAATTGACAGGACATATTAAACACTCGTTGATTACCATATTGCATACCAATTGTAACACAATAATTTAGCTGATACATAGTTACAATAAAAGAAACGAGATGAAACAAAATAGAAATCTGTCTAGCTTATCACTTTAATGCCATAATAAAACATGAAATAAACAATTACTTGTTATAACATAATCAGGCATATCAAAACAAAACGATTAACGTGTAAATGACATAAATACGAAAATATCATTTGTCTTATTCTCTATAAATACCAGAAGATTACCGGCACTCGTTATATCGCTATATTGGCCCCACTTACCAAAACGTTATACAAACTAAAGGATCTGTTAGTGGATCTTACTTTTGTAACAATGACAATATAATAATAATAATAATCATAAAAAAACTTAACAATTCTAGGCGTAAAAAAGTCTACAAAAAAAAAGGAAAGCGCGAGGAAAGCCTTTAGGGGTGTCACAGCCCTCGGTAAACAGGTACACGTTTTGCAGCGAACGCAGCCAAACCTTCCAGTCGGTCCTCCGTATCCAGTAGCTGAGCGTAGCATTGTTTCTCTATTTCCAGGCCATCATCTATTGGTACCTCAATTCCCTTTGAGATTGCCACTTTTGCCAGTCTATGGAAATAAAAAAACAATGGATTAGTTACGTGCTGGCCTTGACGAGCTGATTTGATTTGTATGGATCTGAATTTTTTTCTCGGATTCATTCTTTTTGCAGGACAGTATCATTCATTTGATTGTTCATTTGGATATATAAAATCATGGAGTAATGAGTTTTAGGACGTTCTAGAAATACATTGTCCCTCAGCAGCTCGTCAACGCGAATTTTTCCATTTAAACGTCACTGAATTATCGTAAAATGTTAATTTTTATGTAATAAAAGGGAGTGCAATATTCATTCATATCTTGTCAATGTATTTACTTGAAACTCAATTTGGGTCAACCTAATTAAACGTCTAGATTTGCAATAATTTAATTTTAACACATATGCAATGAAAATCACTAGCCAATTACACGTATAATTGTTATATATTGAATTTGATATGTGGCTGAAGTTATTGGAATGAACTTTCAACGGTTGTGATTATCGCGGCGATAGTTTGATTAGAGTGCAACCTAATCCAGCTGTGATCATCATTACAAACGTCATTGTTGACCGCGAATCAGGGGAATTAACATATCGCATGTTTATATGCATGAGTCCGCTAAATACGGACAAGATGAATATCTAACAAGGAGATTGCGATTTTTCTTTAACGCAGTTTGAAAAGCCTCGCATCGAGCTGATTGTATACCATTCCCAGAGCGATAACGTCGCGAGCCGTTCGACGCTTGTTTTTTTGTAATTTTTTTTTCATTGTTGCAGTCGTATCAACGCTGCATGACATTCGCCTGAAAACGCGGCGGATCGGATAGAGCTCGCGCGCATTATCATCGGAATTCCAGGCTCTGATCGGCCTCGAAATTGTCAGTCTCACGTGCGCCGTCGACTGTCATCGCGAAACGCAGCGGCGAGCCTGGGCTTTTTGGCAGGACGCGCGACCCGATCGTTTGCGGCCATAAGCGTAAATCATGAGGTGCCCGCGCGGTATCACGCGAGCGCAGCGGCGCGCTATATACAACCGTAATGCGGCCGAAGCCGCGCCAGAGATAGGGCGCGACGTCGCGTGTTCGCGTGGCCTGATTCGGCTTGCTCAATATGTGCGTACGCGATAGGCATTATTATAATCCGTATAGAGGCGCGCGTACACGCGCCGGCGCTCAGTCTACGGTAATTAGCCGGCGGCGTGCACAGAACTAGAGAGCCCGCGAGATGCTTTGCGCGATGCCGTCCAGTCTCAGCTTGCTCCTGCAGACGAGATCGCGATCCTGGAAAGATAGGACGAGCGTCGCTCGGCGCGACCCTCAATCTTCGCTCAACGGGAGAAAGCGGCGAATTCTAATTTGGGTCTAAGCTCGCGTCGGGCGCATCCTCGTGCCGAGCACAAAGTCGCTTCTTTGTCTGTCTGTCGCTCGTTGACAGCTTATTTGCGCTTCTCGGCTCGCACTTGTCAATACAAAAATGTCAGTCACTCGGCCGTCAGTCGAAAGCACGATACTCACTTAACGCCGATGGGCCCATTAGGAAGTATCTCGCGAGCGATCTGCAAAGCCTGTTGATAAGCTGCGTCGCCGTCCTTGTTCTGCTCGACCACGCGATTAACCAGACCCATCTGCTGAGCCTCGCGGCCGTCCACAACTTTGGCCGTGAATATCATCTCCTTGGCAATGGCCGGACCGACGATTCTCGGAAGTCTCTGGGTGCCACCGGCGCCGGGTATGATCGCCAACTTGGTCTCGACCAGACCCAGCTTGGAATCGGCCGCGGCGGTGCGTATGTCGCAAGCCAAGGCCATTTCCAAGCCGCCGCCGAGAGCGTGGCCGTCGAGGGCGGCGATCACCGGCGCGGACAAGTTCTCGATGTCGCGCATCAGTCCGCGAATCGAGCTGACGAACTGGCCGACCTCCTCGGGCTCCATTTTCACACGCTCGCGCAAGTCCGCGCCGGCGCAGAAGACCTTGGGTACTAGGCTGCGGACGATCAGCACTCGCACCTTCTTGTCTCGCTCGATGTTGCTCACCGCCTCGGCCATCCGGCGAAGCAGGCTCTTGCTCAAGGAGTTGCGGGCTTCGCCGCGGTTCAGGCCCAGCACGGCGATGCCGTTGTCCTTGCCGTCCAGGTACCTGACGATCAGCTCCCGCGATTCGTCTTTCACCGGGTGCGGCTGAGCTTGGGTCGACAGCGCGCGGATCATTAGGCCGGCTACCCGAGCCAATCTGCCGCTCCTTAGGATCAGCTGCACCATCCTGGATTGCGGGGATTTGCGCAGATGTGCAACGTCTATACGCGCCAACGACGCTCGGCTGATTGATTCACTTGGTGCACAGCGCTGCTCTCACCTGCGACTGGAGTTCCCTTTTTAATTTGCCGGACTCGCGAGCGCGGACCAGAGAGGAATCTCGAGGCTCGCGCGACGACGTTGCTGCTATTTCGCTCTCGCGCGCGTCGTAATTCACAGCGTAATATTTCCGATAATTGAATAAGTGGAAAAAGAAAATGGGATAATTGGAAAAAGAAAAAACGACAAGGAATTATCAGGACGTGTGTGAATTACGTGACACGCGGATACGCGCGCGCGGTTTGTTTAGTGCACCTGTGTTTGAAGAACGACCGAGTGCAAACAATAGGATGACGATCGATCGAATCTGTGAAAAAAAAATCGACGGCGATGATAAACATTTCTCTATGTATTTCCGATAACGCGTAGCAACTTCTTTCTCGTTTTCTCTTTCCATTCAGATATTAGCGTTGAGATAAGGATACATTTGAATATACTATTAGAAATGATAAAAGTTTTGAAATAAAATTTCAAAATTAACGCGGAATCTTCCTTGTGTTGAGAAGATAAAAACATTTTTTTTTCAGTTCTCGCGGGAGTTTTTAAAATACAGAAACACCGAAACATAAGTTTATGTGCATAATTATCCTGAAATTTTCCTTGATTAGCGCTTTAAATGTTCACACGTACAGGTACCAGTGAAGCCTAAACGATGCGTAGTACCGCTCGAATGTCACGAGTCAGCATTCAAGAACATATATATTTAAAATTCCACGAGAGAAAGCTTTTAGCACTGGCTGAATTCGGAGAGAGTTTGGTGCTCGTGCAGCGTACGCGAAAAAGCACTCGACTGCTGCGCGAAAACGCGAACAAAGCGCCGAGTAATTGCCAATTTATTGTAGAGCGTCGGAAGGAGAACGAACAGAAGAAAACAACTCAATCCGCATCAAGGCTAATGAAGGTGCGCGCAGTGCTGCATGAAATCAGCGCTCGATGCAGTCGACAGAGAGAGAGAGAGAGAAAGAGAGCTCCTTTTCTCTCTCTCTCTCTCTCTCTCTCTCTCATTTCTCCATCCGTTGCAAGGTAGCCTTGATCCTCGAGTTCACTCGCATCGAGAGCGTGGGTGTGGAGGCGAGGGGAAAATAAAACAGCGAACGGCAGAAAGCAAATGTCGAGAGGGCGTAAAGTAGCTAGCTACGTATATATCGGCGAATGGATGACTCGGCGAAAGAGAGGCGCGCGTGGTAAAACAAGTCGCGGTCGCGCGATTTTCAGAGCGGCCGTTGCCGCGCGCCGCCCAGGTGAGTTTGCACACGTGCCCTCCGCGCACCGGCAGCTAAAAGCTCAAGATCCAGCGCACTCGCGCGTGACTCGCGCGAAAAATATACCAGCGCGCGCGCGCGCGCGCATTCTCACACACTTGCACGCAGGACGTACGCGAATCAAACAAAAAAAAAACAAAAAAAAAAAACAAGATATAAACAGAAAAAATTAAAAAAAAGAGGGAAAAAAATGAAAGCTTTACGACGGCTCGTGCATATGCCTCGGCGAACTGGCTAATTTCCGAGGCCGCCGAGCGAGCGGCTATTTCGCTTTGCGCACACTGCAAGCGACGCCTATTTGACGTATAAGCAAACATCGATGCGAACGAACGTTGCGTCAGGCATGCGTGCTGTTTACAATGTCGTACGCGTATTCCGGCTCGATTCGTCAAAACGCGCCGCTCGGCAAAGTAAAACAAGATCGCACTCGCCAGCCGCGCGCTCCAGCCAAATCCTTTCACTCTTGTTTCGCCGCGCGACCGGAGAGATGCGAGTCAAGATCGCCGGCAAGACGCTCGCTTTCTGTTAAAATGTTGCCTTACTTACGTGCGATCGTTGCGACTAATAGATGCTCGTCGTCGTATCGCTAGATAGACAGATATGTGCGCGCGCGACGGAGAAAGTTTTTTTTTTTTTTTTTTCGTGCGCGTTTACGACGAAGGAGACGGACGCCGCGTTGCACGCGATCGGACCGACTCTTGACTGCGCTCGCCGCTGCCGCTTTTGTAATGGACTTTCTGAGAGAGAGAGAGAAAGAGAGAGAGAGAGAGAGAGAGAGAGAAGGGCGTTGCGCGCGTGTGTGTTTAAGTGCGAGTCAACGACGTGCTTTGCACGATCTTCTTCACTTATAGGCCCGTACCGTCTGCCGATCGCCCCGAGATCTATATGGATCTTGATCTGCTTAACCGGCTTACCGACTGCCGATTTCTGATATTCGCATTGTGCCAGCTGCAATTTGCGGTGAAGCCTATATGTAGGCGTTGAAGTAATTGCATTGCCGCGGGTCGTTGACTTTTAATGTAATGAATGTTATTCTTTTGTTCACGAAAATTATCCGGGGAATTTATTTTAAGAACTGCTTGTTCTAAAATACCCCCGGTCTTTCTTATGATTCCATTACCAAACGCATCAATTGTTATAGTAAATCTTCGAAACGAGTATATTAAAAAATGAGTTTTCAAAGCTCTTGCGCAAGTCAGCTTTCAACTCGGAAAAAATACAATATTCATTTTTCAAAAGGATGGCACTTTCTATATGTAAATCGAATGGACACCTTTAAGATCGATAACTTACTCATTATCTAGATTTTAAAGTTAAAGAAGCTTGTAATATTAATAATAAAAAATAATCAAAAAGTAAAATAGATAGTTGTAAAAATTAATGATTTTAGTGATGAATTAGGTTAGCCTCCTACTTTGAATGAGGGTTGATGTGTACATTTGTTGTCGCCCATATTGAAGTACCTACACATGAAAAATATTAATATCGAGGGATGATGGAGCGTGAAGAGGCATAGAAAGCATTAAAGGCAATAAATCTTGTGAATTTGGTATTTGGAAAGGCGACTTCTTGTCTGATAATTATTTTCGTAGAAAAATTAAATCTCGAAGAGAACAAAAAAAAAATAATCAAACAATTGATGATCTGGAGTAGAATTGGACACCTCGCGACTTTACATTGTTTGTATTTTTATAACCAGAAGTTGGTGTGTGCATTCTTGGCTACTGATATTTTGAAAGAACAAAAAATTGATGTTAATTGCTTGTCGAAGTATGCACGAATTTAACGGTTCATAAGCGGTGACCGTTGATCGTTGATCTGGGCACGGATCGACGCGGGCTCTTTATCCTTTTGTCGAAAAAGAGAAAGTTTATTCCGACGGTGAAAGTTATTCAGTTTCGTTAAGCGACGACGTCGAAAGGTTAAGCGCAACGCTCGTATAGAGCAAGATTCGCTGCTTGACCTTAAACCCGCAGGCGCGCGTATCTATTTCACGCGCACACGCAGAGGCGCGCGTGACGAGCGGCACCTTCAAATTTTTCGGACGGCCGGCAATCGATAACCTCACCGGAGTGATAATCGGCGTCGCTTACGACATCGAAATAGGTCAGCGGGTCAACGGCAGACAAGGCTCGCTCGGCTGCTCGCAAGAGTCTACATATCGGCAAACAAGGTCGTTCGCTCGCTGGCGCGCGTCAACGGAGCCATGCTGGCGCGCTGCGCCCGAGGACTGCTGGGGCGTCGGCGTTACAGTGTCGATCACGGGCCTCGCTGTGACACTCGCGGGCTCATCGGCGAGCGTGAGATCGTCGGCTACGGGCACAACGGTCAGCCGAACTACGTCGACCTGGTCGCTTTCCCGTTCCCGGCCATTCGCTACCGCGAGTGTACTCCCCAGATCATGGTTGGTATTTTCTTGTTCACGCTCGTCTCCCCTCGAAGCGTCGGCTCGCCAAAACGAATTAGAATTCGATGGGAAAAGGGACGCGAATGGCGGTTACGCCGAGCATTCTTGCCGAATCCGCTGCTCAGCCTTGACCGAGCAACAGTACATAGCCGCGGCTCGCGGAAATAGATAGAAATTTGAAATGCAAATCTAATCGCGCGACGGCTCTACTCCGTCGCTCCTCTTTTAACGGAACTGGCGCCGCGGCGTCTTCGTTTCTCCTTGTTGACGCAGGCACTGCGCGAGAAGGAGCGTGGCGACTGGAGAAAGCTCAGCGTCGACGAGAAAAAGTGCCTGTACAGGGCCAGCTTCCGCCAGACTCTCGCGGAACTCGACGCGCCGACCACCCAATGGAAAAGCATCCTCGGCACCATACTCATGACGTTGTCCCTGACCTTCTGGTCCTTATTTTGGATCCAACGCCACGGTAAAACTTGGTCATTTCCCAACGACTACGTTTTCGGCTTGCAAACATCGCAAAAATCGAAATCGGCGGGTCGATGCGAGTAGCTCGTCGGGTTTTCGCGGACGGCAATGTCTCGCTGTTCGTCGTGTTGAGTCGCGTAATGGGCTCTGATAAAGCACCCGCAGAGTCACACGCAGGCCCAATCTAGCCAAAGCACGCCAATGGCGTAGTCTATTTTACGAATGACGTTGCAGTGTACAGAGATCTGCCCATGTCGTTCGAGCCGGAGGCACGGATCGCCCAGTACTATCGCCAGGTGGCCATCAACAATCAGCCGTTCAGTGGCCTTTATCGGCCGCCTGGCGCCGAGCTGAGGATCCACCCGAAGAACAAGCAGATGTACGACGAGATGATGAAGTCTCAGTAGCCGTTCTCTTCGGCATTCCGCTCCTGTTCGCTCGCTGTACGCGCACTTATGCGCTAATAAACGCTAGTCGCTTTCATTCGTGCAACTGATTTTCCCTTTCTCGCGCGCGCACAAGCACCGGGAGAAGAAGGGAAAACGAAGGTGAGATCTGCGCGCCCGTACGCCGGGGCACCAAGGGGCGTATTCGCGCAGTGCATGTATACTCGGGGCCGAGGCGTCGATCGAATGAATAATGAATGACGCCTCGCGGTTGGAAGAATGCCGGCTACTGCTGTCGCCACCTCGCACATCCTGATTACTAATTCCTCGGCGGCGACGCTGGGCTACTTACCGCCGCGCTGCCGAGCAACAGCAGCAGCAGCAACAGCAGCAGCAGCATCAGCAGCAGCAGCAGCAGTCGCAGCGGCAGCAGCAGCAGCAGCAGCAGCAGCAGCGGCGGTGGCGGCGGCGGCGGCGGTGGCGGCGGTGGCGGCGCTGCCTCACAGCTCTGTGACACCAAATCCCATATTTCCATAGCCGGCGGATGCTTCACTTTCCGAGAGCGAGTGACCAGAAACACCCGTTAGCGCACTATTCGCGCTGAATGTGCGTGTGCGTCGCGCTGCCATTGCCCCCGTCGGCGCAAATCTCTCCGTCTCTTCTCCTTCCCCGAGCGAAAGTATATTACAACCTGCTCTGCTGCGCAAAGCTCGCAGCTCGCTACATGCTCTGCCTTCCCTTTTTAATTTGTCGCTATGTCAGGCATGTTTGTTCGCAATTGTGACGCTCCTAACGGATGGCAATGTAAATGTACACCTCGGAAACGCGAACATTTCTGCTTTTTAGAGAAACTCATTTCGAAGCTACGGAGTGGCTTTTAGAAAATTTGTTTGTTCTTCGAACGACGAAAGGAAAGACCCGTGTTCTTTTTCACACGAGGCATAAGATATACATGTTCGGATAAATGAGGCGTTTTCGCACAAGGCAGACCTCTACTTTTCCGCAGTAGTAATTTAATATACTATTGTCTAGTGTTACACTTTCAATCAAGGCCAATTTGAAAATGCAGCGACATTTTTCTGACTCCTTCCAAAAGTTTTCGGGGACTCGTGTAGATTATACTCGCATATCTATGTAATACTTATCTTTCTCCAATTCTCAATGAATTTCATCTGAATAATCGTCACATTGACGAGCTTTTACTTGGATCGAAAGCCAAGTCAGATTCTTATTAAGTCAAACTGGTTCTGAATGCCACGAGATTCCAACGTGGGCGAAGAATTATGAATAAGCCTGTGTATTTATACATAAATTTCAAAGCCGATGATTATATACCGTAAGCTTCATCGAATAGTGAAAGCATTACAGCATCTCGAAATACCTATATTTACTTGGCAAAATAAAAATCTGAAATGTCACGTGAGTACGAAAAAGCATCAGCGGCCGCGGCAACGCGAGAGGAGGTCAGCGAGTGAAAATCCATTATAGCTTTTCATTTCTCCGTACAATGGGAAAAAATCGAATAGGCATGTCTCTCGCTATACACACGCAGAGACCGAGACGGAGAAAAGGAGAGAGAGACAGATCGTTGCCTGCGCGTACGCCTAATTATGCTAATGCCGAGATTTTCAAGAGGCGAGCCGAGCAACGAGGAGAGCATAACGGTAAGAAACCGATGGCCGGCAATCGCTCTCTCGTCTTCGCTAGGGACAGAGAACGCGTCAATTGATCCGCAATACGCGTCGGCGCCTTTGCATGTAGGCCCCGAGCAAAAGAGCTGAGAAGGGTACGTACGTGAAGTCTTGTGTAATGCCATTTGACCATTGAATGGCCGAACTGGCGAGGATAACGCAATCGCGGCACGTGCGCTGCTAATGGGCAGGGTTTAGCTGAAAGTTCCCTCCGTCCGCGTGGAGGCATCGACACGCCATAATTAGCTAACGAAGAGTCCTTCGGTCCAAATATCGGCTTAATCAGATTGATATCAATGTGCGCGATGTAGCATGAATCTTGTCGCATAGACTGATTTCAGGGCACAAAGGGGCATACCTGCTATACGCAAGTAATGGGCAGAATGTCTGCCGGAGATCGCACAGACGTAAACAAATTACAGTAGATGCCAAAGGGCGATGGCTCGACGCTAACGACGAGCGAGAGAGAGGGGCTCCGGGAAACGAGCGGAACGCACCTGGAGCGCTCGGCGCTGGCGCGTGCGCCGCAAGGAGAGCGGAAGAAGTAGAAGAAGAAGAAGAAGAAGAAGAAGCAGCAGCAGCAGCAACAGCGGCAGCAGAAGAAGTGGTGGACTGGCATGGCTTCAGCCTATAAAAGCCGAGGCACGCGGCCGTCCCTCTTCGTTTAAGCCGCAACATCGTCAAGTGAACAAGACGCGCGCGCGCTCCGACCGCCTCGCAGTGCTCAAGGACTCTGCGAACCGTACCCGCCGCACGCTACAGCGCAGACGTGTGTCTTTCGAGCTTTCCTCGGTGAGTTGTCCAGCCTTTGTGTGAACAAGTGTGCTATACCGGCCTGCTAGTGCCCGGCGCCGACTCCGACCTTTGTGACGCCCGGTCGGACCGATGGACTCTGTGATCCTGCGATCATTGAACGGATTGTGCGACGCGTTGCCGATCCGCCGACATCGCCACTGTTTCGTTCGTTTTCATGCGCGAGTGCCAAATCTCGACGATGCTTGCCTTCTGCTTTTCCACTTTCGAGTTGGACTGCGTCTGTTCCTTCGTCAAGTATATCGCTCGCGTTATGCTAGACTGCAGCACCGGCGAGATCACCGAATGCTCGAGCGTCTCGCCGATCCTCTCACGCTTGTTCTCCCATCGGTCGTCGTCTTCTTTTCCGACATGCGCAAGCAAAGCTTAATACTGTTTTTCTTTTCTTTTCGCGCGTGTTGCAGAGAAAAGGAGCCGTTCAGTCTTGACGACGTAACCGAGAGTCAGCATGAAATTGGCGGTGCTACTGGCACTGTTGTGCTGCCTGGCGTTGGGCGCCCTCGCCACCCCTGTACCAAAGTCATCCACGAGTCGAGCCGGCCAAGAGTCGAGGCAGGCGGCGGCCGCATCATCTCCGGTCGCAGCCGCGTCCGACGATGACGACGACGACGACGACGTCGACTTCGACATCACCGGCGAGGATGACGACGACGACGACGACGACGACGACGACGACGACGACGACGATGACGACGACGATGACGACGACGACGATGACGACGACGACGATTATCTCGAGAGATTCATCGACGAAGTCCTCGGCGGTGAGTGAATGCTACTGCTAAGGGTGCCAAATCTCGTGGCCACTTCGATCGTTGCCTGGCGCCGCAGTGCTTGCCCTGTTGTCGGCATTGTGCGCGAGCGAGTTCGTTTCTATGATTGAAATGGTATTCGACCGCGCGACAGGTCGTTATTGGGTAGACGCGCCGACGGCCTACGGGGCGATCCGTTTGCATACTGATCAGCGGCTAATTGAAGGCGATCGCCGCTACCGGGGCGTTGACACTGCCCGCCGAAATGCCGCGCTGCATTGTCATTAACTCTCTGCCTCGCGAGCCCTAGTCTGCAATATCGGATTGTCAGCCAAGTGCGCGAAATGCGCGCGAGCGACCTCATTAAGCGCGTCAAAATTTACCGCGATAATTCAGCTGAAAAAACGAACGAGCGGCTTTGAGTAATCAGTTTTGGCAGCTATGCCAAGGACGGAAATATCGAGAAATACGGATGCGCAGACAGACAGACAGAGAGAGGGGGTTGGGGGGTTTAATCAGTAACTGTGAACCGAGCGAGCGCGGCTATAACGGCTCTCGGAGAAAAGTCGCACGGCGTTAGTTTTTTTATATCCCGTAAAGTGCATCATTTTTTTCCCTCCCCCTCGACTTCTGCTTGTGCGTTTGTCGCGCGGCATATTACACGCGCGAATTCCGTTAAGTCGCAGCGCTAACGGGACACGCGCAGCCAAGTCGTTCTCCTCCGAATTAACATAATCTCTCCCGAGCCATACGCGCGCGCGTGCGCGCTGAGCCGATTGACACAGTTTCACCGGCGAAGTGAAGGTCCACGCCGGCACGGAAATAACGGAAGCGTGAGCGCGATATTTACCAACGGCGTTGGCGCCCAACCGGAACCTTTTCTACTTGGCTGCGCTAGAAATTGAACGCGCCGCTTTTCTTCTTATCCTTCTTTCGCCGCCGCCTACGGCCCGACATGTGGCTGATCGCGTATGCTGTAAACATCGCGTCGGCTCGATTGGAATGTTGCCGATGCGCGTGCCTCGCGCTCGCCATCGATAGTGCTCGAGCTTTCAAATTCGCTCCGAGGACAGCTTTTCGTGCCGTTTTCTTTGGCACTCGATTGTTTCTTGGGTCATGATTTAATAATCGCGCTATCGGTAGATCTCCCCGAGACGAAGTGGATGGCAAAATAATGATCCTGCAACCACATTATTCGCTCATACGTATGGTAACATAATTATTTTCTCGTCCACTTTTATTCGGGTAGATCGGCAAATGGCGCGATTATTTCATTTTTTTTTTGTCTCAAGCGAGGCTCTTGCAACTGTTTTGATTGAATTGAAAGTTCATTCTGTCGATATTTAGTTATATTCATTTGAACGTTGATTTTACGTTCAAGCTCTCTTTCTCTCTCTCTGTCTGTCTCTCCATCCCTATTTATTTTATTTTCTTTCTATTTCTATCCCGCCGTAACGGATTATTGTGCACTTGTCACCTCGTTATTCGATGTCACGCTTATAAGCTAAAAGGTAAATTTACGCGATGAATAATGAAAGCATCAGGGAAATATTACCAGCAAGCGCATAAAACGAAGTAGTGTAAAATGAAATAAGATGTGTTAACTGATGCATTTCAGGGGAGGACGACGATGACGACGACGAAGCGAACGCCGTGGAGCCAGCGGCGTCGGCAGCAGTCTCAGCCGTACAGCCAGTGGCCGCCTCGGCGAACGCACCGGTGATTCCGCCGGCAGTGCAAGCCGATTTGGACGCAGAGCTGAACAGCGCCTCGGCAACCGTCGCCGAGACCGACGCCTCGCTAGCGGAGGAGGCCAACTCGTACGAGGACGAGGACGTGCCCGAGGGCCAGGCAGCCGGCGCGATTCAGGACGCAACGATCGAAGGTGCCGAATCCGTGAGCAATCCCGTGGTGCTCCAACAGACCGTCAGCAACGCTGTCCCAGCAGCCGCCCCAGCATCCAGCGACGACGATGACGACGACGACGACGACGACGACGACGAGGAGGTCGATTTCGACGTAACTGGCGACGACGACGACGATGACGATGACGACGACGACGACGACGAGGAAGCCGACGAGGAGGAGGAGGAGGATGACGAGGACGAGGATGACGAGATCGAGGGCTTGGCTGACATCGCCGGCGCGCGCAAGCACCGAGCACGTGAGTTGAACGGCAACAAGCATCCGACCAAGAAGCACCACGGCAAATCCCGCCAGCGCAGCCACCATCAGCGCAAGTCCTCCTCTTCCAGACGTCGGCAATCTGCAGCTGCTAGCACGCCTACCACCAGCCATTAGAGCACGCACACTCGCGAACACACACACGCGCACACGCTCCACACTACACAGATCGCTGCAAACGAGCCGCTCAAGCCGCACGCGCGCCAAAATGACGAATCCTCCCTGCCTCAACTCATCTTTTATTTATTGCTATTATTTATTTATTTAATATTTATTTATTTATTTATACGCGACTCCGGCAATCTGGTGTCGATTGTGCCTGCCGTTCCTGTGGTGCGCGGCTCGTTCTCTCATTTAGAACGTTCGCACCCGGAGCTAAAGCTCAAACGCAATCGGCGCACGGTCGTCAGCGCCGCCTATAAATAGACCTAAAGTCGTCGACGACTTTTGGCACGCGCGCACAAAAGAAGCTACATCGTTAAGCTAGGAACTACATTAACTACTATCTATGATATGAAAGTCATTACGTCGATTAATGGACTGTTATAAGAGAGCGAGAGAGAGAGAGAGAGAGAGAGAAAGAGAGAAAGACCAAGAATACCTTTTACAAACTGACAATTATAGATTTGACTTTTTCTTTCCTTTCTTTTGTTGATGAAAGAACATCTGATGATTTTTTTTTGATAAAAAAACCAAGGAAAACAAACTGTGTTCTGCTTTTATTTTTGTTATAGACACAGGCAAAAAAACAAATACTGTACTATCCACTAAACTGTGATGTGACGATGCGCGGTGCTGAAAAAAGACGTGCGCGCGTGACGCAAAACGTTTCAATGAGAAAAGCAAAATTGTCGGATCGCAGATTGGAGAATAATCGTATTGGACGCGTCGCGATAAACTTGAGCCATCGTTTGCACGAGTAGTTTTAGCACTGACGGTGGACGGTTGGACAGTTTACACGCAAAATGCAAAAAAAAAAATGAAAGTTGCGCATCTAGCTTGCCACACGCTATACATAGCTGCCGTTGTAGTGCATTGGTACCTGCAATCATTCACCTCTTTCTTCATTATGTTTTGGCGAAAGTCTCACGTAGAATAACTCGATTGGCGCGTGCTTGTATGCGAGTAGTCAATGGTCTGTAGCCGCTGGGACAAAAGTGCACGCGCGTCTGGCACCACGCTGATTACACATCATTGTTCCCTCTGTCCTTCCTCTTTTCTTCTGCTGTTCTATTGCCGCCTTACAGCGCTTGTAGCCGTAGCGAGACGATGCGCACCTAGTCGCCGACAACTTTCGTCGCGAGAAAGTACTTGATACTAAGAGCTCAGTGACAGAGAGAGAGAGAGAGAGAGAGAGAGAGAGAGAGAGAGAGAGAGAGAGAGAGAGAGCGCGAGCGAGCGAGGGAGAGAGACACTAAAATTCGAACGAAGCGGCCCCGGCGCGCCAGAAAGACGGCTTCGCGAATGTATCCCGCGCGACGCGAGAGAACGGACTTGGCCTTGAACAGCGATCGAAAGAGGCCACCGGCACACCGCTGCTGCTTTCACCTTAGGAATGGTCTTCGCAGCCTACTTTGTCCGAATTCGAACGATCAACGTTTCGCCTTCGCCCTCGGGAGGAAAGTGTTTTCCGCGTGACGAGGAGGAAGCCCAACGCGCTGGCCTAGTTTCGCGCGAGAAAGCCGACAAACAGGTTGGCGAGGGCACGATACGTCGGTACCGTTACTTCCAAGTAGGCGAGAAAGAGAAATTCCACGTTGTCTTCGAGGTCAATGGCCATCGTGCTCGCGGGATGCAAGGTGTCAAGGCCGTTCCCCCTGTACTGTTCTGCTGCACTTTAACTACAACTTTTTCGCGTTCCGTCTTGCAGTCTCGTCGTGGCACGTCATCGGCTTTCTTTTCTTTCCCGTCGTCTCTAAATGGAAAATCGGTTGCAGCAGTGAGCTATCGTCACGTGGACGTATCGATATGCAGTCGCGTCAATGACCTACTTTTCTTTCAAAAACCGCCGTAAAATGAACGCCATGAAAATATTAATGACACGTAAATCAATCCAGTTACGGAGAACCGTATGTTAACTCTTTCCGCTCGATCGCCGTCATATTTTTTTTCGAACACTGTGGAATTTCGGGTTTGAAACTGATGGTCTTGGCACGAGAGATCATTGAGCTCGAAGTAGCACGTTGTTGAATTTTCGAAATCTCGCTTGATATTAACTGAATAATTTCGGCGAATGGCTGATCAGATCAAAGTAATTAATTCATTTCCATTGGTATTTCAATTTGACGTTCGCAAATGATAATTGAATTAAGAAATAAGTAGGGTAATTAAGAAATCGGCGTTGAATCCATCAGATCGAGAAGGAAAAAAAACGAATGACAAAAAAATTTGTAGGAGCGTTAAGTTCGTCGTCAAGCACCGACGTCTCGGCCATCTACGTGGCCAAGTACAATCGGTTCGTCGACACGATTCTCAACCGCATCAACAAAATTCTGAAGGAGAAATACGACCCGGTGACGGTGAGATTGATCAACCCAAGTATAACGACCACCACCAAGAAGACCAAGAAGACAACGTCGAGCAAAAAGAAGACCAAGAAGACTAAGAAGTCCAAGCGCAGGAAAGGTAGCCGCGCGAGGAAGAACAACGTTGCCTTTGGTGCTACGCGGATCGAAGAGATGTTGCTTGTACCTCAAAACTCGAGCAATAGCTCCGACGCAACCGCGCCTCCCGAGGTCAGATTTTTAAACATTATTATTTGAACTATCGCTTCGAGTATGCAATGTTCACGTTCAACCATTGCCTATCAGTCGATCAAAGCGATCGAGACGAGTACGTCAGTCGCGATGATAGCAGACTCCGAAGAGCCAACGACTTTGTTGCCGGAACTGGCCACCCGATTATCGACGAACGAGGTGACCGCTACGACAACCAGCCGACGAGCCTCTGCCACTCCAGCTACCGTAATCAAACGCAAGAAGCTCAAAACCAAATCGGGGATCCACCAGCCCAGCAAAATTACTACTGCTCGGCCAACCAAAGTCAAGAGACCCAGTACTTCTTCGAGCAACAAGGTAATAGAAATAGAAAATTAAAAAAATAATTATTATAAGAATCGACGACTGATGATGATTATCGTCTAATACGTTTTTACAGGTGAAAGCGCCGGCGCCTACAAGCAGTACGGGCATCGTGAAGCGCTCGAAGGCCAAGGCGACGCTTTACGGATTGTCGTCATTGAAGCGCTCGGGCGATGTGTCGGTGAACATGATGAGCGATCATACTACCATCCGGACGAAATTCAACCTTGGGCCGCTGATTCTGAAAGTCGAAAAGGCATTCGGTAGAGCGAACCGCAAGGAGGTACGCAGTGCCACCGCGACCACCGCCGAAATGTCCGGTCGACTGAGCCTCAGGGTCTATCACGGCGGTGCTGCCACCCTGCACTCCATTCGCGTCCTCCAACCGAAGCAGGTGAGCATCAATTTGATCTTCGGGCTCGCGCGGCCTTTATCTGGGTCGCAATTGACGCTGTTAAAATGTTGGACGCTGAGCATTGGAAAAACGATCCGAGCCCATGAAAAAAAATGCTCGATCGAATTCAAATTTGCGCATTACGCGTTTGCTTTGAATAGTTGCACTCCGGCTGTTTAATGATTTATAATAGCCTGCAGCAGCGCTGTAGGCGGTCCCTGAAATGCCTGCAATGAAATACGCTATGCGTCGCTATGATGCGCGACACGTGTAATTAGAGACTTGCTTGCGGCTCGCTGATTGGGGCTCAATTGGAAATCGCACAGAGCCGATACAAATTACAATAACAAACAGCCGTCTCTCTCTCTCTCTCTCTCTCTCTCTCGCTTTCTCTCTCAGGCCGGCGAGCGCGCAAATGTCGGAGCGCTACGGCCAAATCCAACTGGAGCGTAAAATTTTAATTGCGTCAATTCGACTCGGTCGAACTAGTTTGAGCTCGGATTAATAGCGAATAAAGCGAGAAGAAGCGAGGCAGCCTCTGATCGATTGGGTGTGTCGCTTGTGTTGCAGATGCGCATCGAGTCAGCGGACGATCACGACCGGACGCGCGAGTTCGTCTGGAAGCGAAGCTCGCACATCGCGCACCTCGTCTCGCAAAAGCTCTCCTCGGCGACTCGCTCCATGCTACGTCCGCCGCCTGCCGCGGCCGCTTGATTCTTCGACGCCGAGATTCGTCCACTGCCATCCGATGCCACCAACTCACTACTTCTATTTATTTATTTATTTATTTAACTTATTCGACGACAATTGTTAGCTGCTTTGGAATGACGCGATCGCGGGGATCAATTTTGTTGTGTTGTTTATCTGGTGGCAACAGCTATGCTTGACATTGATCGGTAGACAAAATCACTATTATTTCGACAAGCCTAGCGTTTGCATTTCTTTTTCTATTGGTACTTCATTTTATTTATTTTTACTCTTCCGGATGCTCTAAAAAGTCATTCTTCGTATGCGTGCGACTCGACTGTAGCGAATATTTCGCAGTGGTGCAATCGATTATTAAGCGTTTTGTAAATAAGTGTAGACAAACGTAAAATAAACATTTTCCACTGAAATAATGTTGACATTTATTTACAAATTTCCGCATCTATACATCACTGTGACGAATCGAACAATGAAACGAAGATAAGTATCAGTTGTTGTATTACTATTTGCAATGATTAATCGTTTGCAAAATGAATAAACGTAACGGTCAATAAAAATGTATCAATAGAAAGTAAAGCCAGCCGAAACGAACCCCCCAATGTTATATAGATAAAGCGTATAGTAATCTTCAAGTGTTACTTCATGGTGGGCGGCTGCCGCAATGCACCGTCCGCGGTCCGCCGTTGCAGCATGAGTAGAGCGCGCGGGGGTCGTTTGGCCAAGATGGCGTCGGACTTGTAAACTTCGTGTATGTATGCGTGTTCACCTTTCGCGCGGCGTCGGACACTTAAAAACATGAATTATTGACTTGGAATTGGTAAATTTCTTGCCGCCAATCTTGTTTAAGATATTGGCTTCTTATGTCCTTCATTCAGAGTCTTGGATCTCGTAAATCTATCTTCGATAATTCGGAATTCTAGAGATTAATTTTTTCTTCAACGCAGTGAATAGACGCCATAATTAGATATTGACTGCAGCAGGTGAACTTGTTCGCCTTTTGTATTATCCTTGTTCTTTTTTAAAGTAATTTACAGATTAATTATTTTGCTCTACACAACATCCAAAACTTGACGAATACGTGAGTAGTTTTACGCACATATTTTTGATCATTCAATGTATTTTCAATATGAGTGCTTATTGTTTTGCAGTTATTTTACGATTCGTATTTCTTTTATTTGCTTATAGGTAACATCTGTGTATACGTAAATAAATGTTTTAAAGTTGAAACTACAAAAAGATATTCAAGGTAGCAATGTGGCTATTTTACTTGTAGTTATGAGATTGAGTTAAATTTATACTAGGTATTTTAGCATGAACTGAAGTCTATCAAAACATATTTTTGTGTACGTAGCTACACAAAGCAGCAATTTTAAATTGTAAGTTTTACTGAAATCAGTATACAAGTCATTATTCCTTCAAAGCAATTTCAGAATTTTGATACCTGTAAATAACATTTTCAAGATCTACCAACGAGCTAATTCAAAGAGTTTTGAAGTGATTTTGACAAAAATCAATGGTGCCTAACTGATTAAAATGTTTAACTACATTTGGTCATTGATTAGCTGGTACCTAAGACCTTTTGTGAAATGGATTTTACATCACACAACCCATATGTGTGAGTTGCAAAGGATATGTTATGGAGAACGTACTGGTGCACCTCGCACGTTTGGTGTAGAAAATTCACTCAGGCTTTCTAAGAATCTAGATATTAAATCTTTACTTTCCTACTTGGATGATGTAACAGCTCACAAGGGTATAACTGCAAGAAGTGAGCGAGGTATATTAGAAGAAACTATTAGAACCGTATTAATAGCTAAGAAAATAAATCCCACAGCACATCCTGACTTTGCAAAGTTATTTGGTAAGTGTGTTGAGTTAATTTGGGGTTATAGACAATTATGTGTAGAATGTGAGGAATTGAGACAGACACCCTACGATTCTGATAATCCGTCTCATGAGAGCTTGCTGTTGAAATTTTGGAACCTTTTAATGCCTTTCGAACAACTCGAAGCAAGAATAACAAAACAATGGCAGGATATAGGTTTTCAAGGTGATGATCCAAAGACTGATTTTAGAGGCATGGGCATTTTAGGATTGGAGAATCTTGTTTATTTTGCCCAAGAGTATCCTACGGCAGCAACACATGTCTTGTCACATTCTATGCATCCACGGTATGGTTATGCTTTTGCTATTGTTGGTATTAATCTAACAAGCATGGCATTGCGATTACTGAAAGATGGATCAGCCAAATCACATATGTATAATTCATTAAAAACTCTACCATCAATTAGTGCCTTTCATCAGTTTTATTGTTATTTATTCTACGAATTTGATGGATTTTGGATTGAATCCAAACCTAGTAATATTATGGAATTTTCTTCTATTCAAGAGAAATTTGAAAACAACATCAGAGTGGCTCTTGCCAACCCTTCTACAGTTTTTAGGATAAATTTATCTGTAGACAATATTTAGCATAAGTGTGAGGATTGTGTTTAAGATTCTAAAAGATATTTTTTAGATAGTTTTCAGATATTTGAGTAGAAAAATTGAAAATCAAGTGAAAATCAATTGAAAATATTTATCACATTTGAAGTTCTAAAGTTTTTCTAAAGCAACTGATATGTTTGAATTCTTATTTTGAAACTGAATTGTGTCTAAATTTCTTGAATATTGATTGGCATTATGTGCAATGAATAGATTATTTTTTTAGTAACTTTTTTTGTAAATATTATAGTGCAAGGGACAAGGTATTTATTGTACATGGTGCTCTATTTTAATACACAAACACACAGTGTGTCTTGTCTTGTGATATAATTTTGCCATTGCTATGAACTCTCAGTTTTATTTGAAAGTTCAAAGATTTGTTGAATACCTCTGACAGCATTCCATATATATTTTTAAGTTTGGAATGTCCTTTATTATATAGCATGTTTTTTTGCCTTAGTCTTACTGTAAGTCATGTTATTCTCAGACCCATAATATGGTCACATGTGCATAGATGCAAAGCTTTAAAAAATTTCTTGCAACAGATGTAGAAGTGCTAAACATATTTATTGTTGGCCTAGAATAGCAATAACTCCTTTACGAATCTCTATTTTATTGTATAAAATATAAAAACTGAAAGGATTGTTAAAAAAATGTTTGTGAAAGTCACATCACGTTTGTTTACACATATTTACAATTTTCCATTCACGCTTTTCGCCAATTTATTTGTCTTTCTTGTGTGAAACTTCAGTCTTTTTCCTAAGTTTACTAGCTACTGTTACAATAACCAAAACACCAATGGTGATACTACCAAGTTTCATTACCCAAGGATTATCTTTCAAGAAATTGACTGTCATTTGAACCAGATCATCACTGAAATAAAAAAAGCAATAATCTGTAATATGTACACTAATAACATTAATAAATGTTTTACAAGCACACTCAAATTGCTTTTACTAATTTTTAATTAATAGTAGAACTTACAAGGGACTTTGAGGAACTGGAACCTTTTCTCCATGGGCATTTTTGTACCAATCTTGTGCAAATGATATAAATGACTTAGTGTCATGCTTTGGAATGAGATAACGATACATCTTACCATGTCTAAATCTGTAAACAGAGAATTAAAAATTAATTAATAGTAATTGCAATTTGATATAGTTAACTGAAGCTTAAATTGATTACATACAGTATAAATTGAGGAACTTCATAAACACCAAATCTTCTGGCAGTTGAAGCTCCAGTTGAGTATTTATTGACACGAGCAACATTGATTCTTTGCTTTAACCTTGCCCCCACAGCTTCCCATCTAGCTCCCATTCTTTGACAGTCAACACAATCTGGACTGTAGCTACATATAGAAATATATCAACTTAGCAATGTTATGTCAGCAGTTTTTGTTGAATTATAAAGTAAAGGAAACTTACAACATAACAAACCAATCTCCAGTAGTAGCCCCGGTACTTGCTTGTGTTAAATGTTCAAAACTATCATCTGTGAGTTCTTTAACTATTGGTTCCTTATTTTCCATAAATGTCATCAATATCTCTTCCTCTTCAATTTTACCTATTGCAAATGTAAATGACAGATGACAATTATGTACAGTATAAAGATATGATAATTTAGTTATTTTGATTTACCATCGTATAACAAAGGTATTCCTTGCCTAAAGTAAACAATTGCAGGTTCTATGCCTGTACTGTAAAGTCGGAGCATTTGACTATTGACAACTTTAACTACCCATGCTGATAAAGAATCAACCAAATCTTCCCTAATGTGCAACAATTGATTCTCCACATCATCACATATTTCACAGTCTTTTTTAGCTGAAAACAAATCACACAAATGATGAATGAAAACTGTTAATGCAACCAACAAGAAATAAAAAGCTGAATGAAAAATCATCGGAACATACTAAATAGAGCGACAACATATTTTTCTGTTTTGATAAGATTCAAAAGGTCGTCGTCGGTGACCGTCTCCAAAGATGCAGCCCTTACACCGGACAGAAGACAGAGCAAGGCTAGGAATGCTATTTGTGACATTATTTTTACTTGTGTGTAAACTCAACCGATGGAAAATTACTTTGCAGCAAACAGCTGCTACGGGCGTGCGAGTGCTTGTTTATCTTTCTCACCGGCGGCTTTTTCGCAACAGCTGTGACGGGCGACACGTCATGAATCTTGTTGACGGCCTGCCATTTTTAAAGCGCCTGCGCGGAAATTTTTCCCCGTGAGCGTGGTATTTAAAGTAGACGCGATTCGCTCGAGTTTTTCAACAGACATGCGGATAGTGCTGCCGCCACATGGCGAGTACGAATACTAATCGAGTAAAAATAAGATTTTGTTATTTTTTTCGTTTTCATCTTGATTGCGCAAGCTCTTCAACAATCTTACAAACTCTAATGTATACAGCGGGCAATTACGGTTCACAGTTCACTTGCATTGCGATTGCTTGCACTTCGTAAAAGTAGTATTCGTATTAGAATGAAATGTTATTCGAACTTTGCGTGTTTCATTTTTCTTATGATGATTTGTTCAATCACTGTATTTATAACTATATTTCTTATGCTTTTTAGATGAGTATTTCTAACTATCAAAGTCGTTGCATCTCGGAATTAAAGAATCCTGTTATTTTTGTCAATTTATTTCATAACTAAATTAATTCGGAGTTCGAGAAAATGTAATATATGAGCGAGTGGCTTTAAATGAATCTTGTCTTAACGATTTATATGTCAGTTAGTTTTGGTCGTGGACTTATTATAAGCTGTCCCATTTGCAGCAATTGCAACACTAGCGTAACTTTTCTCATCGATTGGTTTGCATATACTTTTTCGTTGCGTTGTTACGAACTGGAACGTTTGCTGTCTACTACAGTGTTCTGCTGTACCGCACTCGGAAGATGATTTTCTTTTTTTTTATGGCACTTTCACCAATCTATTTTATTAGGGCAACGTAAACCGTTAAAGAAAAATAAAAGAAAGAAAACTTAAATAATGATCTGCTTGAATGAATGCTTACTTTGATTTCGATTCCCGTACTTTAATCCAGGCAAATGATCATAGATTTTTATTAATAAAACTAAACGAAATCCTTGGTAACTTGTCAACGAAGTAACACTAAGGTATGAACATTCCAAAAACTGGCCAACTTTAGTGGTTCCTGTCTAAATAAAAAGATGGTAATAATATTTGTGCCTCACAAAGTTAATATTTTATTATGAGAAAAGTTATTATTGTTCTGGAGCTCATTTTTTTTTTCATTCTCATTTTTCTTCCCACTTTAAAGAGCGACATATCATTTCGAAGCTAATTAAAAATTCTATCACGATGCCCATGTACGTTGGAAAAAATTATTGTTATCCTTTATATTTGCCTGTAAAAAGAAAAAGAAATAAAATTTGAAGAGAAATTCCAGCGTCAAAATTCACCGAGGATTTTGTAGTCTGCCACAGACTGACGCGAGAGATGCATACGCGAAGTACCGCTGAAGATAGTCAAGTCTGAGGCAGTCGATGAACATTTTTCAACCCCAACGCAAATGTCCCTCGAGTTGCCAACTATACTTGGAGCAGCTGGGGCCGCGACAAAAATCTACTTATTTGTAGCCGTGGCGAGTAGGTTCCTATTTTTTTCAAAATTGTCTTTTCATTATTTCTCGGCAAGTGAATTTCAGCGCTTTTGTCGATAGCCCGCGCAATTTCCACGACTGCCTTTATTCGGGCAGGGCGCCATTCAAACTTGCTGGAGAAAATCTTGGGAATACTTAGGGCGCGCGATCTCTCGAGAGGTCTTTGCCAGTGACTGGGCGTGGAACTATGGAAGCCCTCGCAGATTAAGCTCTAATGCAGTTGCATGTTTACTCGCTCAAGTTTTGTACTTGAAATAGCATCGCATACCACTGTACCCTCCATTGTTAGCGTTCCTGCTAATAATTTACAAGTAGGATTTGAGCGTATTTTTCCTTCCGCTTCTTGGTTTCTTGGCTTATTGGCTTATTCTAGAAATTTGTATTTTTTTCGCGATATGCGATTTTTTTTGCAAAAACGGAGGTTGAAAAACTAGCATTTCCAAAAATAGGTCAGACGTTATCTTTGCCGCGTGTCCGCATCGTCATTGCATTCGTGCGCGCGCGCGCGCGTCTGTTTCCAATTTTTCATGGTCTTCCGCGCTTTCCATTCACTTTCTACGAGTAATCTGCTTTGATTGCGTTAGCGCTGCTGCATCGCCTCGATTGATGATCATTGTTGTTTGCCGCGCTTATCGAAGCTATAATCGGTCTGTATTTCCTTTCGATTTCGAAAAATCATCTAATGATGTCCACGATCCACCAAAACAATAAGTCACACTAGCGACGCGTACATTTCTATGACTTTTCATCCGTAAAACATAAGCGCGCTCTTATATTTTTTTTAATTGCGGAAACTCCGTCGTCCAATTCAATGGAAAATTGAAAGTCGAGTTTCAAAGCAATATGGCATTTCAATGAAAACAACTGGAAGTTGATGGAACTATATGGATTCGTGTTCGCGGATTGAAATCAACTGGAATGCATGTGTTACATTTCTAGGTCAAATATTTTTTTCTGTGAACCGTTGTAATGGGCGAACGTTAAATTCAGTGTGCATTTCATTCAGGCAAAGCCTCTGAAATGGCATATTGCTGATTTGTTTTTTTTTAATTTGAGAGAAATAACAAAAAAAATTGAGAAACACAAGTCGCGTCGTATATTCTGCCAATCCTGCGAATCAATTAATTATAATTTAGATTTGCGCAATGTGATTTCAATAACAAATACAATTTAGTTCAGACTTTTCGCGACTTTCAACCTGCGTGGATAAATCGACGATACTTGTCGTTGTTCGCGTGGCGACAAATCTAATTGTAGCATCTCGGTGAATAATATTTCAACGACTTCGAAGCGCTGATTAATTGTGGCAGCGCGACGCACGGAATAAAATCCAATGGTGTGAGCGCGATTGGGAGGAGTCGCGGCAAAAGTGTGCGCGAGGATGCCAGCGAACGGCTATTTTCCCCGGAGTCGCTCGCCGTTCGCGCCACGAACGGATTTTATAGAGTTCGATGGACGCACAGAACGCGGAACACGCCAACGTTAGCCTACGTGCCCCGAAGCTAATATGCAGCCACGCGCGCTACCGACGCTGTGCGCGCTTTTGCGTGCGTCGCTCTGATTTGAGCGTACGAAAAGGAATCATATTGGAAAACGCTCGGGGCGATGTGCGAGTCTCCCACGGGCGCGGAGCAAACGGATTTCTCTGCGCCTGTCCGCCGTAGCCGCCCGGCATTGCTCAAATGCATAATTCACGCTCACCGCTGCGTGCGAATAATGAGTGACATCGTCGACGTGCGCCCGACCCTCTCTTTATAAAATATACAAACGTCGTCTTTAGCGTGGGTCTGGATATATTGGCATTCGCCAGTGAGGCATGGATATTAGGGATCGTTAATTTTACATAGATTAATAAGGAGATAAAAAAGGAAGCATATAATGTGGTTAACTTTATCGATGCGTGTACACACATACACACAAGCATATATATATATATATGCATATATATGCATATATATGCAGTAGTGTGTGCGCGCAGCCAATGCCGCATAAAAAAGGAGCGTTAACGTTCGCCACCAAATTGCTCGCAGCAGCTTAGCGCGTTTTATATTGCCAGCCATATCACAAGATAAAATATAGCTCCGATCGTTTGACGACCCGTCGTCCATGAGAAACTGTCCGCGAGCAAGCACGGAGCACATTGATTTGTTTCTTGGCAATTTAATGCTACCGCAGGCAATTAGGCAGATGCGGTGCGTGAAATTTCCGAGAATAATTATGTAAATCAGTTGGCGGCGAGGCGGCACAATGGCACGAGCGCGCGCGTTAGCGGCTAAGCACTCTCAGTTTCGTCGGGGCACGCAGCTTTGAGTCTCGTTCGCGCGGCCCGCGCGAAACGTCGCTCGGTCCAGTTAACGAGCGGCTGTCTTGCAGGCGTCCGAGCCACCAAAGGAAAGCTCGGCGGGCGAGCGAAGCGATGAATCTAATTTGGACGAAGCGTTCGAGCGCCAGCCGGGCGTCGTTAACGTAGTTTTCCGACAATTCTTCGGCCCAAACCGCTGGAGTCGCCTTTGCTTTGTCGGCGCGCGGGAGACGCTCCGGCGGAGCTGCGGCCGCGGCTGCGTGCTCGCGCTCGTTAGCGCGGCCGATCGTCGCCAGCGCCAGCGGAGGATCGAAAGGGCGCGCTCCGCGACGCGACCGGCGCTTCGGTCCGACCGAATCCGGCCCTGATCTACTTGGGGCGGGTGTCGCTCGCGCGCACCGCTCGGCGACGTCGCTTACACAGCGCGCCGAACCGTCGTTCTTCTTTTTTGCCCTCCCTCTCTCGCGCGCATGCGACGACACGTGCGCCAACTGTCACGAAACGCCAGCTCGCGAGCCTCGTTTAGGACGAGTGCGCTTTCTCTCGGCGAGCCTTTCCATACGACTCGCCGTTTCGTCGACGCACGCTGAATTGCGTAAGCCGCTTCGACTCGCGAAAGCCCAAGTGTACGTCGGAAGCTGTCACCGAACCGCTCGTCTCGGCGCGATCGAGCGAGTGCCTTTGCAACGTTACAACGTTCGTGCCTGCCGCCAGCCGATTGGTCGTCTCGCTCGTCGACGAAAATCGAGCGCGCTCGTGCGAATAGACTGCCGCCAGGCAGCGGAAATCTTTCGTCGCGTGCCGGAGTCGCGTATAGTCGCTGCTGCGCCTGGCTGCCGAACGCCCGGATCAGTTCTTTGTCCTCGCTGCCACGCCTGTGCATCCAGCCCGAGCGCCATCATCACGTAAGCATACCGCAGTGCCCGCACTGCCAATTTCCTCGCTTTTCTTTGAGCGCGCGCGCGTGTGCGTGTCTCGCGCGGCCGCGAGAATTTAATTGCGCGCTGCGTGCGGCCGTTGTAGAGATGATTATTCGTGCGAATCGCAATAAAATGCCCATTAAAGCCAGCCACTAGACACTAATTGCCGTTGAAAAAATTTATTCTATCCCCTGAGTTTTCCCGTTTATTTTAACTAAAATTTCCGACGTGAACTGAAATAAACCGTCATTGTGTAGTCACCGTCGCGGTATTCGGCGTATGTAGCGACGATGTCGACCAGAAATACGTTTTTACGTAGAACTCGTGAGCCTGAAGTCGCTAATGTTGTATGCAGTAAAATAACCGAGGATATTGCTAAAGAGTACGGGGGGCCATCGCTTTTGTAGATTTCTGAATGTCATATTGTTCCGCAGGCGTTGACGATGGAATTTAGCGAGACGGCGACGACGACTTACACGCCGGAGGCGCAGGTAGCGGCGCGCAAAGCCGAGGAGTCGAGGCTGGTGCACGAAGGCACGGAAATCTGGAAGGCCAAGAAGGAGGAGTCGATGCGCCAGAAGCTGCGCGAACAATATGAAGTATGCACATCGTCACCTGCTCTCTGGCCCATCAAGTCCGTGTCTCCATCTCTGGCGCTTTTCTCTGGCCGAGTGGAATCATTCGCGTGCTGGCGTTGCACTGAAAAAAAAAATTTTTTTTCGCCTGATAAATTCCAGTGGAAATTCCTTTCTCGCTTTGTTTTTGTTACTTTGCGGGAAATGCCAATTTCTCGGGCATGCGACGCTTGCAGTTTCCTCTTTTCTGAGTGAGATGCGTGTAGTTACTTGGCGTCTTCAGCTCTCTTTTTGAAATCTCGAAGAAGACTTTTGCGCAACAACGTTCCGCAGTCGAAAAAGCAGCGCACGTTTACTTTCGTGAAAATGTCAAGCTCGTTAAAAATAATTGCCACGGTCTTTACGTCAATCTTTGACAACGATTTTAAACCATTTTTTCGGCAAACAAATTTTATTTCCCACCCGAGATTTGACCACTTTTTTCGACATTTTCCGAGAGTAAAATTCTAATTTTGTAATTACCCTCAACCTATCTTTTTTCCTACAGATAAAATGTAACGTGACTCGAGAGAATTGCAGAGAAAGTTTTGTCTCAACATTACATCAACTGCAATGTAATTGTTTGAGTAAAGGGGAGGCGGCTCATTAGCTGAACATCCAAGCTTTAGCCAACTACTATTCATTATGCAGATAAGTCATGGGTCGAATATCATTCCACTGATTTAAGTGATGAGGCTCAGAATTAGATGCGTAATGAGAAAAGGGCGACGTTGCACTATACGTGCCCGAATACTCCACAAGTCCCATTTCGTTGTCCCGTTAGCCGTATGCCGCTAAGCACAGCATTTCTCGTAATATATGTAATTAAAAAGTGGACCAAGCACCAAACACCGGACCACCTCTCTGAAACCTTCACGGCTGGAGGTCGACTTCTCGAAATCCAGACAAACATTTATTCGATAGTTGATCGAAAGCTTTGGCGAGACTACACTACACAGCAGTAGTGTATTAGCTCGCAAACAGTTGTTATAGGGGAAAGTAGGTCGCAAAAACCGCTTGTACAAGCGTAAAACACACTCGCCGAGAAACAATCCACCGGGAAATAACGCGCGCGATTTTCAATTAGTCATAATAGAGCGAGCGAGTGGCGAGAGCCTGTTTTGATGGCGACGCGAGTGCTCGTATAAAGAGCTACCTGGTAGCGCACATACTATTTTGGCCGCGATGGTGTGTGGGGGCTGGGGATAGGCTGGGGTAGACGGGCGCGAGCTCGCTAATCTCTTTCTTGCGCCGAGTTAGCCGGGCGATGCGTCTTAATCTTGCTGCCAAGCCAAAACTCCCTTTGCCGAGGCTTATCTCCCAGACGCTTAATTATTTGGCGCCTCGTCGCTATTATTGCCTTAAGCCAGCTTCCCCAGGCGCGCGCGCGCGAGTCCGAGAGGGATTCACTTAGCCGTCCCGGGCTCACGGCGAATCGGCGAGCGCCGTGCACACTGCACAGCGACCGCGAGCGCGTCATAGATCTATGGCGGTGGCGCGCGCGTAAACTCGCGGCTATCGCTCCCGTAGGCATACATCGGCTGTTATCCTCGCCGGATCCGCCGCACGCTTCTGCCCCGAGCCCTCGGTCATCAGCCTGCCGAGCGGCCGCTCGCGCTCGCACTGCGCGCTTCAGTCCTCGCTTAATTGCGCGCTTTACATTTATGGATTAACGCTCCGTTATCGCAGTTTTACAGCTGCCCACGAGCTACGCGCGTCCACGGCATTTGTCCGCGCGACGCGCCCGCTTGATCGACGCGCCGCGCGTCCTCTTCGCTTTCCGGCTCGCCTTGCAAATCAAACCTTCCGGACCAGGCGCGCGCGCGTCGCTGCGTTACGTCCAGTCCGCCGATACGTCGTGCTGCAGTCCGGGTATCTAGCGCGAGTGTCGCGTGTTGATCAGCTCGTCTTTCGCTTTCTTTCTCAAAGAAACAGCGGAAGTGTAACGTTTCAAGCAGCAGGACAATCGTTGGAAAAACGGTGGAAAGCCATTCGAAACTGAGCCAACTCTTTTCAGCGTTTGGATAATTTCCTGGGTTAAATTAGAACGGGCTGGTGCTGTGTCCGTAACACTGGACACCAAGAGTTGCGTTAGTAAAGAAAAATAATTAAAGAATGGTTGGACAATCCAGGACGGTTCAAGATCTGTAATACCGATTTCAAAGGAACGGAAAAGAAATACTGAAAAGAAATTTGATATTAAGCATTATGAAAATGGGTTTTAATTGAAGCAGACTTTATAATTGTCCATATGAATTGCTAGGCTTTTTAGAAAGTGTTGAACAATAGTAAGGTTGTAGATAGTAAAATAAAAATATTAGGTTGCGTACTTTTATCGATCCAGTTTGCATGCATTACTGGAATTCAATATATATTTGAGCTGTGCACGCAAGCTACTGGATCGCAACGAAAGATTATAAAACAACAACAGCAGTATACTTTTTATGTATTACTAATGATCGATTTATCGAAAAACAATGGTAGCTGCTTAAAAGATTCATTCCACCGAGTTACTGGTCGGCATTACGCTTCGCAATTAGCACGAAAAAACTTTCTCGTACATTTGCTGGTAATCAAATTGGCATTAATATATTGAGATTTTTTTAAAACAACAGAGAGAGAGAGAGAGAGAGAGAGAGAGAGATTGCACATTGACGCTGTTGACGAGACACTCTCAGCAAGGTATGACAGGAGAGAGAAAATAATTGTAACTGATGTTTCAGCTGAGACGGATGCTGTCTAATTACTGGCCGTGGGGTCGACCAGGTGGTGGAGCACCATGTGCATCTGCTTTACGCAAGAGGAACGTTCCACTCGAACCCCGAGAGCAACCATTTAACCAGGTACACGTTGAGTTATACTAGTCGGCTATCGGAGACTAGGCTTCTTCTCTCTCAGCGGTATTTCTAGGGGTTGTAGTCAGAGAGTATTCGAGTTTGCGTCCTCGTAAATTCGAATTATCTTATGCCTCTCAAGTCCGTTCAGCAGAGTCTATTGCGCTCAATTAGTATTTCTTTTCGAATTCCACTTAAGTATCATTTTTACGTTTGCTTATCGTTGCAACAGCTCGATCGAAATACGAACGCCATTACTTTTATTTGTCTGCGCGCTTTCATCGTGATGATTTGGCAAATGGGCTCAATGGGAAACGATTCGGCATACCGTCTATCTTATCGATCAATGAATATCACGCGCAGCAATAAAATTTTCATACGCCGAGCTCTCTCGAGAGCAGCTTGACTTGCACCATAAAAATTGTCGCGAGCTCGGCTCGCGCGCAAAATATATGAGGTGCAAATTTCATAAAATGCGTATTGCTGCGACAGTTCGATTATGGTCAGATTGCGAATAGTACACTACAAATGCACATTGCGCGCTGCTCAATTTTTCAGTCGCGTTATTTGTGCTTTTTGACGACAAAGCGCACGCCAGATCTATCACTGGAATATAGAGTCGTGCCAACAAGCGACTATTTCACGCGTCCAACTGTATACACTCTTTGACATATTTGTCGACTTTTGTATTTCTATAGTACGAGGTTGGCGAGGAGCAAACTAAAGCACCTCTGGCTAGCGGCATTGTCATCTGAATACAATGTCTCAAACAGCAAAAACAACTCCATGTCAACGGTTGAGCAATGAGTAGTTCAAGTTTACCATTCCAGAAAAAGTTTAGGAATGTCGCCGTTTAGAGCCCTGTTTTCTAGCTTTTGGTCTGGTTAATCGATTAATTTTCAGTCCTTCGCTTTCGTGCGATTCGCGTTATTCAAGGCAAAGTCCTGAAATGTTGACGGTTGAAAATGTCACGGCACAATAAGGCAAAAATTACGATACTCAACGTTCCGTGAGAAACGTGCGCACGCGACTGTTATGGCATGTTGTGATGAATATTCGACGAGCTCGTGTCGCTCGTTCATTTTATTCTGGGCCAATATCTTTCTTGCTTGCGCTTTCAAGGTAATGACAAAAAACGACATACAGCGTTATTAGTTGCTTTTTGGTCGACGTTCCAATAACCATTTTCGACGGTTAAGTTACTTTTTCTTTCATAAAACGTATCGACTATGTTGTTTGTTGGACTCCGGTATTGTCATTAAATCGAATAACGAACGAGTGATTCTTATAAAAGATAGAATTTTTGTCGATGTCAAACGCGCCATTGTAATTTCGAGATGAGCAACGAAGATCGCTTTTTCTATTGTACGACAGATCAGTGAAAAGTCAAGTTATATTTTCAAACTAAAATTTCTCACGCGCTGAATCTGAATTTACGAATGTGCATGTACTGGTATGTATGTCGTGAAATAGTAGTCGGTGGTGTTCTCTCTCTCTCTTTTCTCCCGAGAGAAGGACGAGGTGTGCCGATATGAACGTACATATAGCTAAACGAGCGTCGTCCGCGAGTCTCTCTCAGTCTGTGTATACAGCTGATCGCATTAAGTGACCGCCACCTAATCGCCGCGATAACCGCCGCAAATCCTTTAGTTTGCTTGCCCGCTTGCTTGCTTGCGTATGTACGTGTATATGTATAGGTTGGATGTCGGGAACGCAAACTTTGCCGGGTGTGAATTGCCACTTGATTACAGTCAGCTGTAGGCGGCGAGACGGCTTTCGCTAAATACTCCGCGCTCCACACTGGGGGATGACACACTGCGACTTTTATTTGGCAATATAGAGCGAACGAACGGCTCGGATAGTCTGCCTGTGGATGCGCTCCTTGAACGGCTCGAGCATGCCGCGTCGACTGATTAGAGCTCGATACGAGAGACACAAGTGCGGTGGACTATCCTAGTGGTGCGTTAAACGCGACCAGCGCGGTTCGGTTGAGCGCCATGTCGACAGGACGCCGCTAGGAGGGCAAGCGCCCATTTTTGCCCGAGCTATGAATTCGTCTTCGTAGAATCGAGAACGCTTCTGTTGATTATTCGTCGACTCTCGGAGATGAAAGCACACCTCCCGGAGTACGCGAACTTGCTCGAGGAAGTTGCCGTCAATTTCATACAAACTGCACGACGTTCAGAGATTCCATTCCGTGGATTGGTCCTACTCTGCAGGCGAATTCCGAACGAATATTTAAGAGTTTGCTTGGCGATAGATGGCTGTTTGGTAGTGTACCGGTTAGCTTATTTCCGAGTAATATCCGCGCGGAAATCTCGCACGGAAGCATCTGCATCATTTGTTGCGTTACGAAATTGATATTTCTACGTATAAGACGTATACGTACAAGAGATATTCGATGCTCAAAAAGGGAACATTCATTTTAAAATGCCCCGACGGTAGTATCGACTGTTTGTTCGCGTTTCGAACAAAACATAAAAGACATTTTTATTTGATCGCCATACGATGTATTGCAGACGTGGAGAACGAGATCCCTAAGAGATCGATCCAACTGCAGCGGACTCTACAGAAGCACTTATCATAACGCGTACGACGCGTATAACCGTTGCGAGCTTGAACAGTTTGGTAAGTCAGTTGTTTAATCAATTTGGATTTTGTTTATCTATAAAACGTATTAAGCGGTTTTCGCGATGGAACTTGTTTACGAATGATCAAAATAAATATCGCAGTTGCATTAATCAAGTATTTCGCAATAATACTGATTGGAAATCGGCGAGTTGTAAAAATCTTGCCGGTCTGTTTCGTCTACGCAACAGTTTCGAGAGGAGTGATCGTTATTATTGTTGCTCCGATTGTGCTGCCATTATTTATCGGTGACATTACTTAACGATAATGTTGGAAGAACATTATTAGTATTAAATTACGGAAGGCTATACGATTGATTGTTGAAATAGGCTACGCAATTTTAATTGTACTTAAAATTCACTTTAAACTGTTATTTATTCGCGATGGTGTGAGAAATTTCGCGATGCGCTTTTCTTGTTCATATGCATCCGTGGTTATCAACAGGTTCTGATCAAACAACCATAAAATTTTATGGTAAATCATTTCCCCTTTACATATGATAATCAATGTTGTTAAATTACCGTTTACATTAACGCACATTTCCACGAATAGCATACCATAGGATTTTAAAGTGTAAATTAAATTTATTTTTAGCAGATTAATCGAAAGGTTAATTGATTTTGGAATAACTTTAATAGGCTGATAAATATCTTCATAATTATTTTAGCAATAAGAAGCAAAACTTCTGACTTTTTTTTGGGAATAAAAAATTCTCAATTCGACAAAGACACAATGTTTAATTATTGTGAAATATTTGAAAAATGATTTGTCAGTGAATTTGCAAAATATATTACACTTTTACGTACACGAAAAAGCATTTTATCGCAAGCGTCAATACTTTTTCGTTGACCAAAAAATGTATCGCTGAATTGAAAGCTTAATTTGTCGAATATATTTACGGTTGTGCTCACCCACAAGATAACCAGGAAAAAGCAAATATTATAAAAGCTAACAATTCGCGAGGAATAATGTATGAAGGTTATTCAGAATAATGCACGCGCTGTACAATATTCTGTCTGCAAATAGAGTTAAAGACCACAGCAGTCGTTGCGTTGAAATGTGTGAAATTGAAATTGCTATTGACTTTATTTCAGATAGGAGAGTGCCCGAGAACCCTGAGACAAAAGAGAAACATAACGACGATTGTCGTATGCATCAGGTTTACCAACTGACCGGTGGTGTCGAACTGGCTCCCCTATTGCGCCAGTGGTCACCTGTCGACGCCACGCGTCCAGGATTCATGATCGACTCGTAAGTTTCTCCGTACGATAATGTTATACGCAATTTTTGACGAAAGTATGTGTAATTATTTAGGATTTCTATTTATTACTTTCATTTCTGTGTGCTCATCGATTCTATAAATATTCCCCAGCCTATTTCTAATTTTCATTGTATATGTTGTTCGCTATGTTTTTTAATCTACGATTGATTAGTGAAAGTAATAAAAAAATCAATCATTAAAATTATGGCTCTCATTTATTGTATTCGCTTAAAGTCAAAAATTTCATTTTAATGATGGATTTCACGACAACGATGAATTTTAACGAGCAGCGCAATAGGAGGGAAGAGCACTTGAAACATTGAACGCGATGAATATCGCATCGCGTTGCGTTAATGTTGACTCGATAACAAATAACACTGATTCCATTATTTTTCACCGATCATTCGATTCTCGACCAAAAACTAACGAATAAAGTTGACCTGTCGGTGTTTGAAAATTCGTTAAACAAGTTAGCTTATAGCAGCATCGACAGTGGAGCTTAATTCTATCAGCAATTAAAAAGTATTTCGCGGTATGATACGTGAAAGCAATTTGCGAGTGTCTGACCTCAAGACAGACAGCTGTTGCGCGTTCTCGAATGGTAAAAATATTCGACAGCCGAGAACTCGAGAGAAGTTTTAAATGGCACGTATTATAACAATTTCACTTTTGTTTTGATCACATCAAAGTTCAATTAAGTGTTCCCCTTGCGTTCGTGCATGGCAAATAAATTGAATAAGCAAACACTAATGTCGGCAATAAGTCTCGCGCTCGATAAACCTCATTAGGCAACAAGCATTTAGCGGCAAATCTCGGCGCTGCTGCTACTGCCGCGCCTCTGCTAGTTGAGTTTACTGACTACAGATTGGAAGCAGTATATATATCGCGAAAACTGCACGTATGCTTGATTACACTTACGTCTTGGAGGAATTCGCGAGCGCGAGTCACCTTCACCGGAGATATTCTTGTTGTCGATCGAAGTCCACGCATGTATATAGACGACTGCTAATGGCACGGATTTGCATAGTAAAAGATTTATTCGTTTGATCCCTCATTGACAGCTGAGCGCATAGCTGTCCAATATCGCGGCTCTCAATGGCTTTCCAGCTAATTTCGCGAGCTACGAGCAATAATCGAGCGTTTATGCGCGCATTGCAGCGACTTCTCGCCTGCGAAATGCAAAAGTGCGAGTAGTGATGCGTGGCACGAAAGTCACTCGAGACACGTTCCATTGAGAGAAATTAGCGCGCCGCAGCTGCAGCGAATGTCGATAATTCAGTTAAATTGTCGAATAGCACGCTTGGAATTCTTCGGCGAGGCTTGTTTGCGAGATATCTCATTTTCGGTTTGCTCCGGCACTCGTGTGAAGTGCAACAACACTGCCGGCTGCTCGCGCGCGAATTCGAGCTGACAAGCCGTCTCGAGTGTAGCGCAATGTCGTGGCGTCAAGTTTTTCTTTCTCTTTTTTTTCCCTCCCCCCCCCCCCCCCCCCAACTCCCAAGAGCTTTTGCACTTGATGCTGCAGCCTGTTACTGTACATAGTCGCACACGGACGAGCGACTGCGCGCAGCCTCATTAACGCGCGGCTCGCTCCTCTTGACTCGCTTGCGCTCGCAGCTCAATGACTCACTCATTTACCCGACTCCACGGATCATCCGTGTCAAGAGCGCGCACGGCACCTTTTTTTTCGCATACTTTCTCTCTTTTTTCTCGCATTCCTGTCGCGTTTGCCTCATGTTTTTGGGCTAGTATATTCAAATGAAGTTGTCCATCGATGTTTCATGAGTTCCCATTCGCTGCTCAGGCAAATTGTCAGGCCGTATTCTCCTTTCTCTGTTTTGATTCTTTCAAAACGAAGCATTGTTCCGGCGATCCTCAAAAATATTCTCCTTTTTTCTTTAAACTTTTTATTTTTACTTGTTTATTTAAAGAGAAAAGTGGATTCTTTTTGTTTGCTGTACCCAGCGAGGCCGGAACAATTATTTTCATAACAACACTACTATTCACAGATCTGTTCCAATCGTGGCCGTTGGGCAATCATTTTTCTTTTTACCCATTGTTCGACAGTTTCGTTTCAAAACTACGATGTCATGTTGCAATATTCATATCGCGGGACGTCAATATCGCCAATCATCAAACGAAATGTCGTGCATATTTAAGAAAAAAACACAAAATATCGGCTCGTCTTCTCAAACCATTTTCATTAGTTTACGTATGCTATTTCCCTATGGTTATTGTCTTGACTCGACAGTAATGCCTTTGTGAATTTCGCCGTTAATTAGCTGAATTATTTGTTGTTGTTTTCGAGTGATATTACACGATGCTTCGTAATTTCATGCAGTTCTGTTGAAGATTTAGTCTACTCGCACATCGCAATGCCAAACTAAAGTATCACACGTATGCTTATTCGAATAATAATGCTTCTATCAAATTATTTAAGTTTAGGTTTCAAGATTCTTTTCTTGATATCATCATGGGCAATAATATGAATGCTTACGATTAAGATATATACGTTGAACTGAATTAATTGTTTTACAATGAAAAACTATCTTATATATTTCTTTCAACAATTGTCCAGATCTGATATTATTCAGCTCTCTAAGCTTTATGAAAAAATAAATTCATAATTTGTTTCGCTTTTCATGTAAGCACACTACCAATGCAGTTGGCAGCATTAGTTTATTTTATTTACACAGTAAAAACCCTTTTTACACGAGGATTGTCGTTAATTCTATGTAATTTCTGCCGTCGAAAGTTAAAATTTTCATCACTCAGCTGTTTATCCCAAGTTTATCCTGGCTTTAATTGCAACCAAGTACTCATTATTCTGTAAAACCAACGAAATCCGCATCAAGAGCTTTGTAAACGTTCCATTTTCCCTTTGTATACTTTAGAAAATTGATTTCCCGTCCGTAGACTCGTTGAATGTTTTATTTGATAGACGAGCGAAACATTACACGCAAAAACGTATCACAGCATTCGAAAGATTTGACTGTGATAGTAAAACAAGCGAGGGTCTCTCTCTCTCTCTCTCTCTTGACCACGGATCGCGTCGCGTCGCCACCGAACTTTCAGCATAACTTGCGCTCTGGAAAAGCTTTACATAAATTTCCCGCGTGCGAAGCCGACCGAGAGTACACAAGTTTGCCAAGCGTGGCGTTGTCGATACTCGCGCGCGGATTCTGGTGATTTATGCCGCGAGCCGCGAAATTAAGACTCTCAATCCAGAAGTTTGCGGATCGAACGACAAGCGATAGAAATGAGTTGCTCAGCTGCGCTCGAAGATGCCCGAGAAAACGTACTTTCGCGATGATAACGTGCTATTGTAGGTCACTTAATTGTAAGGTTCTTGAGAGATTGTTAATTTCAGAGTCGCTGGAGAAGAGGTGTGTTAGCTGCGCGCTGCCGGTGAATCTCGCAATGATTAATTGCTTATTCAGAGAATTGTCGTTAAATCAATTATTAAAAAGACGCGCAGGCCGGTAGACGATCACTACCGATCGGATAATCAAATGCATGATCAGGGATATATTTCATTCAATGCTAGCGAAACCTAATATTCTTGCCGGTCGGAGGAATCTCTTTCAAATCGAATACTTTCACGACTCGAGACGTACAGCTCCGCGAGGAATTTTCCACGAAGTCAGTTCTGCGACCTATACGCGCTGCCTTCGAGATATCCGAGCTGCTAACGTGCACGCTTCCAAGGCAGTGCCGATTATCATCGATATTTGAACAGCAGTGGGCCTTTATATTATCCGAATTCGCTTCGAAACGGTCGTTGCCTGATCATTTTCCCCGCACTGTTTCGTCAGGGTGCCTCGTGAATGTCGTCGTAAAGCTGGCAACGCAGTTCGAGTATGATTTCCAGCAAAATTTCTAACGATCGCTCAATCATTTGCGGATAGAATAGCTTAGCAAACAAGCAATATTGCCGGCCAAAGTAGGAGCCACGTATTCCGCGCGCATAAATATTTATTTATGATGATGGCATACATATAGCTGGTATCCAAGTTGCACAAAGCCGAGTAGCCCTCTCGCAGTCTCTGTGTCGCGCGACGGCGTTTGCAAAAACAATAAGGCCGAGGAAGGGCGTTGAGAGCGGCTCGAAACTGACGGTCGTTGCATATCTCCATTGCAGATGGCGGGCCTCGAGTCGAGCGACGGCGAGCCAGCGGCGCTACATGGACGAGCTGGCCGAGCAGATGCGTCGTAAGCGCGAGCTTGCAACGGTGAGTAAGATACACAGAGGCGCACTCGGGCGGACGCTTTGCCGTTCGCCGCAACAACGTTTCCTCGATGATGTTCTGGCGCGCCTACGGGGCACACTTATGTGCTACGCGCAACTGCTCACAGACGCGTATGTTCTCTCTCTCTCTCCCTCTTTCTGTGTAGCAGGAGACAGCGAGGGAGGACGCGAGCTCGAGGTGTCACTTCGACACGTGGCATCGGCTCTGGGGTAGGCCCGGCCATGGAGCCCCTACCGTTGATCATGGCCCAAGGCGCAACAATCTACACGACATCCTCTATCGGCCTGCGATGCTGATGCATTGACGAGCCAGTCACGCATGGCTTCGTACCCACTACGAGTATGATGTCGACGAGCGAAATGCAGCTTTCGTCGCAAGCTAGTCCCTGCAGCTCTCATTCTCTCTCTCTCTCTCTCTCTCCCCCTCCCTCTCTCTCTCAATCTCTCGCAATTGGACGTAGGTGCTTCGAGACATACCGACGTAGCCCGCCTTTAGTTCACCGATGTTGTGCCTGAATTTCGAATGGAACACGCACGAACAGTCGTGAAAAGCTATTGACACTCCGGCAATGGCTCTTCAATAACTACTCCTTCAAAATGCCCAACTAATGATGATTTACAACTGAATAGACGCTATATTTACTTATTTCGTTATTTTTCAAAGAGTAATTTGAGTTAACAATCGATGCAACTGTTCATATACGACGGAAAAATATATACCGATATCGCTCTGACAACCCATTGATTTTAAAAATTTTTTTTCAAGTGATCGATTACCATTTCATGTGATCTTACATTTGTCAAATTGACTGTCGGTAAGCTCTGCCTCACTGTGATCTATCGCGACTATCTATTTCGCTCAACATTGCGATTGACTAATGAAACGAACGAATTACTGATTATATGGAGAACAAAACTTTTCAAGAAATAGTACATAAATATGATCATACGTCGACCCAACTTATGACCGACTTATTTGATTGTATATCTTTTCAAACAATTTGGGAGCACAATATGCGAAACGTAGCATGTGTATGTCTTATCGCGCGAAATTGTACGACGTCTGAGCTAACCGAAATTTACTACTTGTCGTTCAAAATGAATTATAACGTTCGAGTTGACACCGCCATCGCAGTATATAATCTAATAAACAAGCGAATTGAAGCTGACGAACGAGACAAACAAAGTATACACACATGCGCAAAACATGGCTATACGTCAATGTATGCCGTCAGACCAAACACGCCTCGTACTACTGGATTATCGAGCCTTTGAAATTGTTTAAATCGCGATCTCAATGATAACTCGCTTTTCGAAAGTATAACCCCCGCGCCGTATTGTAATTTGGCTGGGGTTTGAGAAATTTAGCTGGGAGGCTAATTTATCACGGAGCCATTCGATAGAAACGAATGGAAAAAAAAGAAAAAAAAAGGAAAGATGAAAAAGAAAGAAGCTTAGTGCACCGGCTGGAAAAAATGGGCTTATTTATCTTCATTAGCGCTGGAGGTTGCTGGCGAGAAAGAGTCTTCTTCGCGCCGCTGGCATTAAGTCGAGATTACCAGAGAGAGAAAGCGAGAGAGAGAGAGAGAGAGAGAGAGAAAGAGAGAGAGGTTCTTTGTTCGCTGTGCGTAGATAAGCTTCGTTGTGCATGCTATTTTTCGCGGAGCAAGTGCTCGCTTGTCGCCGCGCGCGGTCGCGCGCAGGCCGATTTATTTCGCCTTTCCTTGAAACATCCGCCGCGTCTCCGACAAAGTCGCGCGCGTGTAAACAGGACGCGGCCAAGTGGAAATGGGACGCAGTCGCACCGATAATAATTGAGCTGGTCAGGCCTTTGATGACGCGGCTTCTACGTCTCAACCGGGCCGTTTGTTCGGCCACGAGCTGCGGTTAATGACGACGCCACGAGCGCTCGGGATTGGTCGTGCGCTTTGTGCCAGCCGCGCCCCTAAATGCCAAAGTTTTGCGCGTTGACTCTTTCGGCTGGCAAATACTCCGGCCGGCTAGTTCTCCGCGTCCGCGCGGAGTACTGCGCACACAATGCGATCGTTACGCGCGCGGGAGCGATGCATTCCAGCCGGGAATTACTCGGGCTCTGGTAAATACCAGCTGTTTGACTATGATGGATCGGATTTTGCTTGCGAGTGCTGCGCGCGTTCCGCACTCATATTCTCTCTCTCTCTTTTCCCGTACGTGCGCTTGGTACATGCTTTTATTTGGGTTGTATATTGCATTTAATTGATCGTAGTGCTCGTGTTAAGATGGTCTGGAATACTATTCTAGCGTGCACACATCGGCGCACTAAGAGTTTAGAGTTCGCGCACTTGCATCTTCGATGCTGTACGCGCGCGTAACTTTCTGATTGTAACAGCAGATATTTTAGCGCGGCTTATCAGTGTGCTTCCACTGTGCGAGCTGCTATTACACCGTTCAAGTGCACACTCTCGATGTACGCGTAGCTGAATTCGCGTACGCTCGTAACTCACCGAGCCCTCGTAGCGACGTTGCATTACACGATCGCTCGATCGCTCGACCTTGCCTCACTTCTCAAGTAAGACCGTGTTACGGAAAGAGAGCGACGCCTACGACGTCCTTATCGCAGCTTGAGAACATTGTGAACGGGCGTTGAGCTTGCGCCTTTGAACAGATTGACTTTTCAAGTGAAGCTTTGATATTACTTGGCGGGGCGTTCTTTTTCACGAGGATGAATCGCCTTCTGAGATGTCAGTGGGCGCATTTGAAATTCCGTATGAGCGCGCCGGTGCGCGCGCCAATCGATGCCAGCCTTTTTTCCACGACGCCGACGTCGTAGCGGCCCGCCCCGCCGCTGGAGTATAAAAAGTCAAAGCGAAAGAGTTGCGAGGCTGCAAAAGCAATCAGTGTAAAAGCAGAGCAGCTGCGGTGACTTTGCGGGCCAAAGCCACTTTCAGCCCAGGCAACTACGGACCACCTCGCGGCAGCTCTTTCGTTGCGCAAGCGCCGCTCATCGACATAACACGATCCGCCACCGACGCTCGCCCGGCGACGCTCAATCTGGTGACGAATGTCGGCGATGCACAGAGATTGATTGCTAACGTGCTTTCGGCCGTGCGATCGGATTTTCAGTTGCTTTCTTTTCCGACAGAGCTTTTAGCTCGATTGTTTTGTTTGCTGCTTGTTTTCTCAAATCGTTTGGACTAGTTCTATGTCAAGTTGAATATAAAAACGGTTATTGATACCAGCGTAAATATTATTCATCGTACGGCAATATATTTACTTGCGCTAGTTTTTAGATTCAACCGTATGATTAATTTGTCGGCGAATGCTTTAGAATACCGTAAATAAGTGATTTGTAGAAAGCGTGTCATTCTGGAATAGACTTAATGTTAGCTTCCTTAAAAGTTTATTTGTTATTTAGTGTTTTGAAAATGTCACAAATTCTGTAGTAAGCTTTACTAAAAAGGCAATAATATTCTGCTCATCGGCCATTAATACATTCATTCGCCCATAGACCTTACTTGCTGCTTCAAAGTCAAAATAAATAGACGAATAAAGAACAATACTCAGAATTAAGCGAATAAATACATGTATTAGTCACACTGCAAGAAAAATAGAATAAATGGATGATATTTTAATTTATGACATTCGATATATCCACATACTGTCACAAACTCCTGTCTCCTTTGATTTCAGCGATTACGTGGCGTAATCAGATCGAGCCGATGCCTTTTAATCCATGCCAATTGTTAATCTGTTTATCGAAGAAGTAGCCTCGAAGATTCTAATGCTCACATTCAAGATTATAAATGGTTCTACTGTATTATTCACAGACGAATTCGTATCACAAACTGTTGCTGCTCCCCTCTCCTCTCTCTCTCTCTCTCTCTCTCTCTCTCTCTCTGTACATGCGTAATGTGAGGTGCATTTCGCTTGGATATTGAGAAGAGCGAGTTCTCATAATGTCGCATTAGGGCTATACATACCTGCGCGCGTTCCCAGGAACCGAGACTAATAGGGACTGATTTAACTCTCTAGCTTGTATCTAAGATCTAGTCTAGGTCTCTCACTTGTCTTTCACTCGTATCTCAAAGTAAACTCCATTTTCAGAGGACTGCAGCTTAGACGCATCTCGACATCGCGAGACTAGCAGTCAATGATATTTATCTTTGCTTTCCTCTTTTCATTGATGCCTATCTGTCATCTTAAATACGTCACTGTGTGTTCACGCAAATTAGCCCTGTATTGAAGCATTTTACATTTTTTACGTTTGACAAAACGTAGGGTTGAATATTTAAATATATATATTATTTGTATGCATTTTTCAGTCGTACAAAATCTTAGCTTTATGCGCGAGTCGGGTGAGCACACTTGGATCTTCTTCATTTCCATGGGCCGAGATTTTTGGCTCAAGCAATGCCAAATGTATGCTAATTACGCGCTTAACTTGAGTTGGAATGCGCAAGCAGCTGAATTATACATGACAGGCAGCCTCGTTGGAATATTATGGAAAATTCATATACGCTTAGCATGTGCAAGTTTGTTACTACAATAATAAGATAACATAGTGCGTGTGCCCAGGCTGTGCAAAATGTACCGAAATTGAGGACGCGAGAGAGAGAAATATGTACAGAGAGGTTTACGTCGATTATTGATCAATCAGCAAAGAAAACAACTACTTATGATGAGGTTTGCGAGGACTGAGACTACACCGAGGAAGAACTCATTTCCACGGTGAAAATGGAAAAAATCGCAAAGTTTAACCTAAAAAGAAAAAAAAAGACATCCAATATACTCAGAGCAAGTAAGACGACGCCGGGAAAAATCTCGGAGCACTGCGGCAAATCCCACGATGCAACATGACCATACACCAGACAGACGTCCGCAAGGAGGTTCGACAGAGGACCTAATAAGCTCGGCGGCAGCCGAGCTGACTATAACGCGGAGCGACGCGCGCCAGTCATGCCCGCGTTCATTTTCAGCCTTGCGGACTCTTTCTTTACCCCTCTGTGTTCTATGATGTCGCGAACGTTTACACTGTAATAACGATCATGTAGGGGTAAAAAAAAAAGGCTCTCTGATCAACGAAAAATGTTAGGTGCGCGCGCGCAAAACGTTGGCGCAGCTCTTTGATCGGCGCGCGAAAGCATTTCCCAATAATTGTAGTAGCAGGGCGGGAGACAAATCAGCTGATTGATAGGCAAAAGCCTCGCACGCTGCACATAGTAGCCCGCTTGTGGCCAATCCCATTGACGGCCTTTGATTGGCCGCAATAGCTGTCAATCGAATTTGCTTGCAGGCGTTCTCTGTCTCTCTCTCTCTCTCGCACGCTCGCAAACCCGCGCTTCGGCTTATCCACGTCCAAGTTGGGAGAGTCTCCCAGACGACGTATTTTCCGCTTGACGTACGGCTGAGTAAATGTTTCGCATCGATCGCGCGTACGCCGGGCCGTCGCTCGTCGCAATCGGTCAGAATTTAGTTGCAGTCGCGGCGGTTCGGCCGTACGATCGTGTACGACACCGGCAGTGACGAACGGGTTTTCATAGATTAGACTGGATCGATCGAGCCTTCGCACGACTTGATTGATATGTTTGTGCAAATATTTGCTGTTGCGATTGTAGCTTTCTTCAACTTCAACGCTACTACGACACTACGGCGTCCCTCATTGCAGCGAACCAATCATATTTGAGAGGAAAAACAAAAGATCGTCAATCATTTTGTTACGATCTTATCTGCGAAGGGTATTGAAGACAAACGAGAAAGGAAAAAAAACGGTCCATCTCCGCGCTTGCACAAAAGAGCTTTTATTTATCGAGCACGCGCTTTACATAAAGGCAGAGGCTTCACAATAACAATCTCGTTTTCGCGCGCTCGACAAAATGCCTCTCGTTCAATTTGGCCTCTCGCATTAATTTCCCGCTGCTTTAATTACAAGCTGTAAACGGCTTGCGCGTTGACTACGGGGTCCGTTTATGCGCGCCGAGCCCCCTTTTTTTCTCTTTTTTTTTTTTATCGCACCCAGCTTATCAATGCTTAACTGTCGCTGCCGGTTGCTACTTTATTTTTTTCCCTCTCCGCCTACCCATAACCCGGAAATATTATTTCGTCGAGGCGCGCTATTGTGCATGTTGATGGGTGGGCTTTACTACATCGGATATTTCATGAAAATTAAAAATTTCAAGAAATAGCTTGGAAAATCTTATTATCTGTTGGTTCATGCTATTGTGCTAATCTCGTAATTCTGCGGACAGTATATTCGTATCGGCAGCTAATTTTCAGACGATTATACGTTCCATAATGACCATTTAATTCGATAATTACGTTCGTTTCGCCAAATCAGTATTAACTACTATATCTTTTTCTTGAATGCCCGTTCGATCATGCGGAAAGGGATTTAGGACGAAACTACTCGCACAGATTGATACCGCGTTCGCTGGAATTGTAAATTATAACTTTCTCGAATCTCCTAATCAGACCAGCACTCAAGCTTCCGTTATGGACTGGTCCATTATTACAGGATATATTTCGTACTTCTGCTACTCTTTAATGCCGTAATAATTGATAGAGATTTCGTAAAATGGAATTATTCCTGACACAAACTTTCGTAGTAATAATGAAATTATATGGCTCACAATGAAATCATGTAGACCTATAATAACTTTGCTTTTCAATTTGAAATTCTTGACGACTGTCGCTGATAATTTTAGTTCACTGATCGCAAAAAAATGTCCAACGAATCATAAAAAATTAAAAAAAAATGATATCACACTTTAAATAATTGTCCATGATATGTGGAGCAGCTTCAGTCAGTTTCTGTTTGTTGAATAATGAATCGAGGCAGTATTTTCGAAAAGTAATTCACATTGCATGTACGTATATGTACAATTGCCGTTGGGAGGTCTCGTCAGCACCTCGTCACTTAATTAGATCGCTTTAATTACGACGCTTCGCAATGAACGGCCAAGTGTTCTTCTCTCTCTCTCTCTCTCTCTCTCTCTCTCTCTCTCTCGCTCTCTGTATCTCGTACACAACTTGATGGCAAATGCGAAAGCATAATTAAGAAAACTAGCGTCATATTCAGGCGATATGGCAATACTTTTAACTGGTGTCTCGTATCATTATCGATTCTTCGTAACAATCATCTCATTGGTGAATAAGCTACGAATTATTTTTGAACATTATCTAGTTTTTATGAATTTCATTCAATTTTTCAGAAACTGGCGTAGATCGTCTTTCTTATTTGTTAATTTTTTTTTTCAAAAAATAAAAAATCGCAATAATAATTGCAAATAATTTCAATATCTTCAATAATTACGTTTTAATATCATGGATAAAGAAGCATTTATATAAGTTTAATCAGACATCTATACTACGCAATGAAAAGACAAGCTTAAACAAACTGAAAGAGAAAATCAATTAACCTAGTTCTTTTTTCTGGAATCCTGCTTTTTTGGTTTATCTTTGAAACTATCTCGAATAAAATAGCTCTTTTATTGCTGATGAGCTGAAAACCAACGTCTATCAATTAAATAGAAATCGTACAAACTGGACTGAAAAAAAAACAAAAAATAATACAATAGATAGAACTACACGTATTGAAAAAAAGTTTATCATTAGCTCGTAACAGACCTTAAAGTAGAGATTGTCTACCAATTAATTCGAAAGATGCTGCTGTGTTTATTTTCCTGTGTATCCTTGTAGACTAGCAAGTTGAATGAAATTGAAAAGAACAATACCGTATCGTGATTGAATTGTTGTAAACTTGTGTGTGTATATAAAGACGAAATGAAAGGACTATTTAGGAAAATGATCGAAGGCACATGTAAATAAATTTATCCATTTTATTATATTATAATCTCATTCGTTCGTTCTTTCATTCCACAACAAACAATCAGGAATGGATTTATTATGTTACAAACGTGTACTTAACATCGACAAATGTTTGCTCGTTTAATCTATACTTAGAAAATGATGCGCCATGGAAAGCGCATATCTAGATCTCGTATATATATACAAACACTCGAGTGGCACGAGAACGCGTGGAACAAAAGAATAACACGAGGATGATACAGTCATGGACGTGTTTACATAAATAGATGTTGACCACTGATTATCACAGACTAATAAAATTAAGGAGGAACAAATGAAAAAAATATCGAGTCGTTGAATTTATAATCTCAGTTATCGCGATGGCCTTTCCTTTGTCTATCTTTTTCTTAAACGGGTCTATTTTTTTCGAACCACAATTTACATCTGAGCCGTGGCTTGTTCATTGTTTGATCAGGCTTTTTCCTCACTTGCCCGTGACAATATTCACGAGGCTATTGGTTGACTGTTTCCTGAATTATTAACTTTGAGAGCTATAATCACACATTGAGTCAGCGTTGATCTCAAATGATCAGTTGAATTCTTACGATCGCGTGTTCGCTCACAAGTAGCCCCTCGAGTCTTCCTGTTGCCGAATTCAGATGAACAGCCTCTTGGGTGTGAATAGTAATCAATTCATTTATAATTTTATCACAGAAGTTTTCCAATGGAATTTATTGATGAGAATGAACAATATTGATTACGTGTAGTGGAATAAGAAAACTCGTGATCATTAAATTATTCGACGGATAAAAAGAAGTGAATGGTTTGATTGCCAATGAAAGCTTATCTGTGAATTGGTTCGTTGATTATTGAGTACTTTCAATGGAATACTATTTGCTGTTGAAATTAAAATAAGGCATTCGAAAAGCAACTAAAGTCAAGAGAGAACGCTTACTATGATAGCAAGAAAGAGTTTGAAAAGGCCATTTTGTGTTGTTATTTATGAATGACTGACAATTAAGGAGGTTTTCGGAGAAAAATAAAGAGAACGGGAAAAGAGAGGCAGCATATGTACAAATAGTCTTACTAACGAATATACAAACGGTCCGAGAGCTCGAACGCTCCTCTCTGTACACTGGCTTGGCTGTATTTACAAATGGGTATCGTTCGCTACGTGTGAAAGGCAGGCCCGCTAATAGCTCCGAGCACCCCCTTACACGTAGCTCGTTGGCTATACATTGGGCGGTGCGGAGCAGGTGACGAAACACGGCGTCGTCGTCGTCATCGTCGTCGTTTGTGGTTGCTGCTGTTGCTCCGTCGTCGCTACTGTTGTCTGTTGCTGCTGCTGCTGCTGCTGCTTTGCCTGGGCACCAGCTTCACCACTTTGAATGCTAAAGTGCCGATAGGATATATACTCCGGTGGTATTGCTTGCTGATCTCGCTTGGCCGTTTCGCGTTGTTTCTTTACCTTCGGGGCAAACAAAAAATATCGACGAGTCATTCATTTGTTGTTCACTTTCAACTTGCTACAGCGCATTGCAGCCAACGTGACCTGCTCTAACATTGATTTTCGACAGATCTGAAATACCAGCTAATTATTATCGAGGTAATCAGTTCGTCTGCCACTTGGATTGTATACGTTATATTTGTAACGGCTTTACTCCTTTCTTTGGAAAAGCAGGGCAATGTACAAAGATAACCCCTGGGCGAAACGAACTAAGCTCATGCAGACCAAGTGTCTATACCAGCATCGTGTCACTTTGTCTTATATTTGTCTGGTTGAACGAACGAGTTCTCGATCGTTCGGCGCACATCCAAAAGCCACTGAGATCATATTAAGGCAAACCTTGAGATATCCGAGGACGGAAATGAGCATGATGAAGACGACGAAGCCCATGCAGCAGCCAATAACGAGTCCAAGCCTCCTCGTGAGAATGCCTCCGCTGCCATCTGCGCTGCCAGATCCTGTTGCGCCGCTGGCCGAACTCTCGGAAGCACCGCTGCCACCGGTGGCGGCGCCATTGATCGTGGAGCCATCGCTGCTGGCTACCGCGTCCGGTGGTTTGAGAGTGAGGATTTCGGCGCAGCGAGAGGTCGGCGAGTCGACGAGAGCCGAGCGTTGCATCGGGCTCGGTGCGACCTCGTTCGACTCTTGCGGCCGCCACGCCAGTACGCATATCAGGTAGTGTGTATTCGCTTCCAGTTTGTTTAATCGAGCCGAGCGCGCACTCGATTCGGTCAATTCGCTGCGCACCTCCTGCAATCATATTATGAATAGCCTATGCACTGAGTCTGACCGAATCTTGGATCCTGCTACTGACATAGGTTTCGTATTCATGTGCGTCGTCGTTGAAAACAAGATCATTTACACCTGGGATCCGATTTACATATTTTATACACTCGTGAGCAGCCAACGTACTATTCATCTTATTATGGTAAATATAGCTTCTTGAGCTCTTTGCTTTCGAAAATCGATAACAGTGAATTTGAAATTTCTTTCGCGATTGATCCCTACGAGAATAGGACATTGCCGTCACTCGCAGATGAGCGTCAATTACTTAAATTTTTGGTGTTTGCTGTCGCTTGTAATTTACGTACTACGACATTGCTATAAGAGTATATTTACACACACTATAATAATGAAAGAACGGAACGAGTTTAAAAATTTACCTCAGTGCCGTGATCAATCGCGTAGTACGTGACGTGGAAGCCCTTGAGCCCGGGACGTGTGCGTGTTTGCCACGTAACAACGACCGAGTGTGGTTGTATATCTTCGACGTTCAGTTTGTCTATAAGAGGTGCCGAGCAGAAAACCTGCGGTTCGAGCTCCAGGAAGACGAGGCCCCTCAACTCCGGTGGCTGATTACAGCGTAAAGGTACTCTAGAGAGTTTGCGGTGGTCGCCCAACCATTCCCATAGATCTTGCGTCTCGCAACCGCAATACAATGGATTTTCTGCAAGTGCAAAGTTTGTCTCACTTCTATAACGAATACCTACGAGAATATCAGTTTCTAGTTGCATTTGAGCTTTCGTGTTAACTTTTCTCATAAGGCAGTCGAAATCTTGTTTTATAGTATAAAATTGTAAAACATTTTATCGGCGATTGACATTAATTCCATGCTTACGAAGAAAAAGAACATAATACCTATGTATAGGTATACGGATTTGCCGTGTGGTCACTGATCTGTCTCTTACCTTCAGTCCTCAAACTTCGAATCTGTGTCTCAAGTGGTTTGAACGCATCTAATGGTGGATTCTCCAGGTAGTTCCGACTAAGATCCAGAATCCGCAGCTTTTTAAGTGGTTTGAACGCCTCCGCAGCTATCGAAGCTATCCAATTGCCCATCAGATGCAACTCCGCCAAATTGTCTAACTGTTGAAAAGTCGTCTTGTCGATCTGCGTTATTTGGTTGAAAGAAATATCCAGAGCATGAAGCGATTTCAGGTCTGCTGGGAAGTCCTCCAGTTGCTTTACTTTGTTACGCGTTAGATTCAGCAATTTCAGTAATTCAAGACCTTTGAGTCGCTCTTGTGGTAGCATGTCAAGCTCATTGATGCCAAGATCGAGGGTCAAGAGTTTAGGTAATGAGCGAAAAGCACCTGGTGATATTCTGGCGATGGAATTGCCGCTCATAAAGAGATGCAGTAACTCAGGAAACGCCTCGAAATCCTGACTCGCAACAACTGTGAGGTTCGTACGGCTAATGTGGATCTCCTGTAGAGTAGGGTATCTGGCATCATAGGTGATCTCGTGGATGCGTACCAGAGGATTGCCCGTCACGTTAAGCCAATTAAGGCTAGGTAGGTTTTGAGCAGAAAGCGCGTGTGCTGGAATTTGACGCAGTTTGTTTCCGGCCAACTCGACTTTGCGCAGCTGATTAGCGTAAATGAAAAAGTTATCCGGAAGCGAAGTGAGATGATTGTTGCTTAGATCAACGGCCATCAGCTTCGAGAGATGAGCTTCGGAGAAACCTGTCAAAGACTTGATTCTGTTGTTGCGTAAATCTAGTTCGCGCAGATGACTCAGCCCATTCAATCTCGAAACTTCCACGTGAGGAATGAGATTCCGCGAAAAAGACAGCACCTCTATTGACGAGGCATTTGCAAACGCATCGTATGGCAATTCTAGGAAACGATTGCCCTCGAGTCTGACCTCCTTGATCGACTCCAGTCCAAGAAACAACATGGGTGGCAGGGATCTTAGGAGATTGTTACCTAGCAGGATTTTATTGAGGTTCTTGTTGCGTGAGAACACATCTTGAGGTATGCGGTATATCTGATCATACTCGAGACTAAGTTGTTGCAGAGATGGAAGCCCATCGAGAGATTCGCCGTCGATGAGGCTCAGATTATTGTGCGAGATTCGTAGAGCTCGGAGGCCCGGAATGTCCAGTCGGTCTAGGACATTTGACGTCAACCTATTGTAATCGAGATTTAGCTCATACAGATTATTCAGACCGCGGAAGGTGCCTCTTTCTATCATGCTGATCGAGCAGTTACGTAAGTTCAAACTACGAATCGGCAAGCCTTCCTGGAACATGGTATCGTGCAAAGCGTTTAGCCGGTTGTTGGACATGTCGAGAACTCGAAGCCGCTTGAGAGCAGTCAGCGCGTAAGCGTCAACCTTGCGAAGGCCGTTGTCCGAGAGATAGAGTTCCTCAAGTTCGTGCAGCTCGGAGAACATCTTGACGGTCACGTGACTCACACGGTTCATACTCAGATCTAGGAATTTAAGTGCTTGCATGGGTTGGAAGGCTGTATCTTCGATCCGTGATATCGAATTATTGGTCAGGTATAGTTTTTCCACGAGCAACAAATCCCGGAATAGAGGAGCTTGCAGCCTGGTCAATCTATTGTGACCCAGCCACATGATTCGAACGCTAGTCTGGCCACGCAGCGAGTCGTTGTGCAACACGCCGAGGCCATTATTGTCCAGCTGAATAGAGACGAGCGAGCTGCCGGCTGAGTCGGGCTCGGCCGACACCTGGAAGACGTCGCCAAGTACGGCGAGCAAATTGCCCTGAAGATTAACGTGCTGTAGGCTATGCAGAGATCGCAGAGCGCCCGTTTCCATGTCGGTTATGATGTTGTTCTGCAAGTGTAGCTCCTGCAGAGACGGCAGCGGTGCGAACACGCCACGCTTGACCTCGGTGATCTGATTGTCTTGCAGCCTTAATTCCCTCAGCTGCTTGGCTTTGGCGAAAGTTCCGACCTCCAGATCTCGGATGCTGTTACCATCGAGCGAGAGCGTCGACATGTTCTCGCAGTGATCGAAGAAATCCCGCGGTATTCTCTCGATGAAGTTGCCGCTGAGGTGAAGTTGAGAGAGCTGCTCAAGGCTCGTCAGTCCTCGGCGGTCGACTCGCCTGATGGCGTTCTTCTGGAGGTAAATGACGTTGAGACTATGGCTGCCGATGAACGCGTCGGCTGGTATCTCCAGAATATTGTTGTCGTTGAGTATCAGCTCCTTGAGCTCTGGCAGTCTGGAGAACACTCCACGGATATAGTGTATATGATTGTGACTGAGATCGATCGAACGTAACTTCTGATTGGCGCGGAAGGTCGCCGCTTCGAGGAAGACGATCTTATTGTGGCCAAGATCGATCGTCTGCAGGTCGATCAGCGATATGAAGGCGTCTTTGTCGAAGCTCTCAATGGCATTATAGTACAGCGAGAGTGTTCTCAGGGACGGACAGCAGCGAAAGCAGTTCAGCGGTATCGCTACGAAATTGTTGCTGCTTAGGTCCAAGGCATTCAGGGCATCCAGTCTCGAGTAGCCGTCCTCCGGCAGTTGGGAGATCTCGTTCCAGGCTAGTTTCAAGCTTGTCAGTCTGTCTAGTCTGCGCAATGCCGTCATTGGGAACAGTCGTATCTTGTTCTCGGCCAGATTCAGCTCGATCAGACTTTCTTCCAGACCGGCAAACGCGTACTCCGAAATTTTGCCAATCTGGTTGGCTTTGAGATTGAGTTTCGTCAGCGACAGCCCGTAAAAGCTGAAACTGGGCAGCTCAGATATTTGATTGGCTTCTAAATCAAGCTGGTTTAGCCTGCCGAGGGTGGTGAAGGCCTTTTGCGGCACACTGGGCAGTCGACTGGATATGAGGCCAAGCGACTCGAGACTATGGCTGAATCTGTGGAAGGCATCCTCGGAGACTTCGCGCAAGCTCGACTGCGAGATTTGCAGGTGACGTACTAGAGCCCCAGCAGGAAAGATGTTCGCGTGCAACTCGTCCACTTTGTGCTCGAGGTCAAACACGCTCAGCGAGTGGATCACCGCGTCTGCAACACAATGAGCTTTTTTTAGTAGAGCTATGTTTAGTCTCGTAAAGTGCTCGTTACAGCTCGATCAAGGGAGCTACTTATGTGCCGAGCGACTCGCGTAAAGTCAGGAATGACTATTCAGGCGTGTGTTGGAACCGAGTTGCTCAGAAAAATTACGCCGCGATACGTAGCTTTACTCCTTTTTTTAAACACAGCGACCTGTAGATGCTTCGCATTTAGTTATATTCAGCATAAAAAATGTACTGGGTAAGCTATCAGGAAATAGACAAATAGAGAGAAATGGAGAGAAGAGAGAGAGAGAGAGAGAGAGAGAGAGAGAGAGAGAGAGAGAGAGAGAGAGAGGGAAGACAAAAGTGTATTACTAAACGTGAGATCGATATAGAGATATATACGTACACAAAGCGAGCTAATCTTTTTAACCGAGCTTGCTCATGCAAAATGTCTTGAATCCTGTATACCGAAGAGAGAGAGAGAGAGTTTGCTACAGTAGACTCTATATATATCGTGGTACCTCGAGTGTGCGAGAAAATCCGTAAGCCTGAAGGTGGTCGACCGAAGGGGAATGACTGAGGCGAAATAAGGGTTTTCACGCGCGCGCGCGAGAAAGAGAGAGAGAGAGAGAGAGAGAGAGGAGAGAGAGAGAGAGAGAGAGAGAGAGAGAGAGATCTCTGACGTACGACACATGTCTGCAGTAGCGCGGGGGTTGCCGCGATAGAAGTACAGCCACGTGAACAGCAAGTTTACGCAGCGCGCAGGTCTTTATCCGCAGTAAAACTCGCTGGATGCCAGTACGTGAAACACCAGTCTTGTTGAGGATTACCAAGGATCATGGGATCGGACACTTATTAATTTTATTACTCTTCTTTATAACCCAGACGGTATTTATGGACTTGATTTGACATTTACGAATGGATCAGCATGCTAGTATATTACATTGAACTTCTCGTTTCATAGCTGATACGTGAGTTATAGAGCTTTGCCAACTTTTTAGGATTATGACCAGCCACGCTTACTGGTTAACGAAACTAATAAAATGTCAGGCTTTTTGTTTGCTTTTTTTTTTCAAAGAAACTCCATTAAACTTTTATGTGGACGACCAATAAACTTCCTTTTCCGAGATCAAATAGGAATTTTAGTTTCTTCGATAAACTGTATTTTGTAAGTTGCGGCAATGTAACAGTAATGTAATATAAGTGCAATTATTACGTGCACGTGCAGTCGATTGGCAACTCACCATTGGGTTTGGCATGCGCGACCACGCGATTGAGAGCAGCTTTGAGCGATTCTTCAGTGGAGCCAGTGCACTCCAGGAACAAGCCGTCAGCAAAGTTGTAGCAAGGGCAGGAGGCGGGAATCGAGTCGGGACACTGAAGTGGAGCAGCGAGAGACGGCGCCAGCAGAGCTAGCAGCAGCGGCAGTAGCGGGATGAGCACCTTGCGCCTGCCGCGAGGCCAAATCGTCCACATTATCGGGCTGCGAGCATCGCCCCACCTACAACCAGACAAAAGCTTCAGATTTATGGAGGTCCCGGATTTTCATTTAAATAAGATGGCCTCGATTATCCACACCCTTTGAATACGTGTTCCGCGACATTGTTCCCAGAACAAGATTCATGGCGAGGCTAGTACACTGCAGAAAACCTGAGCTGTTTACAGCTTATATCCCGTTGAAAAGATTTTCTGAAAAATCTGTATATCGTTGTCGCAATACGATCAAGTATTATTATCACAATGGAAAATTATCAACAGCAGTGCTGGCTTTCACGTCTGCCTTTTAATTCGACAAATGAATCTTGTGCGCGCGCGTAAACACAACGGCAACGGTAAGAGTGCCAACAGGCAGGATCGCCATGGAGTAAGTGCATCTGCGAAGCACAACTGGACGAGCAACTTTTAGGACGGATGCAGTATTTTGCGAGTCGTACTTCCTCCGCGAGGTAGAAGCCGACACGGAATATTTCCACGAACGTGGCGAGTTTGCGCATCCGCCTGGGTTAATATGTGCACCCGTGGCTCATTGCTAATTCGACTGGGTACGCCGGCGCGTTACGTTGCGCGTTAGCAAGGAAGAAGATTACGACGTCACATGCCCGGGGCCTCAGATCGTGTTAAGGCTACCTAACGAAGAGCGCGTGTGTCCGTCCGGACTCGGTCGTTGGAAATGCAGGCCATCGCGAGGAGACAATGACGATCGCAATTGCCCGCTTCGCCGCGAGTGGCTCTAATTGAACTTCTCGAGCTTCAGTAGCCAGCGAATGCAGTTGTCGTCGCTACGTGGCTGCTAATTACTCAGTCAAATATTCAAACCTAGCTCGGCGTGCAGCTTGCAAAGGCATTCCTTTGACAGGCAACAGGGACAAGCTGATTTATTCATCAACGCGAGTGATCATCTTACAAGAGTCTGAAAGTTAATTAAAGTCGACTCTCATTTGACGAAATGAAATAATATTTAAAAACGCTCTCGAAAGGGGGAGGGGAAGAATAATAGTGCCTCGAGAACTCTTGCGCTAGTTGGCAAGTTGATATAACGGGAAGTGGACGCAGATTGCTTGGGAGAAATCGAAGAACGGAATAAAGAGGAGTAGCACGAGTGGAGGTAGCCCAGACAGCTTAAAAAGAGCCCTGAATAATTTCATGCGCTGAAAGGTCGCCGGCACAAGGAGACTCTCTGGCTCGTGAAGTGCTTGAAAATTCATAACCGCAGTCCGCGGCTAATTCCACGTTGCCTTCCGGCCGATACGTCGCTCTAGTGTCGGCCAGCCTGTTGTAATTTGAGGATCGGTTGTGCGGCGATCAATGGCACGGAAGACCGCGAGGATGGTTCTGAAAACCGTGCTTTCCTCGAGCCGAAAGCCCTGTCTTTGATTCCTCAAACGGGCAGCGCTCGATCGGGGCACTCGGAGTGCTGGAAAAGGCAAAAGTTTACTTGGTTTCGTTCGTGCTGGCGGCGCCGAAAGCCCGCCACCGTTAATTCCATGAAAATCAAGTTATTCCTTCTCTGGCGCGCTCGAGGGAGTGCTTTTTTTCCACCTCCGAGGTCGGCCCGTTCGCACGTACTTTGCCCGAACTTTTACTCGAGAGCTTTCTCGCGCGAAATAGCGGAAACAAGGCTCATGGGCGTAGGACGTGGCGGCGGTGGCGACGACGACGACGTATCCGTCTCTCTTTCTCCTTGCAGGAGAGCGAGGGAGCACGCAGTTGTTTACCGTCGACCGTAAAAGGGGACGTTCGCCTTGCCCGTGAGTATCGAGTTATCGAGGAAAAAATAGCTCGTTGCCCCGGCGAGAGCACGAGAGCGGATCGAGCTCGTTAAGCCCCAAAGGGAAATATTTAAAGCGAAAGTTCGGCCGATGACTCGCGTTCGCGCGCTCGCTCGCCGACTTCACTCTGGCCTTTTCTAATTCAATAAGAAACTTCGGAGCGCGCCTTTATTTTGCACGACCAGTGTAATACTGCTCTCCCGCGGTCGCCAGGCGGAATTACGACTGCTGTCGTTCGCCAACCGTCAGCGAGAAACTGACCGGCCGCTTGTATTTATGGATTTTTCAGGTTTGCCGTGCGTTTCTGTGTATTATCGGCAACCCACATCTCGAACTAGCATTCAGTCCGGATGTGCTTTCCTCTCTCGTCGGAGACTCTTAGACTCTTTATATTTAACGAGCTTTTTTTCGTCGACCAGGTACTGCCCTGTACGACTCGGAGTGCTCTTGCTTTTTCCGTGGCCAAGACGAAAGAATGAGGGCTTGTTCTTTGTGCGCGCCAGGAAGCGCTAAATTATTGAGAAATCTTCGCGAACGCCGGGAGAAAAGTCTGACCTGATTATGCGCTGCTCTCGCGAAAGACGGCGCGTCAGTGATGCATCCGTCTCGTCCTACGTTCGCGATATTGCTACGGAATTCATGCTTTTCGTATCGCCAGTTTCCAAATTACTCAATGCCGGCCCGGCACTTTATTCGCGTTTCCACGTACATTTTCTCGTTACATTCGTTTCGCAATTAAGCAATTTAATTATGGGTATAACGACATATCGCCATGACAAATTCTTAGCTACGTACGAAACCGCATTTGTAATTTGGTTGTAGCGCGGAAACGAGTCGACAAACAATGGTAATAACGAGCTTAACGCGCGTAACTTACAATCCTCGTGATTCAGTGCGCGTTGCCATTTCGAGTACTCGATCACGTACCTGTGCGGCGGGCGCAAACAAGTCAACCTCTCTCTCTTTCCTTCCATTTTTCCCCCATTGACTCGTTATCGGCGGTTGTTGTGTTGGTGTGCAGCAATAAGGCCGCGCCGCCATTACTTCGTCCCCTCGTCTAAGTCGGCGATCGTTAAGGCACAGCTTGCCCGGCTTTGCGTGCCCACGATAATAATCGCATTTTTCCGCGTTTTTATTAATCGCCGTTTCTCCCTCCCCCTAAATACTAATCTTCGGAAACGCGCGCAGCAATCTCGCCGATAACACTCGATACGCGCGCGCGCTCACTCACACAAACAGCATACGGATTCGCGCACTGCCGATCTGCATGCTTTTTTGGCGTATTATCGGACGGATATTTTCTTCGGTGCTTTTCGAGCGAATTACGTCGATTTCCAAGAGCAGCCCCGCCCTCTCTGCCTCCCCTCCCTCTCTCTCTCTCTTGCCGCGGCTCGATCACGAGAAAGGCCTCGGGGCTTGAATAGAAAGGGAAAAAAAAGCCTCGCCGAGAGCGTCGACTCGCGTGCAGTTCGCGTTCGCACGTAATAGAGCGACGCCGATATTGGTCCTCGCCGCTATGCAACAGCTGTTTAATTACTGATTCCGCGGGGCCGAGCCTACAAACTCCGCGAGCTCGTGCTGCTGGCACACGCCAGCGGCCGGTCGGCTCTGGCGGCTTTTTTTTTTCTTTTATGCGCCGCGCGCGCGCACACAGGCCGGAGGGAATTTCACGCTGACCCCGCTTCACTGTGCATGTTTTAATAAACGCGCCCGGCTGCAAATTGAGAAATTGTTTTACGCTACCTCGGCTCGCTGTTATGTTCGCCAGCCAAGTTCTGACTTTGTGTTGATCTTTATCGGGAATTCCCGTAATAAACACACACACACACACACACGTTGGAGTTTCGCGTATCTTTGAAGTTGGAGCATCTGTTCTTTTTCGCCACGCTCGGCGATCGCGACTGCCAGATACGCGGGCAAATCGACAAAGGGCTGATTCGTTCGTCCATCCGTGCCACGTAATATGTGTAAATTTCGCAGAGGCAAGTAAATAATTAACCCGAAGCGCGACGACGTGACATGGCGAATCGTAATATAAGCTTTGGGGCAGCTGGCAAAGTTCTGACAAAGCGACGTCACTTCTCCGGCCGCTGAAACAGCGCTACTCTTGCTGACGTTTCCTTGACGTAATAATTCAAGAGCGAGCTGCTTATCCGGAATTCAATGATTAACGAGGCTATGAGAGGTCCGCGTTAATTTCCAGCACCCTTGTTAGAGCAACCACTTGATCTCGGCTTCCGGCAATTGGTCCGTACCATGCTGTTATATAATTGATAAGGCAAAATTGGCTCTCTAATACAATGTATCTGAGGTGCATACTCGTTACTTTGTCGTTGAACGCTTACCAACGGAAATCCCAAGTGAACGTCCTCTCACAGATATTAAGTTTGCTTCTTCGACGTTCATATGAAAATGTTTGTAATAAAAATATCGCACCTCTTTTTCAATCGTCATTCAAAACTTTTCTCGGTATTGTACGTAATTTACGCGCGCGAGCTACCTATTTGACTGCGGAGTGCATTTGCATTGAATTGATGCAGCGGCGAGGTAAAACAGATTGTTTTCGTTTAATACCGAGAGGCCGCAAAAGCTTTCGAAACAATTCGATCAATTTACGAGATCAAAGTAAGAGCCGCATATCGGGGAAATTTGAGTGCATGAATCATTTGGTAAGTGTTTGATCGCTCAAAGTACCGATGAAAAAAAAATACCAAATGTTACGGTGTAAAAATAACTGGACGAAAAATAAAATGCAAATTCCTCAAAAATTCTACGTGCAATTTTTCCCTTCGCGCGGACAGCAGCAGCAGCGCGACAAGTGAATAACGCACGCGCGCTAAAATTGGCAGATCGATGATTGCAGCAGCGCTTTTTTTTGTTGGTTGTTATACAAAAGCCAAGCGCTTGCTGCTGCGATCATATTTTTTCGTGGCTTTATTGTCGACATTCTAGAGTACATATATTCAGCCTAGATACACACGCAGATACGGGCACTGTATATATATATATATATGCTTCAATGGGTCTCCTGTTTCGAACAAAAGCCGATTTTTCCCATTTTTTTTCACCATTGTGCCGCTGTGAGTTGATACCTCTGTTCTCGTACGTGTCAAGTGTAAGGTATATGCTCGACAACCGCAAGACGTCGGCGAATCCATTTGGAGCTGCACGTTAGGTTGAACGCGTGCAATCAGTTATTTCGTCAGACATCGGAGAACGCAGCTGGCGGGAA